TGGCCTTTTCGTTGTCCTGTCGTCAATTCTTACCGCTGCCGTGAGCCGAAGTCGAAAGGGGCCCTGGCGACAGCCATTGGGTCGCTAATCCGTTTAAGGGCAAGTCCAGGTGGCCCCTAAAAGGACAAGGCTCCAAGGGGGGCTCGTTGCCTGTAGAGAGCAGTTGTTGGGCGTGCACCTGTTGTAGTCATGTTGAGACTGCCTAACTGAGATGGCTCGAATAGCCCAAAGCCCACAACGCATCCGCCTTTCTCCACCGTCGCCACCGAGAAGGATCAATAGAGTATAAGCCGGGGAAATTTCAATTACCTACTAGTAGGTACAAGTACGGAGCACGGAGCACTCGTACGAGGTCCTAGCCCACAAGGTCTTGTTGCCTGAGGTGCAAGCCGCAACGAGGAGTTTGAGGGGGGGGAGGGGGGAGCATAATGTGACTGCAGAAACAAGGGCATAACACCCAGAGCTCTGTCCTGCACTTCGACCTCGTAGGATAATGTATCAGGAAGTTGGAGGCTTCAAATTGCGGCGGGTGCTAGAGGACGTAGCTCTGCATCCGCCTTGCATCTGGAGGCTTACTAGACTGGGGCGGATTTTGTGCAGTCCGTCGCGCTTCGGATAAGTCACAAACAAACTCTGCCAGGTGCTACGCTTTAAAGTTTGTACCGATGCTGGTTCTGAAAATACTCACATGGCCAGTATCTGGCGAATCGGCTTGTGCATGAGTTCGTAATTGTAAGGGCCGACCTGGGTAGGACAGGATCTGGTGGGCGTGGAAAAGGCGCCTCTTAGTTAAAGATAGAGGGCCTGGGAAGGAAATAGTATGCTCGTAATACCATCTGTTGTACGAGGAGAGTAGCCGCTTCGATGGAGATTTTAGTTCCAATAAGCACCACACCAAAGGAGGGCTGTCGGCTGAACGGCCCCAGTAACCAAAGGGCCAAGGAGGGCCCATTACGCCACGCGTTGGCAAAGGCCAAAACAGCTGGTCCAAGCTTGCGAATGGCCACCGAAGCTTCCGTAGAAAACAACTAAGATGAGCCACACGAGATCAAGGTTTCACACTGACACATGCCTCACCAGGATTCTGCAGGCCAAGCCTTGTTATGGCTGGCAATTATCGTTCCGCTAATAGACCGGTCAAGCCCCTTGATGGCTACCTAATAGCCATCGAGGCGTCGGCTTACGTGAAATCCCCAACGGTTGAAGAAAAGTTCCCGATTGCCTTACAAGGTTTAATAGCAAGGGTGCACCTCTACAGTATACCGGAGGAACGTAGGACATATTGCCCCCTGAGGATGGTACCGAGTACCTGATAGTTCGCCTTGCAAAGCTGAAGGCGTCCGCCTTCAGAAGAAGGGGCAAAAGATCGACAAGCATTAAATCAACCGGGCCGCTCTACGGCGAGCGACCCGGCTTTTCAGCGTTGTGTATGCACAATGCACTCGTTTTTCGCATAACTGGATCCGGCAATCCCTCCATCGACTCGTGGCAGATGCCCATTTATCCTTTGTCTGAGGACGCGAAGGAGCTCGCTTACTTGCAGTGGGTAGATTGACTCGCGATTGACGGAGGCTCGCCAAAGGAGATATCTGGGCCTCAGGGGGATCGTGCAAGGCTGCCATGACAGAGCTGGCCGATTGCAACACTGATATTGCTTCAAGGAAAAAAGATTTGACAGATCTGCAATGTTACGACATGCAACTTCCTTGACAGTATCAGGGCCATGGGCCGTGGGCCCTGCCCCCCCCTGTTGGTTGTTGACCCCTTTTTGGTTCTTTTGGCCTTGAGATCGTATTTTGCTCGCTCTGCTTGATGTCCCTGGTGTGGTTGAGTGAGCAAGAGTAACAGATCAGTTTACACACTGCGTGCTAGAAGCATGCCTTATTTGGGGCGTTCTGTACTCCGTAGTTGCTTGTACCGCCGCAAAAGGACTGTTCGACGACTGACTCGATGCCATTCCTTTTAGTGGTGGACAGCTCGAGCATGTGGCGTTTCAAGGGCCAAGAGGGGCCTGTGAAACTCGCTTGTGGACGTCGAATCGGGTAGTAGGTGGCAAAGCCATCACTAGCTGTGCATGCCTTCATTCCAGACAAGTCCGGGGTATGTACATATGCAACAAGCCGTCAAATCGTGATCGCAGCCCCGTCGACGCCCTGCCTCACCCGAAGGGAAGACTAACTCTAAAAGATCGCCGATCTCGAGCCTATGCTCCCTCACGGAGGGGAGACAAAGATAGACAGGGAAGATGCATTGTCCTGGGCAGAGATAGCATATAGGTACATTCAGTTTTGGAAAAGGTAATCTTTCCCCTGCAATGGAATACGACCAACAGGGAATGGCAGACAGGTGGTCAACATCAAGAAGACAAGATCTCAATTGATGCTGATCGTCGCCTCGTGGGAGCTGCAACTCCGATGCAGTTTAGCCCTGGAATTGGAGCGGTTCTCATGCCGAGTCAGTTAGTGTAAGTAGATGGTGCTCGAAAACCATACTTTATCTCGTAACTTCGTCAGCAAGGTGGACAATCTCACCAATGTCTTCTGCCTTCGAGAAAGGTGGATAGTTATCCTGACCTCCTGTGCCCTCGGCATTTACGCGAAGACCCGTTTGACGTACCGATCATAGTGTCGATTCGCGGCCTGTCCATGGTTGATGAAAGAGGTGATGGCACCTATTGACAGCCGAAGTACGAGCGCCATGATGCATGCAGACCGCTGCACCTACATAGCTATCATGTCTCCGTACTGGTACTGGGTACATACTCGACTTACCTACACTTTGAACCCGCCACCCGCTGCCCACTGCCGTGTTTTTGACAGACGGGGACAATTCCGAGCCGTGGTTTGAGACAGCAATTTATTTTCCGTGGCCCAACGCCCCTCACATCGGCTGGGCTCAGTGGATCGAAAGCCTTCTCGCCAGCATAAAATATGGGGGTAAATGATAATACTCCGTAGCTTGAAGCAGGGTAGTAGAGTGCAGCAGTAGGAGCTTTCGTCATCCTGAAAAAGGATGAAATGCCGCCACAGCAGCTGAAAGAGAAGGGGGGCAGCTTTAGCCCAAGCACATTTCCACTGATCTGCTAACGGTCTCCATGGTGATTCGATCACTTGACAAAAGAGGGGGACGCTTGTGAACCACCGGCATCTTACATCAAGGTCTTAACATAGCCAAGATGCATCTCTCCAGCCTGGGCTTTCTTGGACTGCTCTCTCGAGCGACTCTGTACAGGAGTGAGGGTCTTTGTTCTCGACGACCACTGGCAAACCAGTCAGCCGAAGAGATGTCAGCAGGAAAGAGGGCTCACCAGGCTAGCAGAAAAGGAGAAAGCACCCACCGGGATTGCCTGCCCGCTTCAACGTCCGCGGAGGCCCTGATCAGGCCGGAAGTAAACTGGGGCACACTCGCTCTTGTGCTCATGGGTGCGTACAAGTAGATTGGTGGCCTGGGGCCTTGGCCGGCACACAATCGACCACTGCTTGCGGGCGAAACAAGCGAAAAGAGCCTTGAATGCAGCAGGCTATCCTGTCGCCAGTGGGTGGAGAGAGTCCACCAGAATGCACCGGGCCTGGCCAGTGTGCCGAGGAGACTGAAGGCTTTGACTTCAACGCTTGAGCCGGGGTCAGCTCCAATTGTCCACTACGGGGACCAACTGCTGAAGCCCGATCGGCGACCCAAGCACGCCTTAGTAGCGGGTTCTCGGTGTGGCTGCTGCCCAGGAGGGCTAGCAGTGGCCGTTCAGCGGGCAAGTTGACAGTGCACGCGTCTGATCTCCCTCTAGCCCCCCTTCCCCTGTCAACATCCTCGCTTGTTGACCCTGCTAGACCGAGATTTCTGACCTCTAGCGCCACTTGGCGATCTCTCCAATCTTTTCGCTGGGTCCCTGCCGTGACACCATCCCTGCTATGATTTGTGATTGGTTGCCAGCCGGTGTCAGTCTTTGGCAGAGCAACTGGCAGCTCCCAAGTGATGGGAAACGATAGTGCATCTGCCACCGCGTATGATCCTTGCGGCGGGACACGGCAGAAGGAAGGCGGACCAGGGCTCTCGACAATCTCAGCGTCATGGGATCTTTTGAGTCCTGCGAGCCGGTGGGTCGACTGGCTGGCCCAGGGTCCAGACTCCCCGTCGGGAAGATCAAACGACTGGCGTAAATCGCCACCCATGCTTCTCCGCCGATTCCCCCCTGCAGGCTGAAGGAATATGATTGATTCATGAGAAAAGTCATGGGCAGCAAACATGCATGTACGAGTTGCCCCCAAACAAGAGTGGTCGACAAGCGCTCTGGCCAATGTAGGAAGCTGCCAGTCAATTCGTGCTTGGCAACTTTATCGAAGCCGTCCATGATCTGATGGCCTTGGGTCGTACCGAGCACAGTCCTGGCAAAAGTTATTTTATCAATAGAAACAATCAAGAGAGCGACGTGATGTGAGGTCCAGAGAAGAGCCAATGTACGTAAAAGTCACTTTAACGACAAATTTGTATCATTTCTGGATCCGCCCACTGTCTGTGTGGGCCATTCCAGCTCGGATCAATCATGCCTGCCCCCGGCCTACTCGGTACAGAATGTCAATATCTGTACGCGAACAAGACCGTGGCGCTGAGTTCGCCTTGCAGCTTGTTCCCCCAGAAAGTCACTCGCACACCCAACTGTAACATCATAACAATCGATCGCCAAACGCTGAGACTCTCTTACCGCCGCACAGAAACCATCCTGGGAACATCCACCGGCATTAAATAAAATAAGATGAAAATTCTTGGTGACATTAACCCAAAACACTTGGACCTCCTTCCTTGCTCGGTGTTGGGTATCGTAGAATCTTGCTCCTCGTGAAACTCGCAGGTAGTGTCGGATGGCTAACTTGCCGCCGTGTTGGTACAATAATCGCTGGAAAACGGGATCGAATGAAGCAAATGCCAAAATGTTGGTAGCCAACTCGGTGCTATGCCGAGTATTTCCAGCTTTAGCGGCTGGTGTCCGCTGATATTTCTGGCATCTTTCATTCAAGAAGCCGTGCCACGTTCATCCGAGTATCCTTCTTGCCGCTCGGTAGAGCTGGGCTATTCCTCTTGATCGTGGTCAAGCCTATGCTGCCTTCCTGGAGTGAAAGTGGACGTGGCGAGCCTGGGACAACAGTGACTTCTGGAATCACCGAACCTGCTCTCTCTGCTGATCGATACGCTTGGAAATCGTCCTTGTCCCGCCCCTTCCAAGTGCCGTCGATCTCGGCATCTGGATAGTTACCTGTGCTGTTTCTGCGTTGCATCTCTGGCCACAGCTCCATAGACGGCAGTTTGCTCACAGTCCCGCCGGGACGGGGAGATGTCATCGTCTTGGGCGAAATAGAACAATTGGACTGGTTGTCTGATACGAGCGACGGCGCTTGCTGGTTAAACGATCCTTGCGAGGCCTCAGTCGCCGCAGGAGATAGAACAGGGCCTTCAGTCCAGTTCAGAGGGGGCAACTGACATTCTGATCGACTTGGCGACCAGTTCTGGAGCCCCAGGAGAGGCATTCCTCTTGGACTTGGTAGATTGCCAGGAGCTGAGTGTGGCTGAAGAGGGCTCAGGGTCGGCTGATTACACCCCAGGTACAAGAGAGACCTGCCATCAGTCTGCATGGGGCGTTGATGTCTGTCTGGCTGCGGAAGTAGGTCGTATCGATGCTCTGGTCGCGGGACTTGAGGTCCTAGTGTGCCTGGAGGGCTGGTTCCGAGTCCCTGAAATGGACCGGAGACTGAGAATGATGGAGAAGCAAGATGTCTAGGAAGATAAAGCGGCTTGAATGGAAGGGGTGATGCCGAAGCAAGAATAGGTTGCGTCCGGTATCCCACCGTCTTTGAAGCAGCACCCTGCGGTCCCGTGTGCCTTTTTCGCCGATTCATGCTACCATTCCACCAATTCTTGACCGCATTGTCGCTCCGGTTGCCTAGCCGCCGTGCAATTTCGGCCCATCGCTTTCCCATTTCGCCCACTAGTTGCTCGATAAGGTCGCCCTCCTCTGGCGAAATAGGGTCGTGATTCAGAGAAGGTTTCAGATTTTGATGATATCGTTCTCTGCACTGCTTCGGTGATCGATGTTGCATGTGTTTGGAGATACTGACCCAGTTGTTCGGCCCTTGGGTTCGGACAAGATGCAACAGAGTATCATCTTCTTCTGGCAACCAAGGACCTCGCCGGCCGGATCGGGACATGTTGGTGAGGGAATGGTTGCGCAGGCAGCGGTGAGCACCTCAGTTCTCTGCTTAATGGAGCGTACACAAAGTCTGGGAAATCTCTCCCAGAGGCGTTTTTTGACGGGTCTAGTTGATATAGGAGACAAATATGGATATATGACTCCAGTGCGTGACTTGATCTGAGTTCTGGGCCAGTGGGGGTGGGCGTGAACGGTCCGTTGGAACCCTCAACTTAATATCCACAACCAAGTGCTCCAGGAGAAATGGAGGGCAGGAAACGTCCTGTATCCAACCGTTGTTCGAACAGACGGCCGAGTGTAGTTGTTCTAAAAGGCCAGTTCGATGGTCAAGCAGAAACCGGAAGAACGGGCTTGCTGAAGAAGTTGGGAAGAGAAAGAGCGGTCCAGAGGCAATAATCGAAATGTTTTGGATGCTCAACGTTGACCCAATAGACGGTTGACGTTACGAGTGATGACCCCCTCCCGTCCACTCTTGTCTTGAAAAATGATCTGGGACGCAAACCGAGTCTTGATGGGTTGGCAACGTTGCAGAGTCGTGGTTCAGTGGTCTGAAGGAATTAAAAGATTGAAATTCTGATGTTCGAAACCTGCTATCATTCGACGTATGTAGCGTACAAATGGAAGTCGAATGCTCCGTACCGAGTAGAGGAGGACAAGGGAAAGAGGCGCTGAAAGCACCAGCTAGCATTGCGCCATGGATGGCAAGGTGGGAATCCTCGACGTCCTCTTTCGGAAGCCCGGCTGGATGTTTGTGGGTGGTGGATGAGAAGCAAAAGGCCAAGTTGGGACCCACGCCGTACTTCCCGGATCACTCCTGAGCGAACTCTAAAGGGTTCTGGGAAAAGTTAAGGATATGGAGCAGCGTTCTTCGGCTAAGGCTGCCAGCTCACTTACCCAGGCCAAAGTCCGCAACCAGCCAAATAGGAATGGAAGGCCCAAGGGGACAGGCCCTCAATGCCAGCTCAACGCCGCGATCGAAGGCAAGCGCTAGCCGTTCTTGTCCCTTGGGCCCATTTCTTCGTCTTGTCGAAGCCCAGATGGGGCGCATTCATGGGCAGGAAAGGAAGTGCAGCGTAAGAGCCCGCTTACACTCGACCCAAAACGCCCATGTTCTCCACCAGATCGATCTGGAGACATGGGTGGCCCCAGGGCAATTCATCAAGGCCTTACCAGGACAAGAATGAAGGAAATGTACCTTGACAAATTCACCCTTCCAATGCGGGAGGGTGGAGGTATGCAGAGTGCATGCTTCGGTTTCTATTGCGTGCATAACGCCCGGGAGCGGCTTTCCACGCTCTCCTGGGCCCTTCACGTCTTCAGCAGCTTCGAGACAAAGTATCCTCGGAGACCTGGCATCATCATCATCAACTACCAAGCACTGAGGGGCAAACCCGTAATGGATCAGAGAATTACAGTTCCAGTCTGGGTGAACGGCAAGTCCCGAAGGTTGTCTTGTTCAACCACAGCTGAAAGCGGACCCCGGGAGGGGGGTGGGCATTATCGAGGCACGGATACTTTGAATTTGGTAGAGTCGATCCGGCATTGTTGGATTCCCTTGCCAGCAGAGAATGGACTCGAACCCCCTGATCGGTGATGATGTTGGTGGGATTCCCCCAAGAGAGATCAATAAGCGATGCCGTCAAATCAATGTGTGCTGAGATGATGGAGGAAGCAACTGCAAGCAGTATAGTGGCATGTCAAGGCCTTGATCAAGAGCTCTGAGCGTCGTGGACGCTGAGTGGTCAAGAGGTAGGTCTTCACGTCAAACATTTGAGCAACTAAAATTGCGAGCGCCACGGCCTGAAGCCGGAGCGGTTTGACCGTTGTGGCCCCTGCGAGGCCCCGACGTCGATTGGAGCAGAGGATGGGCCGCCGATAGCGTTGGCGAACAGACAACCCAATGACAGACGACAGACAGGGATCGCGATCGCGCGTCCGGATCTGGCGCGCGGAGTCCAGCGACTTTGACGGTGGGAGCCTCCATTGCCTCTACCAGGCTGAGACGGCTAGCGGCGACTCGAGACGAACGCCATATTTCGTTAGGACATCCCAAACAGAAACAGACAGTCAACAAAGCTCCTCACGGGCTGCTCTGAGTTTGTGCCAACTTTGGTTCGGGAAGATCACCAACTCCGCCAAGGGGATGCCCTAGCAGATCCAGTTGGATTATGAACGATCCCCCCTGTTGTATGACAACTCCCCGCTTCAACTACCATTGTGAGGTGTGTTGTAGGATATTCCCTGGATCCTCATCCAGCTCCTGTTGATGGCTGCAGACTGGGGCTTGATGGGAAATGGCCAGCGAGCTCATGGAGGTTCTGACGGGGGCGGAACGACGTTCTGGGACCTGGCAGGGCCCCTGTCAACTGAAGCGTCGTTAAGTCTCGCGCTCCAAAGCAATAGTACCGAGTATAGCGGCAGAATTTGGCGAGGGCAGACGCAAGCTGTACCTCAGGTCAGAGTGAGTCCGGAGTACCTGGGTACTTCGGGTCCTACAGCCGGACCGTCTTGGAGGTACCAGAGGGAGGCGAATACGAGAATCAAGCGACGGGGAAAGGGAAGCGCAGAGAGCGGCAGGGTGGCAGGGTGGTAGGGTGGCAACGTTGGCAGCGGTGGCAGGGATGTTTCGAGTTCTCGATTGCGAATGAAGCGCAGTTCAGCTGGTTGCTTGGGCTTTTAGCTGTTGAGAGGCGAGATTCACAAACCAATGGCGCAGAAAAAACTGTGACGAACTTGAAACCAGCACATGATGGAGACACCCCAAGACACCACAAGACACACCGTCTGCTTTGCTCTGATTCACTTTCCTCTCACTTTCACGCTCTTCTCAGTGCTCTCTCTCTCTCTCTCTCTCTCTTTCTCTCTCTCTCGTCTCTCTTCTCTTTCGTTTCCCTGCCGAGTAAAGCAATCCAATATCCATTTCCACTTCCGATTGCCTTGTTCCATGTCAATGTCAATGAGCCTGTGTTCCCCCTTTTCCCATCTCCCATCTCCCTTGTCCCCCTGCTCCTGTCCATCGTCACCGCCCTGCCCTGGTCTGGTGCAGGATCCCGCTCAGCTACCTATGGTACTGGGTCCCTCAAAGGCGTACACACCATCCATGCAGCATCCGAATTGGGGCGGTACGTACTTAGGTACCTTGGTACCTACTATCTATTCCCTTTTCCTAATGCGTGCAGCGTCCCAAGACTGTTTAAGCAACGGAAAGTGGTTTCTTTTCCCTTAAGCCTCAATAATGGAAGTTGAGCCCATCCACCGCGGCCAATCCGGGGTTCCAGATCTGGTCCTCGTGTTTGAGGCCGCGAACTGCTCTAGATGGATATTATCTCGCGACACAGATTACTTGGGCCCCAAAACCTCAGCTCTCAAAGACTTCGTCTCCTTGAGCAGTTACTAATTTGCCACCCGTCCAAGGATTGACGCATCAGTGGCTTGTAACCTTGCAATCCTCATGTCAGAATAACATGGCACCTTCCAATACATTCTCCCCCTTTGTGAATGGCTTCCACATCCATCGCCAACTGGCCGAGGGGAAGCCCGAGTTTCCCGTTGATGGAAGAACTCGGAAGTCATGCCATCAAGCTTCACGTCAACAACTCCTTGGACTGCAACCCCGTTCAATGCTGAGGTCCAGGAGGCAGCAGAGCCCTCAGTAGCCACAACGAGCCTTCTCCTCTCCTGTATGAACTCAGTTGTGTTCGTCGCTGCTGAGGTGTCCATTTCAAGAAAATTTTGCAGGACACATCCATAGGTGCACGCGTGACAGTCGTCTATCCTAGGAACAATCCAAGCCGAGCCCTTGGTTGAGTAGTCGTAGTCGTTCGAACTCTTCTCGCATGGCAGGCGTCTCCCGTTATGCCCAAGCCGAGCTCTCCCAAAACCCCCAATGGACATTTCAGCCTAAGCAATATTCACAAACTCTCTCTTCTTTCCTCTTGCCATTCCAGGTGCTGCCGCATCACCTTCCTGCCATGTCTCTTCATCAACATACTCAGTTTCCCCGGCGACCTCTCTCACCCTGCGCCCCAACACTCTCAATCCCGCAAGATTGAACCCCAGCTCCCCTTTCTGCCTCATCAGCGTGCTTCGCAGCTTGCTTCTCACCTCCTCCAACATCCCTTTCATCGCCCTCGAACTCACAATCTGTTTTTGATGCGTCTTCAGCATGAATAACAATATCCGACATGTCAAGGGGATGGAGCGGCCTTCTTCTGCCCAAAGGGCGAGGAATGTGAAGAGCGCGGGAACCTGAGAGAATGAGAGCACGAGCAGCGCGTCCTGGAGAGACGCGGACGGGATCTTTTGAAAGGTACTGAGTACGTAGGTCGATGCGGACATATTGTTGTTGGCAAGGAAGATCGGATTCCGCTGAGGAGCTGCACCTTTGGGGTTCGTTCTTTTTGCTTCGGCGTAACTTTGCATCGTTTTGAGATCTTCCATGCCCACTTCCAGTGCTTCCGCTATTCTCTCTCCAGCCATCAACGTCTGCGCGGTTTGCTTGCCGGCCGGTCCTGCCTCGACACCATCTGCATTTCCCTCCCCATCAAATGTATTCGCATCATTCTCCAGGGACGTGAGAAGCGTGTTTTCATACATGTCCTCTAGTTCTTTTTCTCTTTCTTCTTCCAAGAAGATCTGCTCGTCAGTTTGTTGCCATATGCGGATGCTCTTGTCATGACTCGCTGTCACAACAAACTCTCCGGAATGCGCAACTGCCATGGCCCAAATCTCTCCATGGTGGCCTTCCAGCTTTTGGATCTGCTCAAACTTGTCTGCGTCATAATATTTGATCACTTTATCCTTGCTCGCGGAGAAGAAGTGGTGTCCATTCCCTTCATCGTTATTGGGGACGAATTTAACGGTGAGTATACTGTCTTGGTGGGCAAAAAATGCTTTGTGGCAGTCACCAAAGTCGAGGCCCCAGACACGGACGTTCTTGTCGGCACTTGAGGTGACAATAAGTTTGCTGTCGTAGCTGATGTCCATTGCGAGAACCGGGAGTTTGTGACCGTATAGCGTGAGGAAGAGTTTGAGTGTGTCGGTGAAGAAGACTTTCACAGTGTTGTCGAGAGTGCTGACGGCGAGGAGTCTTTCGTCGGGAGAGAAACAGATGCTGAGAATGTCGTCGGTGACTTTGAGGGTGCGGGTATGGACGAGGGTGAGTCGCGCGCTTTTCCGCGTTGTACCCAGTATTTGCTCCTGGATGACTTTAAATTGCCAGAATTTGGCACTCTTGTCGGCCGATCCTGTGACTAGGGATTTGCCGTCCGGGCTGACTTGTAGTGACCAGATGTCTCGCTCGTGCGCATTGATGGTATCGAGCAGTGTGGAAGCTGCAATGTCAAATACTTCGAGCGTGCCTTCTCGCGTACCCACCACGACGATTTTGTCACCTGGAAGGAATGCCACGCCAAGAGCATGACCACAGTCAAGGGTCCGCAAGCAAGTCTGTGTTCGTGTGTTCCATATTTTCAAGCTGCCATTCGAGGCAGTGGCGAGCATTCTGTCATCCGAGCTGAGCGCAACACAGCGGATGTCCGTACGGTGGCCAGGCATGTCCACCGTAAGTGCACGGTTGTACTCTGGGGCATCAGATGACTTCTTCATATCTGAAGCCGCCACTTCGAAGAGCTCAAGTTGATTGTTTGAAGTGGCCACCAGGATCCGAATGGACTTGCCAGATTTTCCCCCTGCCCAGTCCATTGATCTAACCTTCCCGCCCGTACGTACAAGCACGTAAGGCACAAATATGTCCGCAGCCGCTGCATTGGAGATATCTGTCGGGTCTTCAACTTCATCCGCGACGTCGACTCCTGAATCGGCGTCCGTTGTTCCTGTTTTCTCTTTTCTCCTTTTCCGCTTCCGGGCAAGGGATTTTCTTAGCTCCGTCTCCGACCGAATCCGTAGTATCTCAACAGCTTTGTCGGAGCCGTGTACAGCAATTAAGTCGCGTTGTGGATGGAATGCGATCCCCAATGGCCGATCGCGGCCGTGCCGGTACAGTGTTCCTCGCTCTTGCAGGATATATTGTCCTTCAGGTACGTTCGTGCGAAATTTCTCCTTCAATACGATTTCGTTTATTGACCACACTTTTAACTCCCCGTCATTGCCGGCGGTAATACAACCACTGCCATCTCTCGCAAGCCCCAGAGCCCAACATTCTCCATTTGTTTGCGTCACATGCGTCTCGATGCAGTGCTGTGTAGACAAATCCCACACTTTGATCAGAGCATCCTTACTAGTAGACAGGAGGAAGTCATGGGAGCTAGAGCCGCCATGGAGCGCATCTGGAGAATCGCCTGCAGTGAGGAAATTGAGCGAAGTAATTTGATCTTTGTGGCCGCGGAGACGATACAATCCCACCTCGGCAACCAGATCCCAAACGATAACATCAGTGTCCTTTGACCCGCTGGCGAGACGGACTCCGGAATGGTCAAATATGAGTTGTGTGATTGCCGTCCTATGTCCATTGAAAGTGATTATTACTGTCGCTGTTCTTGAGTCCCATATTCGGATCTTGCCATCGTCGTAGCCCACAGCAAATACATCGGGGTCGACTTGGCTTCGGCATATGACGGTAACAATCGCATTGTTGTCCGCAGTGTTCCATATTCCCACTTTTTCTGACTTCTTCAGGTCCCACAACAGGACTTCGTCGTTGGCGCCGACATAGGCACGACCGGCGCCACCTCTGCTCGTGGAGTCTTCATTCTCAGAACTGGGATCCCAGACGACGTTAGCGGAGGCTGTACAAATCTGGCCAAAGGTCTTGCTGTGCTCGAATTTCCTGCGAACATCAGTACTATTCTGGTTCAATAAAGAACCATCTTCCCACTCACAAATATGACTTGACCATTGCGGGGACGTTGGCGGCGCAAAGTCGAGGGCAAGTTGGCAACTTTTTTTTTTCTTGAAATGCGGAGAAATTTAGCGACAATCACTGCAAACCCGCCAAGACATGCACAATTCGGTTTTCTTGGCGTCGACATCTCAACGGCGAGCTAAATTCGTCCTTTGGCTCAGGCCCCTTAACAGCCTGAAGTCCGTTCTGCTTAGTCTGCCGTCGCCATCACAGAAGCATGTACTCCGTCTTTCGTCCGTCCTCCGAATAAGATGCGCCCTACATCCGGAGCACAGATGTTCACGTCCCTCCACCCCGAGGCACTAGGTCCTAGACGTCGCCTCAGACTGCTCATTGGCAGGGCTTGGTTTCATTGGGATGGGGAAGAATGATCTTGTGTCACGAGTTTCAGGACTGTTGTTCTAGACCGCACTCGCTTGGCACATGCAAAGGCCTAGAATCTGAACAGTTGTCCACATGGAGAACACATTGTGCGTTCGCTTCGCTGCACGCCGGTAACATATCATATAAAACCGCTCGAGTTTCGCTTTGTCGAATCGTGTCCAAACGAGTACGTCGCCTCCGGATGCCAAATGACCAATACACTAGAGAATCTTCCAACAATGGCCCGAGCCAATGTTGTGAATGAAGTCATTGTCAACATCATCTCGGCGATCGTTGAGAGATTACGTCAGAGAAATCTTACATGCTCTAGGAGTACCGAGCATGATTGTTGTATTCCTGGGCTACTTCACGGTGCGGCGCAAGAAAATGTTCCATGCTTGACCGGCAAACTAGCGGAGCGACCTAGTTGTACCAGTTTTGATAGCTGACTATCATTCCCAGCATTGGTGAAATTTGACGACGACAAGACTGAGCTACAGAAATTGTGCGCACGCCTTCATTGGGACTTTGGTCTGCTGTGCCAGATTGCGACTGAGTGGAACGCACGAAACAGCAGCGATGCGAGCATGTTTGGATTCGACTCGACCGTCTTCTTTTGCGAAACTGCATGGGGAGTTGAAACATGTCGGCGCAGTCGGTGGACTTCGAGCATCGGGCTGAATTATGCCGAAGCATTCGACCAGATGTACCTAGGTGTCAGAGGTTGTCTCCAGCCCATAAACTGCAGAAGAAAAGGCCAAGACTGACCTGCAACCGCCCCTTTTCGAAGCGGAGCGAATGAGGCAAACATGACATGCCAACTCGAGACAGGACCTGCCGGGGAGGGGAAGGCTCGGAGTAGGATTGGCAACGGAGACTATCATAAGAGGAGAGGTTATATTGTTTACTCAAACTGGCTACGATATCCAGCAGTATGGAGTAATCATGCAACTGTGTGGTGGGTGAAGAAGTCGGTACGGACCGGGGGTGATCAAAAACATAGCAAATAATATTAATCTTTCCTCCTCCGTATTACCACCATGGCGATGATAAAAGACCGGGTACTTTGGCCCCTCGATGGGTCATGCCATCAAGGAGATGATTAGTGGCCTGACGAAGGTGAAAATATTAGTCTTGGAAATGGAGATATAAAAAAGCATTTGGGGCAGCATCTCCGCGGCCACGTTAGTTTTCCCCCTCGTTCACTTTGAAAACCCAATTCTCCATCCAGCAACCAACTGATCTACAGGGCAAAGCAAACATCTCATGTCAGGACTCAAGACGCGGTCGCTACATTGCCTTCTCGCTATTTTCATCGCTACGAGACGCTGTGCACAATGAAATGATGGGAGCCTGCAAAAGCACGCTCAGTACCAAGTCAATCTGCTCACCGATCATGGCTTCATCATGCCCGCGGAGTTCTGTTGATCTTACTGCTGTTCTCCCGTTGCAGCCTCCTTTGCGGCAGATTATTATGTGAGACGTGGCCTGACACATCGCCTGTCGCGTTTACGTACTCGGTTGATTTCCTGCCCCGAAGCAGCTGCTGGACGAGAACAAGCGTCGACAATGGTATTTAAGGTCTGTGTGCGTTCTGACTCTGACTACTTGCAGAAGAATAATCGCTACCATTCATCTCCCTTACCGGCAAGAACTGTTCCTCCCACCGAGAACCAACCTCAGGATGCTTAACTCCACTCAAGTGCCAGCACCAGTACGAGGTGACGAGCCGGATGGTCTTCCGGCCGTGAAGCCATCTCGCTCTCCTCCGGCCCAGCGGCCCGAGCTGAGCCTTGAGCACCAGGAGATCGTCAAGTCTACTGCGCCCGTCTTGGCCGAGCACGGCACAGCCATCACTTCACACTTCTACAAACGCATGCTGGGCAACCACCCCGAGCTCCGCAACATATTCAACTCCGCACACCAAAGCACGGGCACGCAACCAGCAGCTCTTGCAAGTGCGGTGTGGGCATATGCCGCCAACATTGACAACTTAGGCGCTTTGACGAGCGCAGTGTCTCGCATCGCTCACAAACACGTCAGTCTCGGGGTCACGCCCGAGCAGTACCCCATTGTGGGCGAAAACTTGCTCGCCTCCATTAAGGAGGTGTTGGGCGACGCGATCAACCAACCTATTTTGGACGCCTGGGCCGCAGCGTACCAACAACTTGCCGACATCTTTATCGACGTCGAGCGCGACTTATACGGAAAGGCCGAGCACAGTCCCGGCGGCTGGACAGGATGGCGCAAGTTCAGAGTGGCCCGCAAAGTCCCCGAGAGCGATGAAATCGTCTCGTTCTACCTGGAACCCGTAGATGGAGGCCCGCTACCGGCTTTCAAGCCAGGCCAGTACATCTCCGTAAGAGTCTTCCTGCCGGAGCTGGGAGTGTACCAGCCTCGCCAATACAGTCTCTCCGACACGGACGACGGGAACCACTTCCGGATCTCTGTGAAGAGGGACGCCGGCATTAGCCCTGCGCCGCCCGGACGAGTCTCGAATATCCTGCACGAGAACCTGCCCGAGGGTGCCGAGCTGGATGTCAGCAACCCCTTTGGCGATTTCTTCCTCGACGTCGCCGGCTCCGACGAGCCCGTGGTGCTAATTAGCGGCGGCGTCGGGCTCACGCCCATGCTGTCCATGCTGGGGACGCTGGTCGAACGCGCCCCCTCGCGGCCCGTCGTCTTCGTCCATGCCGTCCGCAACGGCAAGGTCCACGCAATGAAGGACTACCTGGCCCGCATCATGGCGGAGAACCCGCAAGTGTCGCGGGCCATCTACTACGAAGAAACCAGCGATGGGGAGCGCGAGGGCGTCGACTACGACTTTGTCGGCCGCATCGTTCTCGAGGACATCAAGGACAAAGTCCTCCTACCTGGCGCGAGCTACTACCTGTGCGGCCCTATCCCGTTTATGCGCCTCCACCGAAAGGCCCTCGAGGACCTCGGCGTGCCTCCTGAGCGGATTCACACTGAAGTGTTCGGCTCGGGCGTCGCTTAGATGGATAGATATATCGATGCCATTGGGCCCGTTTTTTTTTTCTACTACAAGATATACAAGTGATACAAGGTAGCCTGGGAAGATGCGATGCACGGGGTTGGCACCGGAAGAGGGCTAGATTAATTAGAACCCTTTGTAAACCTGGATGCTGAAATATGAAATATTCCATACAAACCTCGAGCACTGCTTTTCCTTCTTCCGTTTCTTCTTTATGGCTGTTCTTAATCTCACTCGTCGTCCAAGATACTAACGATCCTGCTATGTACTTCCATAGCATACACATCGGGAGGGAGCGTAATGCAGACGAATATTCTATACAATAAGGATCTGGCCGCCGCTTTCCTCCTTTATCTCTGGTCTACCCTAACAACTCGTTCCGTCCATGGAGCCATCATGCTACGGACATTGTACTCGGTGGTCGCTGAGCCTATTCCTTCGATGGGGTTGTTGTCAGTCGCCGTCGTCGTCTTCGCAGAACGTACGTACATATATAGATCTCCACCGTTGCTCGGACTGCTGCAATCATGATACTGATATATCCTATTTTGAGCCTTCCACTTGGAAAACAATACTTCGTGTTTGTTCACTCAATGTTATTGCTATCACGATTTTTTTTTTTTTTTAAAAAAACAAAAACAAAAAAAACCTGTCGAAAGCCGGATCTTATGGTTGCATGGATGAAAGTTGAGACCCATCCAAATATCCTGCTGCAAAAGTGAGAGCACGAAACTCAAAAAGATTGGTGCAAGCAGGAGTGTATCGCCGCAAGTCCAATGCCCTGCCCGAATCCGATATGCAAGAGGGGCGAGAACCACAAGCCACCCACAGCGAAAACGTAGAATGCTGCCCGCATGCAACCATACACTCGGGGGGCAAAATCGTCGATGCACATCTCGAGCCCGCTCCTTCTGTCACCTTTTACATCTCGCCGGCTTTGCTTTGCATGGTGTGGTAGTGATTGAGATGGATCGAAGGACGAAGTTAGTGAGCCAACGGGAGGCCATGACTTTATTCCTGCTTTGAGGTATTTTTCTTTCTCCGAGTGAGAGATAGATCCTTTGTCGAGTTTGTGTCTGTCCGACCAATTCGATTCACGGGCAGGCAGTATTGAAAACTCAAGGAGCTCCCACCAAAACTTGCCATCCAGCGCCCACGGAGCCACGATCCAAAGCAGGCTTGCAAGCCCAACCCAACAGAAGGCGAAACCCACACTTAACTTAGAAGAGCCCCAAATCAAGCTTACTGCTCCAATCCCACATCCAAACATGTAACAAAGCCAGCCTGCAAGCACCTTATCCCGCCAAGTATATCTCGAGGTTATCCGAAATGGGTTGTTATGCAAGATGGCGATGGATGCAAAGTCGATATTGAATCCAACTTCCAGCCAGTATTGGAATTCGCATTCCTTTGTAGCCGGTCTTTTGAGTGCGACCACAATGCTTTTCTCGAGATCTCGAAAGTGGAAGTGAAAGGAGGTTTGGGTCACTTTCTGGGGCGCCCACGCAGAAGTGCGACAGCTGGAATCTCTCTGTCTTCAAGTATAATTGCGCCACCTTCGAGGTCTCTGGCTGCCGTCGCAGTTGGGTCGGCATCCGAATGGTCCCGGGCTCCAAGTCCAGTTCTTGGGAGATGCGAGATTTCCAGGTTCGACTCGACTTGTACCAGTGGCAGACCACCATGAAGAGCAAGTTCCAACGTACGAGCGTCGCTAGAGACGAACATTCTCTCCACTTTCGCTTTTGAAATGTTCCAGTCGGCGGCTTCAACTCGGCAATATTGTTAGTCTTCCGACGTTTTGCAGAGAAATATCACAATTTGTCCAGATCATCAGCCACCTCACTCGATAAGCTGCTATCTGTTTCTCCGTATAGGGATCGTTGACGGTTCTGCTTGTCTTCAGAGATGCCAGCAGAACCGATGAATTATTCTGGGCCGGGTACCAAAAGTCTGCTACCACTTTCGTCGACGCCGGTCCAGGTAAATATTGTTTCGTCATCTGTCTCCCTAATGATTCCTTTAAAAAGGCACTTGAGCACTCACCATATAGAAAGGGAATATTGACATTGAAGAGCCTAAGCAGAACAGTAGGCACGGTCCTCAAGCGGGGTTGTTTGTCATTTCGAAGCCCATGACATCCTTTGAGTCAGCGAATAATCTAGAAACCCCCTTTCTAGTGTCAAGGCAGCCTGGCTGACCCCAATTGTCTGGAGAACCTCAATAAGAGAAGATTTGGTCCCGATCCAAGTCCAGTCTCGGGTATCAACAGAAATATCCTTCGAGGCCATTAACTCTTGGAGGGTCCGCCCTCGTTGAAACCACCGGCTGTCTGAGAATTCTGCAGGAACGGTATGTGGGTCGAATAATCCTGCACGGTATACATCAGCCAGGTAGACATAGTATGTTTTTGCGTGTGTATACCAAGTGAACATAGAATTGATAGCCTCGAACAACTCGGAACTACATACTTCGCTTATCTGTGCAAGTCGGTTCGGTAGTACTGAAATCTCTGAAGCATTCTGGATGTGATATCTCTCCGGTAGACCGCTCGAACAACCGATATGGCCATAACATCGCTTAGTGTGCGTCGCGCTCAGTATGTCTGAATTGCTAATTCACACTTTCAACAAAGTCGCCCAACCACCTCCATGGACGATGCCTCTTCCTACCTATGAGTTAACATAGAGTGATTTCACCATGTTTCTTCTCTCCTCGCTGCCACATCGCGAGAACTTCATGCTCCCATATATTGTGAATATGCATTTCCCCCACAACTTTGAATCCATGTTCGTGTTTTCGGATGAGGAGAAGACTCTCGCATCCGAAAACAATGCAGCATTGATCACCAACCCTTGTTTGCCCTGGTGCAATCCCGAACTGACCACCTTTTGCATGGACAAAAGTTCTCTGCTTTAACCAGTCCGCGACAAACCTTTTATAAGTCGTAGAAGTTCCCCCTCATGAATTTTTTTTCCATACAGTATATAAGGACTCGGGAATGTTAGGCCTTCTGTTAGACCTGCTTAACAGTTCGAACCCAAATGCAGCTCGATCACTGGCTTGAAACAGAGGTCCATCTTCTGGAGCATCTGCAGACAAAGTTTCCAGATAAGCTTGCAGGGTATCAGAGCCATAGCCGTCGACCAGTTCCCATTCCATTAATGTGTCCCATATCCTCGTAGAGTACTCGAGCCACGAATTGCCGTCGTCTTCCTCAGGAAAAATGGGGCTGCAATAATCAATTTCATCAAGTACTACTCCACGAACTCGCAATTTGTCTCTTATCATCGAAAATTGCGGATTGAAAGCATGGTTTCTTAATGTCGGATGATCCAAGCTGGTGCATGGCCCTGGAACGTCCCACCGTGGCACCCACGAAGGGAATTCCGTGTCGAGGCTGTTGCCGGTGTGATGAACTGATGAGATAATATTAAGGTTTTTTGTTCTCCCCAGCCACCGCTTAGCAAATCGAATATACAGGATATCCAAGTCGATGGAGTAGTCTGCTAGGACGATGGTGGTTTTCGTAGGGTAAGATGCTGACGGATGGCCAAGCAATGAATAAATTCGGTCTCTTTCGTCGGAAATCTCAAGGACTCTTATAGCCCTCATTAATTCCAGCAGGCCCCTTCCCATCGTAGAGTAGTTCAGTGCTGTTGTCCTCAACATTGGCCGTTCTCCATGCTTAGTTTGCCATCCATCTAAGCTGATGTAGTGAATTTCCTGCAACTTCCAACCTCTGGGGGTCAGATCATTCATATTCCATCCGTAGGCAGTATAGATAGATCAAGTCCTCCCAACCACACTCACTGTCACCTAGAAGAGCTCTTGGGTTTCGTGCCAGACTGACTTCTTGTATAACCCAGCAGCGGGTGAACCATGGACTTTGTAAAGCCGCATGAAAAGCCTCCCATCTCGTGTCTTTGAAAATTGAAGCACTTTTGCCAGTTAGCGTGAGGTTCCACACGTCTTTAGCGTCAAAAAGCTGTTTCTTCACTGTGGCTCCAACCTCTGCAATCAACGACGCAGCCTGATCTCCCACTTCTCCCTCTACCCCAAGATAGACCAACACTTTCTCGGCCCGCCTAAATATTTTCGCCATTAGACCAACTTGGTGTTGCCGCTCTTGATCGTCCGTTTGGTTGATGCAGATCAGAGTGACGTCGATGAGAGAAGTAAACAAGTGTCTCTCATAAGTATTCTAAACTGTCGGTCAAGTTGCTTACCCAATGTATTCCTGCACCCTCTTTAGCGAGGCAGTGTTGTGCATTAACTAGTGGGTGTTTGAGCTGTAGCTGTGCGGTCATGCTTCGAGCCTTTACATGGCTGAGCGGTCTTTAATTCTCTCTCTCTTATTTTTCTAATATACTTCTATTACTCCTTCTCTATCCTAGGGAAGTGCTATCTTTATATACCTTACGTCCGCATCGCTCGTTGGCGTTATCCGTTAGGTACTCGCCGTATTCTACTCGGTGAGCGCCGAGTTCCTTATTCTTTATGTGGATAGCTGAAGACTCAGCTGCTAGGACGAGATCGCAGGAAATATATAGAATTATGTTAATCACCTATCTATAGCCGCTTTCGACGGAGACTCCGAATCTAGAGAGCTCACCATAAACTAAACTCCGTCGTCCCTATTTGCGAATCCTGCCATGGCCCCAGCACTCTCGGTCAGCAAGTGTCAATTAAATTAAGCGAGAGTCTCCGCCTTTATGCATTTGGTCCTGCCAAAAAGCCGTTTATGCAGATATGGAAGTCCGTCCTATTCTGTCCTAACACCTACCCCAACCGTATCCCTACAACACCGCAGCGGTGCCGATCCTGTGCGTATTCCAGCAAATCGGGGCTGACATCTGATCCTCTGAGGATTTCTAGTCCAACCGCTCCCCTCACCAATACTGCACCTTCTTATACTTCGTCACGCTACGCGCGTCAATCTTGTGTCCAGCACATGGCCGCAACAGCTTCCAGTCAACGTCAAAGCAGCAAGTCGACTTCTGAGAAGAGCAAAGGTCCCACAGCTGCTTATGCTTCATATCGCAGAACTTGCCTTCTGAGATCGCAATGAAGCTTGGGCCGTAGGAGTTGACGCTAGCGCAGAGCTTTGAGGCGCTGTGCACTCGGATACTGCTAATGATGAGGATGCCTTCGAATTTCCAGGATGAGGTTCCGTTTGTGTTGGTGGTACCTTTGGGAGGAGTACTCGTAGTATTTGACGCTGAGGTGTGGTTACTATGCGGCGCTACAGGATCGTGAGTTCTCTTCCCTTGCGTGCGCCTGTGGTATCTTTTGGTGATTCTTCCGTCACAGGATACTCCTGGAAGCGGGAATGTTGCACATTTATCGCACGGTTGGAGTGGCCGCGTCAGTGGATCCGTACACAATTTTCGTTGTTCGTCGTTATCAATCTGTGTGAGGCTTCCAGGGTTGTTGATGATTTTGGACGGATCTTTGTCGGTGCCGTCTTGATTGTATTCGAGCGGTGGGTCATAAAAGAGAATTGATTCTTTGACCTTAAGCTTCTGATACATTCGAAACCTCGGTCCGCTCTTGCACATTGTGGCACTGTTATTAGCATATGCGGCGCCCTGCGCATCGGTGCAGAAGAAGTCTCGTCAACTTGGAAACATCACTGCCGACAACATCGGCGTGGCCAATTTTACCACAAGCCTCAGCTCGCAACCTCTCACCTGGACCATCGGACAATCGCAAACCCAATCTAACACGTCGATCGTCATCGCCCGCGATTTCTATCTTGGCCAGCCTCCCTCTCTCAACATACAGCTACAATCAGGCACTCCCGACTGTGGTATATTTTTCTACGGAATTGCACCTTTGCTGCAGTTCCCCGATCCCAGCGGCGTTGACCAAGGCCCAATTTCCGGCGCATGTGCGGATGCACTCACGCTTCCTTGTGTGGAGGATCTGCAGAACCAAATTGTAGAAGTGCTGACTGCAAATTCAACCATGGATTGTCTTAGCCTTGCAGCCATACTACAACCGAAAGCGCCGACAAGCTGCCCGGCTCAGAACGGGAACTGGGGGGAGGTTTCTGCAAAATGTGAGCTCCATTGTTTGACTGCACAAGTCCTTATTGCTGACCAGGCTTGCAGCCATCTCGGGACCTGGTGCACCTTCTCCATTGTCGCTTTCTGATTGTCATCCAACGATCGAAAACGACTATTCTCTGATTCATATCGACGATGTTAGCAGCTCACCTTTCCAGGCAGATGGCGGTATTGGGTTTGATGGCTTTGTGTTTGGGATAACTCCGGTTCTACAATTCTCCATAACGCATTGGATTCAAAGCCTGAGGTGCACTTAGCATGCCTGAAGGTCATTACGAGCGAGGGCAATGCCGCTGAGCAGGTGTCCGCAAGCACAGCCTGGGTTCCAGATCTCGTCCTTGGATACTCTGCCGTACTGATTCTGTGTACATTTTTATTGGTCTAAAACAGGAAGAGATGATCAAGCCAACCAGGATTCAAGTCTCAAGGAGTCAGATAGCGCTATCAGATTGAATGATCAAGTTAGGATAAGAATGTAGGCAGAGTTTAATTGTTGTATACAGAAATGAGAGTGGATTCATCTACTTAATTGTCTTCTGTCTTCTGGCTTTTCAGAGAGACTCTGCCTATCTATATACTATTTGCACTGTGGTAAGAAGCGATCCGCTGAATAGATCTGGACCTGGCCAGATCTGTCCAGTCCTCGTTGTCGATCAACGGTGGCACCGAGGCTATTATAGAGAGGCCTCGGTTGAAGCATTGGTGGATTGATTGGTTTGCCACAGTGGCGCTCTGCTGTCAACAGTAACTCCCTGGCTTTGTCATGACTTGCAATTGGATTGATTCGCTATGTGCGGAGGTGCTATGTACACGAATATTCTACTTAAAGGAGAGAAAGGATATCAATTGCAAGAGATTTGTCCTCCGTGCTATACTATCGTGGCGTAGTAGCTGAGGAAACCGATCTCGGCTTGACGGCCTCGTGGTAGCAGGACAGCGGTAAGTCGCCGGAGCATCCAAGACTTCGTAGGGTTTAACTTCTAACATCTAGTATCAGTATTGATGCAGAAAGAAATGTGTTGTTACACGATGAAGGCATTATGGTCTAGTTGGTGATGTACCACTACTGCCTTTACTTCAGCGGCCCGGAACTCCATATCCAAATCAATCCATATGCCAAGAATGGCGTATTCTAGAGGCGATGACGTTGGAACTCGGAGAGCTTCATAGTAAGGTATATGAGGTCTGAGGACGAGGCCGACTGTTAAAAATTCTTGGCCAGCCGAATTTGCTCGACTAAATGCATCCTTGTTTGCCAGACCGATGCACGTTCTAGCAATTGGGAGAGGCTCGTGGTGTCCTTGATCTGGCAAGGTATGCCACCGACCAAAAACAAGCCTTACACAAAATCACAAATCAACTCAAAGGCTGCTCTCTCAATAACCTCCAAGGACAAGCGGACTATGTCAGTGGCGCAATCGAAGGCATCCCACCGCCTTTCAGTTCCAAGTTGCATAAGGAAACATTTCCAGCCTTCCACTATTTTGTGAATTGAAGGAGATATGACAAGAGATTTTATCATCTCATTTATAGCCCCGACAAAACGCAAGCCGGTGTGCAATTTGGTCACACCATCCACATCCCGGAGTATATGCCCGAGGCAATTTATGATTCCCCTTGCGTCATACCTTTGCGACCATTCCCCGAAAAAGAGTGCAGTCTTTCCTATAGAGCTCTGCTCTTCGTTAAAGACCTTTAATGGCAATCGGGAAAGGTCGGGGGCCAGAATAAAAGACCGCCAGTGGAATGGCCCGAAGATATCTCTGGAATTCCTGATTTTGCTCTATTTTGACTGCGAGTTCCGATCCAGCGAGCAGTTTCCGAACGAGAGCCCATCAGACCAGCCGGACATCTGTTGGGCACAAATACTTTCTCTTCGTTGTGAAGCTGTAGCAAGGCATCTTCCAACAAAGCTTCTGCATCGAGATTTTGGAAGTTAGGGGGAATTTTGTACCCATTCCAGTCCACCCAGACGGAAAGGATGTAGCCTTGATCTTCGCTCGCGGCACGCTTCAGGGAAGCAGGCGGCTCGAGACTGTTTAGAAATTTGACGTTGGAAGACTGTTAGGAACGCCTATATTAGATAGGCAGAGTGCAGTAGGATAGTTATGTCTTCAATAGCTATAAGCCTTCCTTAACGCTAGGTTACAACAAGACTTCGAGCATGAGAGAAGGAAGAGTCTCTCATACGAGAAGCGTGCGAGAAGTATACCCTTCTCCCTCTCTTATTTCAGGAGAAGTCTCTCACGCGAGAAGTGTGCGAGAAGTATGCTCCTCTCCCTCTCCTGTTTCAGCTTTGTTTTGCGCTGACTGGGACCGCTTAGTGTTACCGCTCAGACCTCCACATCAGTGTTGCTGCTTAGGCCGTCACACGGCTGGTGTTGTAGCGGAGGTGGCAGGTTGTCCTGTTCATGACAAAGACGGCCCATCATCGGATTTCAGTCTTGGTGCATTCCCCCTTTGCCCTAATAGCAGACGGGCTATAATCTCCCGAGTTTGAGGTAGTCTTGCCGGCTTCGAAGACTTTGTAGTCACCAGCGCAAAAAGACTCGTGTAATAATTTTCATTTCTTGACCAGATTTCGTCGTAGGTAGATATTTGACATACTTGACGCCAATAGTCGGTAAGCTATTGAGTGCTGAATGGACCACCCACTTCTCCCGGGATGTAGCTCTCCCGGGATGTAGCATTTCGCGAGTTCTTGGTTGGCGTGTGTGATGCTTATTGATTTCGAATATCGAAACTCTTGAAAAGGCCATATGCGATCTAGCCATGAGCATGCCCCATTAGAATTCGGACATCGAATGCCTGAGAGCGCGTCTTCAAGATTGCTCGCAGCGAAGGAGAAGTTTTGATCCGGCAATGACAATGAATCTGCCTCAACGAGTTTCGCAGATTGGTACGCGTCGAAGGCTTTTCGTGTACATCCACAGAGAGGTCCTGGGAGAATGACAACCACTTCGAGCATCCTGAAAATCATCGGAATAGCAGCCAAAGTCTTCTGTATTCTTTTAGCGCTCTGAGGCACGCAAAATTGGTCGATCCAGCAAGCGCCATATTCCGGAGTTAATTGTGCGAGCCTTTCAACGAATTTATCAATTCTCCACTCTGCTCCCAAACGGATGGACAATTTTTCTGACGGTTTTCCTCACACATGGCCAATGCAGTGATATTGGCCGCAAACTCTCCCCAGGTGTACGATATGGCTACGGTGCTTAACTCATGAAAGTTAGTCTCCTCAACTCCAACGCTCAGGTGGCATTGCTCGCCAGAAAATTCGAGACAAGAGCACTTCTGAAAGGCTGCAAGTCTAACCAACGATAAGAAATCATTTCCAGAAGGATTCTGACTGGACCTAGAGACTAAATCAAGATTATAAGACAAGGAAGCAGTTGGGGCAGAATCTCGGTCAATTGCTTCGTCCCTTGTTCTTGATTAAGCGTTGTCAGAGCGCAATCGACAAGCTCTATTGAAGACCTTCTGGCAACTGCGTACTGGCAAATAATTTGCAGAATTAAGAGAAGCTCTAGTTAGAGACAGTCGTCCTGGTCAACTATCAGAGGAGATTGCTCAAGGAGACTATTATGGAACCGGGCAAGGCCCCTTCCAAGTTAGCCCCTTCGGTGTCCAGTGACTTACGAGTGGCTGAGACGAGTGAAGCGATGGCCGAGGTGATGGCCATGCCGAGACTTTGGGGGCCGCAATAGGCGTTTGCTCACCCGTCCTCACCTCTGCTCACCTCGTGTAGTGCATCGAGGATCCAAAATTGGTAGCGGGCCGACCGCTCCCTTTCTGCCATGTAATACTATAGCTGAAGTAAATGCAGCATACTGTTCCAATGCTGACTAAGCACGGGTGCCAAACAACATGTGGGGGAGATAGACATCGCATTATCGTTAGGATGATCATCCTCCTAACTTCCTTGCAATCTCCATTTCGATAAAAGTTTACGCCTAGACCGGCTCCGGCAAAACCCTGCTCCTGGATACTAGGGACCATTTGGTACGATGTCCATGACGTGCTCTGATATGTCTATATAGCTCGGGTCTATTCCCACTCCTATTGTAACAAGGCAAAGTGGCTGTGCTGTGATGGGCTGTGCTGGGCTGGTAGAGCGGTGGCAGGGAGGAAAAGTTGTCTAGTCACATGTCAAACCAAAATGGGCTGGCAGAGAGGGGGTGGGGAACAGTTTACAGTGCTGGCAGTGTGCCATTCATTACAGCTTGAGCAGAGTATCATGAATTCTATGGCTTTTGGCGCCGTCTACCTAATTCCTGAGTGTTTTTTATCAGTCCTGTCCTGTTCCTCAATGCTGCCGCTGTGCTAGGTGTTCGTAGCCCTAGCCACTGCCCCTCTGAGTGGTGTTGGTGTTGTCTTGTCAGTATCAACCAGAAACGCGTTCTCGATTCCCGATCTGCTGGACAGGCCTCTGTGCGTTGTTGCACGTGCACGCCGAACCCTGAAGTGCTCTGTTACAATACCACGCGGCAAGTGTGTCGTCCATGCCGATAGTTCACTACCAAAAAAACCCGTAACTTGATTAAAATAAGCCTCTATAGATTCTGTTGTCTCTCTTGAGAAAAGAAACGGTTGAAAGCCATGCTCTCCTACACTGACGATGGGTTCACAGGGTACAATGGGTGAGATTGCTCGCGAACTTTTCAATGTCGTCCGTGATTATCATGCTTCCTCCCCTTTGTTGCGATCCAACGTCATTCTGGCATCAATGGCGAGCAAAAGCCCGTAAACTAATCCCAAGGTTGGAGTTGAGACACCCAGCTCACGCCCTTTTCGGACCGCAGTCCCAAATATCGCTTCCACTTCCATTGGTCTTCCAAATTTGCTATCGTAGTACATGCTACTGTAGATAGGCCCCAACTGATTGATCTTCGTTAAAAATTCATCAAGTAAGTCATCATCTACCTCGGGAATTCGTAATGCCTTTGCCACGCTGATTCCCTCTGCCATCAACGTTCTCGTCAGCGGAACAGCAAAAGTGGATGATGAGAGCCATGATGCTGTGTTCCAAGATGTGAGAGTTGTGATAGAGTTCCAAGCCATGTTCCAGATTGTCTTCTTCCAGCGAGCGGTCTGAATGTTAGGGAGAACCTGTACTGGAGTTCCTCCCTCGCGGAAACATGATACAAATTGATCGAGGCTTTCTTGTTGCACGGTCGCGTTGATGTCCTGGCTTTCGAAGAGGCCAATCTCCGTGTTTTCGGGTGGATAGTGGTGGACAACGCCCGGAGACAGTTGAGCGCCTCCTACCCATACCTGAACGCAGAGCGTTAATTTATTGTCTTGAGGATAAGGTAATGATATCAATTCAGCCTCAACAACGTTGATATATTAAGGAATGACTCACCACGCCACTAAGAATTGGACAAGTGGGATACGCTTTTCTAAAAGGCTCTTCAATCCCGATGCCATTTTGCATCAGCGCAAATGTGGTCCTTCCCACGTCCACCACGGGTGCAAGGTCGCGAGCCACTCGCTCCGATTCGATAGCCTTGTTAGTGCATACAACATAGTCAAAGACACGCTTTGCATCGGACGGCTGTCTGAACACTTGCACTGGCCGAAAAATATGTTCTCCATGGGAGTCGCTCTTGACAGTAATTCCATTCAACTTGATTGCTTCGTAGCCAGAGCGTGCAACAACAAATAGACGGACCCTCGGCGACCTATGAAGGATAAAAGCATAAAATGCTCCGATGGAACCTGGCCCATAGAGGAGCACGTCAAGACACCTTGGCATTGTGTTTCTATGCTGTTGAGACAATGATTAAATGGCGATTCGACATATGAAGGCTGGCTCCTTCAACTAATACCTTACAAAATATCAAGCATTGCTGCCCCTTGGAGGGCAAGATAATTGACAGGGACAGAAGAACTTTGTTCGTCGACGAGCGCTTGGAAGCTGAAAGCACCCCCCTCATCGGACGATTTTTTGCAGTTCCAATGTGTTCCAAGGATTAAAACTCAGAGAATAGAGCTAGAAATAGATGCTGACTCACTCAAAATTGTTTGGTCACATGTATCCGCGGAGTTTAGAACCATCTTGATTTCGACAATGGTCCTGTCGGAGGCACCCTAGTATATGCAGCCGTGGTGGGGGCGGTGCACCACCCAGTCATATCCTCTCGCAACTGCTAGCGACAGTGGGGACGGCATGAAGGGGATCGGATCATCTTGATTGGAAAATGTTAGCGAGGCTGGAAGCCTCTATTTGCTCCTCTCTACATCCAGTTAGCAGGTTTCCATGGAAATGGCCGCAATTCATGAGAGGGTATGAAGATTAACCCTTCCTCCAGTAATGTTCCTTGCATTTATAACTTCTATTTGACGGGATGGTAGAGCGCTAGCATTATCCACAAATATTTTTCTGTCTGATTGAAAACGACAGTCACATTACAATATTATTGTGTCAAATGCAATACTCAAGCATCACGCTTACCAGCTAATTCCGAGCACAGCATAATCTTCCATCCATAGACATGGCCAATCCAGGCAAAAGGGTCGCTACAACTCATCGCCAGCTTCCACCTTATGCGAAGGAGGATTTGCCTCCAAACCAGGCAACGAATTGGTCCCTTAATCGACCAGAATACTTCAATTTCGCTACCGATACTGTCGACAGATGGGCAAAAGATAATCCGCATCATGTTGCCATGCTTTGGGTATCCCAAGACATGACTTCTCACCGTTCAATGACGTTTCAATATTTCTCGAACCAGTCCCAGAGAGTTGCTTTCATGCTTACAAAACTAGGTATAAAGCAAGGCGAAGTCTTAATCGTTCTATTACCTAGAATTCCAGCATGGCTAGTGAATACAGAAAGGAGAATCATAGACGATATCGGAGCTGACAAGAAAAAATCAGGTGGGAGGTTGCACTGGCGGCTCTTCGACGTGGTATAATTCTCGCTCCGGCACCTACGATGATAACTGAAAACGATATTCAGTATCGCTTTAATTAGAGCAAAGCAACTGCGTTTATTGGGGATGAGACCAGGGTTAAACAGTTTCGGACGGTTAGGTCGCGGTGCCCTTCCATGAAGACTGTTATACAAGTGGGAGGACTTATTCCAGAAGACACGGTTGATTATTACAATGCTATAGAGAGTATCCCTCCGAGCATCCAATTTAAGTCTCTGTCTCTTCCTTGGGATCATCCGGCAATAATATATTTTACCTCGGGAACGTCTGGTCTTGCCAAAATGGTCATTCATAACCAGGTGTCATTTCCACTGGGTAAGTGAAAAGGAAAATTTTATTTAGGGCTCTCTACTGATTTGACAGCACTCAGCAATACCGGTAAATTTTGGATGCAGCTAGAACCTGGGAAGCTCTTTTGGAATACAGCGGACCAGGGTGTGTTCACCAATTTTGATTCATACGTGATCTGCCTCTGATTCAATTCTTTGGGTTGGGGAAAGGTAGCATACTCATTTTTTGGAGCGTGGAACTGCGACGCTACCCTATTTGTCTTCGATGACCACCAACCTTTCAGCGTCCACCGCCTGTTCAACATTCTGAATCGGTTTCCTAATACCACGCTTTGTGCTCCTCCTCTGGTATGGCGCCAACTTACGCTTCGAGATTCGAAAGATTGCCCTATTCAGCCAGGCTCCATGGGGAAACCTGCACCTGGTATCCCGCTAAATGTAATCGACGTGGATGAGAGAGAATGTGCCCCAAGTGAAGAAGGCAATATCGCCCTGAAAATCAGGTCGCCAAACGAAGCTGAGAGCTTCTTCGGTATCTTTGACGGCTACATTGACGAAAACGGCTGCGTTTCTAGGCCAGAGCACCAATTTATTGTGAATGGTAAGACTGAGACCTGGTACCTCACCGGGGATAAGGGCAGGAAGGATGAAATGAACTACTTCTGGTTTGTCGGGAGAGCTGATGATGTGATTAACTCGGCTGGTTACGGCATAGGTAAGTCCTACGCAAAGTCTATATGCGCGTAACAAACAGTTAAGCCACACGTGCTAGGTCCGTTTGAAGTGGAATCGACCTTGAAGCTGCATCCTGCCGTGGCAGAATCTACCCCTATTTCCTCACCTGATCCCAAGAGGGGCGAAGTTGTTAAGGCATTAGTTGTCTTGACAGACGAATATTCCCAGAGAACCTCAACGCAGCAAGATTTGTGTTGAATGATCAAAAGGTTGTCCCCCGTTATTCAGTACGGGGACTACGGTAGACTATATAGATAGTACTGGGTGGCTGGGCTGGATCACGTGACTTCCCAACCTTTAGTTTAACAATTTGGACGCTCTAATAAACGAGTTGCAAAGATTTTGCAAATCAAACGCAGCCCCTTACAAGTATCCTCGCAAGATCTAATTCGTCGACTCGGATTCCTTGCCAAAGACCATATCTGGAAAAATCCAGAGAAACTTGCTAAGAAAGATGGAATGGAAAGATGGAAGACCCAGAATATGACAGCTCTGCACATGGAATAAGTCCACGACCGTTCATAACATGGGGCTTTTGATACTCAGGAGGAAGTGCGAATTTTGGAGAGAAAATAACGATAGCAATAGCCGGGGATCAAGAATCCCAACTTTTGGCCTTGCCTGTTGGAACCTTTGTGCACTCTTGTCTAGCAATTCTCTAACTTGATGTTTGTCTATTGGAATCTCTAAATGGTTGACATTGGCACCATCAAAAATTTCCTCAACGTTTGGTTTGCCTTTGTGGTCACGTTTTAACTTGCGATATTTTTGACTGGGAATATCCTTCCAGTACGAGGTACAACAAGCGAGGTTGACGCTTTGCAGGAATCCCTTCCAAATCATAATTAAGCGAGAACTACGAAGGGTGGAAGGCGGGGTAGGCCCCCCTCGGCACACCCTCGTTGATTTCTTAAATGTACATGCGCAATCCCCGCTTTCTTTTCCCAAGCCAATCTTTGGTACAAGGACGACGACAAACACATTCAGATTGAAAGTCTCTTCATATTCGAACATGTTTTCGACTAGTTCAATTGGCACTAAGCGTCCACATCGAGCTTGCTTGAATTGTCGGTTAGTTGATTTGATTTATGGGCCCCCCCCCCCCCCCCCCCCCGCGGATCCAAGGCTTATCGAAATCTGCTCTGCTCGCTGTCATCCACCTTCTAAGAATAAAACAGACGAAAGAAAGTGCGTTGTTACGGGGAACGGCCAGTGTGTGGTTTCTGTGCCCGTCTCGGCCAACAGTGCATTTATCCTCAGCATACACCAACAATGCAGCCAAGATTTCCTCTATCGCAAATACTTCCGGCACAGAATCATCATTATTTCGTGAGCCCAATGCGAAATATTGGCCGCCAAGGGTATTGCTGATTACTCAATAGCCGACTTTTGATATTGGTGACAGTCAAGAGGTCAGCGAAATTCTCATTGAAGAGGATCGAATAAGGTACCCAGTAATAAGATTTCACTCAAGTAAGATTTTTTTGCTGATGGTGACTTAAATCTAGTGACCGGTGTCGACCAAACGATATAGCCCCAAACGAACTCGGCTCTTCCGCTGATCACTTTCATTCCAACTCTTTCAATCGAGCCTCTTTCATTCCTGCTACAGAATCCAATCATGACTTGGGGCCCACTGAGGGGCAGGTATGCGCGACAGGACCGGGGGGTTCTCCTGTACTGGGCAATCCCTTAAATAAAACCAGCCAACAACTCGCGGTTGATACATATTTCAAATGTTGTCATGGTCAACCGTATTCGATGTTTCACGAGGAGACCTTCCGGTCCGACTTTTCTCGAAGCATTCTACCTCCATATCTCATACTTGCAATTGTTGCCAGTACTCTTCGATATTCTTACGATCCATGCTACAAGGACAATCTATCTTCAGCATCCAATCAATTCGCAGCACAGGCCTGGCGTGCTATCCTTGTGGAGTGTTTTGAAAGCGAGAGTGGCCCGGACTATCGTACCGTACAAGGAACCATCCTTCTTGCCGTCCATCAATTTGTCGGTAAGCTCCCCCCCTTAGGTAATCGGGCATTCACTCAAATAACACAGCTAGGATGCAACTATCGAAGTGCGTGGATTCGTATTGGTATGGCGATTAGCATTGCGCAGTCGCTCAACCTGATGAGTGAGCCGCCCAATTTGGCGAATTCAACCCGAGAAGAGCACCGCAGGACACTGTGGTCAATTTATATGTTGGATAGATTGGGCACTTGTGGTACAAATCGTACCGGGTTATTTCCAGATTCGGCATTGAGGCTTCGCCTCCCATGCCCCGAAAATACTTTTCGAGACGGTTCGCCGAACGATTCACCAACACTCAAAGTATTAAATGAGAGCCCCCCAGATCAGCTTGGTAACGTTGGCGCCCTAGCGAGGGTTATCTTGCTTACATCAACTTTAAGCCGTATTGCGGGTTTCTCTCTTCAGCAGAGCTGGCAAGCCCAAATGGAACCACCGTCGACACAAAACTCGGAATATGCTCAACTGATTACAAGACTAAACTCACTTTCAACTTACTTTGATAAACGTCAGCCGTTTGATCCAACTAGCTGGAGTTCTGGTGGCCGCGAAGATTCGAACGACATCGCGCTGTGCATATTCTCCCACATTCTTTATCACCTCTGTTATTGTATATTACAACACCCGTTCATATTAAAACGGCGACACCGCCCGAACGATGCTCCATTTCCAAGCGACTTTCTCTCTGATAGCCTCCAAAAAAATTGGCAGAACGCGCAAGATCTCACTCATACCCTATCATATACCACTCAGAAAAACATGCCCACCTGGTCTTCGTTCTACGCCTACTGTTCGCTTGTGGCCGGAACAATCAACTGTCTCCACTGTCTTTCGACGGATGAAAACATGCAGAAAATGTCCGAATTAGCCGTTCAGATGAACTTTTTGTTTCTGGAAAGACAAGCCAAACTATATGCAAATTCGGCCCAAATGGTAGGTCTTCTTTTGGTGGCTATTTCCCTCCTGTAACCCTACTTACACTGGCTCTTAAAGTTGGCGGCTCTTAGGAAATTTGAGAAAGATGCAAAGACGTTACAGCGTTTGGTCGATCCCGGTGATCAAGAACATATTCTCGACGAAGACGATGTAGGTCGTCTTTACAGGCTCCTTGATTATAGCGCACAATCAACCAGAGCAGCGTCTGAAGATATGAGTCAGCCAGGGACGGAGCTCCCCCTTTTGAGCCCTTCCGGTCTTGATGGCCCCGATCTCTTCGACCTCAATTTTAATTCTTTCGACAATTTTACTCCCGGAATATTCATCGGAGAGAGCACACCGTGGAATCTTGACTAGCCCTTGCTAAATTCAATTTTATGTGTATTCGGCGCGGGTGTATGACAGATATTGCCAGCAAGTAGAACAGCAATTCGAACTGCTTGGGCCTAGACTCCTATCAAATCAGCGATCGCATTCAATTACGTGCTTACATTGACGGATTCGCCGCCATCAACATGTCTGGTTGTGGAACTGATTGGTAAATTAATAGTCGAGTGACCTGTACGGCCATGAAAGTTTTGCTGTTCTTACTGCTCAGCGGTGTTTGATGCCTCGGCCGTGAGAAAGCGGGAAGACGTGTTGCTGGGAATAAAAACACAAGAATACATAAGCAGCCGAAAATCAAAAGCAATAATAATAGGCGGTTTCGCCTTTCAGATTGCTAATTCGTGATAAATCGTGGTTTTATGTACGCATTCCGCGAAATACATCCCAGGAGCAAAGCGACCGATCCTACCCAAGGTTCTAGTGCTTGTATTTATCACCGACTTCTTCGGCGATGGCATCGAATAGAGGTTTCGCACTAAACCATCCAGCTCGAGGGCTACCAATTGCCTTATAAGTAAAAGCTGCATCTTCATCATCAATCTTTATTGTGACCTCACCCCGCCCCCCAGCAGCAGCGTCGGCCAAGAGTTGTCCATGGCAACACTTATCGAGGCTCACAAACCAGAAGACCGCAGCCTCTATCGACTGCCCGACAGTCAAAATCCCGTGGTTTTGCAAAAGACATGCCTTTTTGCTCCCGATTGCTTTTGCGATATTTTCGCCTTCTTTTTCATTAAGCACAGCGCCCTTGAATTGATTATACACCGCCAGATCATTATAGAACACGCAGCTGTCCTGAGTGATTATATCAATTGGCCGGCCCAAGGCACAGAATGAGCGACCATAGAGACTGTGTGAGTGGGCTGCACAGACCACGTCAGGACGAGCCTTGTGCACTGCGGCGTGGATTAGATATGCGGCCGTATTCAGGAATCGGTTTGACCCGCCACCAATAACGTGTCCCTCGTGATCGACGAGTATCAGGTCCGAAGACTTCATCATTGAAAACGCCACGCCAAAAGGGTTCACCCAGAATGTAGTAGGATCGACAGGATCGCGCACAGTGATATGTCCGGCAAAGCCTTCGTCGAAGCCATGTTGAGCAAAGATGCGGAAGGCCAGTGCCAGGCGTCCCTTTAGGTATTCGCGCTCTTCAAGTTTATCCGTGAACTTGGGAGGTGATGGAATGAATAACTTCTTTGTCTCGGTATCATTCTGCGGCGACGGGATTTTATCGGTGACAGAAGCTGCTGAGCTTAGAGCTTCAAGCTTGTCGGAGCTCAAATAGTTTCTTGTTGTTTCAGTGCCGGCTGTTGTACAAGTGGCCATTGTGATTAGGAGTACGGAGTAATAGACAATTTAATTGCGTTATGTTCTGAATCGGAGGAAAGATGAGAAATATAATATATGGAATATCACTTCATTTGTATAGAGATGGGATATCTATAGAGTCAGAACCCATCTAGAGTTTTGAATGCTACCTTATGGTCAAGTGTTGTTTCTTTAAGTCACACCACGGACAAAAAGCCGGGGTGATTTCTTGTCTTTTCACTAGCAAAGTCCATTCGATTTTCATTTAGTTCACTCATTGTCGACTACCTTTGCGAAGATTCTGACTGATCAAACAGTGTTTCCAATGTATCGCCAGTGGCTTAACGCAACAGTCGCAAGCCAACTAAATATTATTGGTCAAACGTTTTGGTCCGCGCGTCCTGCAACTCCTTTAGCCACCGTCTTAGTGTCCGTCTCCGTGGCCCAAAAGGGCCACCACGCCGTCCCCACACTTTCCATATTAAGCATCCATTCCATGGATCATTCTTTCCAATAGAATTTGAGGCATAGCATACCCCTGTGACAGAACGGCCTAGTCCGCTGCGAAGCATCGCTTATTCCATCGGCAGACGGCATAGCCTGGCATTCCTCAACTTTTCATTCAATTCCAAAATGTAGGTCGTAGTTGTTAGACCTTAGAAGTAGTCCTCGGTTCATGGATGCACATTCTAGGCCTGTAGCTGACCGTCTCTTTGCAAGCAGTCTAATTCTTGATGAGGATAAAGTCCGTGCACTAAGAAACCTTGTCTTGTATCCTCCGCATTTGCGGGACTCTGTATCCAACAGGCGGAGATTTTGCGGGGTGCCCGGGATACACGAGCTCAAATGCTGGAAACACACACACGCACACGCACATATATATACACACATATATATACCTGGGGCATGTATCCAGCAATCATCAGTTACCCGCTTACCACTCACTATCAAGACACTAGGTCCTACTCCTTGTTATTTACAGACTCACACAAGCTACCTTTACTTCCTTCTACATAACAATGTCAGAGAAGGAAAGTATTGTCCATTGTGAAGAAGCCAGCATTCATCGGGAAGGGATGAGCGAGGCCGAAGATGGATCTCGCTCCAATGGCTCTGAAGAGCTGGAGATTGAAAAAAAGGTCATTCGCAAAATCGATATACGCCTGGTACCCATACTTGGACTACTCTACACTGCCTCTCTGGTGGACCGTAGCAACATATCGGTTGCTCGAATATCTGGTCTTGATGAGGATTTAGACCTGGACAAAGGGAATCGAGCTTCTATTGCTCTACTCGTCTTCTTCATTGGATATATCATCTTTGAGATCCCAAGCAACATGGTCATTCAAAGTGCCGGAGTCGCAAACTGGATTGCCGGAATCACATTTGCCTGGGGGCTCGTAACCCTTGGAATTGGCTTTTTGTCGAATTGGATTGGTCTGGCAATCTGCCGTGCAGTTCTTGGTATATTTGAGGCTGGATTCTATCCTGGGTATGATGTTCCGAATCAATCTGCTGTTGAATGCAAATCTAATCATGGCAGATGTGTCTATCTGATCGCATCGTGGTATAAACGATATGAAGTCCAGAAGAGATTGGCATTTTTCTATCTAACATCAACGGCATTAACAGCGTTCGCAAACATATTTGCGTACGGTCTTATTCAAATTGCTAACAAAACCTCGTACAAAGGTTGGAGATGGATTTATATCATCGAAGGAAGTCTCACCAGCGTCTTCGCCGTCATCGCATGGTTCGTCATCGTCGATTTTCCAGCATCAAAGCGCAACAAATTCTTGTCCCCAGAAGAGAAGCAATTTGTATTAGATCGACTAGCAAAAGATCGAGGTACAGAAGAAAGACAGAAAGTCTCCTCACAACGGATCTTGGATACATTGAAGGATTGGAAGGTGTGGTCCTTCTCTCTCATGTATATGTCGGCCGGCATTGGAGTATACGCCTTCTTATTCTTCCTTCCGATTATCCTCATGCGTGGACTATCGTACTCCTTGGAACTCGCCTTCCTGCTCTCAGCGCCTCCTTCCATTTTCGCCGTTATCGAAGCATTCGTTGTTGCATGGCTCGCAGACAAGCTGCAATCTCGGGGACTTTTTGTCATTTTCCAAGCATGCCTTGCCATCACCGGTCTTTGCGTCATGGCATTTGTCAAGAGCCCAACCCCGAGGTACATTGGAACATTTCTAGGCATGGCAGGAGTCAATGGAATGATTCCAACGGTAATAGCCTGGCAACAGAACAATATTATTGGTGATGCGAAGCGAGCAGTGGCCACGGCAGTCTTGGTCATGACGAGCGCTGTGGGTGGTATTTATTCTTCCCTCGTTTTCCGTCAACAGGTTGGTCTGAGCTACAAAGGAACGTTGTCAAAAATAGAAATACTAACAATGTCGCAGGACGCACCCGATTACATTCCAGGCATCATCGCTGTCATCGCACCAAACGCATTCACCGTGGTGCTTGCCATCGTCACCATTCTGACACTCAGGTGGCAAAACAAGTTGGCTGAGAACGGAAAGAGATTTCCTGGAGTCCCAGAAGGCTTTAAATACACGTATTGAATAACGAAGCCGCTATGCGGGTATGAGGATGATTGTGGCTTATCCTTCCGAAGAAACCATGCGATGGTACAAGGGGGTAGCCAGCCTATTGTCTTAGGTAGTATTCTTTGTGATTCAACAGAGACACTTTGCTCTACAACTATCATTATTTGCCACCAATTAATGAGGCTATCTGTGTCATATTCCAATAACCATTCACTTTAACTTTACTTTTCTCACCGTATCAGTATTTTGGGATGTGTAGCAATACTCCACGAATATTGGTACACCGGCGGGTTGTGTTGAAATTCAGCATTTCCCTGACATCCTTTGCAATGTAAAACAAGCCGATTGCGGCAAGAGAACTTTGTGAGAGCATAAAGAAGTTCCTATATTAACTTTACCCTTCTTCGCATTTATAGGTGCCGGCGGAGCCACATGGCCGTGACGGACTCACGCAATCATTGGAATACTTGATGCCTGGCATAGAAAAAATGTTAGTAGAGTGAGGGTGAATTTACAAACTCTTGAATTCTAAATTCCTATAAAAAAAGGAACTATATTTTTGCGCCGAGTGGATCAAGCTTGGCCTGCCGGAAGACAATCCTCATGTCTGAGGCCTGTAAATTCGTGGAACTCCTCCTACTAGACGGCTTGAGACTCATACCCTCACACTTGTCTGCAAACCAACACTCCTTTACCAACTGTGCCACATCATTTCCATCTGTTGCTGCGTCGATGATTAGAAGCAAACCTTGCACAATGTCAACAAGCCTTGACATGATGTCGCGAGCATGCCTCTCAATGTCTGACTTTGGGAGATCGATCAATGTCTGCTTAAAGTCTGTCCACCAACTCGCCACAGTTTTGATGTCAGACCCCTCCCTGGCGTTTTGTTCCAACACTTCGGTAACCCATTTGGACAAGGCTCTCATTACCTCTGTTCGATTCTTGCCATACAAGACGCGTAAAATGGCGTCGTCAGCCATCATCTGGACAGCACCTTTGTCAGTATCGGTACAGAGATTGACGAGATTATACCGCAAACTCACATCAGTAGTCCCTTCCCAGATCGGTACAATGTTTGCATCACGATAGAGTCGGGCGATGTTGAACTGCATATCGTCGTTTTCAAGGTAGCCGATTCCACCCAAACACTCCATGCATTCTTGGAGACCGGTGATTCCAGTCTTTGCACAGTGCCCTTTGAGGAGAGGTGTGAAAATCCGTAAGAGCCAAACTGCCATCGGGGTGTCTGTCACGTTCGGTAATTTTCCCATCTTATCCACTCCTTTTCCTTGCTCACCAGCCATTTTTGCGATTTTTTCTTGCTCCGCACAACCAAGCAGTCCAGAAACGAAGAAAGTAAACAGAACGTTGGCACGATATTCAGTGTGCATCCGGGCAAGGTTCCGCATAAAGCCTGCTCTCTCATATAGTGGTCTTCGACCCACCAGTCGAACACGGGCAAAAGCTCTGACAATCCCAAGGCCTCTCCCCCAGAGTCCAACAGCCGTCGCTGCGTTGTGAAGTCTCGCAACATTCAGAACCGTAGCAATCTCCTTCGTTCCTCTCCCTTCTTCGCCGACCAACCAACCCCGCATCCCTTTGATCTCGAGTTCTGCCGTGGGTAAAGCTTTCGTTCCGAGTTTATTTTTCAGCCTTTGAATATAAACCCCGTTCGACGCAGTCCCAAAACCCATGGCATCCTTTTCCTTCAACGCTCGTCTCATCGGTGCGTAAAATAGACTGATTCCTTTCTGAGTCCGAGCAAGGAGAATTGCCATGTTCGCGTCCGTGGCGCTACTGAACCATTTGAATCCATCTAAACGCCACGGACCAAGCGGGTTTCCATGCGCGTCTTCTTCTTCATTTGATTGACAGTTTGGTGCATATGTTGCAACAGTCTCGGTCATCCTCACATCACTTCCGCCTTGTCGTTCTGTCATCCATTGACCAGACGTCCACGCTTTTTCGCCGTCTCTTGATACCAATCTAGTATACGCATCCTGTAGGACCTGTCTCTCATCTCCAAGGGTGTCATCACTCAGATGTTCGCGAAACAAGCTCGCGACCCCGTCAACGATGAGACTCGGACAGTTGACCCACGCGCTACTTCCACACCATAGGATGTATTTGGTGCACCAGTAGATCCTCGAGAACTCCTGAAAGGAATTTTCATATGGGATAGCAACGATACCTGCTTCAATTCCCATCCGCTGCAAATTCTTCCAGCCGTCACTAGTGATGAGCTCATCACGACGCTTGCCCCAGGTGTCCCACGATTTGACGTAGGGAAGATTGCGTTCAGCTTCAAGAACCCAGCCAAGCGTCTGACGAGTGAGCACACGTTCACCAAAAGCAGAGAGATCGGCTTTTAATGCCTCTTGCACTCCATGTGGTAGGAAGAGCTTCATCGCGCGCCGTAGAGCCGTATCATCTTCATACTGGTTGAGAACCTGCGGAGGGCTTTGGAAAAATCCAGCTGTGGAGCTGGATGGAGCAATATGATGAGCATCCGAGGTCGTGGTGTCAAGCTTGCCTGGTCTGTCCACGGAATTGATACGACTTTCAGTGGTATAGGGTTTGTTAGTCTCCATATCTCCAAGAAGTTCTTGATTCTCAGAAAAATGAGGAGGCATGATGATGGCAGAGATGTTAATGTGTACCAATCAGTAATGGTGGGAAGAGTGAAGTATCGAATACAGGAAGAGTCCATCTTTCCACCACCAGCAAGCCCCCTGCCTTCTGCTTATATCCTTGCACTCAACTATACAATCATCCTCCGTGAACGTCATTAAACCGCCTAGGTAAGTTTTGTTAACCACCTGAAGGAAGTAGACGGACCGCGGTTTGTCGTCAGACTTGTGCAAACATTTCTGCACGTAGCCGAAAACGGGCGTGGTCCGATGGATCAGGCTAGGCTCCGCGTTGGCACTCCGTGGTCCTCCGTCCCCACTTCAAGGCCCTGCATATCATCAAAGAACAGCAATGGCATTGCTGGAAACTATCAACCCCGATGAGAAGGATCATGTGATTTGTTTCGCAGGTGTGCAAGGTGGCGCACTGTCGCTGGTCTCAAGTTCTAAGCAAAACTGACTCAGAGCCGTTGCTAGTATATCTAATACATTGTAAAGCCTCGGTAGAGGTTGCAAGGAAAAGGGAGAACGCTACACCTAGGCTAAAAGGACAGTGGTGGATCACGTGATCTTTAGGCTTGGCGCCCAGGTCTTGGCATGACGATGCAACAGGTTGTGCCCTTACCACGTGCCATCAAACTCTCTGTACTGATCCCCCCCGGATCTAGGTTGGTTTGTAACAGCCTGTCTAGCTAATATTTTATATGGTAGTCATAGATTGTCACGATACAGACCCAAATATAGTCACCAGCTATGGCCACGCTTGGAACAGCAAAATAGAGAGATATGTCATTCTGGGTTCGACCCTTGCTCCATCCCAGCCTCACCTAGCGTCGTCCGGGCACACCCGCTGGCCCCTATGTACTTTCTGCACCCTGACGCACCCTTCAATTAACCTGCGGCCCTCGCCGACTCGGCTCGACCACGCTTTCTAACCCTCCGCTGGACTGGGGTGTAGTTTTCTTGTTTTGGAAGAATTCGTCGGGACCATGACGCTCTAGAGTCTACACGGATCTGGAAGGCGGGCTGCTGAAGCACGCAAGGGAGTCGTTTAAATTTTGTTGCAGAGTTTAGTGCCTCATTTATATTCAATGGACATACTACGTACAGGTCACAATGCCGTTCGGCTGACCGTGTTGGATGCTGGCACAATCTCCAAATTGCGTGTCATAGCACGGTCACGCCTGGAGCCCAAGGATCACAACGGAGGACCGCTGGCAGATCTTCTTCTTTTCCTCGCTCCCGATCAATGCTCTTCGTGCGTGCTGCCCCGGTATAAGGACACCCTTTTCACGTGCACCCATCTCATTTTAAAAGAAGGTTGAACCCATCTTTTTCAGTTTGGTCGATCACATCTCTTGTCATAAACCAAGGGCTCGACTGATATCGCGTCCACCAAGCCTCTAAACCTTCAAAGCCGTCGAACAGATCTATGCCGTAGAGCTCTTCCATGGACGTCTTGGCGGCTGCGGCCGTGATATCTGCAAGGGTGGGCCGGTCGGCGCCAACGAGACTGACTCCCTTTGAACATGTGTTGGTCCAAGACTGCAGTGTCGTCAACAGACGGCGGTATTGAACTTTGGCGTCCTCCCCCGCCCGAGGGCTCTGCTGTTCCTTTGTTATTCCACTCCACCCGAGACTGAACGCCGTGAGGTGTCGAACGTGGACGTTGCACCAGGTCAAGACTTCGTTGATGAGTTGGACAATGTCCCTGACTCTGGCTGCTTGGAAGGCGTCGTCACCCCGCAGACTGGGGTACCCGTCTGACGCTGGGAGTAAGTCTTCTAAGTACTCGAGGATGCTGCTGGACTGGGCGATGAATTCACTGTGGTTGGAGGATTCGAGGTCTTGTATGCGTAAGACGGGAAGTGAGAAGCCCTTGGGTCTTTTCTCGTAGCCTGGGATGGCATCCAGAGCCAGATCTTGAGACTTTAGGTCGACAGTGCAGGGGATCAGAGTCAGCCCTAGACGGTTGAGATGGTCGGCTGTTAAGGATTTCGCTTTGACGTAGTAAGCAACGCGTCGTGGGAATATGCCACCAGGCCAGACCCAGAGAGTTCGGACCGAACATGAAGCTGCTTGATCACGGGCCATCTTGCCCATGCTGGCCTGCAATGAATATCTTACGAGAGAGGATGAACAGAGAGATGGACCGACAGATAAGACATTCTCGATGGTTCAGAGTTCACTGTACCTTTTTTAAATCGTTTTGCTCTGCGTGCCTCGCTGCCACTTGCATCGACGGAGAGATTTCAGAGTTCGACATACCTCGGATACTTTTCTACGTTTGTCAACCCAAACTCTCCGTGTACGCTCTGCGAGACATGTTTTTGCTGCGGAACGCGTAGATTCTATATCTCCGAGAAACACAATCCGTGAGCTTTGGTGCCTGGAACAAGTTCTGTCGCTGCCGTTAGTCGGCAGAACGCACGATTGATTGTGGATCTTCCCGGGGAATGAGGTCATGATACGTGCATGGGGTTTTCATTGAACGATTCTTCCGAAGCGTCGTCCGTTGGCGCTGTAATGCTTCTGCCCGTTAGGTGCAGTACCTAAAAGTGGTTCTGGAAAGGTTTGAGATCCAGAACCTCTCATAGTGGAATCATCAATTCTCTCGGATTTGGAAGGGCACAAAAATTTGACTAAAATCCGCTCGGAGCTCACGTGCTACTCACCCAGGCCATGGCGCTTTTGAAGCCACCCACCTCCCCCCCCAACCTTCGTATTGCCTCGGTCTCCACCCTCGAACATGTGCATAGAGCTTACCTAGAATTTGTACAGCCTTGGCACAGTCACTACATGCTATCACGTGTACCGAGGCTACATTCTGCCACACCAAGGATTTGGCCTCCCAATGGAATTTCTCGACCAAGCACTGTGCTGGCAACTGAAGGAACAACTGACTTTGGCAAGTTCCATTCCTTCAAGAACCGAAAAGTTGCCATAGTTAGGCCATAGACCGGATCATGCGCTGTGTCCCACCTGGACATGGGAAGCTTAGCGAGGTAGTATCTGCTACAACCATCGAATTTTTTGGGACATGGAGGAGAACGGTCCGTCTCCGTCGTCAGAGTCGCACAGAAAGTTGTTGTGGACTATTGAAAACGAAGGCCATGATCCTCAACTGGAGAATATAGTTCCGAATGCGTCATCCTACGTCAGCCCTAAGTATCTTTCTAAAGTCTCCGACTATCCTCGCTACAATTCCGACGGACGGTATCCTAAAAATTCTAGATAACAACCACTACCATTTTTAATATCCGTATGGGGTGACGATTCCATCCCCGGCGGGGTAGGCTTCCATATTGAATGTAACACTATACGGAATAAGTATCCACACTAGTCGACGAAATTCTCCTCGATCGGGACCTACTTTCAACCGACGTCTCCCTGGAATTTCTCATCATCTCGCAGATTAAGCGGTTCAAACCTACAGTCTGGCGCTCTAAGCTTCTAAAAAGAAAATCCTCGAGTGCATTCGGACTAACTATTGGAAAATGAAGTCAGAAGAACAGGAAAGGTAAACAAAAAGCTATTCCCCCGGACGCTCAGGATTGCCTAGTCAGGTCTCAGGGTAAACCAGCAGGTGCTCACGTCTTGAGGGGGAAACGGACTTTGGAAAGGTCTTACAAGATTTGCGTACGGAATTGTCAGTTCAGCTAACATTCCTAAATGCAGCATGTGTCAGCCCAAGCAAGGAACAGGCCATCCTTCTGGGCTTGTTCACAGCACCTCTGAATCTTTTGAAAGCCGACTTTCTGGCAGCCCCTCGCCTGCTCTAAACTCGTCGAAATTGAGCCCTTCAGCGTTGGAGCCCGAGATGTGCGAGAGGATAGCGTCTTTCCCAACGGGACATTCTGGAATCTTTCCAGCTCCGAGGTAGTCGTGTTGATCAGCCACATTCTTTGCAGGGGTGTTCTCCACGAACATCAGGCTGAAAAGGTATGCTGATTGGGGTGTGCTGGCGACCTTCGTAAACGCCTCGCTAGAAGACAAGATGGTTAACGCCTTGTGCACGTTTCGGCCGTCTACGAACAAAGGGCCGTGAGGACGCAGTCCGTGCCACGAAACTTCCGACCTATTTTCGTTAGTCTACCAAAAGTACCTGGCAAGCTGGGCGCTTGCATCCTCAAAACTTGAAGCTTTCGCGATGTTCCCACCTTCTCCCCACTATATCTTTTTACCTAGTAGGCGGATGACTCTGTAAATAGCACCATTTGATGTGTCTGGTTCAGGCCTTCAAATTAACACTTTGTTCACGAAAAAAAACTATGTAAAGGTTTCGTGGAGATGCGGGCACTCAAAAGTCTCTAGAAATCTTTAAAGTGGTAAGCTGTCTTAGCCAATAGAATCGCTTTGTTTGACATTGACCTAGCGATTTATTGGTGGAAAAGAAGGTTAACTCTTAACTTTAAATAATTTAAGCAACCTTTAAGGGAGTGTTAATCTAAATCTGAAGACTTTAAGCTAATGCGAGATGCTATTAGAGAGATAGGATAATATCGTCTATTATCTACCGAAGTATACACAATATGTGCGAGAGCCCTACATCACCTTGGGCTCACAAATGACCATTGTATACGTTCCACCAATGATGAGAAGTCGAAATGGTCCACGGGAACTCGCACACGTGTTCAAGGCCAGCGACATGTGGCTGTGAAACTACTAGACGGAACCCTGGGAGTACCACCAGATTGGTATTCGAAGCCAAGGCTCAACCCGACCTCTTCACTGCCTGACACAAGGTTGACCATCCTCCCTCCACGAAATCCCTCACACACAAACGACGCACTTCTAGCGGGATCCGCTCGCCGGCGAGCTCGCCAGAGCCTTCAAACGCACCCTGAGTATGAATTTACTTATAATGAGACGCAGTGTGCCATCGAACTTTTTGAAATTAATGAGGCCTTGGACATGGACGGAATAACCCGTATGGATGCGGGGTTTAAGGTGCTTAAACACGTATGCGAGCGCATGAAACTCTTACAAAACGGAATCCCTGCATGGCCAAGGTCGAATATGTCCTCGCGCCCACGGACATGCCGTATCTTTCACGTACTTCTTGCTCATTGCAACGATGTTAGTGCGGCGTAAGCCACGGTCGAGGAAAGGTACACGGCTGTGGTATGACTTCTCGATATTATAGAGACTGAGGTATGCGAATTAATTGAAAGAGATCGCCTTCACATAAGGGAAGTCTAGGATAAATTCGTGGGCTGCATCATATTATTAACTGCTGAAGTCGGGGTCTATACTGAGTACTCGAACTCACTACTTGATAGTTTTGCTGAGTGAGGCACATAAACACACTCGAGATATCGGCAGTATCCGGGGCTGTATCACTAAATCTAATATCCTGATCTGTGGCTTGAGCTTTAAGGACTGAGATTGGCACTTTACAGACGGACTCTTACTTTATCCATCGTTGCCACGATCGGTGGAACGGGTCGTCGGGATTAAAACCCAAAGTAATCGACTCCGGACATTACCTCGGTAGATGGGTATACAAATCACTACCAGGAATCGGAGGCCAAAACTGGGTCCAGGGCCAGCAGAGATGTGCTAGATGGGTATTCGCGCTGCGTTCAGCGACAGCAGTAAGGCTGGGGCTGCCCTCCGTTGCCCCAGGTGGATCTGTATCGAGTCTAACAAGCTTGTTGACATGATGGCTTGTCTTAGCTGACCATGTCTTTCATCCCAATATAGCTGCAACGATTCGACTTGATGATTGTATCAGACGCGCCCAGATCTTTGAGGGCGAGACCTGGGATCTCGAATCTATGGAACTCTGTAGCCATCACGAGCTATGCAGCTGAAATGCGCACGGTTTCATCTGCCTAGTCTGGAGCGGAGGAGCTGGCGAGAGGCGTATGGAGTACAGTACCGAGTACTCTTGTCGATCCACCTAACGCCTGCTATGTCTCGCTGTGTAGGTTTGCGACGTGTTGTTTCATCATCTCGACGATCTTGCTTTCGCCCCTTTCTGCGGCGACGCTTATTGCCGTCCAGCCGTCTCCGTCGCTCCCGGAAAGCTCTGGGAATGTTGTCTCCTAACGATCAAATCGTCAGCAAGACCATCAACGCCTATACTACACAAGCATGACCGCCAACTTACCCCACAACCGTATTTCGGCACAACAAGCGCGGGATCTGCGCCACGCTCCAGAAGAAGTCTCACCGCTCTCGACTTTTTCTTCGAAGTCGAGCAAACAAGCATGATCAGTGGAGAGAAGCATTTGTAGGTGAGATTCGGGTTCGCCCCAGCGTCGAGTAAAATCTCAATTAGGTCGAATTGGATCACCTCCCAATTCTTAGGATCTAGGAATTCGTGCTGCTTGTGAAAGGCGTATTTGAATGGGAACTCGGGTGGTCCGGCACACGCTGCAATAAGAGGCGTGCCAAAGGCACCGTCAGACACGACGTCATTTAGCTTGGTGATTGAACCATTGTCAAGAAAGGTCACAACGGCCTCAGCTCGCAACGGTGCCGCCGCTGTAATCATCGCCGAGCCATAGAAACTTCCCGGAACAACCTCGTCGGGATCGGCTCCTTGCTGTAGCAGATACGGAATGGTAAGCTCCTTCATCACGCAGAGTGAGAGCATATTGCCCCAGAAGGATCCGGGAACGCAGAGGCAAGCTGATGCTTCAAGATGGGGACATTTGATATCTCGAAAAGGCCGGATGTAGTCCAGCATCTGTTCAGGTTTGGTTGGCGATGCTCCTTGATCGAGAAGTCCTCGCTGAATGTCAAAGCCACGTTTGTTATCCTGTGTTGTGAGCATCGCGGTTGGATAGAAGCCTGCACTGTTCTCCAAGTCCAGATTTCCTCCGTTGTCCATCAAGCAGCTTAATAGTTTCTCTCGATGACGTCGAATGCCTGCCGTAATCGGACTGCCAAAAAAGGGACGTGCCTGCATTATCGAAGACCCAGTGATCTTGTTCTTATTCCACAAACGTTGCAAAACAAGAACGTGATGCCACGACTTCATTTGCTCCAGAATCATGACCAGGATCTGTGTGTCCTCCACCGACGGGCTGTGTCCAGCGTACAGTGCATTCGGGTCAGCCCCTTTCTCCAATAACAAGCTAACCACATCGAACGTCTCCCAGTGTTCACTCCTCAGAGCAGCAACAAGTGGACACCAGAATTTAACTTGAGGTGTTTGCTCATTCACGTCAAAACCTTGGTCGAGAAAGAAGCGGACCATCTTGACATTCGCAGAATAACTTGCAGCTGCCAGACAACTGCCAAATAGACCTTTGCTGCCAGGTCTTTGTGGCGCTCCACTGTCCAGAATCCGTTTGACCAATGCCAGTCGACCAGAGACACAGGCTGCGATAAGAGAACAGCCGTAGAAGGCGGGGTCTAAGTGATCACTGTCGTCGATCAGGGTTCCGTCATCGCAAGCACTGCTGTGGCTTGCGTTCAAAATCACATCAATCCCGTGATCGAGCAATTCACAGGCCAGGCTGTCCCAAGATGTAAGTGCTCTCTCGTCTTCTTCCTGTGCATCATTTGTGGCGTTGGCACAAACGAGTATGAAACATTTCGCCCACTGTTGTGGATGAGTCTGCAAACTGGCAAAATCTGACTCTTTGAGGAACTGCAAAGCCACTTCTGGGAGACCGCCGTAGACGGCAGCTAGTGCAGGCAAACACCAATCCACATCTGCCCGACCTTGAAGGTGAGGGTCGGCCCCGTGCTGCACCAGGAAGTCCACGGTCCATGCGTTACCGCTGGCCGCCGCAGCAATCAAGGGGGTTCCGAAATGATCGCTTGGTATGCACAAATTCACATCTTCCAGCACGCGGTATGTCTCTAGGATCTCAAAGATCTTTGCAGCATATGGCGGCTGGGGGTAGCACTTGGCAGAAGCGGCGGCTATCAACGCGCTCCCGCTGGCCACTCTAGATTGCGGAGGTGAGGATGTCTGGCTTTGGAGGGCGCTGCTCACAATTTTCCTCGGTGATGCGCCATGGTTCAACAGTAGTTTGAATATCTCCAGTTGAGCATCTGCCCCATGCCTAGCGTACTTCGTGACTGCTGCAATCAGTGGCGTTCGCAGTCGGCCAAAAGTGGCCTCTTGATTCGGATCTGCGTTGGCTTTGAGGAGAGTGTCGACAACTTTGACACTGTGGCCCTGCGAGGCTGCAATTAAAGCAGAACCGAATTCCGAAGTTGTTTCAGCGAAGTCAGGCAAAGCGTTTGGGTCAACGCCACAGTCGCAGAGTTGGCGCACGACCTGGTCCACAGCACCCCAGGAGAGACCTGCGCGGAGCACGAGCGCTTCACCCAGATGAACTTTCAATCCCGCGACTCCAGCGCAAATTTCAATCATGGTTTTGATCAGCTCCAGATGAGGATCCACGTCGGATGGCTTGTGAAGCCGACGGTCCAGCAGACAGGCTTCGGTGATAGAGGAAATCAAGAGCTCTCTGCCATTTGGGCTGTCGAAACCAGTCCGTAGTAGTGTTTTGGCGATGTCGTAGTGACCCCCCATCAATGAGGCTATGAGCGCATTTGTCGCGTTAGCGGACACGTATTGGTCCACGCGTCGCTGATCATCAAAGGGTTTGAAAAAGACCTTGCCATCGGTCGGGGCCAGCCAACACGCTTGTGCATCTTGGAATCTGTCATAGAATAGCTCTTCATAGAGAATCTTTTCTGTCCGCGCAGTGATACACTTCTGAACTTGTTTCATGTCCCAGCTAGGCAAATCAGTGATGTAGCTTCCTTTCCCAGATCTTCACGAAGCATAGAGCAGCTTTTGCAGTAACAAGTTCCGTGAGTCGTGCTCAAATCCATGGCCTTGACGAACAACATCCAGCAATTTTTGGAACGCGCCTTCATTAGCGACCTGGACGCTAAAGATCGACGCCAAAGTCATGATTTTCTGGAATCGTGCTCTGCTTGTCTCTTTCTGTCCAACATATAAAAAATAGTGCTTGATTGCTTCGAGGATTTTGTCAAACCGGTCGGGGGCGTCTGTTTTGATTGCTGTGGGCAGTCCTGTCCCCAAGATATTTGTGTTTGATTTCCAAATAACTTGAGCATCAAGTTGACTGTTTGATTCAGTGTCCTCAATATTCGACCGGACAAGGTTCAAAAGTCTCTGGAAATGTTTGTCCGGGCCAGCCCACACTAGAAATCCCAGAGGCGTCTGCATGTTAGAATCGTATGTATCACAGTCTATTCCAGCACCAATCAAGCGCCACGCAAAGTCGAGTAAACCATATGCGACAGCTTTCGAGACAATGCTTGATCCGTGATTAATTGCTAGCAGAATGTCGAGGTTCTCCTGTTTCGTCAGATCCGATCGAAGTGGTATGTCTGTAAGGGAGTACCTTATGGGAAAGTCCTCTGATTCGAGACTTTCCCAGGCCTCCAACACAGAACAGTTCTTTTTGTAATTAGTAAAGGCCTGCGAGTTCTGCAGAGTTCTGATCAAAAAAGGCAGGGAGGCCATTTCAACACCTGGATCTCGAAGATAACAAAAGACGGACACGGAGGTATAGGCGAGAAAGTGCATGTCCTCGGCTTCACGGTCCGTTAGCTGAGAGTCTTGTTCTGATTCCTCGAGCTTCCGCCATGCGGGAGACGTCGCGTAGAGCATGCAGGCTTTTGCCAATCGTAGGTACACATCCCATCGGATGAGTCTGAAGGGCCCGGCTTTGGGGTGATATCAGATACTGCTCAACCGTGAAGTGTGCCAGCATTATTTTCCAGTGGATCGGCCTATTTTCAATGTCCGAGATTGAGACCAGGCTCCTGCAAACGTCCAGGATATCTTCTGCGTCGTCCAATCGATCGCTGTCATCGATTTCAAAACTGTAAAGGTCTAGGGTGAGTGATTCGGCAAGCATCCCCAGAGTCATGGACCCATACGGCGCTGCCAGCCAGGTCAATGCCCGGAGAGCCCGTTTATGATCGAAAGGATCCATGCTACTGAAGATCCTATTGTAAGTTGCGTCCATAGTGGATGGAAGTTGGCTCAAGGCGACTTCGATGTCACGATCGGTCCGGCACCGTGAAAGCTGCTCTAGCTGACACTGTGCCCAGAGGAACCTATCCAGAGCATTAATATTGCATTTCCCGACGCTAAAATAGCAGACGGGAAGGCTCACGTACATGCCTCCAGCTTTTGCTTTCATATCGTCCACGATGCGATCTTTGGTGCCCTGCCGCAATTTCTTGTACCGTCCCCTTGGGTCTTCTTCCATCAGACCTTTTACATATATTGCAATATCATTATCCACAACTGTTGGCGAAAGGACCTCGCGATGGAAGTTGTATGGATCGAATCGGCGTCTGATGTCAAGCTCGTCTCGGCTGGAGCAGATGAGCCGGACTATGGTACCGGCGTTAGGACAGCCGACCAGATCCTCAAGCGCAGAGAAGATCTCGTCCCGATTGTCACATTCGTCCAGAGCATCTACAAAGATGAAACTCGTGTCGAATAACTCCAGGACGCGAAGCAGTAAGGAGACGAGCTCTGATATTGGGACCAGGTGACTAGCGGTGAAGCGAGCAGGTAGTTGTCGTAGGAAATCAGGAAATGGGTGGCATTGGATAGCAGCTTGGTGTAGCAATGAGCGCAACATTGTTTGGCTTTGCTGTTTCTCGGGTTCACGGAAGTCGAAGAAGAAATAAGCCACGCAATTTTTGGTCGACGTGATACTGGGATTGATATTTTCCGCAGCTGAGTAGGCTCTTAGGGTTTTGGTAATGAGAGTAGCCCTGATAGCTCGTCATCAAGAGTAATTGGACAAGGAAACTCATGGAAACTGACATCAAAACGCTTTTCCCGGCACCAGCTGTCATCGTTGCGTTTAGTATACATCGCCTATGTTGGTAAAAATCATTGGCTCACCCTGACCGGCAAGCCACAAATTTGTGTGTATTGGAATGGCGCAAGTTAACCAATTTTCGAAGATATCGCCTTTGGCGAACCAGTTGCCAGTGCCAGGCTGTAGTAGGTTCGTATTCTGAACCAATAGCGTGTCCAAATCTGAGGCACCCAGCCACTTAAGCCAGTCTTTTGCTACGGTGGGAATCGTCAGAACAGGTGCAGGAGTCAAAGGCTTAGCGGGATACCTTCGTCAACGGCAGGTGGGAGTCTCTCTTTCTAGCAATTGCCGTACATTTCGAACTTCTTTCATGATCTCCACATGTTCGCCTCTTTGAACATGGTCAAGTGCTCGAAGATAGTTCCTGAATAGCCTTCAGCATGATTGCTGGTTGCTGGGGCCTAGCCTGACCTTATCTCGGCTGCCAAAGCCAATGTATCAGAAGTCATTGCTATGTTGAACAAGGCGCAATGATGCTCTATCCTAACAGCGGCAGCTTTGAACTCGCCACGCTTCCTGAAGGGCCAGATAAGCGATCGGCCGGCCGCCGCCCAGCCCTGTCGTGGTTCCAACTTTTTTTTTCAGTTTGAGAAGGTCATCGTTGCAGGCATTCAGAGCGGGCTGTATTTGGGCCAAAAGCTCGCCTGCTTTGGATTGAGTTTGGAGCCGGACCAGCACGATTTGAAGATTGCCGATCTTCTTGCAAAGGTCCGCGCTTTCTTCGCTCGCGCGTGCGACGTCTCTGGCATACTGCATACATGACCAGGTGATTGTCACAGACAACTCCACAATGGCTATGACGCTTGCCGTTGTATCCATGATGGTTCTTACTGGGCACAGTTGGCTTGGTGAAGAGAAATGTCGAGAATACACTAATCACTGGCGGTTATGTCGACATGATGATTTGGATGGAAGGTCATGAAGTGCGTCGCGTTCTGACTGATTTCTCGCTGACCGCAGCCTGGATAGCTGAATGAAGCCATCATACGTCCTGGACTGAGCGCGATATTTCAGCTGCCAAGGGACTGCCGTGCCTAAGCCCCTCGGTTCAAAGTCTCAGTCTGAACAAGGCAGCCAAGGCTTGCCGAGTAATTCTGTCGCTGCAGGGCTGGTTCGTTCCCTATGCAGGCCCAACCCAGCCCCTTCGTGTTTCTCGTGGTACTCAGAAGCTCTGTCACGTACCTCGTACTGTGACGAACTTTTTGGTTGTACCTGCGGATATCTCCGACTTGTCGCTTGAGCTTGAAGTGCCATCCTCCCTATTCAGATACTTGTCGAGTCATTGGTGCCATGAAAGCAGTCATTTACAAGACCCAAAGGGGTACCAATATAGGTCGAAAATGGTACTTGCGAGCTAGGTATTACATGTTGGTCTAGTTCTACCACCGGAGGGAAGGTTAGCCGATCACATGACTATGTGTCTCTGGTGTTGTGAATGGCGGGTTAGCCAAGACATACCCAGTATAAAGACCGTCACGCCAAGTCCTCGGCCGAAGGTCGCGACAGCCCCTGTCTGCGCCTGTCAAGCCCTATGTAACTTACTAGACAGTATACTCGGTATAGTCAGACAGGTCCCCAAAGGCCCTTTAAATCCACTTTACAAGCGTCGTCACCATCAGATAGATTTCCACATTCTCAGTCAATCAATAATATTTCAGACCACACCGGTCGGAATCAATGCAGTGTTCCCCTGTGCGCTCACCAGCCATTGATCTCCAACATCGCCTAGAACGCCTGTTTTGCTTAGCATAGGTGGACAACTTTCTTGGGGAGGATGTCGAACAATCCCGAGTCCTGATTCTCAGCGCCCTGCATGATGCCGTGAATATAGCACTCCCCAAGATGCCGATAACACCGGGGAAATTCCTTGCTCTCGTCAATAACAAACGGAACTGCACTGCCGGAGAACAAAGTGACAAGGCTGCCCACCCGCGCTGCGCCGGGCACAATTCCCACATATCCATTTGTAGTGACGCATACCTTTGCGTCAACAAACCTCGCCGCAAATTCCTGGGCAGTAAAGAGATAATCCCACATCTTCCGCCTCAATTCCTGTGGACGGAATAGAAACTGCTTCATCTTGGCAATGGCCGGAATCTTTAGCATTTCGGCATTCCAGTCCGTGTTGTTGTCGTTGCCCATCTGCAGGTACTCGGCCAAAGCCTGGTAAGAGACGCGGAAATCAACTTTGTCCCAACTTCCAGATGGTTGATGCAGGGCGTCTCCGATGGGGACTTTCCAAACCAGATCTTGCGGGTTGCCTTTAGTCGGATATGTGCGGATGGATTCGATGACGCTGAAGACCTCTTTTAAGTATCTAATTCGGTCTGCTGCAGCAAATGAGGTCTGCCCTACCCGGGTGATCCGGTCGACAAAATAAGCGGTGGCGGTCAATATAGCACCGTTTTTTAGCGACACCCTGATATCATTCTCCAGATGAGAACCCGCGGTAAAGAACCCGGATTTGCTCTTCCAAGTGGTGATAGTTTTGGGATACGTAGTCGTCACCCAATTCGGCACCCACGAGGGAAAACGGGCACGAGATTCCAAATCAATGACACCTGCATGATATAAGAGCTCCATGCCTTTCGCACGTCGGACAAAAACCTCCGCATATCTGCGCACGACTGCCTCAAGCGGTGCCACGTAGTCTGGATCAAAGCCTGAATCATCTGCATCGCAAGCCAACCCGAAAAAGGCAAAGAGTTTGTCGCGTCGACGTGAGCATTCAGTGTGCTCGAAGTCCTCGAACAATGTGAGCAACTCTCGCTGGGCAGCGTCGGCGACCTGGCGGCGATATGCGCGCCTCAACTTCCCTAGGCTTAATACAGGCGCCATAGTCTTAGAAACCGACTTCATGAGGGCGAGCTTTGACTTGTCTGCTTTTGTTGCGCACAAGGTGGCCGGCACATAAATATCATCCCACTGAAAGCTTCGGTTGCCGCACAACAAGATGATATGCGGTGCAAGAACGAGCTCCTGGACAATCCAGACCCTCCGAAACCAATCGCGTCCGAAAAACTTGGTTATAGCCTCCCACACCGGACTTTCCGTCGAAGGGAACCACACCGTGGCAGCTTGATTTGAGGGCTCGGTTGATTTTTTGATTGCACAGAGGCAATCTATCGCAGCATTGCTCTGGTCTGCTTCATTCCCTAACCAGGCGCACACACGCAGGGCTGATTTGTAGATATTTGACATCAAGCGCACTTGGTGACCTTTCTCTACATCATTCTCCTGATCGATGCAGATAGCATCCGCCCATAATAGGACGGACCGTTTTTCTTCTCGCAAACGCTTTAGGGCGAAGTATAGCGAAGCAGTAATCCTTAAGGCGTAATCTCCGATGCTGAGGACGAAGGGTTTCAAGCTGTTGCCCCAGACGTAGGACAGGGCCGTAAATGGATATCTTGACTTGGTTAGTTCAAGGGACACCCTCTTCAGCTCCCCTTTCAGTTCTTCCTTCCCATGTCCTGGATGAAGCCTCAACAAGCGTATGAAGGAACCTTTTTCGAGAGGTTTATAGGTGTACTTGCGTTCCTCGTGCTGGAGCATTCGTCGAGCCCACAGCTCGCCCGAATCTCGGAAATATGACGTGAAAAAATGGAAAGAGTCTCTGAATGAACGGGTGAAGAAGCCCATTTCAAAGTGTTTGAATAAGAGATGGGGTGAAGCAAGGTGAATTTTGGCGGTATAGGAGTCATTCTGCGCATATATCTGGATTCCACCAGAGGCGTACATGCTCCACGGGTCTACGAAGAACGATGCACTAGCGGTTGATTGCATATCGAAAACCCTAGCAAGGATCATGACTTGTGAAGGGCGCTTGTCCTCGGGGACTCGATGCCTACGGATCTGGATAGATTGATTAGCATCTAATCGACACGATGGTGTACGAGCTTACCATTTCCATCTCTTCTGCACTCATCGTAAACGATGAATCTTGCCCGCCGTTTGTAGTCTTTACCAAAATGTGGTAACAAGGGTAGTTGCCATTCCTCCTCCACCCGGAACCTGACTGAATGAGGAATTCCGTCATTGCTGATCCATCGGAAAATGTGAACGTGGTCATAGACTGCTTCCCTGTTTCAAAAGGTGCATATCCAGCCCAGTGGCGGTGTTGACTGGTCCATTGGGTGTACGGATCATATTTCCTTCCAAGATACTTCTCGAGGAGTTTGGAAACCTGGTCCCATTAGCGAGAGCTGTTTCTTCTGTGGCTGTTGAAATCACTCACATAAAGCTCTCCAAGAAATTCAGTGTAAATGCCGATCTTGTTAGTTGGCTCAACCGCGAGAAAGACGGTACAGTCTCCTGACTGGGAAATTTGCGCTCTTCCAGGAAGTACCATCCCTTCGGATGGTCGATTTGAGAAAGTTTCCGCGGGCAATTCCTCGCAGTTTGGGACAAAGACGATGGTAGAGTTGACAATTCTTGGGCGTTCAAAACTTTCAATATCACGAGAATCGGAGGTAAGCATTGATTTACGCTTCCGTCTTGAGTGTCGTCCTCGAGTCCTGACATACTCTCTCATTCTTGGAGCATCATCAAGGGCGACATAATTCGGCCGGCTTGACGAGCTTCCCTTAGGTGGTGTTGGGCTGGTTGGCCTCGACTGAGAGACGATGTGTTCAGCATTCACTGACAGCTTTGTTGAAGCTGTCTGTCCGGTTTGTTGCCTGTTCGAGGCTAGATTGTCTGTAGAGTTGAAATCCAGAAGATCCTCTTCGCTTTGCCCTGGAGATTTATCCTCGTCAAAGTCGCTCTCGGCCTCGTCATCGGCAATAATTTTCAACGTTGCTTTCTCGTCTTCCTGCTGTTCTTCATTTCCCCCAACCCATACTTCATGGAATCTGCGGGGAGTCTCGGAACCTTGAGGTCCTTCCACGTTTACCGAGACCTGTACATTCATTTCGTCTCCCTCATCTTTATTTCCATCTTTTGTGGCCGGATATGACGCGACTTCATCTCCCAATGGCTTCTTTCCTCTCGTCTTTGCAACACCTCGGCGGTCGAGAGCATCCTCGATAAGAGAGGCCATCTCTTGGCTCAAAATAAAATATATCAGCGCCACATGCTCCGGAATCTCGCAGAAGGCAGCTAGTTGCTCTGCTAATTCCAGAGGGGGGCAAGATAAATTATGCCCATCTCTGAGGTATATCCTAAGCGCATTGGTTCCTACTGGGGCAACAAGCAACGCTTGTAGACCATCGTCAGTGAACAGGCTTTCTTGATGGGCAATGCCCGATGCAGGACTGATTGTCTCGACGCTCCATCCTAGGAGTATCCTGTCCGCGTGCCAAACTTCCACATTCTCCAAACGGTGCAGAATCTCTTGCCTTCTTGGTACGGACTCAGGCATCAGGCTATTTCAGGACAGATGGTTAGTCAAAACCCCTGCACAGAAATCAAACACAATAACTAATTTTCTCTCGAGAAGCCTAACGAAGAGACTTACCGGTCGAAAAACTTGGCCTTTCCACGGTATGATATGTCAGTCTCCTCACCTGGTGCTTTACCTCCACGAATTTTATGGCTTTCTTTCGCGACCTCAGACAGCACTCTATTTTGTAAATTCAGTATACTTATCAGTCGCTTGATTGCCTGCACATCTTCCACTTTGAAAGCCAGTAAAGATACTACGCCCTGAAAGCACTGCCGAAGGCGCGGTTGATCGGCGATGTACCATTCGGATTCTCTCATGCCGGAGGAGAGCTCGTCAAAGCCTCTATCGGAGCCACCTCCTTCATCAAGCGGAAAGATTCTGAGAGCGAGAAGACTCTGTATTGCGTTCGTAACTTCCATAGATACCGAGTCCGGCAAAATTCTGTTGAGCTCTTTGAAGATGTCAGTGATATGCGACAGAGAAGTGAAAGATGTGATTGCCCTGGCTTCCGATATCAAAGTCTCGAGTTCGGCATCTTTGACTTTGAGGTATTTTACAAAGAGTATTCTGTGGTCTGGATGGATTTTGCTGAGCTCATGGGACTGTGTAAGGCATCCAGGACCTATCCACACGCAATTGCTTAGCGTGACCCAACGTGGACAAGCATTGGTAGAGGAGCTCGGTATGTAAACGTGATTGTTCTGCTGGAACTCATCACTGCTATTGGTGAATATTTGCTTCTCTTGTAGTGGGATCGATAGGCAACGTACCACACAAGGGTCGGATTATCATCACATCGACTCTGAATTTTATCGTATAGCCAACGAACGGACTCGACTGAGACTTCACGGCCTTGAATGCTCCTGAGGATGCCGAGATAGGTGTTAAGATCATCATTGACGGTTACTCCGAACACTTTTAGAAAAGTCCATCTGGGATCCTGCGGGTTTGGAATGTCAAGAACTGGTTGAAGGAAGGAGTATTCCGAGCGGAAATTCTCTGGCATAAAGTATCCCGTAGATGTAGTTTCCAACTTATGCCGTTCGCCATCACGACAAAGGACGAAAATTGATGCCAACTGAGATCGCAGATTTGAAGGCAGATTTTGGGGGAAATGCCGAGAGTATATAGACCAATTCTCCTTCAGAAGCACTAAAAGTGGCCGGGAATGGTGCTTGTCAAGAACATAGCGAAAGTCCTCTGACAGCTCTGGGTTGATGACGTTGCTAGAATCCTTGACAAGACGGGGGATCTTCCACATGCCAAGTTGTTCGTTCAGCCAAGCTCTCCACAGCGGAAGATCGTCTGAAGCGATTTCTTTGTCATAGCTCCTGTGCAAGAAAGGAAACATTCCGTTGTTTCTATCCAGATATCGAGATGCCGAGTAATGCTCATCCGTATCGACATACACCTCCCATGAACGATGTAGTGCTCCCGTCCTTGTGGCGACCCAAAACTGAATCTGGTTGGTTGGTTTCTTCCACCCTGACTTGAAGAGATAGAGTGCTTGGGATGATAGCTCAGATCGGGGGGGCGCTGGCTCTGGGAGCTGGTGTGAGTGCTTCTCCAAAATCAATTCTTGGACAGCAGGGATAGAAATCGGCTTGACTCGGAGGTTTGTGTATAGTCGTTCACAATCGCGATCGTTTTGGATGTCTCGGTGAACCTCAAATACCTCAATCCCTGGTGGAATTGGATGATCCATTCTGTTCTCTGGAAAGAATATTGTGCCTGAGGATGCTGCCACCCGGCGTCCGTCACTCAACAGAATAAGGGGGAGGTCGGATATTTCTCGTTCGAAATTAGAAATTAATGGAAGCAGGACCCTCGCTATATTGGAGTGCCACGCTTCGGGCATGGTAGCATTGCAGGTTGAGAGAAAGTCTTTGAGGTCCTCAAGAAACTCTTTTCCAGACAGCGTCGTGACCCCAATGTCCATAAGACGCTTGCTATCGGCCTCCGAGTACTTGTGCGACAAGTATTTTGATTTCGTTGTTGCGCTTAAAACCATGGGCATGTTGCTATCGTCTCTAAATTGTTTCGGTACATATCTGACCATGTTCGGCGTCTTCAGCTGTCCATCTTCACATTCGAGGGCAGCACTTTCACGAAGCTTGTCCGTGAGTGAGCTGCGGAACTTCCAGAAGAAGTCAAATGTATACATGTTTCCCGGTAAGTATCGAGGCCAGGTATATCGAAACGACGTGTCATGGAAATGGCGAACATCTTCTAAGAATGCATCCAGAATAGCTTCGCGAAGTGCGTTGTTCCATCGGGACGAGCTGTCGATGTTCTCGCGATTCGCGATGAGCAGAAAGTCGGCGTGAATGAGAAACTGTCATTGAGTTAGTAACTGGGCAAGGCAGTACACCTGAGTGCCCTATACTTGCAGTGAAACCATAATCGCATATCGGGAGAAATGCATAGACCTGCTGTGGCTCGAGAGTGGTCTCTTGAGTAACGATTTCCGGATATGCCAACAAAACAGCGGACTTCTCGCGCCCGCCGCGTTTCTGCTCGTACGGCAGGGAATTGGCAATATGCTGACGGACCAAGTAAGTCACTGACTTATCATCGCAGCTCAAAGTTGTCGTACGCCGAGCTTCATCACTAGTTTGAATATCACTCCGACACAGAATGCTTGACCACGTTGGGGTATCTGGAGGCGAGGCTGTAATGGAGATTTGCTTCAAATTCCTCAGGAATAATAAGTATCTGGGGTCCATTGATCTCATTTCGTTGAGCAAATCAGTCTGGTCACAGCCGTCACGTAGCTGTAACATTACAGAGGTGAACCCAGGAATTAGCTCCGCAGGAAATGTGTCCCATACAGGCGTAATCATCCCAAGGTCTGTTTTCGTCCTGTCGAACTTGAATGAATAGTAGCCGGAGGATATCGAGACGACGTCGGCGATTTTGAACACGGATTTGAAGCCGATCCCCTTTTCACCAATTTGATTTCCAGAGTTGGACTTTGTACTCCGGCCAACTCTACAGAGTGCCTCGACGTCGCGCCGAGCGAATCCTGTCTCATTGTAATCTAGGCGGAGGCGACCATTCCAGTAGCTGATCAGCATTTCGGGTGTCAATGCATCGTATGAACAGTCATCAGCATTTTGTATCAGTTCCACTAAAAAGTGGGTTGACTTTTCGTAGAGCCCTTCGGCGAGGCTGGGATAAGATAGAGTTAGCCGTGTGTTTTCTGTGTGCTTCAGCCGGACAGATGTAAAGAATAGGTAAATTACATCGAAATAGATGCCTCGAGGTCCTCACGGTTAGCGTTTGAGAAGGTCTTTTCTCCATCATCGACAAATCCCCGATTTCTCCGTATTTGCTTGATGTGGTCTTCTGCCTCTTCACGGGAACGAGGTTTCTCAGCCATTTAATGTGGAAACGGAGCCGAATATTATGTTACAATTGATTCATGGATGAGGCTACAGCCAAGTCAATGTTGAAGCAACACGGTGAAGGAGGAAGGCGTCATAAGCCATGGGTATGTTGAGGCAGACGTGACAAGGCAGCCAGGCGACAGCCTTATGGTCGCATAGCCGTTGCATGAGCCGCACTAGGATATGCGCCCACAGTTTAAGCGCCATACTCGGGCGACAGTCTTCATAATGTGTTAGAAAGGCTTCAACATGTACTCGATAAAGGTGCATAAAGAGCAATATCTATATAGTGAGGCGGATGAGTTCGAGGACGAGACCGAGTACAGAACAGAAAGTTTAAAAGGCTGCAGCCTCGTCTTTTAGCGCCAAGGAATTCCGCCGCTGACATGGGCGCCTCCCCGCACTGGTACATTGCACTGTCAGCCACCGCAGCTTCGCGCACGAGCACAACTCATTGACTGCACTAGCTGGTCGAAATCCTGAGAAACCCCGAGCCCAAGTCCAAATCTTCCCTCTCCGTTTGATCGCTGCCGGCCAGCAGCCCACTCCTTCTCTTGCAATGCTCCTCCTCGACTATCAGAATGTCCTCATCCAGTCCCTTCTGACCGAACGCTTCTCCGGCGCCCCTCCTACATCCATTGACCAGGTCGTCTCGGACTTCGACGGCGTCGCGTTCCACATCTCGACCCCTTCGAGCAAAACACAGATTCTCATTTCCCTCTCTATCAAATGCTACCGCGAGTTGTTGCAATATGGCGCCGAGCAAGTCCTGCAGAGGGAATATGGGAACTATATCACGAACACGGAGGCGGGGTATGATTTCAGTATTCTGATTGACCTAGAAAACTTGCCGCCGACTGCGGAAGAGAAAGAGGAGTTGGTGAGGAGGATCAGTCTGCTAAAGAGGAACGTCATGGCTGCGCCCTTCGAGAAGGCGTTTGACGAATTCGCTCAGCTGGCAGAGGAAGCGAGCAAATATACCTCAGAATCTGCACCGCAAGGCGTCAAGGAAGGTGGCGAGGTAATGTCGATCCATTACCGCGAGGAAGAAGCCATTTATATCAAGGCCAGCCATGATCGAGTCACCGTCATATTTTCGACAATGTTCACGGATGCCGTGGATAGGATCTTTGCCAAAGTGTTCTTGCAGGAGTTTGTAGATGCAAGACGGAGAGCCATTCAGAATGCGCCGCAGGTACTATTCCGCAGCGATCCGCCATTGGAGCTGCAGGGATTAAGGGGAGTCGGGAAGACGGGCGAGATGGGTGAAATGGGCTTTATTACATTCGGTATGCCACTTGTGCCGCTGCTCTCTCCGTGATGATGGAGACCTCTTCAAAGGCGCGAGGCTAATGCATTGTCAGTATTATTCCCTCGACATCTCACACGTCAGCGAAGAGACGAGGTCATTTCCCACATCCAGACCTTCCGGGACTATTTCCACTACCACATCAAAGCCTCCAAGGCGTACATCCACTCAAGAATGAGGCGTCGGACGGCAGACTTCTTGCAGGGTAAGCAATCCTGAACCAGGAGTGGTTGTAGTATCGAAAGCCCTCGAACTAACAAATGCGCTTTTTAGTTCTCAATCGTGCCAGACCGGAGACGGAAGAACGCGAGAGGAAGACAGCAAGTGGCAGGACTTTCAGAGTCCAAGGTTGAGCTCTTCCGGAGCCTACGACTTGGAACGAGATGATGCTGGACGAGCATGATCGGGAAAACTTGGTCTGCAGACAGGACTCGTTCAACTAGAACAACTCTAGACTTTTCGCCATCCGAAAGAGCTTGTTGCGCGCCCCCTACTTCTTGGCTTGCTCGAGTCCCTCTAACTTCTCTCGGAGCCTAGTGTGTGCATTTTCGCTATACAGTAGTCATCACGCTAGCATTGGAATACCATGCCAACATGGGATTCTCCCCATTTCTAACCTCCGTCTGCTCCACCAACGCCCAACTCTCCAAAAATTGCCTGTGACTCGTCACTCGTGTCAACTTGCCCGTGATAGCTCTATAGATATCCTCCATCATCGTGAAGTCGGTTGGGAAGAAGATGTCGAAGTAGCCCTGGTGCACGAAGGGCGTGGAGACCTGCACGTTGCGTCGCTTGTAGCGCGTTTGGACGACAGGGGCGTTGAGGCCCGGGACGGCGTCGGGGAGGTAGTCGAAATCGGAGAGCACGAGGCGGTGGGCCGGGAAGTATCGGTTGAGGATGTCGAAGAACTCGAGCAGGCGCGTCGGGATGTATTCTGGCTTGGTGAGGTTGGGCGACAAGGGCAGGGAATGCCGGAGCTGGCGCAGGAGTCTGGGATATTGGGAGATTGGAGTCACAATCGGGGAGCGGGCAGCGATCTCTCTCACGCGGAGGTACCGCAGTGCCAGAGAGTCGAGATTGCGGTCGTAGAACTCGAAGAATTCTCCGTCTTCGTCGATCAGGACGCTGCCTTGCAACGGCTGTTCTGTTTCGGGATCGTACCTCAGGCAGTCATGGGCGAAGTTGTCGATGACTTCGAGGGCGAGGAAAAAACAAGGTGAGTGGATGTATTCCTTCCAGTCAAAAATTGATCGATGGAGAATCTGTACGTGATCCAGGTGATCTGCTGCATAGGGTGACCGTCGCAGGCTGGTCAATTGTAACTCGGCCAGCGCGGAGGATATCTCAATGATATTGAACTGGGTCCGACTGTAAACTTCCGGCTCGTATTCGTAGATGTAATCGAGTATATTTCGCATCAGGGTTCCGTTCCCTGCCCCCATCTCGTATATGATCAAGTCGTGGTATGGAAAAAGGGTCATTTTGTAGTTCGTGACCAGATACCTCGCAATAGCTTCGCCATAATACGGCCGGAACAGTTCGGTGGGGGTATGCCAAAGTTGTCGAGTCTCATCCGGCTCAATCTCGTCCAGAGCATCTTCAAATTCGACGTAGCTCAAGTCCACCAGGCGATTGAACTCGGCGCCGTCCTTGATAGAGGCAAAATCAAAGGGTTTTCCGGCATTGAAGATCGTCGCATGCTTCGTAAAGTAGCCGTAGTTGGGATTGTACAGGCTGTCTGCATTCTGTCAGTAGAAGACTTCCAAAATGTCCCGCTTTATCCTCACCATCGATAAACTCCCTCGTCAGCATTTTGACCCTCCGTGGCCGCTGGGTCCTGTGCCGCAGATCGTGTGCAGAGACCATGGGGTATTCCTTGAGCTGTCGCGACATGTCCTTGGGGAAGGCATCGATCCTCTGCTGCCACGTGCTGCCTCCTCCCGCATCATCTCGCTTGCGACGAAGTGCATATGTTCGACGTTGTTGAACTGGCCCGATTGAAGATTGAAGAGACGGTTGTCTGCGAGCGCATTGCTGTCGAAGGCAATTCCGCGATGGTCTCGTGAACAGTTGTTGAAAGATGCGCGCGATGGCCGGTGAGTCCATCAGAAGTTTGAAAAATCGGACAAAAATAATAACAATAATAACAGGGCATAGAGCGCTGGGACTATCCAGCAAGTACTGAGATCCCCGAACGCCGCTGACTGAAACTGGGAGGAACGGCGATACAGCCACAACCTGGTCAATGGAAATGAAATCAAATGCGGAGTAGGTCTGAAGATCCGTTTCGGGAATAGTGCAAGTACAGCGGATCATTGAGCTCCGAGCTTTCAATAATTCTGGGAGCCGATATATCGCCCAAAATCGACTTGATCAGTCTCAATACTCTGCATTTAGGCCACGAGATGTAACATTTGCTTCATGATTAGACATTGGGAGGAAGTTGCCGGTTACTTGCCATAATTGACAGCACTCTCCAGCAGAAGCAGTAAAATTGTCCGTCTGCGATCCAAAGACTAGCTATATCAACCCAAGGAATACGTCCTCTTTCAAAAGCTGCAAGAATCAGAGTTCTCCTATGCAATGGGCAGACCGTCCTCATTTTGTAATCGGCATCGCTTCTGGCCTCGCTATTGCTATCGTCATTGATCAGCTCCGTCAGTTCTACCGCAGCTATACCTCGTCCTACAAGTTTCAGCAGCTTCCTTACTCCCAACACAAGCCCGATGAGACCATAAGTTCAAAAGAAGCGAACCAAATATCCCCCCCACCCATCGGCACCGGCATAGAATCGACGATAGGCTCCACGCCTCTCATTATCATTCCCTCGCTTTCAAGCTTTACGGGATGCACCATTCTCGCCAAATGCGAACACCTCAATGGTGCTGGTGGCTCACCCAAGGACCGGGTTGCATTGTCAATCCTCACGCGAGCAGAAAGTCAGGGTCTCCTCACGCCTCATAGTGGAGACACCGTCTACGAGGGAACGGTTGGATCAACAGGGATATCTCTTGCAACTCTGTGCCGCGCAAAGGGGTATCTCGCCCACATTTGCATGCCCAACGACCAATCTCATGAGAAATCCAACCTCTTGTTAAAGCTCGGTGCGGTTGTGGAAAGAGTCCCGCCCGCGCCAATAGTGGACCAGCAGCATTTCGTGAACCGCGCCCGCAATCTCGCGCGAGAACATACGGAAAACCCGGAGAAGAGGGGGAGGGGCTACTTTGCCAACCAGTTTGAAACAGAAGCAAATTGGCGAGCTCATTACGAAGGCACAGGTCCAGAGATATATGTTCAATGCCAGGGCAATATCGATGCATTTACCGCAGGTGCGGGAACGGGAGGAACGATTTCAGGCGTGGCTACCTATCTGAAGGAAAAGCTGCCGGATGTTCAAGTTGTGCTTGCGGACCCTCAAGGTTCAGGTTTGTACAATAAAATCAAACACGGCGTCATGTTCCACTCGCTAGAGAAGGAGGGGACACGAAGAAGAGATCAAGTTGATACGATTGTGGAGGGAATCGGTTTGACTCGCTCAACGCTGAATTTCGAGCAGGGGAGAGGGTTGATTGACGAGGCCGTCAAAGTGAATGATCAGCAGGCGATGAATATGGCGAGGCTGTTGGTTGAGAGGGATGGTATCTTTGTGGGGAGTAGTAGCGCAGTTAATTGTAAGTTCTTTCCCATTCTGCCCCATGTTTCTCGCTCAGCTGACTGATCTCCGACACATAGGTGTTGCTGCTTTGCAAACCGCACTCAAACTAGGTCCCGGTCACACGGTCGTCACGATTCTGTGCGACTCTGGTATGCGCCATCTCTCCAAGTTCTGGGCACGGATAGGTGAGATTGGAGGAGAAGCACGCACAACCATCGAGGATATCCTTGAGAGCAGAAAGTTGGATTGAAGCGTCCCGGTGACAACTCTTCTATCTTCGACCAGACAGCTCTTCATCGGAATCGGGCTCCACTTTGATAAATGGAGCGCTTGGCGGCAACTCTCCCTGCTGCCTATGTTCCTTCCGGCACACACCAGATGGTTGTGGCCCAGTATTTGTCCGCTTTCTTGGTGCGGTAGGTGATGTTTGAACCGAACTCCGGAGAGCTGCCAACCAGATTTCGGCCAATTTATCTCCTATCTCGCTATGGTTGCGATGTTTAAAATGCGACCGAAGCGCACCAATATCTCGTTTTGGGTTCTGACAAAGCTCCTCCAGGGCGTCTAATTCCTTCTGCGACCATTTCCTTGAATCATGATCGAGATGACCTGGTCGTGTTCGATGTCTGTCGTAAACATCGTTGAGAGCAATTCCAGTTTTGTGTGTTCGAAGGGCTCGGCACTCGGCAATCTCATTGAAGGACAGCCCTGCGCCGTCATGTAGTTCAACCAAGGTCTTGAAATCGGAAAGGGTGAGTCTCGGCGGACGGGCCGTCTTAATGCTGTATGCCACATACAAGTGGATGTACTCCAGATCATGCACGTCGTCGTCATCTATTTTGCCCCTGTCATAATCTTTTGCCAATTGAGCCCAGTGCTTGAAGACACCTGCCCTCCCGGCCCACTTGCGAGAGCAATAAAAACAAGCTCCTTTCCTCATCCGCAAGATCTGCTCGTCGTCCTCGTTTTTCCTTTTGGCCATTCTTTGCTCCTCGTCTTCCCCTTCCGACACTGCCTCGCTGTCAGGGCTGTGTTCTTTTGCATCCTGGCGATTGGAAAATTCTTCTTGAAGCGGATCCACTGACTCGGCTCGACCGTATCGCCTCTCGAGAGCTTGACGCGCGGTTCTCTTGGTTGACCGGTTACTACTGCACTTCCAAAGAGACTTGGAAGCTGTCGGGGAGGCAGTCCGTTGGACTTCCAAGGCAGAAAGAGGGACAGACGCCATCTTGGACAGCGAAACAGATCTGGGCAGTTCTGAAGGGACGAGATCTGTCGGGATTCGCCAGGCTGGCTCGATATGGGCTTGAACAGCGACATTTCTGGCTCTTTGCATAATTTTCAACACCTCCGGCCCAAGCTTGGGTCCAAACTTCTCAAGGATAGCATTTTCATCCACCTCATCGTTAAGATCTTCAAATGGAAGTAGCGTATCTGTGGTCTCAGGCTTAGGCGATTCTTGAAATTGAACTTCGAACAAAGAATCAGGACTTGTTGACCTGTCTGGCCGATTTTGCCCTCCGAATAGCGAGTCATTGTCGGAGTCGACTAAGCTGGATTGGACGGTATTCTGACTTTGCTGAGAATCAGAAGGTGTAATGTAAGCCTCGCGAGCATGGAAAGGAACAAATAGCTCTTCGTCGCTGTCCACTGTTCCCATTCCTTGGTCGTCATCTGCCATGGCAGCATTCTCGGCGATTTCCTCGATGCTCATGATGACATCGTCAGCGCCTTCGTCAAAGTAGCCGCCTTCACCCTCTTCAACCTTGGACATTGCTCTCAACAACGATTTTCCTTTGGTATTGTGCGCGCCCCCTGGATCTGTCTCATTTTCCATTGACTGCACATGGCCGTTATTGACTACTATTGACATAGTCTCCATATCTATTTCGTCACCGACACCAGAAAAGTCGTGAGAGTACTTTTCGAAGATCGATTCGAAACGCGATTTCAGTAAGAGGTCATTAGTTAGCCGTCTGTTGTTCAGCTCGTTGTCAAGGCTAGGGCCGGAGGATCGGCTGGCGAACAGGGAGAGACGCGGTCTTTTGCGAAATGGTTCGTCCATCATGAGGGTATGTGTTCAACAGTGAGGTCAGAGCAGGCATTAAAGGTGGATGATGGTGGTGTTGGGAGGAGGGCTGGGAGGGGTATTGCGTCGCCAAAAGTAAAATGGAAATTCCGCAGTCGCGTCGCGTGTTTTCAACCAGTGCCAGCAACGTCATCTTGCGCTTCAACTTATTCTCGGTTTCACTGCCACTCACGATTTCCACATCGCCGCCGTAACAGTAACAGCAGAGATGTATTGCCAGAAATGTCGACAGCCCGTTCGCTTTGATAGCTCTTTGGAGAATATCAATCCGGCCTCGTTTGACCTGCTCGTTGGTCCGTCAGCTCCCGCTTCTCGTCTGCCTAATACTGACTGTCACACAGCATCTACGGGCAAGTCTCAATTGAGCAGTTTGACCTCTACCATTTCTCGCATGAACTATCCGCAGGAAAGGAAAGATCTCTATCACCGCGTCTCTACCCAAGCGAACTCCCCGGTCTACAAGAGATCTATTGTAGCGCCAAAGGACGAGACCCTTCTTTCCCGTCGCCATGACCTACTAAACGGCAACACCGACATGTCTTTCATTGAAATCACACAGTCACAAGTCGCTCTGACCGACAAGGAGCACAACAACCGAAAAAGCCAAAGCCAGAATGTGAAAACAAATGGTTCTGATGTTGTTCCTGTGAAAGACACCCGGATGTCCGCCAGGAAGAATCAGGTCGAAGACCTCTTTGCTATCCTCTCGTCCCATTCAGATATCGATCATCCCATGTGTCAAGAATGCACTTCCCTGATGCTGTCCCAATATACCACACGCCTAGGCAGCGCTAACAGAGAAAGAGACGCCTACGCTGGCTTTCTCAAATCCACCCAAAATATCTCTTCTGAAGTTCGGAGGCCCTCGGACGCAAAAAAGGCTGGTGGGACTATCTACGAGCAACTCCAATCCACCGAAGCCGAAATTAGCAAAGCCAATACCGAGATTGCGGCTTTGGAGGAACAGTTGCAACATGAGGAATTGGAGCAACAAGCGTACTGGAATTCCCGAAACTCAGTCGATGACAGTTTATACCACACTACGACGCACTTATCATTCCTAAGAGAGAAACAACTCCATGATTTTCGCCAGCTTGAGCGTCTTCAGCGCACAAATGTTTACAACGACACCTTTTGTATCGGCCATGACGGCTACTTTGGCACGATAAACGGCCTACGTCTGGGTCGTCTACCTAATCAAAATGTTGACTGGTCTGAGATCAACGCTGCATGGGGTCAAACCTTGTTGCTTCTAGCCACTGTCGCAGAAAGACTTAAATTCACGTTCCAGGGCTACCGTCTGCGACCTCAAGGCAGCACATCCCGAATAGAAAAGCTTGAGTATCTCCAACAACCTCCTGACGTGCAAAGACAGCAGACAACGGGCCGCGACGGAGGTCTACACTCTGCTGCGGCAAACCCTGAACCCAAGGTCACCCCTCTGGAACTGTTCAGCAGCGGCGATATGGCCATCGGACGCCTTTTGAACCATCGGCGGTTTGACGGTGGAATGGTGGCGTTTCTCGACTGCTTAGCTCAGCTTGGGAAATATGTCGAGAGGACTTCAAGCGTCGATCTCAATTCGAAACCATCCATGAGGAATGCGACACTATGGAACCCACCATCCAAAAGGGTGTTACCGTATGCGATACAGGGTGACAAAATTGGGGACGTTTCGATCAAGCTCGGGGTCGGTTTCCACCAGGATGAAAACTTCACCAAAGCTTGTAAATATGCCTTGACTTGTTGCAAGTTCCTCCTGGCCCATGTCAGCAACCTGGAAAGTCAGAAGGAAGTATGACCCTTGTACGACCCTTACCACGCAACTGCCCTAGGTCGGCCAGATCTGAAGCCAGACAAATTACCCGCGAGGACTGAGTTGGTCTCAAAATCAAACCTCAACCATGGGTTCTTGCAGTGAAGAAACCGACATTGGGACAAGCATTCAAAGAAGCCTTTCGGCGACCAAAACGGACCCATCACAGCCGGTGGTGGTCTATGTCCGCAGGATGCAATTCAAAGCGGGAAAGCTTGGGATGAGAGCTTTTGAGACTAGCCATTTCGAGTCCGCCAAAACACCCTCGTGATAGGTCACAGCAATTACGCTTGATGGTAGCGAGGATACGCTCGTTGGGGTGCGATCCAGCCCCTTTCATCACCTAACGACTGACTAATGAGAGATCCGGATACGGTAGTAGTTCGAGAAGAAGGCTTGATACCAAACGTCAGTCAAGGATGGCATGGCATGGCATTTGAGGCACGATGCAGTAGTTGAGTAATCGCCCGCTCCTCTGCATCAGGTAAGCCACAAGGGTCTTTTACACCAAAAACACCGCATCGCCCAATCTCAGAATGGATGGTTACAGCATCCTTCCTCCATTTGCGGCCGTTACCACCTCGAGCCATTTCACCCTCAAAACTTTGCAGGACTTGAACTTGAGCAGCAAAATGAACCGCTTTCACCCCGCTCGATTGTACACAATGCGAATTCTGTCCTTTTCGCACTCTGGGCAACGCCATTACTCTATATTTGCGCTTGCCCTGTGCCATGATCTATTGACGCGATCAAGTTGCTTTTTAGGTGGTTCGATTTCTGCCAGTACTTGTTCTCGCAGCTGACCCGTTCTTCCTCCCTCGCCATGGCGCAAATGACCCATTCCACCATCCGTGAGCTTCGCTTTGTTACTGTCAGTGGCCAGAAGTCTCATCCGACTACGGACAAGAAGGAGCGCAGCTCGGTGCGCGCCTTCGTGATGCGAGATTATCTGAGACAAAAGAGCGATCCCACATCCAAGTTTACCCCTGCAAACGTTGGCGATCGCATCACTTCCCACATATCACGATTTCGATCCGCCAGACCTTCTTCAGCAGCGAAGCCCAGGAAGCGGAGAATGGTAGCAACTCATGATCGCAGGTCCGGGGCAAAGCCCAGAAGTCAACGGTTACTTATCCCAGCATTTCCTGGTTCGAACGATGAACTCTCAACGGTTTCACGGCTCCACGATCTGGACGCGCTGGATCCTTTCGGTACGCTGAACGTTGATCTTGCGGAACCGCAAACACAAAGTCTTCTTCAGTACTATCAGACTTCTTTCTGGGCCAACTCATTTGCCTGCAATCCCGAGGCGAGATGGATTTCAGTGGCACTAATGGATCCAGCAATCATCCACGCGACACTTAGTTTAGTAGCAATCCATAGAAGAGACTGTTTCTCGATCGATCTGAATAAGGTTTACTTCAAGCACCGAGGCGAAGCCATGCAGATTGTTGCGCAAAGACTGAGCAATCTGCAAAAATCTCTGAGCGATGAGACCATTGGGGCAGTTGCACTTCTTTCTAGTTCTGACAACCACTTTGACTGGCCATCAGAGGCTCAAACCACGCATTCACAAGGACTAGGCCATTTGATTGCCATGCGTGGTGGCATGGAGACTTTAAACTCGAACAGACACATCCAGAGAGTGGTCGGATGGGCAGACTTGCTGCAATCCGCGATGCACGGTACAAAACTTCGAGTCCAGATGCCAACCGCGGTAGAGGAAGCATCAACCGAGGACTTGGTTCCGAACATTGACAGTAAAGAGAAGCAAAATTTATCACCGGGCATTGTCCTACAAGATCTCACCCGAAGCGTTGGCGATTGGCTTCGACAGCTCCGCATTTTATCCTCTCTGAAGACCGTCTTACTCCGAGATCGCCAACAGCACTTGTGTCGGACCTTTAGCAATCTACTTTGGAAGCTCGAGTATTCAATATTGGATCCTCGGCAGAAATCAGCGACTGTCGCTGTTCACAATCAACGTGGTACACTTCCTGAGCATAAGCTGATGCCAAATGTGGTTGGCATCGCTACGCTGATATTCTCATATCTGACTCTTCGAGATCTTGCAGCTCCCATTCTCTATGTCAGGCTGAGTAGACGTCTGAGAGCTTATCTATCAACAATGATGACACCTCCGCGAAGACCTCAAAAACACACGGAGCCGGCTCGAAATGAGGATCAGCTCCTGGTTGATGATTTTCTGGGCGAAAGCGGGCTCGCTATTCTCTTGTGGTCGCTTTATCTCGGTTGGCGTGGATCACAAAGCGACGTAAAGAACCGGATATGGTTTACGGATCAAGTCGCGCAGCTTTGCTGGAGGCATGGAATCTTGTCGTACGAGTCGATCAGTGAGAAGATCCAAACTGTGATTCCCCAAGCCCAGACATTGCTGGACATTCGGGAGGAGTTCTGGGACCAGGTGGAAGATGTTATATGGTCTGAGATGATCTCTCTATACTAGTATCATGACACCACCGAATTTGTATGAAGGAATATCGTGTGTTGCTCAGGAGAAACCGAACAGTTTTCGATTGACCCTCAGGGGCGCCTCCTTATGCGCTGTCGCTGACTAAGAGCCACTTTACGCGCTTCACCCGCGAACTGTGCACCTCGTCCTCCTCACTCCACCCTTTGGATTTCCACGCGTACATCTGTCGCGTCATGACTGTGCGATGAACTGGAATCTCAACCTCATTATTCTTCTTATCGTAGCCCTTTCTTTTTGCACTTAACTCCCACAATGGCCCGGGGAGGACAGCAGCCTGCGGCACAATCCGACTTTGAAAAGCAACGGCTTGCTAATATCGCCGAGCGAGACGCCCTCCTCAAAAAGTTAACCCAAGAAGCGCAGCAAGCGGGCCTCTATTCTAATGCGCCTTCCGCTGGCACGCAACATGGCCAGAAGCGAGCCTCGAAACCTAAGGGGCCACCTGCAAAGCGTGTGAAAAGGGAGCCTGTAGAAGTCGTCCCTCGTCGAACATCCTCGCGACTGGCGGGCCTGCAAGCGGATAGCGAAGTCGCCAGGCAGAAAGCGGAGGTTGAATACGAAAAGCAAAAAGAAGTAGAGAGGCAGAGGAGACAGCGTGTCACTGGCGACCTCAACTTCGCCGCTGATGGAATAAGTCTGATCGGGACGGACGTGATACTCAAGGGTGTTGCCAAACCGTACGAGCGCACCTTTGATGAGCAAGATATTCGCGAGACGACAGACAAGGACCTGAAGGCGCTAAGGGAAAAGATGAGCTCCTTAGAGCTGTGGGATCAATGGGAGCCGAATCGTATCAAGCTCACGCCGGAGAGGATATACAGTATGGCATTTCACCCGACAACTTCGAAACCCATTGTCTTTGCGGGCGACAAATTCGGGTCACTTGGGATCATAGATGCTTCACAACGACCAGACACGAACCTCAAACAGGAAGAAGCAGGCGACGAGGATGAAGAAGAGGCACATCCGGACCCTCACATCACTCACATAAAACCTCATACCCGCACTATAAGCGCGATGCACAGTCATCCATCGAAACCCCAGACACTATTCACATCGTCCTATGACTCATCAATCCGAGCGACCGACCTCTCCCAATCCGTTGCCGTGGAAGTGTATGGCCCTTCTGATCGAGAAGACGATGAGCCCATCTCAGGCGTAGATATGTCCGCCACCGACCCTTACACATTGTATTTCACCACGTTGAACGGCGCTTTCGGACGGCACGACACGCGTCAACCGCCTGCAGCATGCGAATTGTTCCAACTCTCGGAGAAGAAGATTGGTGGATTCAGCTTACACCCTCTGCTCCCGCACTATGTGTCCACGGCGTCCCTCGACAGATACATGCGACTTTGGGATCTACGCAAAGTAACAAAGAAGTTGCCCACACTGGTGGGCGAACATGAATCGAGACTGAGCGTGAGTCACGCAGCGTTTAATACAGCGGGACAAGTGGCAACGACGAGCTATGATGACACGATCAAAATCCACTCATTTGGCGTTGGCAAGCATGCCCCAAAGGGGACGCAGACGCTGGAGAGCATGAGTTCTTGGGCGGCGGGCTTTAAGCTGGACGAAGAGGCCATGAAGCCAGAGGTCGTGGTGAGACATAATAACCAGACGTGAGTTTCGAGCCCTTTTTGAGGCAAAATGTGAGCCTCTCTTGTTTGAATGCCGCTTAGTATTGACTTAATGCTTGCCATTCCAGGGGCCGATGGACCACGATTCTCAAACCGCGCTGGCAAATTTATCCCGAAGACAACATCCAGAAGCTGGTCGTGGGGAACATGAATCGGTAAGCATTTTGTCCTCTCCCTTCCGCTTTTGTCGCATTCCTTCACACGTTCATTTCTTTCTCTTCGGAAAGACCAGGACCATCCTGCCTGTTCTTTTGGTTTTGCTCTTTTCCTTCCTTCACCTTTTGCTTACATTACCTCCTCTCTTTCCTTGCTGACCGCGCGCCCAGGTTCGTCGACGTCTACGCGGCCAATGGCGACCAGCTCGCCCAGCTCGGGGGCGAAGGCATCACCGCCGTGCCTGCTGTCGCCGTCTTCCACCCTTCAAAGGACTGGATTGCCGGGGGCACATCGAGCGGGAAACTGTGTCTGTGGATGTAAACATCTGTCCATGGACTATGTGTCATGTACCATGTAGCGTCTCGCACGTAATCATTTCAATGAGTCTGCCCCGTACTCTTTCTTCTGCCATATTTTTTCTTCACCTCATCTATCGAGCTCAGCCTAAGAATCCTTTCTCGTTGCCAGGACAAACAGTATATCATTCGATACAAAACCCCTTATTTTCCGAAGTTTGACCGAAGTAATAGATCATGCAGCTCGTGCGAATCCCAGCCACACAAGCAAATCCAGCAACAAAAGCCACTCCACAGTAACAACATCCGTAAGCCACATCGCCAACTATGCCGCTTTTGACTTCCTTCTGAGCCTGAGGGCCCATTTCGTCTTGGCATAAGGTACAAGTACCAGTAGATTTTGGACGAAAGCCTCACAAAATCTCAATCGCCCCTCCGTATATTATTAGCCTGGCTGGGCCAACCCATCCACATTAAACCGTGGGCCATGTCTCAGAATCGAAGAGTGTTCAAGTCGACGTCCATTGGAAGATTTCGACGGACTTGTACGGAGCACATACTTGTACAGTGTCTCTCGCCCACGCCAGCGGTTGCGCTTCCATCACAAAAATCATGCCAATTGCCACTACAATTTCGTCGCCAATGCAGCCACATCACCCTCCTAATGACTGAAGAATACCAGGTATACTACGAGGTAAGTGTGTGGCTTCTCCATACTTACCTATCGACTCATCGAGCCAACTCTTGCGCTGTTGCCTCCTTTCGCTTCGCAACAACAATGGAGAAGTTGGCGAGTTGGCAAGATATGACACGTGACGTGGCTGCAATAGCTTCTCAAGTTAGCGAAGTGGCAATCTCGGCTGGCCGTCCTTGGCCGTCGAGGCCTGGAAGGAAACAGGAGTCGATGGCCTGCGTGCCAATGCCGATTTCGAGCCAAGAATGTCGACGACAATAGTGGTAAAACTAGCTCGCGAGGCAGGTTTCGAGGGGTTTGTATGCGATCCAATACGAAGGGTTGTATATGGCGTCAGCTGACGGAATACTCACCACCATCACCACCAGTCACCACCAGTCACCACCAGTTACCACCTGGTTGCCACCGTCTACAACTCTTGGCCCAGGTAAGCCGAAGCAATGCCTATCAGGGCCTTAGCTTTATTTGTAGCGGCATTCATCTCAACCGAGACCGCATTCCATCTCTCCCCAAACCCAAGTCCGCCATTCATTCATCATACGGAGTACATAGGGGATTCAATCAGTACAGGTCCCCAGGATACAGATCCGGGCGCGGGGTTTACCAGAAGTCGTTGTGATTGCTCACTATTACTCTACACTTGTTTGAATTTCATGCCCAGAACCAGGTTCCCGCGTTGTCGACTGGTGATACATCACGAGGGTTGCGAGACTCGGGCCTTCGTTCCTCTCAACTCGCATCCAAGCTCTCCGTTTCCGTCCTGATTTACCTTGAAGCCAATTTTCATCAACAGAGGTCATGGCCCCCAGTCACCGCTACGACCTTGTTCAAGACGACGACGATGATATCAAGGACGAGCGTCAGGACGAGCCTCTGGTGCCCAGGGCCCCACAGGATAAAATAACACCAGTCAACATAGCATGGTGGAAAATTCTGCTCGGTCTCATCCTCGCATTTAGCGCCGGTGTCGGTGCCACCCTCGCAGTTGTGCTTGGTCCCTTGTCGGCCAAATCCAGCGGCAATGCAGCAGCCGCCAGTGTTGTTACTGCATCATCCAGTGCCTTACCCGCAGACCTGCCACTTCCTACTCCTAGTACATCCGTCGATTCTGCGGTGGAGGACAAAGTTGAAGATCCTGACAGTCTGGACGGCAAGATTCTCGACTGTGGATATAGCCCCGAGGAAGCGCGTGCCAAGGGCTGTGTCTACGACGTTATGATGCAGGACTGGGTGCCCGAACCATGCTACGACAGCATCTTGACAGAGCGATACCTCGCCCAGGGGAACTGGACGTGGTACGCCGACGGCGACGGCAAGATCATCATATCCGACGAGGAGATGCGCAAGGGCGAACACGGCGACGCATGGATGTCCTCTAGCTACCACAAAGCCCACTGCATCTTCTCCTGGGACAAAACCGTGCGTGCGCTGCGCAACAATGCACCGATCAGCCAGGAACTGCTCTCTTACGACCACGTCCTGCACTGCAGTCACCAGACCCTCAATGGCGCCGAGGTGGACGAGAGCATCGGCGTACGAGCGCCTACTAACTATGCCAAATGCGCATTATATGACACCTGGAGAAATAACTGGATCCCAGACAGACATTCTTCGACTCACGAATAAGTTGCTTGTATTTTACCAACCATGCAAGGGGTTTACTGGGTATGGGGTTATGGCGGGACCAGAATATTACAGCTGAAGAAATGGAATAACTAAAAACTATACGGTTTGGTGCGCAAGCATAATCCTCACCGTTGTGCTGAAGCCAAAAAAAAAATCAAGAAGATTATCTCACATTTCTCCTGCTTTCTCCTTCCCCTTTCTCATCCCTCCTCCTTCTGTGCCATCTGGCTCTCTCTCTCTCTCTTCTAGTGTGGAAAATACATCCCCGGAGATCATCGGAGATCATCGTAGCTCCATGCGCCGTCCTCTAAAGTCAGATCGAAGATCCTTTGAAATCCCAACTCGAACAAAATGCATGTTCCGAGCAATTCGTCAACCGTACAGTAGCAGGCCCTTAAATTACCCCTTGCGCCCGCTTGCGACCAGGGAAAGTGTGAGGGTATTGAGAGAGCAAGCCATTGCACGCTTTCCGCAAATGCGGCCCGATGTCTTCAACTCGAGACCGGACTAATCGAACAGGTCATACAACCCCTTTGTCTTCGTATTGTCATATTCCGCTTCCAGGTTGTTGGCCGCGATATTTTGCCTCAACGTGGCTGTCCCCAGCCGAGGTGGTTCTGTGGCGACGGCGCACCTCAAGAAAGAGATTCCCCGGCTGACCAGCTTCGTGATGATGCTGCATTGCATTGTCCCAGATTGACCAGCGGCGGCGGCGGAGGAGGAGGAGGAGGAGGAGGAGGAAGCAGAAGAAGAAGGAGGTTGAGAAGTCTTTGTGCATGATGGACACTCAGGATCGTGGCATGTCCATGTCTTCCAGAAGGCGCCATTTATGATCTCCGCGCCGTGCGACAGGCATGCGGACCGCAGGAGGCCGCTGTCACCATCAGAACTCTTCGTTTGACCGAGCTTGTACTTGCGTACGAAGCCCTCTATGATGGCATTGATGGCTGACAGGTGACCGCTAGCCTGTCCGTTGGGGCGAGCATGGGCAGCAACCCGTAACAACTCGAGGTGAGCGAGGAATTGGCTGACGTCCCCGTTGACGCCGCGACCGCGAAGTTTCGAAAACTCCCAATCGATCACACCTACGCCCACGTCCGTATCACCACCGGCCGCGGGCCTCAGGTCGACCAACACTGTGCCGGTCCAGCAGTCGCCTAGGACGACGCACTGTTCCTCCGGAGGGGTTGGGCGGAGAAAGTCGGCCTCCACCGCTGCGAAGAGGATCTCTGCCTCTGCTTCGTCCAACAGCGAGGGAAATTTAAGCAGGTGAGATCGGATGGGCTTTATGACGTGCTCGTGAATGACGGTCTTCATTTCTGGCACCGATGGGAATACATCGGCTTGAGGAGATTGCTGACCCGATCGATCACGCAGTAACACCTCGCCTTGTTCATGGCGTGCTGCTCCAAGAATGGATCGAATACTGCTAGTGTCATGCAACCGTGCAAAGAACATCCCCAATTTCTCCCCTATCCTCCGATAAGTTGAGATTTCGTGAGCTTCAAGCGGAAAACCCAGGCGTGGCGAAGATGGAGTAGGGGTCTGCCATGATGCTCCGCCGGCCGAGTCCGGCGTGGATCCGCCTAGCTCTATGAAGACTTTGGAGAGGTCTGGAAGTGGTCCAAGGTCAGAGAGAATGAGAACATGGTTGGCAGGATCGTGGTAAAGCAATCTGGGCACCATAACTCCTGACTCTGTTGATACGTGGTGAAGGACTCCCCGAGTCGACGGCGACGACAGGCTGCTTGATCGGTCCCCTTCAGTGAGAGGGTCAGGCGAGAACAACGCCAAAGAGGCTGCCTCAACTTCCTGCGACACATTGTAAACCCCCTTGGGCCACGGCAGCAATCAATGGCAGTACAGACGATGTGAGCGACATACCTGGCGACTCTGTGACATGGGAGCACTCTCGCCGATTCCCGCAATAAACGGCGGAGCATGCTTCAGTATCAACGACTTCTCGCCAGGGAATCTTCCTCGTCCACAGTCACAGTCATCGTCACAGTCCAGTCCGTCATTGTCATTTCTCGATTCCCACATCGTCGGTGATGGCGAGGCAGTAATAGTTGCTGCTGTAGCGATGCGGGATTTGCTGGCTCGCACAGTCACGTTCACGACTCCCCCAGCGAGCTTCTCCACTCGGTAGATATATGTAGCATCAAGCTGGCTCAGGTACGTAGCGAAATCAAAGTCCATGGTCCGCGACTCGAGGGGTTTTCAAGAAAGAATGCAGATCGAGGATAGATGGAGGGCAGGAGTGATAATGAGAGGACAAAGATGAGGAGTCTACATAGCTAGGGTCTATCTAGATGGATTCTTGGAGGATGTCAAAATACGAGGCATGTGCGCCCTGGGCAGTCAGGGATCTGGACGATCGGAGTATCTCTGAGCTCTGGAAAAATAAAGAAAAAGAAACCGAAAAAGAGGTACCTGGTCAGCACTCCATCTCATAGTCCCACTCGCCTCCTGATCTGTCCATGACTTCAAACGGGGCATCTTGCATATCAAAATCCACTACATCGGGAGGAGCACCACCGACGATGTTATGCTTGCTGGTTCCTCCTCCTCCTCCTCCTCCCAGTAACGAACTTCTCAGTCTTTCAATCTCTGCTTCGGCCTTCCGCCCAGCCTCTTCCAGCGCCCGGAGCACACTCCCCAGCAACTCCTCCAACTTGAGATCCCGGAGCACTTTCTCGTAGCGCCTCGTCTTGGCCGGATCCCACTCTTCTTCTACCCTCTCAGGACCGCGGAAGGAATCCTCGGGCCGCGACTCAACGTCTTTCCATTTGTTGCGGAATTCCTTGGCTACCCCGATGTACTCTCTCACGGGGCCTGTTCCGAGGATCGAGTGCAGAGGGTTTGAAGGGTGGTCGAGGGCGGCGAGGACGTTGGCGTGGAAGCGGTGCGCGGCGCCTTGGAAGTACAGCGAGTCGCCGATGATGGCGGGGGGCTGTGATGTTCCTGACCCTGATACCATCTCACCGCCATTGGCTTGTGTTTTCGAGGAAGAAGACACTGTGCCCGTGTCGTCGCCCTCCACCATTGGACCTGCAGCAGCGGCGGAGGCTGTAATTACAATCCCCCAAACACCCAGGAGGCAGACGAGTCCACGCTCGAGTAAGGCGTAGAACTCGTAAAAGTCGATCTTGAATTGTCGTTCCGCGTCGACCGGGTCAATGATCAAGTCGTACGGTCCGAGTGTAGCCCGTGGACCGGCGGCCCATTGTTGCTCGAGCTGCTCATTAGAGGGGCCATTGCTATTTTGATGGCGTTGGTTCTGGTGTCCTTGAGCCAGATTCAGCGCACGATGAGACCAGTGTGTCAAACTATTTGCTTTCCAGGCCAGTCGCCGAAACAGCCGGCGGAATCGCTGCAGTTCAGCCTGGCGGGACAAGTATCTTCGTTGCGCAGAGCTGAGCGGCTTCGCCGACAATGGTTGATTTTGTTGTTGCGGCTGCTGCAATGAATTGGAGGAGGCTATGTCGTGTGTCTGTGGCGAGGGCGCTCTTCGTGTCCAGGCCGGCACCTGCGATTCTCGTTCGCGACGCACATCGGGACTCGCCCATTTCGAAGCTGTCAGATCGAGATTCTGCATGACGTTACGACGTGACTACTCGGTATCTGGATGAAAATCATGATCCATCACTTGATCAAAAGGACGCTGTTTCACCGTGGTTTCAAAATGGAAAAATGGCCGGGGATAGACCGAAGTGACAAGGCTGCACTTCACTGTTATTTCTGCACCGATGAAAAGGGCGACAGAGTCTTTGCACATCGTTACTCGCGCAGTTGCAAAAGAGTCATCGGAATAGCAAAGGATACAATTGAGATGGGCGCACCAACATTATGCGCACCCGTCATTGACCGCGTTAAACCTGAGTCCAGCCGTCCAATCGCCGTGTCAACAGCAGCTGACGCTACGTATAACCCGATGCCAGCAACATCATGTGCTTCCGATCCCATACCAATGAATAGAACTTATCGCCTCCAATCCATGACTTGCCGAATCAATGACTGGGACCTTCCCTCGTCCCTCTTCCTTGCTGGTTTCTCCTACCCGAATGGCTGACCCTGCCCGTGATGTCTTGCCATGTCGCATCGAATCTTCTACCAGTGCTTGCCAACAGGCCTTCCTCTTCCTCCTCGAGCTCGTCTTCCTCAGTATCTGCGTCTGATAGCTTGGGTGTACGGAACAGCAGAATGATGAAGGCGAGCAAGAACACTCCCAAGAAGACGAACTGGGCCCAGAAGTCCACAACACCGAAGAAGGGGAAATTGACTGTGACTCGGTTGAGGAACGTCGAGACCACAGAGGGGGTGCAGACATTCATTGCGGCCGGATTGTCGGTCGACTCTGTGCACGGCACAATATGCTGCGGATGATCACTACAGTCAGGTTGTTCCCCCGGGTGTTTCAATGGGTAGTCGCAGAAGGTTTGAGGGCCAAAGGTGGCGTATTGTGGTGCCACCATCATAGCGATTGAGTAGTTGATAGCCAGCGTCATGAGAGTGAGCATGACCGTGGCCACCAGTAATGCCTGGGGCGACGTGTGAGCTTTACGGATCCTGAAGATTGTAATCCACAGGACACGGATCCCGATGGTGGCGATGCCGAGGATGCTCGCGCTGAAGAAAAGCATCACAATCAGCAAGAAGATGACATAGTCAATGGGGAACACCTTGGCCGACATGACGAGGATCCAGTTGACCGGCTGGAAGATGTTGATGTGAGCAAGCAGGTAGCCGCAGTGTTGTTTGCAGATCGAGTTCTTAGCCTTGTCAATGCCGGTGATGAGCATGCTGGCGAAAATCAACAGCACAATGATCACCAGCAGGATTCCGAGTATGAGCTTGATAGGTCGAAGAGTCGCGCCCAGCTTGATCCAAATTTTCCAAAAAATGTTCTGGTCTTTTCCCGAGGCTTCTTCAGCGAGCCGCTGGTGACGACGAAGAGTACGTTCTTCACGGACAAGAGCGTCCAGTTCTCTTTGGTCTTTAGAGGACAACCCATCGGGATTGCCCTGAGCGCGGCCTTCCAGCTGTCTCTGCCTCTCGAGATTGCTTTCTAATTGGGAGGCAGTGGATTCGCTCAACGCTGGCGCCGAAATACTCGGCGCAGACTTGATGAGGGTGAGGGGAAGAAGTGCAAGGCCCGCCGCAGTATAGAAGCAGTAAATGAGGATGCCAATTGTGATTAAGAGACCTAGCGCAAAGGTCAAGGCGCGTTCTCCGTGGTTTTCGGCCAGCAGTTTCTTGAAGAAGTCAAGGTCGAAGTGAGCTCCTTCCCTATGGCGGGCGACGGGGACGAAGAAGCCGACGAGGAAAAGCGCGACGCAAAGGAAGACGAAGGCCAGAGTGTATTTGAAAGCAGCCCAGAATCTGGAGCCGATTGTTTGGGTACCCTCCTCTTGGGCGACTTCATCGTATTCTTCGTACCAGAAATAGGTGAAGGGAATGACGAGGAGGCAGAGAAGCGCATCGAGCGAGTAGAGAAGGTAGTAGACGATCCGGAGGGTAAGAGTGATGTTGTCAACCTTTCCTTGACTTGCCCAGTCCTTCCGTCTGCCCAGCTTTGAGCTTGTGGTACTAGAGACCAGCGCGACATCGACTGGGAGCAAGAGGACGGTTGCTAGGAGACTTGTGATGGTAAATATGCAGACAGTGGTGACGAACATAGATCGGTCCCGATGTGTCTGGTAGAGGTAGACGAAGAGACATGCGACGGAGAGGAGAATGACCACGGCGATGGCGTAGACGACCCAAATCAAGGTGATTTGTATGTAACCGGCCGTTGCCATGGTCGAGAAACCCGGGTCAGCGAGCTCAGTCATTGTCAATGGGAGGAGCTGCATGATGGCGTTCTGAGAGCTTCAGCGAGGCTATGGCTGCACACAATGGCACAGCATCTGCATCTCAGGCCAGCTGGATGAATGTGAATGGGGACAGAGTGAAAAGGATGAGAAGGCGAGAAAGTAAGAGAAGTGCGCAATTGTGACCTCAGAGTGGGAGGAGTTGTCGCAGGGCAGCGCAGCGCAACTCGGCCGTCGCCTGATGGAAGCGAGGAAGCGAGGAAGATGGACTCCGTCGTCATAGCTGCCCACTTTGTGTTTGTCTTTCTAGATCCGGACTAGTGGTTGACTAGTGTGATATTGGAAGCTGTTCACGTGACACACCAAAATATCAACCCCCAGTTGTGACTTGGCCCTTTTGTCCCCTCCATCCGCTCTGTGAGATATGTCAATCTCTACATCCCTCTTCTAGCCTACCGATTTCAGGTGATGCGGCTATAAATCCAGCACTCAAGAAACCTCAATGATGATGTCGGGAAGGGGATAGTGCTCCTGGCAGTCAATCGACCGCCGCCCACCACCTCCCTTTCTTCAACCGCAACCACAGGATGCAGTGCTACTCCGAGCTCATCCCTCCTTCTGGCGTCACTCATGCCCTCTCACTCTCGTTCACTTCACCCAATGCCGACAATCTGATCATTGCGCGGACGTCCCTGCTCCAAGTTTTCCAATGCAAGCCAGTCAGTGCCGGTCAAGAGACAAGACTGGTCTTGATTGCTGAGTACAGCTTGGCGGGGACAGTCACCGCATTAGGCAGACTCAAGATTGCCGACTCGAAAAGTGGAGGGGATGTCCTCCTCATTGCACTTCGCGATGCTAAGTTGAGCCTTGTCGAATGGGATGCCGAATTGCATAGCATATCTACTCTGTCAATACATTTCTACGAGCATCATGATCTACAGTCTGCTCCGTGGGAACCTGATCTCGCTGATTGTGTCAGTCGTCTGACGATCGACCCATCGAGTAGATGTGCCGCCTTCAACTTTGGTGTCAGTAATCTTGCCATTATCCCTTTCCATCAAGCCGGGGATGATCTGGCAATCGACGACTTGGATGACCTCGACGGAGAAGATAAGGAAAAGTCTCTACATCCAGAGCAAATTGACGGGCACGCTCATGGGCGTCAAACGCCTTACGGTCCATCATTTGTTCTGCCTCTGACTGTTCTTGATCCTGGCTTATTGCATCCCGTCGACACTGCTTTCCTCTACGAGTATCGCGACCCTACCATCGGTATACTGTACTCTACCGCTGCCCGCTCCTCAAATATGAGTCCAGAACGGCGAGATGTCACGATCTATGCAGTCTATGCCCTGGACCTCGATCAAAAGGCGTCAACTACTTTGCAGTCAGTCCAGAAGCTTCCCAATGACCTCTATCGGATCATTGCTCTTCCATTACCTGTTGGCGGCGCTTTATTGGTCGGCGGCAACGAATTGATCCATATAGACCAAGGAGGCAAGTCTAGCGCCATGGCTGTGAATGAATTTGCGAAAGAGGCATCTGCTTTCCCCATGGCTGATCATTCCGAGGCGCGCCTGAAACTGGAAGGCTGCCAGGTCGAGCACCTGGGAAACGCAAATGGTGACATGATGATCATTTTGAAGTCCGGAGAGCTTGCTCACTTGACGTTTCGAATGGATGGCCGTTCGGTCTCGGGAATGACCCTTCGCAGACTCGGAGAGGCACAAACACAGAGTCTGTTTATGGGTGCAGCGTCTTGCACAGCGAATCTCGGAACAAATCGTCTCTTTATTGGGAGCGAAGAAGCCGACTCAATTTTACTGTCGACAGACAAGAAGGCCCCCCAATTGAAGAGAATCCGCTCCCGGGCACAGATACAAGCCAATGAAATCGACACTCAAGAGGAAGATGATGAAGAAGACGGTGAAGATGATGAAGACGATCTCTATGCCGAAATCATCGGCGGACATAATGGCCATTTGTCAAGTGATCTGAGCGGCCACAACTTTCGGCCACTCGATCGTCTTGCATGTTTAGCACCAATCAATGACATCGCCTTGGGGAATCTAGGCAAACGAAAACGTGATGATGCCGATGAATTAGACCAGGCTGGTCCACGGGAGCGCGAACTTGTCTGTGCGTATGGTCGAGGCAAAGCCGGTGGGATTGCCTTTATTCGTCGACAGCTGGAGCCAAAGGTAACACGACGAATAAAGTACGAGGATGCAATTGGAGTTTGGTGTATCAGTTCGAGTGGAAAGAGTCAGAATGACACCGAGAAGCATGCCGAATCTCGATTCGACAACCTCGTTTTGGTCTCGCAGGTGACCCCCGACGGCGCCGGGAGGTCTTCCTTATTTTCACTGGTTGACGACAACCTGGTTCCAATGACAGACTCGGATTTCGATGAGTCGGCCGGCTCTACCATATCTGTCTTCAGACTGGATACGACGAACCACACGGTCCAAGTTCTCCCAACCGAAGTACGTGTATATGATGTCAACTTCGGCCTCTCCCAAATATTCCCTGTTGTGGATGAAGAAGAAGGCCAGACAGCCAGAGCGGTCAAGACAACTTTTGCTGAACCGTATCTGATCCTCATCAGAGACGACGGAAACATGACCCTACTCAAAGCCGATAAAGCCGGTGAACTCGATGAGGTTGAGCTTCCTGCATCGCTCAAGGACAAGTCTGTCCTATCAGCTTCGCTCTATCATGACACCAGCGACTTCTTCCAGACATCAAGATTTTATGAGAGTGCCGGAGTATCGCAAGGGCCGGTCCTAGCAATGTTGACATCTGAGGGGCACTTTTGCCTACTGTCATTACCAAACATCGCCTTGGAGGTGTTTCAATGTGATAGTCTCCCGTTCCTTCCCACATATCTAATGCAAGGGCTTCAACTACCGAAACATTGGAGAAACAAGGACGATTTGGCCGAAGCACTGCTCGTCGATCTAGGGGATGCGACAGATTCTCGTCCATACTTGGTCGTGCACAACACGGCTGGAGACATCATTCTTTATGAGCCCTTCGCAGATCCTGAAGTGGTGGGAAGCTTCAAATTCAAGAAAGTGTCCACCAAGCCAGCCGAAGCGCCCGAAGATCAAATCGAGGAGGAAGGTGAAGAATCTTCACTGCGGCCGATGCAAGTTATCACGAATCTCGCCGGCCGCGCTTCAGTGTTCATCCCTGGACTTCAACCAATGCTAATACTACGCGAAGCTTCCACGATGCCTCGCGTTTACGAGTTGGGGTTGCAAAATATTAAATCGATGAATGCGATCCACATCGGAAGCTGCCGCCATGGCTTCGTATTCATCGACGAATCCGATTACATCTGTTTCTCTCAGCTTCCCCAGTCATTAATGCTGGGGCAGTCGGACTGGGTCATCAAGCGCGTCCCTATCGGAGAAGATATCCCCTCCCTGGCGTATTTTTCGCCTACTGATTCCTACGTCCTTGCGACAAATCAGACGGTAGACTTCCAACTTCCCCAAGACGATGAATGGCATCCTGAATGGCAGAATGAGGCCACCACCTTCTTACCCACCACGCTTCAGTCTACCCTTAGGCTGCTTAGCTCCAAAACACGTCGAATCATAAGCCACTATCATTTCGACTCTTCTGAAAGAATCCTCTCCGTGAAAGCGCTCAATCTCGAAATTTCCGAGGAAACGCACGAACGCAAAGACCTCATCGTCGTAGGCACAGCTCTGGTGAAGGGCGAAAATGTCACCACACGAGGGAACTTATATATCTTCGATGTTGTGGACGTTGTTCCCGAACCAGACGTGCCTGAAACAGATCTAAAACTCAAGCTCATCACAAGAGAAGATGTGCGTGGTGCCGTCTCTGCAATCTCGGGTGTGGGATCCCAAGGGTTCCTCCTGGCTGCGCAGGGTCAGAAATGCATGGTCAGAGGCTTGAAGGAGGATATGTCCATTCTACCGGTCGCGTTCTTGGATATGCGATACTATGTGCACGTAGCTAAGGAACTTCCAGGTACAGGTCTATGCATTTTGGGAGACGCATTTTCGGGATTATGGTTAGTAGGATACTCAGAGGAACCCTACAAACTGCAGATTCTGGGCCGCGACCTGGAAAACCCGGCAGTGCTTGCGGCTGAGTTCTTGCCAGACGGGAAACAATTATACATTGTCTCCTCAGTCGAGGATGGCATGTTGAGGGTGTTGCAGTATGACCCGGAAAATCCAAAGACGGAGCGCGGAATAAAGTTACTGTTGAGAAGCACGTTCCACACCGGAGCAGTTCCGACTGCCATGGCATTGATACCGCCGTCATTACGAAGAGCGTCTCACAGCACCAGAGACTCTGACGAGATGGACCTCGAGGACGACAACAATGTCCAGCCGCAACCTCATCAGATTCTCATAACTACGCAATCTGGCTCTCTGGCTCTCCTCACCCCTCTCCGCGAGAGCACCTACCGCCGCCTCTCAACGCTGCAGAACACTCTCGTTGCCACCCTTGACCATCAACCCGCCAGCCTCAACCCGCGGGCATATCGCCAGGTGGAGACCGACGGCATTGGAGGTCGCGGCGTGATCGACGGCGACTTGGTGAGGAGATGGTGGGAGACGAGCACACAGCAGCGCGTCAACAGTGCCGACAAGGCGGGCGGGTCTGTGTGGGAGGTCCGAGCTGATTTGGCCATGATTACTGGTACTACGCTGGGGTTCTAATTGACTGGAGAGAATTATGAAGGGGGCGAGGAGTAGGGACGGAGGGAGGGAGAAGATGGGTCGGCGGAGAGGTGTGGCATGGAAGGAAGGTGGGTTCAATCTCAGTCGCTCCACGATGCTCGGGACATAAAGCTGGTGGGAAAAGTAGGATTGGCTACTAACTCAGCACACTCGAGAAATGTCGTATCGCCTCCCTTCTCTGCGTGACTTCTCTGTCCGATGATAAAGACTTGAAAACGGGAAGTAGAGACTGTGTACGGAATACTTGGTTTACTACTGCACAAAGTAGTGATCTGATGGCTGAAAAGATGGATTGGCATTGTAGTCAGCACAGCATAGCACAATACAGCGCAGCGCGGTTAGGTATATACTATGTCTTCTTGAACCCAGCCGACAAGCGATCAAGCTACCCAAGGCAGGGCATCACCATGAGGTTTGCGGAGGCTTCAGCCCGCGCAGTGTTTCCTCGTCTTCGAATGTCTGGAGTGTGTTGGTGGAAGTTGTCTTTTTCCCTTGGCCGTGTCATGGCCATCTCCAGTTGTAATTCATCTAGACCAGGCGGCTAGAGTTCTCGAAGAAGATATCCTTAACATCGCAAAGCCCGTGGCGCTGGCTCAAGCTTGCCAGCCACAAAGTCTCACGACATCTTGTCTCTGTTTGGTCTGGGTCATACTCATGGCCAAAATTATCGAGAAACCCGGCAAAATTGCCCCTGTCATGGTTACGTCGCCGTTCTCTGCAACTCGAGCCTGTTTCTCTCGAGTCTGGTCTTTTGACTGGTTCCTCTTGTTACACCTTTGGCGCAACCGTTTGACAAATCCCTCAAAAGCGTACTTGTTAGCATCGCTGTCGAAGGGGCAGGTGAATCTCGACAATGCCATGGTGGTGGGCCAGTCTCCTCGATCAAATGCCGAGTATTGTTCTTGATCTTCCTCCGAAAGTGTGGCTGACGGCTGAGTCGAGGGTTTCAATCCCGAGGAGTCTGGCCGGTCTTGCTCAAGGAGCGTATTGAGACTTGTCCCATCGAGGATTGCAATCACAGCCACCGGCTTTGGTCCAGGGGCCGACGCTCGAAGCAGTCTTGCAGCTCGAGATGATCTCAATACCAGCCAAGTCAATTTCCCTGTTCATGTTGACGTCTTCAACGAGGCTGATAGCAAGAAATTTGAGCAGCAAAGTGATGGTGGACAATAACACGATCGTCGCTGCAATCGGCCGGAACTCAGTCTTTCGCTGTCGCTCTTGCAGTGGCTTGATGACTCCAAGTCCGATAAGAAAGGGCCTCCGACATACCCTATTCGCTCGTTCCAACTAGCTTCACCTTCGAAGACCCTGCCACAGAAATCATAGATGCTGGGTTGGTGAGACTTTCTCTTCTCCATCCGCAGCAGCTGCTGCAGACATCTTCAAGACTATCTTCGAAGGTCCTCCGATCCTTGTCGTCTTCTACTGTTAGAAGAGCTGGGTCTGGCACCAAATGGGAGATGGCAGATCATGCTGCTCTTCATCCCGCCTAAGTGTCCCATTTGCCACCACCACCAGCGGGTTATGGTACTCGAGATTACGGCGGAGGTAAGTCAGCGGCGGTACGACTACCACACGAGCAACAGCAACAATCTCCAACAATTCAAGTTCCACGTAAAGTGATAGGCAGACACCTATCCAGCACCAATATGGCACCTGGCGTCAGATCGACTGCCTGCCTCAACGTTTCCTTGATGCCCAATAGTTGTCGAGTTGCTCGCTCCTTAAGCTCAGGGTTGATCCATCAACCACATCAATGGATGCTTAGAGGACATAGCCGCCAGAGTCATCCAGCTCGGGTAGCTCATCGATGCTCGATAAAAATGATTCTTCCGAGATTGCTTCGTCTGCACCTACCGGGAAGGGGGGGGACCTTAACGATACGAGCCAATCTCCCCTTCAGCTGCGCTTGGGCGCTTTTGCTGCCGGCTTGTTACTTGTAGGCCGGATCGCCGCAGGGGAGTGAGAGTTCGGGTTCTAGCATTAGAGCTGCAGGACAATTGCAGTTGCATTTGCATTCTGGTCTGCGATTGGGTCGACCGACCCTGTTCCTTTTCTTCGCTTGTGTGGTGTCGAAGATGTCCCGATCTCGGTTTCGACTTCGCTTCCGGCGTTTTGGTGATGGTCGCGCTCGAAGTCGCACAGGCCCTGGCACTCCTCCTTGCGCTTCTGCTTTCTCTCCCGGCGGAGCTAGCGTTCGTCCCAGTAGATATAAATGGCGAACATGGAGCAGACGATCGTGTCGGCCTCGGTCTGGTTTGCTTTTGCAGCTAGATAGAATGCACGTTTGTGTCTTTGGCTAAACATCTACCCCTCTTCAACCCTTGCTCATTAGGTGAAAATGCCCCGCCTCAACGGAATCACGGGCTGGGTGATGCAAGGTGATATTGGTCTTTTCCACCGCTTGCACCGTGATTGAACGGGTCGGGATTGACCCGCGCAATCTACTATGTCTCTCCTACTCTAAGGGAATCCTGACAAGGTCCACGTCATCGGCGTTGAAAGAATTTATTTGCTCGACCGTCCGAGATCACCTTGCTTGCTCGAAGTCGCAAAGGTAGACAGACGTCCAGTAGTTTAGCCTTGCGGACGTGAAAGGTCTTGTCGAAGCCTGGCTTCATCATCCCACTGGGAGCAAAGCGCCAGAGGGAGCCGGAGAGCAGAGCGAGTGCCAGTCATCGTGGTGGATGATAGACTAGAGCTAGTGGGGAAGCATCATGTGGAAGACTTTGAAGGGTCTGGGTAGTGCATGGTGTCCGCTGTTCCGGTGTGCTTCTACCGCCCCCTGAGTATTGATGATGCTCGAGTAGGTACCTATGTACTCGGGTATATCAATGACATTGCGCGTATTCATATATGCATACCATTGCGATAACCAATTGGCTGTTCTCCTGGACCCTGCCACTTGTTCAACGACAAGAAGATGGTTTTTCTTAGTAAGTGGATAAGGTTGAAGTATACAAGGAAACACTCCAACAAACCGTACCATGACAAACATATTCCTCTTATTGACTTGATTGCAAGCGAATATGTTTGCTCTCCGGCTTGGTGAGAAGACAAAGCCGCACGGGCAGGCGAAAACCTTGTCAATCTTGCAGGCAGGAGACTCGGTGTGTTGGGACTGTGATGCATCTCTTGAGGGACGGGGGTATAGAGTATAGTGCGGCTGCTGCCCTAACCAGAGGTTGATTCTTCGCGCCTGTAGGACATGACGTCCAACATTGATTGTCTACAGTACAAGTAAGATTATGTACCTGGCAAGGATAGAAAAGAACTACTGTAGCGCCATCGGCCAACCTTCTTCCCGGGTGTATCGACTTGTACTTGCTAGGCAGGGCAACAACCTTAGCGAGGCACCTCCCACCCACCTCCTTCAGGCTGTATTACGAAAGTACAGTCACACCACAAGCCAGCCACGTATTATGATGGCGCCCCAACAACTAAAGATCAGACGACGCCGCATGTTTCCTCGAACTAATCATGCTGTTGAATGGATACAAACATGATCAGATCCAGCAGACTCGGCAAGATGAGGACGGCGCCCTCATCTTTTCGCGGTTTGTCCCCTGGCGGGGAGACCAGCAAGCCGAGCTATACCTAGTTCCTTCGTACTAGTGTTCAAAGTTGATGTCACAGATACGTAGGCAGAGGAGAGCACAAAGGCATTCTGAGCTCCTCTCTACCAAGTAACTCCCCATCATGACAAATGTGCTCGATATCAAACATCACCATTACTCCAACAAACGGAACAAGCAAAGGACCGGAAAAGGACTCGACAAAAGGACAGGCAGTGGTGTGATGATATGGTTACCAAAGGCCAAGAACCAACTCAGACACAATTTTATGTCGTGGCTCTGGCCAGATTGTGCTCTTCTCCCTCTCTTTTCTTATTCTTTCCTCTCTTCTCTGCCGAGTATATATAACTCAATATTTACTGTATCCTTTCTAACCCACATTTTAGCAACGCAAGCCTATCTTACCCACCAGCATTTCCGTAAATGAGCTTCCCTCTGACACGCCGACTTCTGGGTGATATCTAACACACACCTGCTACAAGCTTAAAACGTGTTGCGTACACGTTAAGCCACATCCATCATGACGCCCAGCGTTTACACCCCGTCCGCCAATGCGAGGCGAGTCGCCATCATGACCAGTGGAGGAGATTCGCAGGGCATGAACGGCGTAGTCAGGGCCGTCGTACGTATGTCGATCCACATGGGCTGTGAAGCGTATGCTATTCTCGAAGGGTACGAAGGACTAGTTCGAGGAGGAGACGCAATCAAGCGCATGTACTGGGAGGATGTCCGGGGCTACCTGTCCATAGGGGGTACATTGATCGGGACGAAACGGTGCCAGGAGTTCAAGGCACGGTCTGGCAGGATGGAGGCCGCGAAGAACTTGGTCATGAAGGGCATTTCCGGTTTGATAGTCTGTGGGGGCGACGGTAGTCTAACCGGTGCCGACATATTCAGATCCGAGTGGCCCAGCTTGCTGGACGAGTTGGTGCAGACGAAACAGCTCACGCCCGAACAGATTGAACCGCACCGACACCTTAATATCTGTGGTCTCGTCGGATCTATCGACAATGACTTCTCGGGCACCGACGCCACGATCGGCTGCTACTCGTCGCTCCAGCGGATTTGCGAGATGGTGGACGCCGTGGATGACACGGCGGCGTCGCACATGCGCGGTTTCGTCATCGAGGTCATGGGCAGGAACTGCGGCTGGCTGGCGCTGATGGCCTCAATCGCGACGGGCGCCGACTACGTTTTCATCCCAGAGAAGCCGCCCGGCCAGGACTGGGAGGAGGAGATGTGCGAGATCGTGATCAGCCACCGGAAGCTGGGCAAGCGCCGAACCATTATCATCATCTCCGAGGGCGCCCAGAACACCGAGCTCCAGAAGATCACCGCGGACCAAGTCGTCAAGGTCCTGACCGAGAAACTCAAACTCGACACCCGCAAAACCGTTCTAGGACACATCCAGAGGGGCGGCCTCCCGTCCTACTATGACCGCTGGCTGGCGACCCTGCAGGGCGTCGAGGCCGTCAAGGCGCTCCTAGAGGCGACGCCGGAGACCCCATCGCCCGTGATCACGGTGCGCGAGAACAAGATCCTACGGTCCGATCTGCAGGAATGCGTGCGGCTGACAAAGTCCGCGGGCGCGGCCCTCAAGGGAAAGGACTTCAAAAAGGCCATGAACCTCCGCGACATCGAATTCAAGGACTACTTCGACAGCTACAAGCTCACCACGTCCACCACGGAAGAAAATCCGCGTCTGCGCCTCCCAAAGGAAAAGCACATGCGTATTGCCATCATCCATGTCGGTGCCCCCTGCGCAGGTATGAATCCGGCAGTGCGAGCCGCCGTTGCGTATTGTCTTTCTCGCGGCCATACGCCCTTGGCCATATACAACGGCTTTCCAGGGTTACAGAGACACCACGCTGATAAACCTGTCGGCTCAGTCCGAGAGCTCAAGTGGATTGATGTGGACGACTGGGTGAACCAAGGTGGCTCAGAGCTGGGCACAAATAGAAGTTTACCGAGTGAGGATGTGCCCACGACCGCCGATTGCTTCAGGCTATACAAATTCGACGCCCTCTTCCTGATCGGTGGCTTCGAGGCCTTTACCTCCGCCAGCCAAATCAGGAACAACCGGGACAAATATCCCTCTTTTCGCATTCCACTCCTCGTCCTCCCAGCGACCATCTCGAACAACGTCCCGGGAACCGAATATTCGCTGGGCAGTGACACTTGCCTCAACACCCTAGTAGGCTTCTGTGATGTGATTCGGCAATCGGCGTCGGCGTCGAGGAGAAGGGTTTTTGTGGTCGAAACACAGGGCGGTAAGTCTGGTTATCTCGCTACCATGACAGGACTAGCCGTTGGCGCTCTGGCTGTTTATACCCCAGAAGATGGCATCAACATGCGCATGTTGTTACGAGATATCGACTTTATTCGCGAAGATTTTCAGGACGACAAAGGCGCTGCAAGGGCAGGGAAGATCATCCTCCGAAACGAGCGTGCAAGTGAAATTTACACGACACAAATGATCGCCGACGTGATCAATGTGGAGGCACAAGGCAGATTCGATGCACGCGTCGCAGTTCCTGGCCATTATCAACAGGGAATGAAGCCTTCGCCGATCGACCGCATCCGATCCTTTAAATTGGCGATTAAATGCATGCAATTCCTTGAAGATAACTTTGCTGGAAAGAGTCGAGATGAGATCAACGCTAATCCTCTCAACGCCGCCATCATCGGTATTCAGGGATCCGATGCCGTCTTCAGTCCCATGGGCAGTGATCTAGGCTTGGAGGCGACGCAGGCGGACTGGGCAATGCGTCGACAAATAACCGAATACTGGCGACCGGTCAAAGGTATAATCGACATCCTTAGTGGTCGGCCAAACGACACAAATTGGCTTGCTGAGTACGGCAAGCCGCCTGGACCCCTTGGAGAAGCATTCACATCTGTCGCCCCTAGCCGCTCGGGCAGTCCTTTGGCACAAAGACCTTAGGGGTTTGCAACGAGAGAAATCCAAGGCTTGGAAGTCGTCAGAATGTAAATGTCTGGCAGGAGGCTGGGGTTGACAGCTCGTGGTCTTGACTAATATTGCATGATTTGTTGAGGCGCAAGGAAAATGAGACATTTATGACAAGCTTCGGCGTTGGTTGAGGTCATCGAGGAACGAAGGATTGCAGGTTCGGGTTACTGCCCATTTGAATCAAGAATCGTGCATTTAGTCCAACACTGGATGATAATGGCTAGCATCAGGAAGACTAATGGAAAACTATTCCCTTTGGCATCTCCTTGCATAGCAAGAAAACTGGAGAAAGTAGTCGTCTTCAATGTGGCGAGACTGGAAAGTGCTTGTACATTCAACAGAGCCAAGTATTCAAATTCTGATGCTATTCAGTGTTGAAGTAGATTCGGGATGCTCGTATGGCCTGGTAATGAGCAGATGAAACTGACACTCCACGTCACTGTCTTAGCGTGGAGAGACCGCGAGGCTGAGCCCAAGGCCATGAAAAGAACCGTCTGTGACAGCATCTATTCCGACTAGCTAGAGTTAGCTCTTCAAACAGATTGTCAACGAGCAACTCAACGGCAGAAACGGTTGAAACAACATCCGCGCCCTTAACCTGGTATGTTCAAGGGGGGCTCTCGCCTCCCAGTAAGTCTTCGTCCGGCTCAAAAGGGACATCCCTTGCCGCAAAGTCCATCATACTTTCGCTTGCATTATCATTTTCAAGTAATCGGACCTGCATTCTTTTCTTGGCCTTCTTCTTCTTTGTGTTACTGACGGCTTGGGGAGTTTCGTCTTCAACAAACATTCCGGTAGGGCCTGTGGCCACTGATGCGCTTCCAGAGAAAACTGTCGTTTCTCGATAGATGACGGAGCCCTCGTCTACAACTTGTTGGCTGGCGATATTCTGTGCATAAGAGAGAACTTCATCACCGAAAACCCATTTTTGCTGGGATAGTGAACTACGAGTCTCCGAGACAGTAGCCCGGCCAGACTTCGCAACCGGGGTGCCTCCAAGCTGGGTTTCCACTAGCGTTACCTCGTCTGGAAATAGAGAGATGGTGACTCTGCGGTCAGAGTGGAATGGCTGATACGGCGCGTTGGTTTCGATTTCGGCTGAAGCGAGCGGATGTGGCGTTCTTAAGCCTCCTTCTCTGGTAAGTCGGACTTTCCAGAAGCTGAGTAGTGCAAAGCTCTCACTACTGTCTTCCTGTGCTTCATCTGGTAAGTTCTTGGAGGGAAGATCAGCAACTAGTTCTGCAGCCTTAGGGAGCTTGACTGCGACAGCTCTTCGTGCATCAAATACCGATACCGTGTCCATCTGACGATTCTCCCTGGGCTTCGTCATTCGAACGTAGTAGTTCTTGATGTTGCTTTCGTCCAGAATAGATAATACTGATTTCCCATCACGCCTCAGCCAACAGAATATCCCGACTCGGGCAGGAATCTTCAAATGAAGCCTGCTCTGATTGGCATGTCGTATGCTGGTAACAGTCTCAGTGGCAGCACCTAGGGACTTGCTAAGCCCAGCCGCTACTGCCCTGCTACCACTTTTGATGCTGGTCGTAGAGGCAAACCCGATCCCTGACGGGGCCATCCCAGTCATCCCGCTGCTGATACTTGGCGCCCTGCCCCGCAAGCTTGCAAGCATCGGCTGTGTTCTCCCGGCAATGCTCATAGCAGAGGCCAAGAATCCTCCGGGAGGGGCAGGATCGTGGTCTGCATTTACTTGAGAAGGATCAACCGGGGCAGAAGTCGGTCGAATTTTCTTGGTAGGAGGTGGCGGCCATTGAAAGGCAGCTTTTGGCAGGTCAAAAATGTGAATTGTTCGATTCTTCGTCAGGATGGCGAACCTGCAGCCAGTTGGACCATCCCAGGCAACATCCACGATTGAGGAAGGACTTAGACGTTCGTAGCGAGCAATTTGCCGCACACGAACGCTTTCAGCCGAGTTTGAAGTTGTCGAAACTTTGACGTGTTTCATCTGCATCAGATCCCAGATGTACTGCACATCGCCTTTCCGATTGGCTGTTAGAATGCCGAGACCGGTTGGCATGAACGACAGAAAGCTACACCCTCCCGGTGGTTGGAAGGTGATCATTGGGCTAGGCTCGGAGGTGACTTTCCGGTTTTGATTGTCTTGAAGCAGCCTCAAGTCAATTACCGTTACAAGATCTGGATCCTTAGATATGCCTTGCTGGTCAATGGCGTGAGTAGGCGGAAATTGTGCCAGAGCGAGCTGAGGAGAGTACACTGGAGGACTGGAGGACGGAGCAGCTGGCACGTTAGTGCTGGCTGTATCTCGTTTCCAATAGCTTTGCCAGGTCTGCATGCCTTTTTCGCTGATCCATTTCGCACCCCTTACCGCCTCCTGGGCGAATCCTTTCGCCACTTTGCTGAAGAATGTGTCGACATCGGGAGACTCAACGTCGCAGTTGGGCAAAGGCCGTGAAGGAGCCGTTCCAGCTGTGATGTTGGAGTTTTTAGTATGAACCACAAAATCGCCCAAGACAGCCCCAATAGATCTCCGAGACGGTGTGCTTGCAGGGCAAAAGGCGAGCCATCGTCCGTTGAGGCTAAAAATCGGAAGGTTCTGGCTATCCGGGCTACGACCAAGATCGGCGGGTGAAACATCCGCATCTGATCCTGGTCCATGAGAGGAGGAGTCCCTCCTGTGAAGCTGAGGTTGTATCGTAGTCCAGTACTTGCCTAGGCATTCAAATACCGCGGAATCCTTGCCTTGTCGGATGGAAAAGACAAAGATTTCTCCGCTGTCACCGGATGCCACAACAAGAAAGTTGCCGCTCGAATGGACTTTGAGGTTTGCCGCATGATTGACGCTTGAAGGGGCCCCTACCCCTGGGAAGCTCTCCATGAGTGTTTGCACTCTCAGCAGCTCGGCGACCTGGCAACCCTTGCTCAGAGAGAATATCACCACCTTCGTCTCGAAAACTTTATGATGACTCCCTGGAAAGGTTCGGCCATCTTGTGCAGGAGAAGGCTCTCCCGGCCCAAAGATCGTGAGCGCCAACAGAGGTCTGTAGTCCGCAAAGGGGGTTTCACCGGTATTCCATGTGAGTAGTACGGCATCAAGTATGGTACCTTGCACACCACTGAGCGCTCCTACATGTTCCACCTTCTCACCATTGTAGCTGACGATGTGCAATTCACCGTCTATAGCCAGAAAGGCAGCCTCCCGAGCCTCTTGTCCTGATCCTGGGAGGCGAGTGAACTTTAAAGGGACAGGTTCCGGTAGAGGTGTATGGGGAGGATGCAGACCCAAGTCAACATCGTGAGGGCCGTAAAAGTGGTGTTGAGGCAGATGAGGCGGTGCAGGGGGGGATCCATAGGCGGTCATGCCGTAGCCATAGGGTGAGGTCGAAATTCTTGAGTGAGTCGGAAGCGGAGGAATGGCACTGCTGTAGCTAACTGGACGAGCCTTCCGCAACGGAGGAGAAATGGGAGGGCTTCTGCTATTGAAGACGCCTCGGCTACTGAAGCCTGGCTCATAAGGGGGGGAACCACCCGTATTTAGGCCTGGAATGGGTTCGACCGGGGGAGTTTTACCATGGATAGCACTTCGGGCCCAGTTGTCAACTGGGGGAGTGTGCTCATCGGACACCTTCTGAGAGGCATTCACATCGTTCAAGACGTCGAATGGACTGCTCTTTCTGTTCGAAGGAAATGCCTGGGGAAGTTGGCCCAGGATGGAAGGAGGAGGGTTCGAGGGAATAGGGTGTTGAGATTGACCCATTGACTCGACAGTCTTTTCGGCATGATCGAGGCTGGACAGCTGTTTGACAGCAGCATTCTTTGTCTTTCGCTTTCCTACTCTTGAGGAGGAAGTATCTGGGTCCGCCACGGTTTGGAAGCCTTCTCTTTCTAGATTCCTGGACTCGGCGAAGGCTGCTTTGTTGGACGCTGGCATTCAAGACTTGGGGTGAGATACCGTGTAAGGCTGTAGCTAACTACTCGATGCGAGCAGTAGAGTCGACCCTGTACGAGGAGCCAGGTCTGTAAGATACGTAGGGACGCCGTGCAGTACTCGAGAGGGACCGGCGCGGGGTTATTCGACGCGTCGGTTGGAGAGAGAAGGGTGAGGAGTGGTCTCGAGCGGCAGATCAGCTTGCACCGGTGTGTAACTAGCCGAATGAAGGAGGGACAGGTGGGTGGTGTGCAACGAAGGACTGGCGGATTATACTTGTTCTTTGTCTTGCACAGATGAAGGAGTAGTGGTAGTCAGAGTCAGTCAGGTGGCATCACTTATATGTACTTTGCTGAGAGCAGCTACGTATGGAGGACACAAGAGGCACTCGGCAATCTAATAGTGGTTGAGTCAGGAGGACTCCCAGGTGATTTTAGTGACCTGCTTATCGGCAACGGGGCGCTGCACGGGCGTGTGAATGGTCGCCGGGCCTCAGCAAGTCTCAGGCACTCGGGGCGGTCACTTGCAGCACCGTGCGGGGGAGCCATTCCCACGGCCACGGCATGGGCTGCATGGGATATTACGATGTGGCTGGCCGGGTCACGAGTCACTAAAATAGTAAGGCGGTTCGCAGCGTCCGCTGTGCCCAGTACAGGGCCCGGCCACAGGAACATCGTCTCACAAGAGCAGTCCCTTCACTCTGTGGCAGCTGCCAGAAGATCAATTGTCCGCCACGTTCCTTCTCTCGCTTCACAGGCGTTACGAAGTCCTCTTGAGGTACCAGGTTCGTGGCGGGGACTCGACGAGGTGTAGAGGGAGGAAATCTCGTTTGGTTGGTCCTCTGCGCCTGACTCACATTCCAAATTCCTCCAATGCCTTGATTTCTCCCCACTCATAGTGACCACAAACGGCCGCTCCCAGCGGAAGTTGGGACTGCAACAGGGCGCAATGACGTCTCTGGGGCGGCAGGGCCAGACTGATTTGTTCATGCAAAAAGAGGCATTCTCCGAATCGGGTTCCAGAGCTTGGGTGAAAAGCTTTCATTCATCCAAGGTATTTGCTGCATCGATGGCATATAGGTACAAGATCCCTTCTCGCTTTTCAGAAACATGAGTGAACGAAACCATAATCGAGTCCTAGAGGATCGCAGACGATGTTGCAATAATATACCTGACTTCTCACTGAGCAGAGGGGAAGCTGCATCCACGCAAGACTGGGTCGCCCTGTGGTAGGAAGTGAGAGGTCTCTCGGGGTGTCAGTGTCCCCTTGTTGATGTCACCGAAGCACATGGTTGCTGCAAATTGCTCACAGCGTGAATGCTGCTGAGACCCGGTATGAACTGTTGTTCTTCTTTCCAATCTTTCATTTTGACTTCTTGGCCGCAGCGGCTCTAGCCTTTGCCGCCTTCTTTCTATTGCTTCTGATCATCACCATGGCGAGGAACGTCCCTACAACCGCCGACCCAAGAAGAGTGAGGATGACCGGGATTCGGATTGCCCAGACGCGAGGCGGGAAAAGGCTCTGAAGCGGGTGGTCGTCGTCCACGAACGGCTGCAACAAACTTAGTTGAAACCCACAATGACGGTGGGATGTACCATACCATGAACAAGGTCCATAATGTGTAATATAAGAAGACTGTGGTTGCCACCACGAGCGTCGCCATGCCCACAATTTTGTCCAGCTGTGGCAGGGGAACGATTAGTATTGTGATTGAACGCGTGGTCTGGGGAGTGAGCAAATACCATCACGCCACGATTTGCTTCCTGATTGCGGGTTCCGCCCTTTGGAACTCAAGTCTTGTGAAAGAAGGCTCGAAGAACCACTGCTGAAATGTTGGACACGCGGGCAGAATTGGACACGCAGTCGCGTTCTCAGAAAATGTCACTTTCGCTGGACAGTCCAAAAGGGGAATGGTCTCGGAAGAGTTTTTCCGGATTCCGATTTTTGAAAATCAACTTTCGATGTGTTTGCCTGCCACTACCTTCGAGTCAACCCTCAACACGAGATATCTTCGCCTTCACGAACAAGGCGAAACCTGAAGATATGAATCTAGCATCACTCTGTCCATCGATTTCCAGCGTTTGAGCAAAACCAGCATGGCGGACACGATGTTGCTGTCGTCCGCCGTCCGTCTCCCCACCCCACCCCCAGGTGGTTCCTATTCACCAGGCCCTTCAGCACCCAGAAAGAGATCCCCTCCTTCACGCTCACCTTCTCCTAAACGTCGCCGACCTGCGCCCGTTGAAGACAATGACGAGCGGAAAACGAGGGGGGCAGAACCGGAGCGCGAGATGGACGAGCGGGAGAGACAATTGCTCGCCAGGTTCAAACCTAGAGAATCAGATGAAGCAAGACGGAAACCCTTGACTGCGGAAGAAAAACAAGCGGCCGCGAAAGCCGAGTACGAGAAGTTACTCACCATGCGCTCAGGTGGCACCTATATACCTCCAGCGAAACTGCGTGCCTTGCAGTCACAAATCACCGACAAGTCAAGCAAGGAGTATCAGCGGATGGCTTGGGAGGCCCTAAAGAAATCAATCAACGGCCTCATTAACAAGGTCAATGTCTCCAATATCAAGCACATCGTCCCTGAATTGTTTGGTGAAAACTTGGTCCGCGGTCGAGGATTGTTCTGCCGCAGCATCATGAAGGCCCAGGCCGCTTCCTTGCCCTTCACCCCTATCTATGCAGCGATGGCCGCTATTGTCAACACAAAACTGCCTCAAGTCGGGGAGCTGCTCCTCAACCGGCTGGTCGTTCAATTTCGCAAGGCCTTCAAGCGCAACGACAAAGCTGTCTGCCTCTCTTCCACCACCTTCATCGCTCATCTGTGTAACCAGCAAGTCGCTCACGAGACTCTGGCTGCACAACTGCTTCTATTGCTTCTACACAAGCCGACCGACGACTCTGTGGAGATTGCGGTTGGCTTGACGAGAGAAGTGGGCCAACATTTGGAGGAGATGAGCCCACCGATCGCACTGGCTGTTTTTGATCAATTTCGAAGCATTCTGCATGAGGCTGATATCGACAAACGAGTCCAATACATGATAGAAGTTCTGTTCCAGGTCAGAAAGGATCGGTACAAAGACAATCCGGCGATTCGGGAAGACCTCGATCTCGTAGAGGAAGAAGATCAAATTACGCACCAAGTCGACCTTGATGATGATATTGATGTCCAAGATTCGTTGAACATTTTCAAGTACGACCCACAGTGGGAAGAACATGAAGAGGCGTATAGGAAGTTGAAAGCCGAAATCCTCGGGGAAGAGAGTGATGATGAGGAAGAGGGTGATGAGAGTGGCTCTGATGAGAGTTCCGAGGATGAAGAGGCCCAGCAAGAGCGTGCATTGGAAATCAAAGATCAAACAAACACAGACCTGGTCAATTTGCGAAGGACAATTTACTTGACAATCATGTCCAGTCTCGATTTCGAAGAAGCTTGTCACAAGCTGATGAAAATTCAACTCCCGGCGGGGCAGGAATCCGAGTTGCCTTCCATGATCATAGAATGCTGCTCTCAGGAGAAGACATACTCGAAGTTCTTTGGCCTTGTCGGTGAAAGATTTGCGAAACTAAATCGACTCTGGACAGACTTGTTTGAACAAGCCTTTGCCAAGTACTACGACACAATTCACCGATATGAGACAAACCGGCTGCGGAACATCGCTCGATTTTTTGGACATCTGTTGGCCACCGATGCTATTGGCTGGCACGTGTTTTCTGTGGTGCATCTCAATGAGGAAGAGACCACTTCCAGCAGCCGTATCTTCATTAAGATACTGTTCCAGGATCTGGCTGAAGCCATGGGACTGCCTGAGCTTCAGAAGAGGATGAAGGATGAAATTCTTCGACCCAGCTATTCCGGAATTTTCCCGACAGACACACCCCGCAACACACGATTCGCCATCAATTATTTTACGTCCATCGGCATGGGCGCCCTCACAGAGGAAATGCGTGAACATCTCAAGAGTTTGCCTAAACCGGAGCCCCCCGCTCTCCCGGCACCAAAAGACGAAATCTTGGATTCAGAGAGCGTCAGTTCATATTCGAGCTATTCTAGCTACACGACGAGCAGGTCATCCACAAGAAATCCTCCTCGCCGGGCCGATAGAAGGCCTCGGTCGTCAACTCCAGATGATCGGGCGAAAGGCAAAGCACGTGGCCGGCGTGCCTCCGATTCACGATCGAGATCCCCACCTCCAGCCCGAGGTGCAAAAAGACGAGGAGAAAGCTACAGCTCATCACTGTCGCGATCCCGCTCTCGCTCGGCTCGGCGACGTGCGCTACCGAGAAGAGGATCACGCTCCTTTTCAGCCTCTCGAAGTCCTCCGCCAAAACGAAGACGAGACACTAGCCCTCCGCGCGGACGAGCACGTACACGATCAGAGTCTGATAGTAGCTCCTTGGACGATTCGCGCTCCCCCTCTCCGCGACGGCTTCCAGCCTGGCGCCAGGGCGATCACTCAACGTCACGGTCTAGATCCCGCTCTCCGCCATCACGCCAAGCCAGTCCTGTTGTACATCCATCTCGACGGCGCAACTTCCCACCTTCAAGACCAAAATCCAGATCGCGTACGCCACCGCGGTTCAACCGTCGGACAGCAGCAAGGAGAAGTCCAAATCGCAGCCTGTCGCGGTCGCCATCGCGGTCTCCACCCCCCAGGCGTAGGGCCGACCGATATTCGCCCAGCAGGAGCAGGAGTCGAAGTGTGGCCCCACCGCGACGAAGAGCACCTCTGCCGAGGAGAAGGAATTCGTCTAGTGTTAGTGGACGATCAGCGTCCAGGTCGAGGTCACCACTACCTGCACGAGGGAAGCAGGGCAAGGGAGGAGCGAGGAGATGGTCGCCGAGCCCGAATAGGAGAGGTGGCGATGGAAGAGCGAGGGCCGCGGATTTTGACTAGTTGGTGGACAAGATGTAGATGGTGGGAAGAAGGAGTGGTTGCAGAGCGTCAAGGAACGAGAAAGTGGACATACCGGGCATTGTCAATTATGGAACAACATGATTCCTAAGCAAAAAAAGGCGACCAAGCAGCTTGGGGAGAAAGGGATGTGTGTGTCTCTTGTCTCGTCAGCGACGCTCCACCATTAGTTACGGTCGGCGGGAGGGACATACATCTTCCCATCTCATACATTCATTCATTCATTCATTCGCCTCCCTAATTTGTTTCATTATCCCATTTTATTTTGTATGATTTCAGGTTCTATGTGCTTTGTCCCCCATATACACCGTATGCGCCCCTCCCGTATGTTTTGCTTAGTATGCCCTGATGCACTCAGCTCGCTGCGTTGTTATGCCGTAGTGTAGTATATAAGAGCGTTGGTGAGCACGTCATAACCTCGTTTCAACTATCTCATAGTATGTCTAGGGGTTAGTAGCATAAGTAACATATGTAACATACCCGGGTATGTAGCCTATGAAACTTGGCCGCTCGCATATGTATGATATGCCGCATACCTTGGTGGTTGTGGTAGCATCGCTTTAGCATAGCATGCATAACATATCAAAGCCAGGCCGCCCTCATCATCCCATTTCATTCCATCCTCCTCCCTTCCCATCCCATGCTATCCCACCCCATCCTATGTCATACCGTGTCGTAAGCCCTACGCCGTACGGCGCCATGTCATGCCACGCCATACCATGATAATGGCGAAATAAATAGCTCCGTTGGCCTTGGGACCCTTTTACCTCTGAGCCTCTTATTTTCCAAAGCCACGACCAAGAGAGAAAAACGAGAGAGAGAGAGAGATGGGTATATAGTCACAGGAGTTTCTTTCCCCAGGTCTCGTAGCCCGTACGCGGCTTTGCATGGTCCGGTCGATTCCCAACTTGGAACACTGAATATTGATGGTGATGGTGATGATGATGATGAATTCCTATCCAGACGCCGACCACCAAACCAGCCAGCCAGCCAGCCAGGCACGTCATCTCGCTTCCTCCAAACGCCTCGTGCTCGTTTATTTGTCGTTACCATTCAGACCGTATCGTCGTCATAAGCGAATCGTACATCCTTCAAGCCTCGCCCGCGACCGCCGCCCCTGTATCCACTCCACCCGTCTGGCCCTCGGACACCCATGCTCTGGCAAAACTGCTCATCACCCTGCGGTCTCTCATTCTTCGTATTCCCCGTCAGCATGCTCTGCAGGCTCATGCAGACGGACTCCACGGACTGAACAGGCGACCACCCCGCTGTGCCCAGGAGGTCGAGGCAGATGATGCCGTTGGAGTAGATGTGTGGGTGGATGGGGATGGGCCGGCCTGCAAAGGGTGTCTCGGACTGTGATTGCTGTTGTGGTTTTGCGGGGTCGGTCGCGGAGGGCGGCACTTTGATGAAGACGACTTCGGGCGCTTCTATATATTATGTCATGGCTCCCATGTTAGCCAACGTTGTCCCATCCTCTCATAGTGGGTTTCCTTCTTTGCTGCTTATCTCTGCAGACGCCGCACGTACCGATGGGGTAAGAGTTTGAGAAAAGAAAACTGAGACGGAAGACTTGGTTCATGTAGAGAGGATTCGCATCCAAGACTCGTATGTCGACCAGCCATTCTCGGAAGTCGTCTGCTTTGACCAGTTCGATGCCCGGAGGGAGTTTTTGTTTTGCCTAGCGTGGTATCATGGGTCAGACCTGTATCTGATAAATCGAGAGACCGGTACAAGAGGGAGAAGCCTGGCTTGTAGAGGGGGGAGCGGAGTTGCATGTGATTACCTTCACCAGTTCCTGCGACGGTTATGGGGGCAGTTAGCCAGCCATCCTTGAAAGACACACGGTATCTGGATCCGAGTCACTTACTTTTCCTAGTCTCTTTGCCGCGAACATGGTGTGGAGGGGGACAGGGTGATGTGGGAGGAAGTCGATCTGGGCAGCGCAGGCACCCAGGTGCGGGAACAAGGCTGGACCGGACGAGCTGAAGTCTTGAAGCGGAAGGAGACGACGTATGTATGTTTGGGCAAAGGCAAGAGGAAGTAAAAGGTCCGCGAAAGGCGGCCAGGAAACCTGAAAGCAAAGATAGATGTTCTCCTAAACTCCTATGCGTTTTGTAGGTGGCAGTGTACACAGTGTAGAATGTTGGTTGGATCGGTACGTCACGAAGCGAAATGGACAGTTTGGGGGCGATGAACGAACTACGAACCATCGGAGAAACGGTACCGAAGTCACCCCGCGAACATGATGAGCCTAACCAAGTAATAGTGGCCATCTTGTCCATCCCACTTCGCCCCTTTTCGCGCCTTTGCAGCCTTGTCAATAACCGGGTCAGTAAATACACCAACTTCACTACAATAGCACCAAGTGACAGAACAAATGCTTGACATTAAAATAGTGACGATTTTTTTGATCTCACACCTCGCTGAAACTATGGGAAACTTCTACACATCTGGGTATTAAAGTGACAAGGCTGAATGGAGCGCGGCAATGCATGACAATATTGAAGTCAGCATATTGTAGAGACAATCACTGTTGGCCCTCGGTGGTGGTCTTGGCCGCCTCCTTTTCCGCAGCAACACTCTCAGACTGTGGTGTAGATGATCCATGCGGGTTGATACCTTGGGTGATCTGAGCGTTGATCTGGGCAATCGAACTTCGACGGTTCGTCGCGTCGTCCTGGAACAATGACCACTCGCCAATAAGCTCGTCAGAGAACTGGTCGAGATCCAGACCAATGATTTCCACCTCATCTGTCACTCTGAGGTGCAGGCCAGGGATGTATTTGAGAATCAACAGCATGATGACGGAAAGAGTGAAAGACCAGCCAGCGATGGCAGCGATTTCAGCCAGTTGTTTGGCAATCTGGACGCCGTGGCCGTCGATGGCTCCTTGAGCGATGGTGAAGCCATCGAGAGATGAGACGGAGGCAGAGGCAAAGATACCCGTCAGGAATGCTCCGCACATGCCACCGATTCCGTGCAATTTGCTATTAACCCCCGAGTCAGTGCTTCGATCAACCATCATGTTACAGCCAGTACTCACAAGACTTCCAGGCCATCATCAATGTGGAGCCAATCGTTAATAGGCTCGCTCAAGTTGACCACAATGGCGGTGATGAAACCAATGGCAGCTCCACACCAGACAGACACGTAACCAGCGGCCGGTGTAATACCAACGAGACCGGCAATAACCCCCTCGCAGGCGCCGACAACAGAGAATTTCCGGTGCTTGATGTAATCCATCAAGACCCAACCAGCGACACCAGTTGAGGCGGCCATGTTGGTGTTCCAGACGGCCATCATTGCTCGAACGCTGGCGTTCAGAGCAGAACCGCCGTTGAAGCCAAACCACCCGAACCAGATGAGGACTGTTCCGAGGAAGACAATGGTGACGTTGTGAGGCTTGTAGACGTGCTTCTCCCCATATCGACTTCGCTTGCCGAGGACAAGTGCGTATGCCAAACCGGCGGTACCGCTAGAGATGTGGACCGGGCCACCCCCAGCGAAGTCAAGGGCGCCAAAAGTGAATAGCCAGCCATTTGCATTCCAGGTCCAGTAGGAGATCGGGCAGTAGCAGATGGTGGCCCAGCAGAAGCCGAAGATGATGGACGGAAGGATGCGACCGCGTTCGAATGAGCCACCCACAACGATCATGGTCGCGCAGGCGCAGAACATTAACTCATAGAAAGCGAAGACGATGTCGGGGATAACAGCAGAGCCCCATGACGGCGCGGCCATGACCTAGAAATAATAAGTCAGTCCTGTTTTGCCTCGGAATTTCGTGGTCGACTCTTCAGGCTTCCTTACATCAATCATTCCGAAATTCTTCAGGTCGCCAATGAAGGGACCACCAGTTCGTGAGAAGGCGAGGGAGAAGCCCCAAAAGGCCCATTGAAAGGTGCACACGGCCATAACGGTCAGGGACTGGAACACCATGGCCAAGGCAGACTTTCTGCGCGTCATGCCACCGTAGAGAAGACCGATACCGGGGACAATCACAAAGACGAGACATCCCATAAGCATCTGGTAGACATACTCGTACTCCAGGCCCGTGTAGGGCAAGTTGACGTCTATCTCCTGCGGGTTGCCTCCATTCGCCATGCTGGAGTTGAACTCCGGCTAGGTCTGGGGTTAGCATAGAGGCCTCAGAAGAATTGGTGAAGACGAGGAAACATACAGCGACCGGAACTGGTACTGACGCCATGGCCGTAGATTCAAACAATACTGGGTGTAGAGTCTTGGAATGAACACCCTGCTGCGGGACAAGAGTTTGACGCAGAGAGTTGTGGAGACGGGGGGACAGACCTACATACTATATACTTGTACCTGTCAACGGATATCGGAAGCAAGGTCCAGCATGGCGAGAACGAGAGTGGCAAATCTTTTCATTACCAGACCACCTCCACGCTAGAGGCCAGTCCAAAAGGTATCCGTTGCTCTTGTTCTCGTCGACACACCCACAGGTGTAGTACTATGTTTGGCCTCGAAGCGAGGAGCACGAGAATTTTTTTTCTTTATTCTGGGTCCCCAGACACGGGAGACTTGCGGGCCTTGTCTCGAATGGGACCGGACAGCCGACTTGGTAATGGCGGTCCTGAGACTAAGCCTGAGTTGATAGAGATAGATGGACAGAGGAGATTGGCCAGTAGCAAAGACGCTGCAAATACCTGGAACAAATGGGTTGGTAAGGCCCCTGAATACGCCTCGTGGTTGACTGCTGAGGTTGTAAGATTAAGATTAGCGAGCCTTGCTCTCTTATCAGTGGAGCCTCGCCAAGATATGTGCCAAGCCCCATATCTCTCCCTGCTGGGCCAATGGCACGGGACATGTCGGGATAAGCAGGACCTCCGCTGCGTGAGCGCTTCCTTCAGGACTCTTTGCAGCCTCTTCATCTTGCAGCAACTTTCTTCTGTCTTCGCCCTGTGGATCCGGAATCCTTGAGGCGGCTTTGGGTTGCCGCGAGAGCCAAACATGTCCGCCCAAGCACCACCCCAAGCACACTCCGACTCCGGAGAGGGAACCTCCTCCCCACGGCCGCCCGCCTCCCGCACGGCCTGGCAGTCGAAATCTCGCTTGTCCATGGCATGGTCGTAAGTTAATGCATGCCGATGGTCTTGGTACTTTGGCAGGCAGTCCTTGGTAAAGAGTCCGTCCTGGAGACTTCGGCTGTGTGTCACGAGGGCGAATGGGCAATTACTTGGAATCAAGTTGGCTTCACACACGGCAGGAATGTCTGCCTGTGCTATCTTGAGGGTTGTTGGCAGCGAGGGGGCCAGTTCCTGTCATGGGTCGAACCGGCTACTACGGATGCCTGATTGGACTGTGATCCAATTCCCTACTCGCCTCAGCGAAAAAAAATTCTGTCCTCCACCCTTTATCATCCATGCTTTCCGCTTACGCGAGCCAAAGCTGTTGACACGAAGCCTTGGGGATCTTGACGCATGATAAGCATCTCGACTCTCAAGGCCACGCGAGTTGCTGCGAAGTTTTATGTCAGGAGGAGACACGGCTTAGAATGCTTAACTGGGCTCGGATCGATCGACGTTTTGCGGAGTTCGATACGCCTTCCAGGCCGAACGACAAAATTTTCTCGGATTCGCGGCACCATCAGCTTGCCTTTTGACATCTGACACTGTCACAGGTGCATACACGGGGTATGGGGAATTGGTGTGGTGATGCGAGTGGGAAGCCAAACCGTATCAAATCTCAAGTGCCGCAAGTTGATGAACAACAACCGACTGCCGATAGGACCTTTGCCTTGTTCAATTCAAACGCCCAGAAAGCCCAGAATATTGGCAGACAGGGTGCGTCCGCCGGTCAGAAACTTGTGTGAAATGGCGTGTTACACCTGATCAGCTTGGAAAGAACTGTCGTGAGAACTGCCTGCATTTTGGTAGTGGTGGGTGGTCCCTCAAAGATGCAAGTCTAGGCTGGAGACGCTACTTCTCAGCTGCACCAGATGCAATCATTAAAGGTGTGTGTTTGAACCCCTTCCCTCGTGCTATCCATGTCGTGACATGACCAATCTCGAGAGAGAAACGTGATTCGATGTTTGCTGCGAGCAAGGCTCAAGAAAGCGCGTGAGCTCCAGGAGAAGAGCGTCACACTAGTCTTCTGGGAAAGATCAGGCATCTACAAGTATTTCTCTTAGAAAATACATCCTGGCCACGCCTCCAGCTGACTTGAAGATGGGCAAAGAACACTTTCAAGAAGGACAAGAGCTTCTGGTGATTGCGTTCAGTGCGAATAACAAGACGTTAATGCTGGACATGACGAGTCTGATGACAGGAGAGGGGCCCCAACTGATCTCTCACCACTGGTGCCACTACCTTGATAGGTAAGTCACAAGCGCCGTGACCAAGACTACCAGGTACAAATACAACGCCACTTCCCTGCGCACCCGACGTGTGGCGCCGCCATCCACTACTCCCCAATCGCGTAGGGCGTATTAGCCTTATCACGTTTCGAATTGTGAAAACAGTAACGATGAGGATACAGAGCAAGAATCATTGAAGCGAATTCTGGGTCATTAATATCAAACCTGGGAGCCCACCCAAAGGACAGCCCCGGTTCTAGTCTACATTCGAGGTCTTTTACCTTGTTCTATCTGGTACTCGCATCCCGGCATAATGGACAAAATCTTGACAACATACTCGATCCGGGATATCAGCCACGATATCGCATCGCGTCTCCAATCCATTGGTAATGATACATATTATGTGCACCAGCGATTTGCCATCTCGGCGTGCTGGCTCCAAGCAAGGATCACATCCTTCCTTGGGTTGATTCGTGTGAATTCGTTTGGCTCTATCGAAGTTGGGGCTTGTGACGATTGATGATTTCGTCATGGCAAAGAGAAGTGGTTAATGGAGTCATGAAGGCAGCATCCTCGAGTTCTGTGTCCCTCAGCTGGCCTTCTTCTCAAGCCTTTGTCGCGGGCTTCTTCGTGTCTTGCTTTTTGCTCGACTTTCCCAAACCCAGGGCTCTAGGACTGCAAAAGTTTTGTCAGCAATTTGCTTCACCACCCACACAGAAGAGGCGAGTGTCAGTGCTTGCTCACATTCGCGACCAGGGGTCTTCATACACCTCTCTGTCCACCTCTGCCCTGTCAATAAGACGTTGCAGCGACCCTGGCAGACGAGGCTTCCTGAGAAATGATTTCTTGTTGTTGCCTTGCTCGACTTTGCTGGACTGCTTTGATTGTTGTGGTTGGACTTGTTCCGAAGTCTGTGGACCTGGACTATTGTTCCTCGTGTCATGTCAGATTGTGGGACCCATGGGCAGGCGGGGAGAGGCTATTGTCAACGGGAACTTACACTCGACTCCACGGATCTTCGTACAGATCTCTTTCCTTCTCGGCCTTGTCAACGAGGTTCTGCAGCGGAGCCGGCAGACTGGAGCTTGATGGCGACCTGCAATGGGCCGATGCGTTCTCCGTACTGACGGAATTCATTAAGGAAAGGTTGTCGCGTGTTCCGCTACGGTACAGTGTGATGGATGGTGTTGGATACGGTATGTATGGTCAAACCGTTCTTATTGTGTTATGTGTTTTGTTCGCTCGGTGGCTTTTGTGTTGGACTTCCACACAGATACTGGTAGCCAAATCCCTTGGTCCTTGCCTATCCTTTATACACGCTGCCCCCGTGGGGTGAGCACGCACCCACGCACACACTCAATATTCGCGCTCCTACACGGCCAATCAGACAAGTGACAAGTTCGGCGCAAACTCGGCCTCTGTCGTCATCTGCTGCCTTTTGTTCTTGAGCAGCGATGCAGGACCCTACATCATCGTGCAGGAGAAACGACGAGCGAGATGCGAGAATTGTCCGACCACCATCCAAGCTCATACCCCGCGAACTTACGGAGTTCTCTACACCTGCTAGGTAATTATGTGATGTCCCGGAAGCCCGTTGCGGTGTTGTTACTCATCAACGAACATGCATATATCTGTAACACATTGGGGTACATTTGCACAGCGTTATAGACGAGGTGATCAACGGTTTTTTTTGCAAAGCGCTCGCGTGGGCCTGGTCGGGTTTTCTGGGGATGTTTGATGCGCGATTCTGTTCATGCTGGGGTATGGTATGTATGTAGGTACCATCATGCGCCATACGAGGCATAGGGCCCATTCCGGTCGAGATTTCTGTGTTTTACGTATGGAGCTACTCGCTGCTGAGTGCCCATTGCTCTGTGCGTGGTGCGCTGTACCTTGCACTTTGGACAGTGGATTCTGCGTGCAGATCAGACAGGTCAAATAGGGGAGGGATCAGGCTCGTTCCCTTTGGCGGGAGACGTGAGGCTTGAGGTACAAGCTATAGAGCATAGGGTTCAAGGGGCGGAGAAACATGAGGCATGAGGCTGGGAAAAGTGCCATGTTACTACATCTGACGACCTAACTGGTTTATTCTCGCCGAAGGCAAAGTATGTATATGGATGGATGCTGGACAACACTGAACAATCAATCGATCATTCACTCAGTCGGTCGAATGCAAACGGGGGATGAATCTTACATTTCTTTCCATCAGTCATCATCACGATCACCAACGCCATCATGATGTGGTCGCTTCCTCGTTGAACTTCAAGTCTAGGCCCTCTAAGTCTCCCTTGGTCCTCCACTCCTTCAACAAGTTCAGAAAGGCCGGCGCACCACCCCCGTAACTGGCATTCCTGGCAGCCCCCGGAATGCTCGTGCCCTCGTTGTTATAGTAACCCGGTGTGCACCCAGAGAGGAATTCGGCGCGCAGCATGGCCATCTTCAGGATCGTGTTGATCCAATCCTCCTCGGCCTCCGCGGTCGGTTCGACCGTCCTGACGCCGCGCTTTTGACACTCGGAGATCACGTACGCAATATGTTCAGCCTGCTCCCCCGTCACGTGCAGGAAGTTGGGAGACAGTGCGGCCTGTACAATCTGCACCCAGAAGCAGTTGGGGAAGTCGCGCGTTGTCCAGCCGTGCAGGGTGCGCGAGCCGTCTTTCCAGCATTCGGTGATGGTCTGGCCGTTGCGCCCCGTTACTTCCATGTTGGAGCGATGGCTCCATTCAGTCGCCAGCTCGAAGCCTGTCGCGTAGATGAGGGTGTCGAGTTCGTAGAGTTGACCATTGGCTACGACCCCCGTTTCAGTGATGGCGTCGACGCCCTTGCCCGCCGTGTCGATCAAGTGCACGTTGGGCCGATTGAATGCATCCAGGTATTCATCGTGAAAGCATGGTCGTTTGCACAGCTGGTTGTACCACGGCTTCAAGGCTGCTGCGGTCACAGGATCCTTGACTACCTCGTCGCAGCGTGCCCGAACAGACTCCATTTTCTCATAGTCTGCGATCTGGCGCTGCGCTGCGGCTTTGGCCGGGTCAGCGGGCTCATTGTCTACTGTAGGCTGCCAACGTGCGAGCAGCTTATGTAAGATGTCCGTCCAGCCGTCGTTGACGAGGTCGACGGGCGCGATGCCGCCGTTGACGATAATGTTAAAGTTGTCCATGCGCTCCTTTTGCCAGCCTGGCTTGAGCGATGCGGCCCACTCGGGGTCAGTTGGCCGGTTTCCGCGAACGTCGATCGAGGACGGCGTCCGTTGGAAGACATATACCTCCTTGGCCCATTTTCCTAAATGAGGCACAATTTGAACGGCAGTTGCACCGGTGCCGATGATGCCTACACGTTTGTCGGAAAGCTTATGGAGGTTACCTGTAGTGTCACCGCCGGTGTAGTTGTAATCCCACCTAGAAGAATGGAAAGAGTGACCTTTGAAAGACTCGATCCCCTCGAGGCCGGGAAGCTTTGGACGATGTAGAGGTCCAGCAGCTGGAATGACGTACTTTGTCCGGATTGTATCGCCCCAATTGGTCTTTGCCGTCCATAGCGAAGTCTTCTCGTCCCACTCCAGACTATGCGTCTCGGTCTGGAACAATGCTTTGTCATACAAACCCCAGCGACGGCCGATCATTTCAGCGTGTTTCAAGAGTTCGTTGGCTCTGGCGTACTTCTCCGTCGGCATGTAGTTTAGCTCTTCGAGCAGAGGCATGTATATGTACGATTCAATATCGCATTGAGCACCCGGATATCGATTCCAATACCTATTGACGTGTTAAGAGCAGCTCTCTTCGAGCCACTTCAGGCGATTGTTAAGTGGGACTAGGCTCACCAGGTCCCTCCAAAGTCACCTGCTTTCTCAATGATGCGTAAGTTGGTGACGCCAGCTTCAATGAGCCGAACGGCCACGAGCTGAGCGCCATATCCGCCGCCGATAATAACAGCGTCGACTTCCTCGTCGATCGGATCTCGTTGGAAACCAGGCTCTACCCATGGATCCTTGAGGTAGTGGGCAAAAGGGCCATCGTGCTCGACAAGACGATATTGGTTGATACCACCTTTCTCTTGGCCGTACTTTAACCTTTTATCACGTTCCTCCAGGTACTTCCGCTTCAACGCGTCAGGGTCGAAGGGAAGGTCATTGGGTTTAGAGGCCAGAGAAATATTAGACTCGAGCGTCGCCTTTGGGGGCTTTGGACCCAAGAGATCAGACGGAACAAGGACCTCGACTGAGCCCATCTTAATCTGATCAATGCAGTCACACCGGTTTCAGCCAAGCTTTGGGGTATTTAGAAAACAAGAAGTTTCTTTGGACGCCTTTGCTGATGCGCCTGTCACTGTCAATAACAGTAGGGTAACCTTCAATCTATTCACGATCTGTCAGTGAGGTGACCTCGGCAGGACAGGAAGGTAGATGGAAGAGCCTGATCTTTCTGCTGAGATATATGGGATTCTGGCTGTTGACTCTCGGGCCCGAACTGTGTTACCGCATCAATGCCGAAAAGGTTGCAACCACAGTTCTCAGAGTGAGACAACAGTATAGATTCGCAAAGTGAACCGCGGACGATTGGCGGTTATCTCAATCCCCCGCATTTGTCTCTCGGGTTGCATAGCCATTCAGATACCGAGGTCTGAAGCGTGTGAATGGGGAATGCGTTGCGAAAAAGATCACGTCTTTGACCTCGTGGTGTTGTTCGAGATTGGCTTTCGAACCGAATACGGATGCTGTATTGGCCTCGCACTGGTTACCCAAAACGGCCTGCCTCGGCAGTAGAATACATACGAAAACGGTCGTGCAACAATCCAAGATCGCTGCTTCTGCGGGGTCTTGCCAGTGCTGGCAATCGCGATTTCATTCTCTTCGGGCCGAATATTTGTCGCAGATGTGATATAAGAAGGGCAAGTAAGCAGAGCGGCATCAGCAAGAGTCAGACCCGACCCGACGATTTATCTAATCCACCGTTCGTTTGGACATAAGCAACATGGGTGCAAACGGCGATACAGCGGGGTCTTCTGCGCCTGTGGCCTATATCACCGGCGGTGCGAGCGGGATGGGGTTGGCAGTTGCCCGAGAGCTGGCTGCCAAAGGCTGGAACTTGACAATCGTCGATCTCAATGAAAAGTCGATATCATCTGTGGAATCCGACTTTGACCCAAAGAGAACCATGTTCGTCCAGGCCGATGTAACAGACTATGAATCGCAGGCGAAAGCCTTCGCTCAGACTTGGGACAAGTGGCACAGACTGGACTTGGTGTTTGCGAACGCTGGCATTGGTGATAGAATCAGCTTCTATGCGCCCGCCACCGAGTTTCTGCCAAACCTGCCAGGGGTGCCAGCGAAGCCGGACGAACTGGTTATCGATGTTTGCCTAAATGCAATGGTGTACAGTGCCTATTTGGCTATGCACTTCTTCCGGCAGAACCCTTCTAAGGCGGGCAAGATAGTTTTCACCTCTTCCATGTGCGGGTACGTCAGCGATGTTAGCATTCGTCAGCCGACCATATCCTTTGAATCTTTCTTTTTCTCGTCTCGGTCAAATACAACCACTTACCGTTTCCGCGCAGGCTATATCCAGGAGACACTATACCTCTATACACTGCAGCGAAACATGGAATTGTGGGCCTGGTTCGCGCCATGGCCAGACGGTTGACGACGCTCGGCGAGCCAATCACGGTGAACTGTATCTGTCCCGGACTTGTCGACACCGGGTTGACCGGAGTGTTGATGTCTGTCGCTCCGCCCGAATACGTGACACCGAAGTCGACCATTGTGCGAGCAGTAATGGGGTTTGTGGAGGATGACTCTCTCACGGGGCAAGCAGCCGAATGTAGTATCGACAAGATCCATTACAGAAAGCAGCCTGAATGGGGAGATGAAGGCGCAGAGTACATCATGACGAACAAGTTGGAGGCAGAGCTCAAAAGAAGAGGCGTCAATTTTGATAAGAAGGACTAGGGTCGTGTGAGGGTTGATCAAGGGTTGATCAAGGCTGAGGTTGGTGATCGGAAGTGGTCTGAGTGGTACGGATGTATGGAAAAGGCTGAGACTCGTTGCTGGGTCTGTTGTCTCTTGTTTTGGTCTGACGTCAGTCTTCGACGCGTCCTTCGTGGCTCGCGCAACGCGACGCGTACCAATTCATTGTTAATTCACTACGAGGCATCAAAATTCATCTCATTACTCCGTCCACCGTACTCCATACATGCTCCCCCAAATGCTGGCGGCCATTCCAGCCGCGCAGATGCGGCTTCGTAAAGCTCAAGGCCCCTTCAGGCCTTGCCCGAGAATGCTTTGTGCGCATCAAATTCCACCACGAGGAATCATTGAGCTGGGCATTAAGTTCCCACTACCGGCGGGCTTAGCGCCTTTCTTCGGCAAAGGATGAATCGGTTCTGTTCGGCAGCGTCAGCGTAAACTCAACTCAACCTAGGTTGTGTCGCCATTACCGAACTGCGAACGACTACCCTTGGCGTGACATGGAAAGTTGATGCGAGTTCGCGGTGCAGGAGTTCCGGAAACGTGACCAACAAGCACATCTTCTCTACCGAGTAGAGAGACCGAAGGTCTTGCTGCTGTCTCTGAAGGCTGGGCTTAGCCGATCTCAAACGATCCACGTGTTTGATTTGCCAGGATAGCACTTTCCAAAATGACATCTGTCCAATTCTCACCCTCTTTCGCTGACCGCGACGACTTTGAGAACGCCACACGCGGGTTGATCGCGTCTCAAGACCCATGCGTTATCAGAGCTCGAAATGGTCGCGTGTTGTGGGACAACGATGCATATGCTTTCCTAAAAGATGACTGTCCTGCAACTGCAGACCCTAAGCTCTGGCGGCAAGGCCAACTGAATTCGATCCAAGGCCTGTTCAAGGTTAACGATGGCATCTACCAGGTTCGTGGTTTCGATATCTCCAATATGACGATCGTGGAAGGTCAGACTGGAGTTATTGTTATTGATCCTCTTATTTCGGTGGAATGTGCACAAGCAGCGCTGAACCTCTACCAAAGCCATCGAGGTGCCAGGAAAGTCACTGGATTGATCTATTCACACTCTCATGTGGATCATTTCGGTGGTGCTCAAGGTGTTCTGCTTGACGATTCCTCAATAAATGTGCCCATTCTTGCTCCCGAAGGCTTCATGGGCGCTGCCCTAAATGAAAACATTTTCGCTGGACCATCAATGCGCAGACGGGCCGCTTTCATGTATGGAAACAAGATCCCAAAAGGGCCAACAGGTCAAATCGGATGTGGACTTGGTATGACAACTTCAGCTGGGGCTATTTCTATGGTCCCACCAACTGTTTTGATCAAGAACACCGGTGAAGAACATGTCGTGGACGGAGTCAGAATCGTGTTTCAGGTGGTACCAGAGACGGAAGCTCCGGCGGAAATGAATTTTTACTTTCCGGACCGCCGGGCCCTATGCATTGCAGAGTGCGCTACTCACGGCATGCATAACATCGTCACGCTTCGTGGCGCTGAGGTGCGAGATGCGAAAGCCTGGTCACGATATTTGGACGAGACCATCGTCCTCTTCGGTGAGGTTTCAGATGTCTTATTTGCCGGGCACAACTGGCCGACTTGGGGCTCAGCCAACATCATCGAGCTTGTGTCGGAACAACGAGACCTGTATGGATACATGCACGACCAAACTGTGCGGCTGATGAATGCTGGTTTGACAGGTATTGAAATCGCGGAAATCATGACATTGCCACCCGCATTGCAGCAGGCTTGGCACGCTCAGGGCTACTATGGATCGCTGAGCCACAACATCAAGGGTATCTATCAAAAGTACATGACCTGGTTTGATGGGAATCCAGCACATCTGTGGCAATATCCTCCTGCCGAGGAAGGAAAGCGTTATCTGTCTTGCATGGGTAGTGTGGATGAAGTTGTCCGAAAGGCCGAGACCTTTGCGAAAGAGGGTGATCTCCGCTTCGCGGCGACGCTACTTGGTCACGCCGTTGCCGCAGAGCCTGCTCACGGAAAGGCAAGGGCCGCTCTGGCATTGGTATTTGAAAAGCTCGGATTCGGTGCAGAAAATGCCACCTGGCGCAACTTCTATCTCACCTCGGCCCAGGAACTGCGATCTGGCTGGAACACGGAAAGAAGTCTTACTGCTATGGATGCAGTGAATCCACAACTCTCTGTCGAGCAATGGCTAGCGGGGTTCTCTGTTCGAATTGATGGGCCTAGAGCCGTACGACAAAATTTCGCGTTCGGCTTACATGTCGTCGATACAGAGGAAAAGTGGAAGTTGATCATGAGCAATGGCGCTCTTACATATCGAAGGCAGCCCGACGATGCCAGTGACGTCGACTTGACATTGAAGAAAGCAGAGCTTCGGCAAATGTTGGAGGGTAACCTAAAGCTCCCCCCTGTTCAATCACGAGGCGACCCAGGTTTGCTGAGGCTCCTTTTGTCCCTGGTCTCGGGCGCAGATTCGAATGAAGCACGGAACAGCCATATATAGGATGTATGGAAGCCACGACTACATTGGGAAAGATGTCATCGTGATAGCCGAACAGTACAAATCATTTTGCAGCCCAGATATATAACTTACAGGCTTGATACACGTCTAGCTTAATTTCAGGGGCGGCATCTGCTCCCCTTTTTCCTTGTCCAGGCCTCAACGACGATCTCGCAGCATACCAGGCCTTAGCAAAAAAGTCTTGAGCCCCAATAGCGCGGAGTCTTCGTTGGTCGCGCGATCGAGGTAGCCATTGCCTGTCGTTTCCAACGCCAGAACTAAGATCAAACCTTTGGTCACGAACTATATCCGCTGGCAGACACAAATCTCTGTCTCTTCTCTAAGAGGTGGTCAAGTAAGGTGAAAGACCGACGCGAGCAGGCTAAGGACGCTTACTTGAAGGCAACTGGTGCGTCACCCACCCCTTTGCCGGGCAATGTTAAAATTGAAGCCTTGGGAGGGATACCACAATAAGTGCGCATCGCACCTAAGCGTATCAAACCACAAAGACAGGGTCCCTCCAGGTTCCTAGAATGATCAAATGTGTCAATCAACAGCAGGGAGATGGGTGCTCCCGTCTATTGAAGATCCTGGAGAATGTGCTGAGGGGAGAATGGAGGGACAGGTTGCCTTGCAGAGTGCCAGAGTGCCAGAGTGCCAGAGTGCCACGCGACCAAGGCTTCTCGACCGATAAATGGCTGGACCAGGCTGCAGACCCATGTGATCGGCTCGCACTCGGTTTGCCGCCTCAGGCCGTTCAGCTTCAGCCTCCGCTTCCGCTTCCGAGTGCTCGTGCTTGCTGGCCATACATCATCAACCCCTACGCCACCTACACACTGCACCACACTCACCACTTACAACACGACTGACATGTCCGTGAAATGTCGATCTTTGACCGCTTGCAGAGGTTTCCCCACGACTCCATTCCCGCATTCCAGCCCGCTTTATGATGTGGGACAAGGCGGTTCTCGCGGGCCTGTTGTGGGGTAAGCTTAAGCGTGGTAAGGCTGTGCAGCGAACATATAAAGAGTGAGTGCGAAGCAACTCGTAGAGTTCTAGAAGGTCGGAGAGAGAAAAATGACTGGAGACTACAAAGGTCATCATCCTATCTGACCCCTGACTGGTACAGTATATCCCTGATATCATTGGAGATGGAGTTCTCTCCCGTCATCATCTATTTGGGCGGTGTCCTTTTCATCGCGTACTGCATCAATTGCATACGGATAGCTTTTCGACCGGGCCTTCGAAGCCTGCCGGGTCCCTTGTCTGCCCGATTCTCTCGTTTATACCGTTTGTCCCTGGTCGCTGGAGGTAAAGCTCCTGCGGAGTACAGGAAGGTCCATGAGGTGTACGGACCGATTGTTCGCGTGGGTCCGAATCACGTCTCGATCGCAGACCCGTCTGAGATCCCTCTGATCTACGGAATCGGGAGCAAATTTCTCAAGGTGCTTCCTACCCAGCACAGTTGAGGAGGGAAACAGTTCTCTAATATTCGACGCAGACTGATTTCTATAACACGATGAGTCCCTCGTACCAGGGCAAGCCCATGCCCAGCGTCTTCACCGAGCGCGATCCCATAGCCCACCGGAACTTAAAGAGACCCGTTGCTCAGTTATTCGGGATGACAAACATGCGAAACTACGAGCCGTACGCGGACGAATGCACCGGCATATTCATTGACGCCATGCGTGATCTGGAGGGTCAGCCCGTTGATCTTTCAGCCTGGGTTCAGTGGTACGCCTTTGATGTCATTGCGAGCATGACTTTCCAACGACGCTTTGGCTTCCTCGAGGAACGCCGCGACATTAACAACATGATCGGAGACCTGTGAGTTGACCTTTCCGGCCCGTCTTCTTAAGTCTGACATAGCCATTGCAAGAGTGGCTAATAAACAACCCTCAGTGACGGAGGCCTGCATTATGTCAAGATCATCGGCCAATATCCAGAACTCCACCCATGGCTGCTTGGGAATCGGACAGTTGTGGGAACCTTGAAGTGGCTTTTCCCGCAAATCCCTGATGCGCTGTACAGGTTTCTGAAGGTACGGAAGCCCCCAGTTCCACGAACAACGGGCCGAGGGTGTTTTTCTTCTTCCAAAGCTGACAGAAAATCGCGAAAACCGCCAGGTCACCGAAGACGAGATCGTTCGGTACGACACCCAAGGAGGAGGAGAGAAGACGGGGCGGACAGATTTTCTGGCGCAGCTGAGGGAGAAAGAGGCCAAAGACGGGAAAATCCCATTCAGGGACATGATGAACCATCTGTCCAACAATATCGTTGAGTTTCCCTCACATTGGTGATGAATGGGTGGAATACAGGCCGTGCATTTCTTCGCTGACTCGGGAATACAATAGATTGCCGGCTCCGATACCACGGCGGTCTCGCTGCGCGCGTGCTTTTACTACCTCACCAAGACGCCACGGGCGTTCGAGAAGCTCGTGGCAGAGATCGACGAAGCGGAGAAAAACGGACAGCTGTCGACTTACATATCGTATGAGGAATGTCTGAAGCTTCCGTACCTGTACGTTCAATCGCGCGCCGCTTGGTCGGCCCCAGCCCATGCTCCGCGCCCTTGTTGGAAGAGCTGAAGTAACGTGCATCACAGACAAGCCGTGATGAAAGAGGCCATGCGCTTGCACCCGGGCGTCGCCCTGCCGCTGGAGCGGTACGTGCCCCCAGAAGGCGCAACCATCTGCGGCGTCGACCTCCCCGGCGGCACCAACGTCAGCATCACAGCGCCCGTCGTGCAGATGGACAGGGCCATCTACGGCAGCGACGTCGACGCATTCCGCCCTGAACGCTGGCTCGAAGCGTCGGCTGAGCAACTGAAACTCATGGATCGGAGCTTCCTCGCGGTATGTTACTGACCTGACCTACGAGCCACGACCCCAACTTCCATCCTCCGTAACATATTCTCATGTCTTCTCTTCATCTTTTGTTTTGTCCGTTTTTACTCTTCCTTTCTTGTTCTCGTTTCCCACCATCCACCCTGACGCATGGAACCCAGTTCGGCGCCGGAGCGCGCACGTGCATCGGCAAGAACATCTCCATCCTCGAGATGGGCAAGTTCATCCCGCAGATCCTGCGCCACTTCCACATCGAGTGGGCGTCGAGCGAGCCCGAGTGGAAGACCGAGGCCGTCTGGTTCTGGAAGCAGTCCGGCGTCATTGTCAGGTTCAAATGGCGAGGAAAATATTGAGAGAGAGAAAAAAAAAGAGCGGGAGGGAGGGAGGCGGAGAGGGGCCCAGATCTCCTGGAGCGGAATTACGATGGGGCAGTGCACGTCAAGAGCTGCTGGATCAGCCTCCTCCTCCCCAGGAGAATCGTCTTCTCCGGGCATTGCCACGTGGTCGATATGGATTTATTTCTATATTGTCTCTTGAGGTACACTGAACTAATACTTGTACCTCGGACGTGCGAAAGGAATCCCATATTTGCTGTCCAAAGCAATTCAACGCTTTTCTTTCAGGTAAATAGAATCTGGCATGCAACGCAGTTGAACTTCGCATCTACGTGAAAACTAGGCAGGTACAGTAGTCATCTCCACCTACTTGTATCCAACTCAACGGCAAGCTTGCCCTCGATACAGGCTCCGTTTCCAAAGGGGGACTGCCCCAAAAAGGCTAGGTGGAGGAGAAAAAGAGCCAGACAGTTGGGAAGTCTTGTCCACCTAGTCCAAGTGGGAGGTGCTAGCTTCGAGGTTTTAGACACAAACTAGGTACTTTACCTCGTAGGCATACCAATGACCTGGCAGCAAACGAGCCCCGCAAAGAGTGTCCCAGAGTGGATGCATTTCCCGCGTCTTTAACTTCCAAACAAACCATGCTCCAGGGTTGAGAGAAGGCGGTCCCGCCCTAATGTTCACATGGCATACAAGCTCAGTCACGGGAAGAATAATCTTGGATCAACCAATGCGGGCATTGTCGATCGGAGCCAGAGGTACCTACGAAAAGTTTCCCTGCTTGTGGATCAATGAATCCACCGAGAAAATTTCAGCTCGATAGGAGAAAGAGCGATCTGGAGATAGCGCGAATACCTTGCAGGGCAACTTTTCAACCCGAGATCGCATGCCGCCCATAAAAAGAATGCCGTGAAGGCGGGGTGCTTCTGAGATCGCGGCTTGGCTGATAGGTGAGAAAAGGGCCTCAGTCTAATGGGGTTAGAGATAAGGCAATTCTTCAGCTGCCCAGGAGTTGAAGCCCTATGTCTGCCTGAAGAAAGAGAATCGCTCAGGGTGGAGCGGCGCCAGGATGCCTGGCCTGTGCGATGAAGAGCCCAGACGGGAGCTTCAAGAGAAGAATTTTCGCCCAAGAAGTTGCAAAACTGGACTCCTCTCTCAATTTCTGCCCGAAACAAAAAGTTAAGAGGCGAGGTCTCATCGTTTCCCTTCGGGGAAGTCATCCATACCGGTGCTACCAGTACTCTGCGGATCGAGCAGAGTCGGGGCGGTCGATATCAAAGCGTGCCGCATTTCCTTGTCGCTGGCGAGGATGGCCAGCTTTCTGTGCCTTGCATTCGTCCATTGGGCGTCCGGAGCAGACGGCTCGAAAAGATCGGGCCAAAACGCCACTGATCACCCTGAAAGGGGGAGAATCCTGGCATTGTGAAAGCCAGCACAGAAACATGGGAAGTCCCCGGATCGGTGGGGGTATTCCATGCTTTGAGAAGAATATTTAGTCTTGAATTGACTTTATTAGCTCAGGCACACTTGATGAGGGGTGGCTGGATTGCCGTGGTTGAGGATATTGCTCCAGGATAGTTAAGCCGAGCGTTCCCTGCAAGGCGGGTGGTCAAATGTGGTTTAAATAGTGGCTGCTGGAAACCTGTTCCATTTAGAGACCAGCACGCATCCAACGAGGCTAGCAATGTCAATACAATGTCAATACTCCAGGCCTCTGGTCGGTGAACTAGTGAATCCTGTGGCACATAGGAACAGAGTACTGGGTACCGGGCAGCTATGGATTGCCCAGAAGTTGCCTCGGCTGTGCATAGAATTTTCGCGCCATTGACCCAAACCAGTTCTAGGCAAGAAGGAATCTCGTATCCGGCCGCAGATTCCCGCGAGATAGAGGGGGTGTGGACAGTTGAACCAGCTTCCATTCGGGGCTGCTTGTTTCGCTTGACTTCTGCTGCCCCTTGAAACCAGCAAATAGAAGAGTCGCAATCGAGCTCGATTCGAGGGCGGTAGCTTTGGCTCCCGGATCCGCTGTACGTAAAAGATGGAAAGTGGAATCGCCCAGCGAGATTCACCTGAAGAATGAGTGATGGGAAACTTAATTCTCCTGGCACAAAGCAGCTGTTGTCGTCGTCGTTGGTGGAAGGCTGGCAGGGTCAGGGGCAGCAGGTTGGCGTCGAATTCGTCTCTCCCCCCAAGGGCTAATTCATGACCAGCCCGAGCGGGCTCGCAGATTCCTCAGGCCCCGGTTCGAGACTCCAACCTGCCAACCACGTTTCGATTCTGGAGTAGGTAGGCACAGTACCTGCATGTCTTCGTCTGGCCCGTGTACAGCCTGGCAGTTCATCTGGTTGCGTCCCGCGCTCCCGAAAGTCAACAGATCCTGACTTACGAATCGGGTGGAAATGAATCCTGCTGGTCAGGAGGCATCGACGATCCTTCCTTCGACGATTGAAGCAAGCTCAAGCAGATGAAGCCGGCAACGCAACAAATTCTGAGCCGGTTCCATCCCTGCCCAGTCCCAAAAATGGGCAAGAGGTAGGCCTAGGTGGAAGGCAAGATACGAGGGACTCTGGCTAGTTGCCTCAGGAATCGTCTCAAGGCAAGTGTGCTCGTACTAAGTTCAAGGATCTACCGACCTTGTTTAGTTTTCTGGTGGGACAGAAGCCTTGGTACTACGTGGTACAACGGCACATGCTAACAATGGCATTGGCCTGAAGAATGGATGGCGTTGCGGTACCAGGAGGCCGCCATCGATGGTTCGTATGAGGAGTGGATGAAAGCTTCCTTCCCGTGTCGAATGTTCTGGTCCGTCTCGAGCATTTATTAGAGGGGAGAAAGGAGAGATAAAAACGTGGCAGCTCATCTTGAACCTGGAGCTCCGCTTCTTCCTCCCCAAGAATTTGATCAACCTCAGGCCGTTTCTCGCCGGGGTGTTTTCTTTTCAGCCGACAGGTGCACACCTGTCCCGTCAGAGATCGAAAGACTCACCGCGCCACCCTCACTTTTCCAAACATGGCGCCCAGGAAGGGTAAAGAGTCCCTTTTGGACCTCTGTGGCAAAGCAACCACACTGGGAAACAGCATATCGGTTCGCATGTTGGAGTACCTCAGCACTGTCAAGGAGCCTCCACATGGGTTTCGTGAGCTGGCGACCAACTTCCTCGACATCTGTCGCGTCCTGTGTTCGATCGAAGCAGGTCTATCCGAAGCTTCGCGGACACACAGTCAGTTCCCAAATGACATGCAACAGGAACTGGACAAGAAGTTTCGTCAGACCAACGATGACTTCATTGTCCTGAACCAGATGCTTATCAAGTTCTTGGAGTACGAGAGGAAGGGAAGCTTGGGAAAGCTCAAGAAAGGATGGCACATGATGTTCGCCGACACAGATATCCACAAGATGAAGGACTCGCTCGCCAGGAGCCGCGATGCGCTGGGTATGAGCGCAATGGTATTTAGATGGTATCTCGGCGACGCAAAGGCGGATGCCTCTGTCGGTATCGGATACACTGGCCTCGCAGCTGTCCTCGAGCGCATGAACCCGAGTATCAAGCAAAGCTCGCCGACCGTTGTTAAGCCTGCTCTTCTACCTCCCGTTTCGGAGGGAGGCCATCTTCTGCCACCACTACCGGCCATTCCGCAGACGGAGAGAACGTCGGACTCCAACTTTATGTCACCCTTCGGCGAGGATCCTGATATCCTGACCGCGATTCCTCAGAGACAAAGCTTCAGCAGGCCAGCGCCCAGTACCAGATCCAGCAAATTGACTGTCAATTCCGCCACCAGGGACCTGCAAATGATGAGTAGTGAGAGCTCTCGAACCGAGGTTGCCGTTGAAGACCACCTCTCCGTCAAAACGGCGGATTCATTTGGTCAGATTGAAGATATGATACACGAGATCGGACTGGACAAGAATTCCACAATTGCTCGCGTGAAAGCCGACCCTGCTACAGTCCCAAGATGGACACCCAAGCAGACTTCTGGGGCCAACTCTGCTGCTCTCAAGTCGACCCTGTTGAATGCTGTCCAACAGAAGAAGCACAAGATGGTGGAGCAACTGCTTGATTGTGGCGTCCCTCCTGACGGCGAGAACGGGGTCAACCTTCTCCGAGAAGCAGTCCTTCACCAAGATGTTGAGACGGTCCGACTCTTGCTCCTCTTCGGAGCCGATCCCAATGGTCTCGACAAGATCAAGTTCAGTCCCCTTCTGTCCGCAACAGAGCTGTCGTTCCTTGATGCCGCAAAGTTGCTTCTGAAATATGGGGCAGATCCTAATCTTCCAGCTGGCCCTGATGGAGAGTGCCCCCTCGCTATGGCCGTCATCGAAAACAAGCTCGAGTTCTTGCAACTCTATCTCACGTACGGTGGAGACACCAATCTGAACACCGCGGATGGCAACACACTCCTCATCAAGGCTATCAATAAGACCAATCCGAAGAAGCTGGCGGAGCTTCTGGTCGACTACGGGAGCGACGTGAACGGCAAAAATGGCGAGGGAGAGACGCCACTCTTCACTGCGATCCAAGCGAAAAGAGTTGATATCATGATCTTTCTCCTCGATCATGGAGCGGACCCCAACTTGCCTGGCCCCAAGCACCTATTGTGGCCTTCAACCTACCAACCGAGGGCGCTCCAGCTACTGCTCTCGCGGGGAGCAGATTTCAAGAAGTGCCCGGGAATTCTGGAACTCGCCACGAGCATCAACAACCTGGAGTCGGTAACGATCCTGCTGAAAGCGGGTGTTGACCCTAACGCTAAGAAAGACGGGGTTTACACACCCCTCTGTTCTGCCATTCGTGATAACCGCGGCGAGCTTGTTTCCCTTCTCCTCGCCAATGGCGCCGATGCAAACGTGATGGCATCGGAATACCCGGCCTTCAAATGTGTGACTCATGACCGCACGCATCTGCTTCCACAGCTTGTTGCTGCCGGCGCCAATCTGCACAAGCCCAAAGGCATCATCGAGAAAGCCGTGGCACACAACAACAAAGACGCACTCATGTACTTGCTCGACCAGCATGTCAGCCCCAATGACCGGGGCGCCGAAGGCTATACACCCTTGACAACCGCAATCCGTGACGACCGTGTTGAACTTGTCGACATCCTTCTAGCTCACGGGGCCGACCCTGGGATCAGAGGCCAGGACTGGCCCATCTGTATGGCAGTGAAGAGACCCGAGATGCTTCGCAAGCTGCTGCCCTCGCTCTCGAATCCAAGAGCTGTCAAGGGAGTGCTGGAGATGGCAGTTGTTGCAAACCAGCTCGAGAGCATCAAGTTGTTGCTGAAAGCCGGCGTCCACGTCGAGGACAAGAACGGCGGTGTCTTCTCCCCTCTGACAACGGCTATTCGGGAGGACAGAAAAGAGATTGTTCGGTTCCTCCTCGACGAAGCCGGTGCCGATGTCAATGCCCCCGGCGAGCATCTACCCATCATCAAGGCCATCCGCAGGTGCCGCAACGGGGACACCGACATCATTGAGATGTTGCTGGCTCGGGGAGCCGATATCAATCTCATGTACCGTGGCTGGAACGCAGTGCTCCAGGCGGTGGAAAATGGGGACGCCAAGGTTCTGAAGCTTCTCGTCGAGAGGGGTGGTGGCGTTGACCTGGAAGCTAAAGATGAGTCAGGCAGGACAGTGATGGATATTGTGAACGGGCGGGGCTGGGATGAGGCGGTGAACATCTTGCTTGGTCGTCGAGGCGGGAGTCCATCCAGTGTTTGATGATGGATGGTGATGGATGGTGATGGATGGATGAAGACTCTCGGATTGACTGGATGACCTTTGGGAGGTAATCTTTTTTGCGTGATTTGATGTGTTGTATCACCATTTCTTTTGTCACTTGGAGAAGTTCTTTGTCCATTGTTGTATCACAGTCGAATATTCATAGGCGAACATTGCCGTTACTACAAGAAAGTCATTCCCGGGAAGAGGCAAGTGTCTAAGCAAGGCTGCTGGTCGCGTGCACAGGTCTGAAGCAATTTCTTTTCCTTTTTCCCCTTTCATGGGCTAGCTTAATAGATGGCTGGCTGAACTGATCTGCATCTGGTTTGACGAGCAATAATAACGACGGTACGAAGTACGGGCGGTGTATAGGCGAGATTCGAAGTATTCCAGGCCCCCCAGCCCGCCCCAACACACAAGACCCCGAGACTCGTGGCTCAGGCATTCGTCCGCTGGAGGGAGTCTTAGTTAGGAGTACCTAGGGAGGTATCCGCCTCGGTACGGAGTAGTGCTCGCGGCAACCAACTGACTGACTCTACTTACTTGGGTAGAAGGACTCCGGCGTTTTGCCTGCAGTCTACCTACCTACGGGTCTAGCTGGTTGATCAACATGGAGGACCTACCTATTACCCACTTAGACCTATCCCGCTTTGTACTCGAAACGAGTTTTTAGGTCGATTGCCTAGCGAGCCACGTAGACACCTTCGGCTGTAGCACGAGTACTTACTCCGTATCTAGCTCGATACGAGACAGCTAGTTACTTCCTCGCAAGTAATGTACTTAGGCAAGTAGGTGGTTCATGTGGGGAGTCGTCGTTCTCCCGTCTCCTCCGCCTTCTCCCTCGAGTCTCAAAGTCTCGACCCTCCCTCCCTCCCCCTTCTTGGTGTCGATCCGGGGGAAATGGCGTGGTGTGGCGTGGCGTGGCGTGGCACCGTCGATTGAAGGATTGTTAAGATTTGAAGATTAAAAACACTCGGGCCATCCCTCTTTCTGTTTCTCTTTCCCTCTGATCATGGCGGGGACGCAAATTCCACGTGTCATTGTCACCGGCACTCTCGGTGTCAAGGTGTCATGATGTAAACGACCCAAAGTCATGACGTTCAAGTCGAAACAGAGACAGACAGAGAAGAGCCGCCGAGAAAATGTCCCCTTCATGACGCAGTAATCGCAGTGATGTTTCGTGTGGCGAAAAGGTAAGAACAAAGACGCAGAGAGGTGGAATATACAAAAACAGACGGCCCTTGATTTTGCAAGATTCGTTGGCGTTGTTATTGTTGTTGTTGTTCCACCAACGTCCCAATCTACATATCGACCACCACTATCACCACCATGTCGCCTCGAACTCGTGCAGCCCAGGCATACAAGCCTGCCCTTGCATCCATCCAATTCATCCAGGCTGGGGCAAGGCAGACGGCCAGAAGAGCCTACGCAGAGAAAGCAGCTCCCACGCGCCCCGACGCCCCCCGCGACATGAGCAGCAGCATACCACTGTAAGATCCCAGCCATCTACCAGCCCTCACGAAAATGTTTTTGTCTGTATACGTATATCTCCACATTATACATGTTTCACCCTTACCCGAACAAGAAATTTTAACGCAACAGTGTGGCAAACCTGCAGAATCGCAACCGGAGGCATCCTGGCCTTTTTGCCCTTCTACTACCTTTTTCACAGCACCAAGCCCTCGGCGTCTGGCAACGCAGAGATGACGCAGGCGAGACGGCAGGGGAATCCGGCGAACGAGTATCGCGATCCCAGAGATAGTCCGGCCAAGACGTTGAAGCAGAAGAAGGCGAAGGAGGGCTGAGATACATTTCATGGACAAGATGGGACGAAAATGCGGTTACATCTACGAGTAGCCACAGTGAATAAATGCAAATGAATGGATTTTGTGCCAGGCATAGAAGACGTCATTTGCGTTGAAGTACCTGCTCGTATCTCTCGTAGAATAGCCGGTGTGGTTACCTTACCGTCTCTCTCTCGAAGAGGACAAGATCATGCCTCCCGTGGAGTCAGTGCTTGCTTAGTCCCCACCCAATGGCCCCATAAAGGACAGAATGCCGTGAAATCAAATATTATGAATGGCACGGAATTGTGCGGCTGAGTCTATCACACTTGTGTCATCATGAGTGTCAACTATTGTTCCTGGGGGTGAATGCAAAAGCTGTTGACTGACTGGAGATTTGCGAACAGGGGGGAAACGATCGACTCACGCAGTGCCTTTGATATACATAAGGCTGCCATAGGCTGCCCGGGAAAACCCCCTGGGTGGCCACTCTATTCCTCATCCCTTTCGACTGAATATAGATTACTAGCATTTAACACCTGCAGCTGTCCGTGTGCCTGAGCCCCTAGGCAAAAATGCCGATTGGTTTACTGGTGTCTGACGAGCCATGATTCATTCGACTTTATGTGCACGTACGATTGTACGATGTGCAAGGCAACCCCGTAATCATGGCACGAATCAGGTCATATACCCCCCGGGCCCCCATAAAAAAGATATCCGCCTCCTGCCAGAGCTTAGTCAGGGAGACTTCGCTGAGGAGCACAAGACCCCAGGGGAACTGCTCAAGTGGTATGCCCACGCGCCAATCATTGCCGGTATCTCAGAGAAAAAGGTGGCTATTATATCTTGCATCAACTTCAGCGGAAAGGACAGTGGATCGACAAGTTGCTCTGCTGCCAACATGTTCCCCTCGAGGTCAAGGTCGAGCAGGACAGGTCCAATCTTCGCCTCGCATGACCCCCATAGTCGCCCTCCTAAGGCAATGTCTGCCGCACTTTATATATGTCGCTGGGTCTCCTCTTGGTCAGCCAGGAGTGGACTTGATATGGCATATCCCGCCTGGAAAGAAAAAGGGACAAACTCTTGGAATCTTATGTAAGGCCCCATGGAGTCAGTCATGGAAGACAGTGTGTGAGAGTGGGTTTGATCGACGGCCGTCAACCCTTTCCCTTGTCCATGCAAGGCGAGTCTGACCACCAGACATGACCTTTGGGGGATCAGTGCTAAACTGCCACGGATGATAAAAGGTAACGTCAAGATCACCCTCGAAACGTGAGACCGATTCTTCAATCTGCACACTTGTCTTCATCAATCCAGAGCCCCTGTTTCAAAAAGCCGCTTCAAATATGCTTTGTTCGCTGTCGTTCTCGCTGTGGTCGGTCGCCATTTTCTTGTTGGCGGCGGGCCTAGTCAGATACCGACGGCTGTCCTCAATACCTGGGCCTCTCCTCGCATCCGTCACAGACCTGTGGAGGTTTTCTGTTACGCAATCTGGAGGATTTTCACAGACGCTCAAAGAACTCCACGACAAATATGGGCCATTGGTACGCATTGGTCCCAATACCGTGAGCGTCGCCGACCCTGCCGCGGTCCCTGTGATCCATTCCATGCACGGAGAGTTCAAAAAGGTGCGTATGTATGCGCAAGTTCCCTCCAATCCCATGATCCATAGCCAGCTTTCGACTGACAGCCGGCCGCGTCTGTGGATAAGGCCGAGTCTTATAAAACACTGAGAGCGCTTGTGAACGGCAAAATCTTCGGCACCGTAATCGACATCCTGGACGAGAACGAAGTGTCGACCCTCAAGCGCGCCGTGGGAAGCGCATTCGCCACCAAGAATTTGCTGGACTATGAGCCCGACGTCGACCACACGGTCGAAACCCTCATCCAGATCATCCGCAAGACCCGGACGGTGCCACTTTTCGACCTCATGCAGCAGTTCCAAGTCGACTTCTTGATGAAGGCGGCCTTCAGCAAACACACGGACTATCTGACCAGTGGACGGCCAACCGCGCCGGTCTCGGCCTATGCGCGACTGGTCCACTGGGGCCGCTGGCAGAGCATGCCCGCCCTAGAGAAACTGCTCTTCAAGTCTCCGCTCTGTGCGGCATGGTACGGCGCGTCGGGAGGGAAACCCCAGGCATGGACGGCCATGGCCCTTGAAGAGTTCAACAAGCGACAGAACAAGACGGCCGAGGGCTACGTCAGTGATGACGGCTGTGATGACAGGCCCGATCTCATGGCCAAATACCTCACGGGACGAAACCGGCACAAGGACAGCGTCTCGGACGAGAGCATCCTGCGGATGATCTCGAGCACCATCGCCGCTGGGTTCGACACGTCGGCCTACACCATGACGACCATCCTCTACAACCTCCTCAAGAGCCCCGTGGCGATGCAGAAGCTGCGGACCGAGATCGACGAGGCGCTCGACGCAGGACGCCTTTCCGCCGCCCCGCAGCCCAGATTCGTCGAGACGGACCGGCTTGACTATCTCGGCGCCGTCATCAAGGAGACCATGCGTCTGCAGCCGTTTGTCCGCGTTCTGCTGGAGCGACAGGTGCCTCCCGAGGGCGCCGAGATCGCCAGCACGTTCCTCCCCGGCGGCACGACAGTGGGCGTGTCCGTGTGGAACGCGCATTTCAATCCCGCTGTCTTCGGCAAGGACGCCGACGAATTCAGACCCGACCGCTGGCTAGAGGCCGATCACCACCGCCGGCTCGTGATGGAGAGGTCGGTGCTGGGCTTTGGGGCCGGCAAGCGCGTCTGCATCGGCAGACACATTGCAGAGCTGGAGATGAAGAAGGTGATTCCGAGAATGCTGCTCGAGTTCAACGTGAGTGATCCCTCCGATCCTGCACGATGGAGAAGACCACGTTGAGAGAACCTCGCTGACATTCCCACTGCTAAACCGCGGATATAGATCTCCCTCGAAGACCCGACTTACCGTCTCGAGCCACTGGACAAGTGGACCAACTTTCTGAAGCCGTTCTCCATCGTCTGTCGAGATAGGGCTTGATCGACTACCTGGATATAATATGGAGGACGGAGTTCGGAGTATCGATTTCCGGGGGGGAACGAACAGGTAAGAGTCTTCGTAACACACATCTCCGGCGAAGTAGAATCAAAAAGAGGAGAGGGTTTGACTCGGGTGACCGTACCACCATGAACCATGGACGAGTGGTCAAATATATACTTACCCCGTCCCTCTTCATTGAAATGGCTTGAACGACTCTTATATGACAATCCTCGGATGAATTCGACTTTCCTCCTCTGTATCGTCATGGTACCGAGGAGTTTGTGTCCGTTGGATTGCGATGAGTTGAGATGAGATGAGATTCGAACATAGTTGGCTCAGCCCACGAGCAATAATGATACAAGTAGTTCTTCTTTAGACGGAACCAACGACCATTGATTCGGGCCGGGTTGGCGGCATTGCGTGAATGCGGTGGATTCCATTTCGTCCATTCTCATTTTCCTCCTTCATAACGGGATGCTTTCATCTGCCCTCCCTCCCTCCCTCCCCCCAGCAAAAAAAGAGCCAAAACCCCATCGTCTCAATGATCGGCTGCAGTTGCATGCTCGACGGCCTTGGTCAAATCCTCCAAGAAACCCCATCTAGCCTTGCGCGCACAGTCCTTCTGCTTCCAGTTCCGCAATGTCCCTCGCGGAAACCAGTCAGTTTCGACCCTCTCGTCCAACAAGCTGCCGTCATGAGCGATCACGACAAAGACATTGTCCATGGCGTCAAATTCCTGCAAAATGCCGACAATCTCCTGCGCTTGCTTCGGGTCATGGGCGACACCGTCGTGGATGTGGTAAAATGGCTCGGTCCCTTTCTTCCGCGGATGGATTGTTTCAAAGATGTGGCCGGGGCAGACGGTTGGGTATTGAGCAGCGTAGGGTGTAGGATCGAGGGTCTTTGGAAGCGGGAGATACTCTGAAGGTCTCAGTTCAGCGCCGTGATGTGCCGCGTCGGCACCCATGAGGACGAATGTGTCTTCCGCGTCACCATCCTGCGTCGATGTCACGCGTGCAAGGCCACACATGTGGCCGATCGCGTGGCCTGGCGCGTCGAGGAGATAGAAGGATCCGTCGTTGAAATAATCGACTGCGAGGAAGCGGCCAATATGAAGAGTGGTTTGGTTCTCGAAGTCGATGATTTTCAGCTCTCGGCCTGCAAAATCAGTGTCCAGGAGCGGCGAATTTTCGTTCTCGGGATATGGCGGAAGCAACGTCTCCTTCACACCGGGTCCAACAATCAAGGTTGTACGCCCTGGAAAGGTGCTGGGGTCTCCAGTGTGGTCATAGTGCCAGTGACTCCAGATGATGGCTTCAATAGCACCGCCAGCAACATCGACGTCGTTCTCTTGCAAGATCTGAGCAACTGAGTCTTTCTTGACCTCAATCTTCCAACCCGGCTGAGTTACGAGCCCCAACACAGGAGGCGGAAGTCTTTGCCAGTCCTTCCTGCACCCGAGGTCAAAAAGAATTTTCCTGCCCGAAGACACTTGTTCGATGAGGAAAGAGAAGGATGGCACCTTGAGAATCTCATGCCCAAATTGTGTTGGGCCCATGAAGACCTGTAAGGGCACGTCGAGGCGGGAGGTCGTGTCAATAATTTGAACCTTGGCTGCAGCGCCTGGCGGGATGTGCAATGTCGGCACCGGTTTAGGGTCATAAAGGAGGACCTGGTTCTCGCCGTCCGAACTCATCCTGAACGGGTCTAAAGCATTTACAGCCACAGATGAGAGAAGGCGATGCTGTCCGCGCCCAATTCCAGGATATCGGTCAATGGCAGTACCATCTCGCCTCTTTATATCAACGGGTCTGTTAGTTGTCACTGGGGATCTGACAATTCGGCATTCGTAACTCTCGTTGAAGCCTCGCCGAGTCTAGAAAACTGGAATTGTTGTCGGTAGTGGTGCGATGACATGCATCATTGGAGAGCTGGATTGTGTATAAGATAAGCAAGTAGTATGCTGGCTCATTCGGCGCTGTCATATGCTTCGCTCTCCCTGGAAAAGAACGTTGCAATGTCAATTGTTGGACCCTTTGTCGGTGCGGGATACTTACAGTTATTGCTCCCGACCGAACCCGGCCAACGATCCTTCTGGAGATATGGCACATAATTGCCAAATTGGGAGAATTCTGCTGTTTATCTCCGGCTTCAAGCGGGACCTTGCCAATTGAGTGGTCATGGCACGAATTTGCCTCTTGTATTCAAATCTCCCCATGATGATTCCCTTGTTGTTCCATTCCCATCGAACTGGCCGTTGAATGTCCCACGGACAGAGAGCATTTGCGAAGTCCGCCGGGTCTTTTCTTGGTCGACCCGATCCGTTGCACCGGTATTTTGGGAAGACGATTGAGCTCTCCGTCTCCAGCCTTGATTGCTGGAACGGCCTTGTAGTATGTGACATATCCTGCCTTGTCCGCGGAGCCTCCAAAAAGCCATTTTTGGTTCGCAGGTCTCTCTTGTGTCGTGCCGGCCGGCCGCCTGATTCTGCATTCACGCTTTGTTTCGCACGACTTCCACGTTGATCGAGCGCAGCAAAAGATGGGCCATTGCTTTTCCTTCTCTATTGTCTCCAGGAATAGGTTCGGCATGAGGACTTCCAGTACCAATCGTCTTCTGAAGGAGCTTGCCTTCGAGCTCGAGGGTGGGTGTCATCTCAATTTCCTGCACGGGCAACACTATGGGTCTGGGCCGTTGCCGGACACCAAGTCATCTCTGGTCTCCGTTGACGCTGCGTTGCTTCGCGGATAGTGAATGTTTCTCGTTGATTGGTTGCTCGCACCCGGGTGAGAGAAATATCCATCGATTACCTCCCGGGTTCGGTCATGGTGCCTTGGAAGATGGTGGACTGTCTCCTTTTAGCGCTGAGGGACGACGCGACAACAGTGCCGGCACAAACTGAGAACCACGTGGCTCAACGACATCGCAGTCTAAGAAACCGTCTAGAATCAAGCGCACGGAGTTCCAAGAGGACAGATTCATCCGAGAAGCCAGGAGAGAGAACTGGTCGCTGAACCAGCACTCGCTGGCATGTCGAACTCCCAACCGGTCATGCTCTGCTTGCGCACCGACGTAAAGAGCCCACAGGCGTGCGTGTGCATATTTCATCGATCCAGTAAATTCAACAACCACTTGCTCTTTTTCAAGAAGCTGTCGGGCCAGACTTCGCAAGGGTTTCTTCGTTTGGTAAATCTCCTTTCCCAGGAGTGTCTCGTCCCCAGCAATGAGGCGCGTCCAATAGATCGCAGTCAAAGCAAGGTAGGCGTTCTTCTTGTGAAGATGCGACTGTGGGCCCCTACCTTCTTTTGCGTCGTCAATACGGTCCAGTGCATACTTTACGAGCCTTGTGTGCTTGACCAGGTGGCTGGAACACCACCACGTAAACACAGCAGGGGATAGTCCATCCGCTCTTTTGGAGCCATGTTGCCAGACGGCGAGACTTTCGCGCTCCTGGATGAACATTTCCACAAGGAACTCATCTTCAATCGACGGATCCAGAGATGTCGGGAACGATAGCTGCATGGCCGGTAGTTCCTTCCTGGCTTTTGCCCAAGCTGTCTGGAACACATCCTGGACCCAACCGTCATAATCCAAGACAGGCTTCCTGAGGAACATGCAACAGGCGCAGGCTTCGTTGTACATGAAGGATCGCAGAGACGTGATGTCCACTTGCCCATGTTGACTCTCGTACTTCAATGCCCGACACAGCATTGTTGCATGGAGCCACGCCCCGTCAGCATTTCCAGCTTGTGCCTCAGCCATATATAATGCGATGATGTGCCAGTAAGACGTCCGCGAAACGATTCCAGAGCCCTGCTGTAATTTCCGTAGCAGCATCGAGGTGCTCTCAGATCGAAAGCGCAAGCTCTGCACAGCGAGCTCGGAGTTTTCCGTGACATTGGACGCGACCTGTGCCCATCGCGCAAGAAATCCTAGCGCGCCACCCTTTTCGTGCAGTGAGCGGACGACATCCTTCCAGTCGTCGGCAGCGGCGTCTAGCGTTCTCCAACCATCCGTGCTGGTGTGATATTGTGAAGGTATGACGATGTCTCGGTAGAACCGAAGAATGTCGTTTACCCTCGGGGATATTGTGATAGGATAGGCGTTGAATGGATCAGAATTTCCTCGAAATAACTTTACCTCATGCGCAAGCAGCCCAGGACTTCCGTCTGGACTTGTCACACGGTCCGAGCTGTAAGACGTGCATGACGAGGCTGGAGAAGTGCCCTATATATCGCATCAGTATCACTCTAGGTGCATGTCACGATTTGTCCTCACCCACGACTCGAAGCGGTCTTCGTCACTCTCGGAAGACTGCTCTCGAGAGCCTGTCGTTGGTATTTGCACGCTTTTTCTTAATTTCTGGGCTGAATCGCGTCTCTGCCAGGGTCGGTACCGTTGTTGAATATGACTGAAGACACGTTGCCGGTGGGGCTGCGCTTTCATGTTCTGGGCATCATGATTGACCCACAGAAGATCAGCCGGATAGCCGGGCTTGGATGTAGAAGTCGCAGCCATGGTGGAAGTTTCATTGTATGGACTGGTAGTTACTCGAAAGGCTTTACAGGTCAACGCAGGTTTGCAGGGAAATTTCCCGCTCCAATTCCCCGGTTGTTATCATCCGTTATTCAGCACACGCGAAGAATCGAGCCTAGGCATTCACCGACAGGGTTAATCCATCACCTCGAAGCTGTGGAAGAACACGTGAAAGCTGTCTCAGCGCCGAGCCCTCGAGGTACAGTGTTTCCGCCCAGCAGGGGGGCCTACAGGCAATGATAACGCCACCGAGAACTCCGCACCCTTGTCGGTGCTTGTCCTCGAAAGGATCACCGTGATAAGCCACAAGGATCCCAAGTTTGGCTAAGCGGAAAAGTCAGGAGATGCACTCGATATTAGGTTGGCGTCGAGAGAGGTCCCCTTGGGTTCCCCCAAACCGGAGTCCCCCAAGCTCGGCAGTAATGAAACTCCTAGTAAGCTTGTACGATGGTGCCTGCACTCCGGCGGCGCAGCAACCTAGGTAGGTTTAGCATACTCGGTAAACAAGCTCTCCAAAATTATTTCAACACCTAACAAAGCAGTGGCCATCGGTCAGTTGGGAGAGTGAGTTCTTCTGCAGACATCCCTTCTCATGGGGCCAGGGAGGTAGCTGCATTGAGATCAGGGTGATACGAGACACCATAGCATGTGAAAGTATACCAAGTATGTATAAATTGGCTCACAAAAATATACCTTGCGAATGCTCGTTCTGTCCTTCTCTGTTCTAATGAGTGAATGATGTCTGCCCCAACCTCCGGGTGTGTAGATCCCTGTAAAGTACATGACATGGCATTTGTGGTCGCCGTTGCCTTGGTTCTGCTTCATACAGTAGACTTGCGCCGTGTGAAGACTCTTCTCAGCTTGCTGCCTTTGCCTTCTGTTTGCGTATTCGTTGGGTTTGTGGCTGCAGCAACGGAACTCTCCCTGGAAAGGGTTGTGGCACTGCCATTGTGCTCGGTAACGGTCGCAAGCTGAGGAGCTACCGATGCTCTTCTCTGGTCTCTAGTATTCTTCTTCGCACCCCGGGGAGTCCCCTGCTTGCTTAGGATGTCATCCAGAGTTTTGGCGCCGTAAAAGCCTTCTAGTTGTTCATCAGACTCATAGTACATTTTTGATTGTGCCCATTCTTTTAGAGCATCAAGGTACGCTTGCTCGGATGGGAATCCTCGGTAGCTCTGGTCAGCGACAAGTGTGTCGATAGATTGCGCCGAGAAAATGCTCGCAGGTCGTGACGACTGTAATTGAGGGTTGCGGTCAAAGGCTGACCCTGGCTCCTTGATCGACATGATGGAGAAAGGCCGCAAAAGACTGGGAGGGATAGCGGTCTTGCTTGATGAGCTGCGGAGGTACGACAACCAGCTCGTCAATTTTTAGAAGATATACAACGGGCGTGTTGGAGGACAGCAATGTTGATTAAGAAATTGACGTCTGCGTCGTGATCACACCACATTTAGCACTTTTGGCGAGTGACTTGAGTTATGTATGCTGCTGGGCTTCGCCACTTCTTCCTCGATCTCTCTGCGTCTCTCGTTGTTATAGGTGGGAGCGAGCCTATTATCCGGATCTCCTACCCCTCGACCCCGCTTGGCGAATGCCAGAGACGGGATGGCGATGCCAGAAATAGGGGCACCTTCATCGATTCGCGCAGGATGACCGGCCAATTCCCAGAGATGGCGGGCCGGCTGCAGGGTGATGTAGACGATGAAACCAGATAAGAAATGTATGCCTAGAGATGCCAATGCTTGTCCGTCAGGAACCCACGTGTAGCAGCTGGGGTCCAACACATGACACGAAGCTTGCCGAATTCAAGACGATCCGGAGCCGTGGTTGTCCGGGCAAAAAAGAACATGTCCCAAGACCTAGCAAGCCAATCATCTCCAAAGCAGACGTAGTCCGCCTCTGAAAGGTACGTGGGATATCTGTCGGCATATGCCAGAATCGTGTCACAACCGTCTGAAGGCCCGATAGACCATGTATTAGGACGGTTAGTGTGTATGAAGCGGTCGGCTGGCCTCGACCCCCCATGCCATGGCACTTTCGGTATGTATATATATATGTGTGTACGTGGCAGACATGAGGCGGGCTTGTACTGAGATTTGAACTCGGGAAGATTCATTCTCGCTTCAGCCCGATCTTTCCGATGCTCCTCAAACCCCAAAGACTCACTACAAGGGTGCTTGACGTGAGAGCCATGCAGAACCAGAACGCGGCTCTATATCCATCCATTAGTGCTTTTGTTGCATGTTTGTCTGGGTGGTCTGATTGCATCGTGATGCTTCCTGCGATAACAGCGGAGAGCGCCAGACCGACGCTTTTGCCGATTTGTGCGACAGTGTTGAAGACCCCTCCTGCCAATGCCTGGGTCCTCTCTGGAAATGCAGCAGTGATAACCAGATTGGATACAGTAAAGAGAACATCTGGTCCGATTGCATTTAACGTTAAAGCTGGGAAAATGTACTCCCAATAAGGAGCGCGGACTTTCATGATGGCAACGAGGAGGGGTGAAAGACAGGAAATGGCCATGGAAAAGATGACGGCCCAGTCTGCACGGACTTTGTGCACGGCCAGGCCCATGAGAATATTTGTGACAATGCCAGAAGCCGGAGATGGTAAGAAGCGCAGAGAGGTCTGGGTGGCGCTGAGTCGCTGTACGTCCTGAAAGAAGAAGGTGAGAAGGGTTTCGGTTGCATTAAATGCTCCCCAGGCAAGAAAGACGTCGATACAAACGCCCGTAAAGATTCTGTTGCGCCACAGCGAGTTTGGGATGATTGCTGGGCGGTTGAGCTTCTCTTGCCGACCGACCCAAAGGACGAATGATGGGATCAGCGCCGCGGCCGTTGACAAACATGCTATATTCGTGGGTGACTTGATGCTTGAAACATTGCCGGTCAAGACGCTGGAACCGCTTAGCTCGGCGCTTCATCATGGGGTTGTCCATGAACACTTACGCAAAAACGTATGAGAGGAGCCCTAGCGCGGTGCTGAGAATCAGGGCTCCCGGCCAGTCAATGTCTGTCGCCAGTCTGTTGACCGACAGCCGCGTTGGTTGTACTGGTTTCGGCAGACCCATGACAGCCAGAGCAAAAAGGACAGTATTAATGGCGGCAGCAATGTAGAAGCCGGCCCGCCACCCAGGCCCATCAGTCAAAATGCCGCCCACGACAAGACCGATGGAGAAGCCTACTGGCTGACCAGCGCCCATCATTGCGAACGCAAAATTGCGTCGCCGCCCATGAGGGAAATATGAAGTGATGAGACTCACTGCAGAGGGCAGGCAGAAGGCAATTGCGACGCCGGCAAGAGCGCGGAAGAAGAGCAGCTGCAAGCTGTTCTGCGCCAGGCCGCATGCCAATGTAAATGCACTTTGAAGCAGGCATCCTAGGAGATACATGAAGCGATTGCCTACCACGTCGGCAACGGCCCCTGAGAGAATCAGCGAGCAACCGCATGTTAGCGCATAGATGGACGAGGGCCTTTGAGACAGAATTAGTCCATGATCGTGCCGAGCAAATGGCGAACTGAAGAGTACCATAGAAGGACAGAAGCAGGAAGATTTAAGTCTTTGGCCAACGTAGGTAGAATCACGGTTATCAGGCCTGCGAGGAGACTGCTGATACCAGTGACGCCGGTGACAGACACAAAGATTACCGCAGTAGAGCCTTTCAACAGGGGAGGCTGCTCCGCCATGGTTCGAGGGAGTGTTTGAGACAAATTGCCATCATCTTGGACGGTTGGTGCTTGTGGTGTAAGCAGGGCCGAAGCCGGGGGTGCGAGTTCGATCGTGGTGGTTTCGGACATTGTCCTCGTCAGTTGTCGTCCTTGAAGGGGTGGATTTGGAACAGCCGGCAGTGATGTTGGAGTCAAAAGACTGGATAGAAGCACTTTGTATAGTATTTCCCGGGGCCTGCTTCTCTGGGAGTTGGCTGTCAAAGGGCGCGCAGAAAGTACCGAGTACCTGGATTACTCGCCAGCGAAAGACCTAATTACTTATTGGGTACTCTCTACGATTTGGTGCTAGTTGGTGGGCAAAAGGTCGTTTTATTCAACCTAGGCTTTAACTAAGCCTTTAGCTAAACATCACAGAGCCCTCCCTGAACCCTCCCTGAGCAAACACGCCAAAAGGCTTCACTAGCCTAATCTGGCCCCCTAAACGATCAGCTATGTACTGTAGACATCTATTTCAGGCGGGTGTTAAGGAACCGGTGACCCTGGTCCAGGCGACGAAGCCCCTAAGATCTCTGTTACACTGGCGGAGATCGGTCACTCATTGCGTCCTCCAAGACCCTCCAATATTTCCGCACATTCTAAATTTGCGCTGGGCTGTCATCTCACTTTTTGTCTTGCAGAGTTGCTGTTTTCTATCTTGTCGGAGAACCGTATATTGACAAATATGTCTGGCGGGGTGCCTTCTAACTGCACGTTCTTAGAGAAATCAGCTATTTACATACCTCATTGCTGTAGGTACGATAGACCTGAACCTATTTTGGCCCCTCTGACCCCTCTACCGTCAGCAGCAGCGCCTTTCTGGTTGCAAAACACTAACTAGCAAGTGGGTGTCCAAGCAAAGACGACTGGTCGCAAACTACAGTAAGATATGGACAATGTGGAAAAGTCAAGCCGCCTTTTCTGGGTCGCCTTTGTTCCCGTGGTATTACTTCTGGCTCCCATGCAGCGTTGCAAAGTTCAATTTTTCAACACCGGCTGCTCGCCATCCCATATATCACAGATCCAAGCGGGTGTTGTCGGCCGTGGGATATCGATAAACGAATCGGCGTACCTCGTAATATGTGCGAGTCAGGTTTGCGCCTAAAGTTGGCGTATTCTCCAGCGCCCAAGCCATGTCACCACGATTCCGCCTGGTTTCGCTTCTGTGCGATGACCTTAGTGTTGTTGAGCGTATCTGCAGTGAACATCGACGGCGAGGGTGACTCAATGCAAGGTTCTGCGATGTCCCCCGTCTTTTCTGTTATAGTTTTGTCTGCTCGTCACTCCGCAGAGCGGCAAGCAAGAAAGATTTTGGCCTTGTTGCTACCCTACCGACTCATGCTTGAAATGTGGCGTGATCACGAGCTGTCCATGTCCTCGCATTTCTGCCTCTGATAACTTTTTTCATGGTACAGAGGGAACTGCAACTGAAACATTTGTTGAACTACCAACTTTGCGGCGATTGCACGGATTTCACTCTCTCTGTAGGATCTCTCTGAGGCGTTTGTTGACGTCTAAATAAGAGATTAATCGATAGGTAGAAGCACTCTCCCAAGCCTAACTATCTTTTCTAGATCTCGCCATCTCTGGGTTTTAGGACTAGCGTGTCGTAATGTAATGCTTCGGTTGACAGCGCTTTCTCAGTGCTCTTACAATATGGCCCACTATTACGTATACTTGTTACTTTGTAAGAGTTCAAAAAGGTGGATGATCACACCACTTGGCCACTCGACGCCATCATCATGAGCAATATTTAGCCTCTTCTAAGAATACCGCCAGCAGTCACTCTGACCGTCCCCCTACTCTGGAGATCCAGCGCGTCGAAACCCATTTTTTCAAAAGCACGGCCGCTGCAACTGAGGCAAACGCGGTGACGCTGACATTTTGCTCAGCAATCATGTACTACAGCAGCGGCAACTATGAAGCCTTCGCTCGGCCACGCAAGCCAAAAGACGTCGACGACAAGACGGCATGGTTTATCGGGTCGGGTCTCGCCTCCTTGGCTGGAGCAGCTTTTCTGATACGCGATGGTCACATGCCGGGCAAGAAGATCACGATACTCGAAGAGCTCGCCATCCCCGGGGGGGCGTTGGACGGCATCGACGAACCTGAGAAGGGATTTGTTATTCGCGGCGGTCGGGAGATGGAGGACCACTTCGAATGTCTTTGGGATCTCTTCCGGTCGATTCCCTCACTGGAGATCGAGGACGCATCAGTGCTAGACGAGTTCTACTGGCTCAACAAGGACGACCCTAACTACTCGTTGCAGCGGGCGACCATCAGTCAAGGCCAAGACGCACACACGGACGGTTTGTTCGGTTTAAGCAGTAACGGACAGAGGGATATCCTTCACATCTTCATGACACCACGGAAAGAGCTCGAAGGCAAGCGCATTAGCGAAGTCGTTGGCAGCAACTTCCTTCAGAGCAATTTCTGGATGTACTGGCGGACGATGTTTGCGTTTCAGGAATGGCATTCAGCATTGGAGTTCAAACTGTACCTCCATCGCTTCATTCATCATATTGGCGGGTTGCCCGACTTCACGGCCCTGAAATTCACAAAGTACAATCAATACGAATCACTTGTCCTGCCGCTCTGCAAATGGCTGGCCGACCGCGGGGTGAAGTTCCAATACAAAACAAAAGTCCTAGATGTAGACTTTTCACTTACCGGCGGGACGAAGCAAGCTACGCGCGTTCAGTGGATGAAAGACGGTGAAACAGGAGGTGTTGATCTCGGCCCCAAAGACATGATATTCATGACCATTGGCTCTTTGACAGAGAACACCGGCACGGGGGACCATCACACAGCTGCCAAATTGAACGAAGGACCAGCACCAGCATGGGATCTGTGGCGGCGCATAGCAGCGAAAGATGCCGCCTTCGGCAGGCCAGACGTCTTCGGCTCGCATATTCCCGAGTCAAAATGGCAGTCGGCAACAGTGACCACGATGGACGAGACCATCCCGAGGTACATCCAGAAAATTTGCAAACGCGACCCCTTTAGCGGCAGAGTTGTGACTGGTGGGATCGTAACGGTAAAAGATTCCAGCTGGCTACTCAGCTGGACGGTCAACCGCCAACCGCACTTCAAAAAGCAACCGCCCAAACAGATTGTGATCTGGCTGTACTCGCTTTTCGTCGACGTGCCCGGTGATTTCATCAAAAAGCCCATGCAAGACTGCACAGGTGAAGAAATCACACAAGAATGGCTCTACCATCTCGGCGTGCCGGTGGAGGATATCCCGCGACTGGCAGCCACGGGCGCCAATTGCGTGCCGGTCATGATGCCGTATGTCACGTCCTTCTTCATGCCCCGGCACGCAGGTGATCGGCCGGACATAGTGCCGGACGGGTCGGTCAATTTCGCGTTCATAGGGCAGTTCGCGGAGACGACGCGCGATGTTATCTTTACGACTGAGTACTCTGTCCGTACAGCAATGGAGGCTGTGTACCAATTGCTCGAGATAGAGCGCGGAGTCCCCGAGGTGTTCAACTCGACGTATGATATTCGCACAATTCTCGCTTCGATGAGCAAGTTGCGCGACGGCAAGGAGCTAGACGCACCATTGCCAGAATTCCTGAGGAGCTGGATCGCGCAAAAAATGGACAACGAGGCCGGGAATCTTCTCAGGGATAATCATTTGATTTGAGAATATATATATGTGTAATGGACAACCTCTTTGTCCCCCAACATGACTCTATGCCTTCGAGAAGACGATAGAGTTGCAGCCATTCATCGCGAATGCGTTACCGCCCAGTTCTCCGGCTGCTGGCAGCCATGGGAGCCGTTATGCCATGACCAGCGCGCACCGTGCGAAATTTTTGTGGCTTGTTCCTGGGGTTGGCAATGTTGAGGTACAATATTGACACGAGAAGCAGAAGAGTACTTGTAGAGCAAACTCAAAAGAACCCCACGAGCTCAGAAGCGCAGCTCGGATTAGACCCCTTTGGAGAAAGCGCGCTATCTGGCTTAAGTCTGCCCATTTTCTGAGCATCTCGTCCATCATAGCAACTCGAAGATGCCACTGCAGACGGGAGCTATGTCAATTTCCCCTGCCTGCCTGGCCTTACGGCAAACTCCTTTGTCAAAATCTCGACAACACTGCCTTCCTCTGCCAGGATGCTAGCCATGTCGATCGTCGAGGTACCCACAACTAAAACGCCTATGCCCCAACTGCACCAAGTGCAAAAGGAAATGCGCCGTCGGGACCCCAAGGTGTCAGCGCCGTCGCCAGGGGAGTCTCGAGCCGGGTGAGCGGTCATTCGAGACTAATTGCTCGTGGGGAAAATCCTGTGGACGCTGGACACCCTGGCTGATTGGTGGGCCGCGTCGAGAGTTGGTCCGGGTCTGGGGAAGTGTCAGCCTGCACGTGCCAGGAATATCACTGTCAGTTCGCATGAGTGATACCTCTTCGTGAACGTGGACCAGCTCAAGAGGTGCAAGAGCCAACGCCTTGCGACTATCCCCGATCTGTACGTCACGGCCGGGCCCCGGTGGCATGAATCACGCCTGCAGCTTTGTGGCTAGTTTCATGGTTGCCCGATAACGCACAGATCCTGTCGTACCGCAGCAGTTAGGCATAAGCTTGGTTAGGTTGAAGTAAGCTTACATTGAGCTTAAAACTGAGGCGGCACGGCTCGACGGCCATGATGTCCAAAAGAAGTATGTAACTCTGAATTTGGTGGGATCCGATTATGGAGAGAAAGATTATATGCAGGTGAATGTAGCTTCTCATTTGGACTGCAAGACGAATGCTACCAGAAAACTCCTGAGTGGGTTTATTTATCGTTGTTATGCGCTCAAGTTCGAAGTACATTCTCGCTCATATTGGCCTTGAAAAGTGGTGTCTCAGAGTTCTAGAGAACTCGATCTCATTAATCATATTATGTACTTGGTATCTCGGTCAGTTGCTTGTGACTAATAAACCGTCGGCACGTCCCGAGCCACCGATGCTGTCGCGTATATCATAAAACAGGGTTTCAAATATTGATTACATGCATCATGGCGTTGCATTACGAGGCGCACGACCATTGTAATTAACGCCTGCCGAAGCAGTGTAATTGGCAAAACAATCGTATCTGAAGTCGATCTCGTTAATTCGCTGTTTCAGCACATTGACCATGGTATCAAAGGGACATAGACCATTGGGATCAACAGGGCAGCCGGGATGGGAGTCCGAGACTGGAACAACTGCGTCGTTGCTGATTCAATTAGCATGTTTTAGCCGTGACAAGAAGGTAGGAGACTTACACGATGAAACGGATCTGCTTAGACGGGATTAAGATGGGGCACTCAAGCACTTGAGTAGTGAAGTGAGTGGCAAACGGTACAAGCTTGCTGGCAACAAAGTTGTTACGCCCTTGGTTAGTGCTCGTATTAAGAGCAGGTCCATTGAACAGCGCAGTTAGGTTGAAGGCCGTGAGTGTATCGAGAACAACGACCTCGTGGGTAGCGTCGGCGTAGATGGACTGGTTGAGTGGGAAATACGTCGGTGTATCGTCGAATGTCTCGTTGAGAGCAGAGAGCGCGGCAGGGTAGGTCTGAGTAAATCGAGCAACGAACTCCTCGAGGTAGCCTTTGCCTTGAGCAGCAGCAACTGGGGAACCTGGGCCGTTGTTGTAGTAGAAAGACTAAAGAGTTAAAAGCCGGATTTAAATCACAGATGGAATGAGCTCACCAAGTCATAGTAGTATTCGTAGTTTTGAAAGTCTTGCTGCGTAAAGAGGCCACAGAAGGCGGAATACCCAAGTGCATCAGTCTCGTACGAGCAGAGCTGAAGCATAGCGATAGCGTCGGTGGGTGTGAAGGTTAGATTACCAGAGATCTACCTCTCGACAATCAGCTATGTGGGCTATAAGGCATGGAGAGCTTTACCTGGGAGTTCAACCGGGCTAGGGTGGAATTGAAAGCGTTGTTGGCGAATTTGTTCGCGACAGTGGTGCCAATGCTTCCACGACTGGCGATGTTGGAGTTGTTGCAGACCTCGTAGGGGGCGCCGGAGTTATTGACACCAGGATTCTCGACAAGAATCTCAATGTTTACCTGATTCAGATACTCAGGAACACCAAAGAAACCAGCCGCAAAGTTCTCGGCGGTCTTGACCATGCGGTCCTGAGATTCAGTTCGGAAAACTGGGAGAGCACCCTGAGCGGTGAAGTTGTTCAACAATTCACCATACAATTGGCGGTATGCAACACCGAGAAGGAAGTTCTGGCTGCGTCCAAAGGGAGTCAAAAGCTCAGCACCCAGCTTGTAAGTCCAGTCGGACAGGAAAGCCAGCTCGCCCGAAACTTGAAAACCGGCGCCCTTGGTGGCATTTGCAAGCTTAGCAGCAAACGTCGCAGGGGCAGCTCCGCTGGTAGGGTACCGTGCACCGTGGCGGTACAAGAGGTGAACCTGACTGATGGAGCAGCCAGCAGGAATAAGGGGGCTTGCATTGGGCAATCCGTAATCGGCGGAAGACAATGAATACCACGGTGACAAGTTACCCCAGTAGCGAGTAATGTCGACTTTGGAGCTCGAATCAGAGCCTTGAGGCTGAGGAGCAACCAGAGGGAATGCCGCGGCGCCTTGAGTGTTATATGGGTAAAGGGGAGCTGTCTGAGCCACGGCTGGCTCAAGGCCAGTCTGCGTTGGCCCAGGGAATTGGACCACTGGTTCGGGTGGGAACTGAGCCGAGTTGACGGATGCTAAAGAGGTTTTGGTTCAACTCCTTGTAAATGTTAGGGGCAGGTATATGACCTACTGGCTGCCGGAGGGTAGACGTCTGATGTTGTAGCACCAACATTGGATAAGGCAGTGACAGGTTGAGGGGCGGCCTCAATGGCCTTGGCCAGTAGCACCGAGACAAGTGGGGTGAGCTTCATCTTGTGACTGGTCGAGTCCTCTCACGTACGAAACAAGCAACCAAGTCGGAGTTTCCTTCTCTCCCAGTAGACAGCAAGTGAAGTCGAGAGCTTCTAGACTCCAGGTTGGTCTCGAATTACTTCTCGACATTCGAGCAGCTACTTTATGTATCAGAAGACAAGCATGGCAAGCACGACAAGCTTCCACTAGGTACAAATATAGTGCCATCCAACTATATTCAAAGAAGGGAACATGTGCTTTCGTCCCTGACAGGCGGACCGCCCAAAGGTTCCCCAAATCGAGTGTCTCGAGGCGGTAATGCCGGCAGCTTGATCGATCCCAGCACGCGGGTTGGCACGTGGGTGGGGAGCTCATGCAAAGCTGCCATTGGAGACCGACCAAATGGACCAGGTGCATTACTCGGTATTAGCATTTAGCAAGAAGGAATGCGACATTACTTTCATTTTCTGAATCAGTGCTGCACGGTTTTTGCCATCATAGAATCGCGCACGACTTAAGTGCGGATGACCTTCTATTACGGAGTACGGCAGACGTTCCTTGCAAAATTATTGGCGACTTATGCTGGACAAAGTCAATCAGGGAAGAAGTCGTTATCCCGTAGTGCCGCTATTTTTATCACTGGCTCACCAGCTAGATCATCCTTCGCGGTCGGCACCATTCAGATTGCCTGTTGCTGATCGTTGTAACATCCGTCAAGGGGAAGAGGACTTGTATAGAGTATGTACACTGTGGTTGGCGGGCTGAGAAATGTCAGATAACTTGATTGATTGAATACAGAAGAGAAATCTCTCTAGTGGCAAAAGACCTATTCATGGAGTGTAACCAGTACAAGTAGGTACTGAGTGTATTCTGCAGTGCCGAGACATGGGCGCAAACAGCACAAACATGAATCGTGATCGGCCAACCTACCTCTACCTCGTACTCGGCGAGGTCGGTATGGTTAGGCGTCCTTCAACGACTCGACCCGGTCTAGGCGGGTACAGCGGGTCGGGCCGCTTCGAGTCAACTAAGTAACAAGTGGGCCACTGACCCGCCAAGACTCAGACCACTACCCCCCCCCTAACGCCACCTGACCCATCGAGCCATGTTAAGGCAGCCCGTGCGTAGCTTGGTGATTTTGGCGGCAGCTCGACCTACGGTTAAGTTGACGAGGAACTAGCGAGGACTATCGAAAGCAACTCTGCAGGAATACTTGAAATTCATATAATATTCCGAATTCGCCTTGAAACATCAAAATACTCGGTATTTCTACGCCATACCTTGTGCTACGGGAAGGCGCCGCACGGTATTCGACAAATGAGACTTGGAAAACGCCACTTCTATGCAACCTACGGGTTGTCGATGTAGGTGACAGCTGCGCATTTCGCAGGAAAGCGTGCCAGGTCTCAGATATTCCCGGGCACAGGGACTATCCGCTCCCTGGATCGCTATAGAGAAGAGCGGGTACTGTGGATAGCACAAGAATTACATCGGAGGCTGTCATGCTGATAGTATCATAACGACACATACGAAGTTGCTTTGCTTGGAAAGGTGGCTGATGAACAAGTGTGGGGAGAGGTCGGTCTAACAAGGGAGCTTGAAGCCATTGGTGCATAGCAGGCAATAAGCACTGCGTGGATGAGTTAGTTCGCACATCGGCATCGGGGTGCATGTCTACTCACTTTCCCATGGTGTACTATCCTTTGAAATTTGCGCTTCAAATATCGGATATCTTTCAGCGGGCTTTCTTTTCAGACCCAGAGATTGAGCGGTCCCGTAAAATAGACGGCGGCGATTGCGGACAACGAGAGGGTCATCTTGTGTTTGCATGTGCGTAAGTAGCCAAGGTGAATACACACAAAATCCGAATGTTGGGGACTCGATGGCAAATCCGGAAGAAACAACTTTAGCAACATAAACAATTTATACATTTGTTCCACCCCAATTCTCCCCAGAGGAGGGAGCCATTGAAGAATGCTCTGGCAAAGCACGGGAAATACACTCACCAAATCAACTACACAGCATAAAGGAGGAGGTTTCTGTGTCCGCTTCCAAATCCAAATGCAAAGTTACAGTCGTACACCGCCAGATCAGCTCAACGACTAGGAGCAAGACGCCCGCTACCTTCTCTGGCAAATTTCGATCTATTGTTTGTTTGCTATTGTGTGTGGTACCAAAGTCAAAAAAAAAATACGAATATTTCCATCAACCGCATTAGCGGAAGCAAGCCATCTTTGTTGCCCAAGCAAACCCAATCTTGGGCAGCAAAGCTTCGAGGATCAACGGGAATACAATGCCACGAAGACTACCACCCGACTCCGGTGGCGAGTCTTCGTCGGGTAAAGAAGCAGTGCTGAACCGTGCAGATGGTGGTAGTGAAGACCAAGCTAGTCGAAATGCCACTGTGCACTCCGATGGCCAGGAAGAAGTGCCACATCTGTGTGTAAAGGCCCATCAAGGAGTAGGACAGGAGCAAGCCGACCGAGCCGATGAAGGCCAGAGGGCGTGGTCCATAGGCTTCAAGCCAAGAGCCAATCTGGACGCCGGCGAAGAACGCGATGGAGTTGTAAAGGCTAAAATCTAGCCTGTTGTCGTAGGACACAGGTGAGACAGCTGATGAGGCTGAGGTACGCCTGGTATTTGTCAAGGGAATTCACCAGAGCCAAGGCAGCGAAGAAAGTGCTGAAACTGCCAAATAGAGTGAGCCATGCGCTCCTACCGCCATCAGGATAGTATCAGGGTTCTGCGGGCTCTTTTCATGATCGCTGGTAATGATTTGTGACATCGGAGAACCCATGTTGACTTACTACAATCAGTCTGAACACTGAGCGATTATATTTTTACCCGGGAACTAGAGTTAGATGAGCCAGATGTTGGCTGCCATAACGTCCTGGAATGAAACATTTACTAGAGAGGACCAGAAGGAGATTTCTGAACCTGTCTGCCCAGTCTCCTCGCGGAACAAATGGCGATGTTACTATCGAACGCTTGCGGAATAACGCGTAGGCCCTACAGCAATATTTATTCATCCCCTGACTCCAGAAAAGGGGCCTAATGATGTCTACATACTGTACCTGGGAAGATTAACTCGGTGGAAGAGAGATTTTCTCGCGAACACCTTCCAGGGCCCACAAAGGAAAGGTAGTTAAATTTACATAGCTGCTTGCTTACCGGTTGTACGCTTAGGAAGAAGGAGAATCGAGAAGATAGAGGGTAGGGTCTTTCGTGCGATACTAACAAGTAGGTACCTCGTATCAGCTCGTATCTAGCGGAGTTAGCGAGCCTACGTACCCAGTAGATAGTTAGTAAAGCCTTGTCTTTTCGCTAGCCGGGATAGGAAGAACTTTATGCCGACAGAGCCGACCTCCTTCGATATTTGCACTGTTTACCCTGTTTGCTCTATTTGCACGATTTGAACTGTTTGCTAGCTAATTTGCCCCATCTTGCCCCTCTCACCTGATGGATGGCGAGATTTCGGCACCTGCATCTCGCAAGGATCAGGTACAAAAGTCGACAAGATTGACCCCCTTGAAGGCTTGAACACGCCACGCTCCAAGTCCACCACTCACCGCTTAAGCACCACTGGCTCTCTACGATTGTCTGCGTCAGTCCACCACCATCGCTTACCTACTTAGTACTGTGGTACGAGCTACCTACCCGGAAGCTCCAGAGCCGCCTGCAAGCCCGAGTGATGCCACCGCGACAGCGCCCAATAAAATCCCCTTGCACGTCCACCTTGCCAATCAAAGAAAAGGCTTCCGGAACAAACCACTGATCCTGGGTTCGTTCAACGCGATATTCAAATTGTTGATTGAAGGCTTTTCTGGGTTTCCCTGTTCTATCATTCTCGTCCTTTTCTTTCATCTCAGCCCGTCCTTGAGCTGTCACTCTTTTCTGTCACTTTTCCCAACTCGCACTCCGTTGCAGTCGAGATTGGTGGACTCCAATCCCTTGTCAAGATGTATGGTCCATTCTGAAAATCCCATTTTAAAAAAAATCCCCCCCCTCCGGGTGCAATGAATTTTGGCCGACCTAACATGTCTCCCTCAGGAATGCCACAAACTACGCCGCGCCCGTCACTTACACGGACTACTTCAATGATATCGCTGCATACAACGTGCACCTGAACATCTTTGAAAAACTTTGGGCAGCATGGTACGCGTACATGCAGAACGATGTGTTGGCGACGGGCATTATGAGTTTTGCCATCCATGAGGTGGTGTACTTTGGGAGGTGTGTGCCGTTTATGATTATGGACAAGATCCCCTATTTCAGGAGGTATAAGATCCAGGCGGTAAGTTCTCGTGTTTCCCAGGGACGCCAGTTCCAACATATTCGGATTGCTGACGCGAGACTGGTAAAGAATAAAATGCCCACCCTTGCCGAACAATGGGCCTGCGCCAAACTGGTCCTCCTCTCCCATTTCACTGTCGAACTCCCTCAAATCTGGCTCTTCCATCCCATGGCTCAATACTTCGGCTTGTCCACGTCTGTTCCTTTCCCTCCCTGGTACACAATGGCCTGGCAAATCGCGTTGTTCTTCGTCCTCGAAGATGCATGGCACTATTGGTTCCACCGAGTCCTCCACTTGCCTCGACTCTACAAGATGATTCACAAGCTGCATCACCAATACAGCGCTCCCTTTGGTCTTGCCGCTGAATACGCCTCGCCACTGGAAACCATGATTCTTGCATTCGGCACCGTGGGAATCCCCATTGTCTTTTGCGCGTTCACTAAGAACCTTCATATCGTCACCATGTATCTCTGGATTGTGGGCCGTCTTTTCCAAGCCATTGACGCGCATTCTGGGTACGAGTTTCCCTGGTCGCTACATCACTTCTTGCCCTTCTGGGCGGGAGCGGACCATCACGACGTGCATCATGAGAAGTTCCTGGGGAATTACGCCAGTTCTTTCCGATGGTGGGACGCGGCATTGGGAACTGATATCGGAAGTTCTTCCCAAGACCCGAAGAAGAAAGAAAGGAAGGCCGTGGAAGGAAAAAGCCAATAGAATCGTGTACTCGATCTCCTGGGACAGAACGCGTGAGAAAGAAGCTGCGACGGGGCTTCGCTGCACATAATCCGGTCGATTTCACTTTGAAAAACGAAGACTGCACAGAATAGAATCATGCATGAGTGGCGTTGGATTGCATGGAATAGGGATGGGTAACTGGACAGGCTTTCGTATTCATGGATAGTGTGATATGGCCAGTTTCTCCAAGCACTGAACGAAACTTCGATATTGCTCTGCTCAAATTTGACATTGCACTCACTTTCTGTTAAATTTCTGGATCTTGAAAAGGGATGATTCGAAGCTTCCTTTGCGGTCTCTTTCTGGTCCTCCGAGTGTTTCCTTTCGGTGAGAGTATTCGTAGTGACCCAGAAGTTCGTCATTTGTCTCGGTTTCATGGGGCCGAAGTTTGCGAGGAAGTTGGAGACATGATTTTGGCCGAACCGCAGGAGCAGCTTTCTAGGGCTTCGGAGATTTGCTGTCGGTTGAGGGCAATCATCCGTTCGCGGTGTGCGGCAAAGTGTTTCTTGACCTCATCCAGATCTCGCGTGTCGTCTGGACTCATGGGTTCGGTGACGTTGAACGCATCGAGGGTCGCGTTGATCTTGTTGGCCAGTCTGGTATCTCGAATGCTCAGACCTCGAGGGCTATGGGATGTACATGTAATGGTCATGTATTTATTTTCTCCATCAATTGTTCCACGAGTGATATGTGGATGGTGGTTCATTCTCTCAGCTTCGCTCATGATCAGCTCTTCCACCTGTTCACACTCCCTGGCCGAAGGATGAGCCGTGTGCCGATGTATCGCATCGCCTAGAGGATCGAGTTGCCATTGTGGCGTGCCAAATGACAAGCCCGGCGAGTGCTTCAGCGAAAGATCTCCCGTCTTGGGGGTCTCTGGCGTTGAAAGTAACGAGGCAAGGGCATTTGCAAGCTTGTCACAGTTTGCTTTCGGAGTGGGCGAAATCTTCTGCGTGATTTTCTCGTTGTTCTTCAAACGCAATGTGATGGTCTGGCGGTCATCGGAGATTATGATTGGATCCCTCGAGGAGAGGGACAAGTTCCTTCGCGGAAATGAGGCCTGCCCAACATGAAGGAAAGGCTTCTGCGTGAAGCTGGGTGGCAATTTGCTCACATGGTAAAAAGCTGGTGCATTTGCATGATAACGGACGTAACAGCTTCCTGCATGGGCAACAAGCCGCATAGCTAGGTAGGGAAGCACGAGAGCTGTCAATGCAGGATTTGGAATGAGTCGAAGTAAGTTCTTACTGCCACCACTGCTTGGATTTGGGGGCGCAGGCAGATCCCCTGCCGAGGCTGGCCTTACTTATACCACACTATACCAATTCTGAGCTTACCATCTTCCCTCATTTTCTCGCATCGTTCCCATCTGCAAGGGTCACGAAGAATCATCAGCAGCTTCTTCCTTTCTTCTCTGCTCTCCACCCGCATGGTGACTGGGCCTCTACCACAGAAAGAAGTCATATTGTTTGATGGACATCTATCTCCCCTTCAATCAGGCGCGAGTTTCATCTCGCCTTCGACAAGATCAGCCGCCTCAACAAAGGGACCACTGGGTGGAGAGAAACCACATATCAAGGGTCCCGGATCAAACAGCACTTTCCGCGGTGCTCGCCCGAGCTTTGGCTCAGATCCCGACGACCAACGGGTGTTCTGCCTTGCTATAAATTCTTGAAACGCTTGTGGTTTGGCGAACGCCTCACGCACGGGCATTGGTGCAAGCATCGCGGCTACTCAGCCCCCGCGCGATGGATTCACTTGCGCATACTGGGTACAGCCTACTGGTAAGCCTAATGCAGGCACGCTGCATCCAATGTGAGGGAGTATCTAATGGCAAGAAGGCGCCCAATAGGTGAGTTCATCCCAAACTTTCCTTGTCTACTTGTATTCTCGCATTGTGTTCGATCTGCTGTGTGCTTTGTGCTTTCTCTTTGAACCTCTCGGCTTTTGCATTTCAAGGATTACGCAGATCCTCTGACCCAACCTCGACAACATTGAAGGGAGTTCAAAGGCGAATCTCGGCGGCCGGAAGAATGCGCCGAGTGGAATTTCTTCTTATTCTTCTTGCCTCTCTTTGCGCTGTGAGAGCGATTCCTCTACATCCTCGAGATATATCAAATCCTCTAGATTCTCTAAAAAGCGTCGCCAGCGAGCTGCTTGGCTTCACGACAGCGTTATCTGCGATAGAGTCGGCCAAGCAAACACAAACAAACCCTTCCGCTTCCTCAACGCCTTCAGGACGGTCAACGGCAGCCTCTGGCCAAGCAAGCACCGCTCAGAGCAATCTCGTATCTTCAAATGCACCTTTGAGCACGACAAACAAGGGTACAGGAAGCATAACAGTCTCCGCCACTGGCAGCCAGCTGTCCACAGGAGGTGTCTCACCTACGACCCCGTCTTCGAACTCTGCCATCCTCAGCGCAACAACGACAGCGCCCACGGGTCTCCTTGCTACTTCGCCAGGCTCAACCGGTGATCCTATTGGCGTAATTCCCACAACTACCGAAAGCATTGGATCATCACGCACTAGCACAAGCTCTGGTCCTGGCTCAAGTTCAGGATCGGGATCAGGAGGAGGTCCAGGGTCAGGTTCAACGTCAGCCGATTCAGCAGGTGAGACAGGTCTGTCACCAGGAGAGATTGCCGCGGCAGTCATTCTCCCGGTCCTGGCGGTGGCCGCCATTCTGTTTCTTCTCTTCCGCTTCTGCAAACCCGTCCGTGAAAGGTACTCGGCCTGGCGCCAGGAAAGACTTGAGCGATCTGCGTACCGACGTGCGCTTGACGACCCTGTTCTTGCCTTCGGCATGCGTCAACAAAACGGGCGGGGTCTGGATGGTCTGGGTATGGGTGAGGTGGAGCAGTTGGTGCGTCCCTTGTCATTTGGATTCCGCAATCCCTCAAGACAATTTCCTAGCATCAGAAGGAAACCGTTGGACTGGGACGCAGCGCGGATAGGGGGTCAGGGAGCCTCATCAATCGGAATGGCGATACCAATGCCCGTCGGACAGCATGCCAGAAATCTCAGTGAAATATCAGAGGCAAGCGACTCATCCGGCGATGCTGAGGCAAGATACCAGGATGCCCGGTCGAACCAGGTATCGCCGGAGGGGATGGTCTCATGACCACAACGACTCTTTTTCTCTTTTTTTTTCCCCAAGCGATATCGTGTCTGACTATGATGAACGAGCAAGCGATGAATATTCTGTAGATATACTTTTGTTTTCAAACTTTATCAAACAACAGGCGAAGGCCGAACACTGTACATGCCTATCGAGTTGATCATAGATGATGATGTCTTATACCTGCAAAAGTCTCAAGGGAGCTACTTGCGTCGGATTTGTCAGAATGAACGGCAACTCGAGGACTCGCGACCTCCTCATTCCTCTTGATCTAGCAAGTTCTTTCACTCAGCGAGACCGAAGGCTATGATTGTACGGGTTGGGTATACTAAGGTACCTGGCTAGGGATAGCTTAAGCCGATGTATACCGAGTAGATGTGTACTTGTAACGTGGCGAAGTCAAGGGACATCAAGGAACCAATGACAGCCACCGTGGCACAAGCCTATGGCCTCATTGGAGAATCGACGTTTCATGGTCTCTAAACCGCCTGCTCAACACGGAAAACACCCTCCAAAATAAAAAAGCCAAATGGAACGAAAATATACACAAACCCGTCTCCCAACCCAGCTTCCACTCAACCAGTCATTAAGTCGCTAAAAAAAAGAATAAATACGAGGGGGCACATTCCACGCAAACATGGACGACATCGAGCTTGTCGCTCTGCGGGATCATCTCATCGCCATCGCTCTCCAGGCCGGCTCGATGGTAATATCCGCCTCCTCGGCGTGTACGAACACCACCGGCACACCCACGCAGTCAGCGGCGGCATCCACAAAGAAAAACTCGGCCGACCTCGTCACCGAGACGGACAAGGCCGTGGAGGATTACATCTCCGGCACCCTGAAGCAGCGGTACCCGTCGTGTAGCTTCATGGGCGAGGAGACGTATGTGCCGGGCAACAAGCTCGGGCCCGAGCCGACTTTCATCGTCGACCCCATCGACGGGACCACGAACTTCGTGCACGGCTGGCCCTACGTGAGTGTGAGCTTGGGCTTTGCGGTGGACCGCGAACCGACGGTGGGTGTGGTGTACAACCCGTTCACCGGCAAGCTGTACCACGGGATCAAGGGCCGGGGCAGCTATGTACGGGACGTCCGGGACGGGAAAGCAGCAGAGAACGGCGGCGAGAAGGCGGCGGGGGATACAAAGCTGCCGCTTCGACACCCCTCCGCGGTGACCGGTCTGGACGAGTGCGTCGTCGCCATCGAGTACGGCAGCGACCGCAGCGGCGCGAACTGGCGTACCAAGACAGCCACCTGGGCAACCCTGGGCGCCAGCAAGGACGAGGGCGGCGCCATGGTCCACTCGGCCCGCGCGCTGGGCTCCGCAGCCCTCAACCTGTGCGCCGTCGCGGAGGGCTCCATCGACGTTTACTGGGAGGGCGGCTGCTGGGCCTGGGACGTCTGCGCTGGCTGGGTCGTGCTCACCGAGGCCGGCGGCCTCATTGTCGACGGCAACCCCTCCGGAACATGGCACATTCCCGTCGACCACAGGAAGTATCTCGCTGTGCGTGCCGCGGAGAGGGGGCAAAAGGAGTTGGTCCAGGAGTTCTGGGGGTTTATTAAGGGCTGGATGGAGTATGAGCACTGAGTTGGGGAGTTGGGAAGATTCAAAGCCTGGATCCCGGATCAACGAATTCTGGCATACATCGTCTCCAAGGTACGAGCCTAACTGGAAGGTTCTGCACGTGATACGGGACGAAGGCAAAGACAATAGAACATAGACAAGAAGCATTTTAAATTTCAAGGCAGAAAATCGACAGCTGGGATTTTGCGGCCTCCTCGAAATCTCTATCCTTTCCTTTCTGATTGTTCCGCTAATATTACACTTGACGCTATGCAGAGGCGGCGGAGGGAGACCTCACATGAACACAGCATGGAACTCACTTCCATAACTTGCCTAGTGACACCTCCTTATCATCATGCTTGTTGAGGACCTTGGCCGTTGCCAAGTCAAAATCTTCTTGTGTGACGTGGACTCTTCTTTCTCGCAAGGCGAACATGCCAGCCTCTGTGCACACACCCTTGAGTTCTGCGCCGGAGCAACCGTTCATTTTCTCTGCAATCTTAGTCAGGTCAATACCTCTGGTTAGGTTCATGCTCCGGGAGTGAATCCGTAGAATATCGGCTCTCGCCTCAACAGTTGGCGGTGGGAACTCGATCTTGCGATCGATGCGACCTGGTCGGAGGAGCGCAGGGTCCAAGATATCAAGTCGATTTGTGGCCATGATGACTTTTATGTTATTGGTCGGTTCGAAGCCATCTAGCTGGTTCAGCAGTTCCAACATGGTGCGCTGTACCTCTGAGTCTCCACCAGCGCTTCCTTCTATACGGCTGGAGCCTATACTGTCGATTTCGTCCATGAAGATGATGCTGGGTGCGTGTTCTCTTGCCATGACGAAAAGTTCTCGCACCATTCTGCTCCCTTCGCCAATGTATTTCTGTACCAATTCTGATCCAGACACTCTGATGAATTTGCAGTCGGCATGATGCGCAACGGCTCTCGCCAAGAGCGTTTTGCCTGTTCCTGGCGGGCCGTAGAGAAGGACGCCCTTTGGTTGAGCGATTCCGAGTGATTCAAAGAGTTCCGGGTGGTTCAGGCCCAGCTCGATGACTTCCTTGATCTCTTTGATTTGTTGATCCAGTCCACCGATCATGTCGTATGTGCTGTCCGGAACTTTTTCGACCATCATTAGAGAAACTAGAGGATCGACGGATGAAGGGAGTATCTTTTCGAGCTTGTAAGAATCGGAGAGAAGGGAGACTCGCTTGCCGACGGTCAGTTTGGCTATGTCAACGCTGTCGGCGATATCGACAACTATATCAATTCGTCAGCCCTGAACTTTGATGCCTGACCATCTATCGTCAAGACTCACCATATTTGCCTTCCGGATGTACCTTTACCAGCACCTTCTTGGTCCCCATCACCTTGACGACTTCGCCAACGTAAGAGCCGGGCTGTTGCAGCAGACCCAGCTCTTCTCGCAGCAGCCGCACTCTTGAGTTATAGTCATTTCGTTGTGCTTCTAACCGGCGCAGGACCGCTTGACCTTGGAGGATCTCCAGCTTCAGAGCTTCGATTTTGTTGTGGTAAAAGTTGTCGAGTGCCATGATGAGAGGTCGTTACAAGGACGCAGGTTGGCGGATAGGGAATCTGTGTTTCTGAATTCAAAAGGTCGCTAAAGGGAGAGATCAAAGTGTCTAGATGGCGAAGGAAACTTTGTGGACGTGTTTGATGGCAATGGTGGTGGTAAAAAAGATGGATGGAATGATGTGGACGCGACTGCGCTTGGGAGCCTGAGGCGGCGGCTACTGCTGGGCGGCGCCTAACGCGGCTAAAGGACAGGAGATTCGGTTGCCACAAGGGCCAGCAGGCTAGGCAGTTCAATGCCAACTGAGGCTACTGAGCTCACTTACTTAGTACAGGCCCCTCTTAAGTGCCGGGTGCCTCTTGGGTGCCTCTAGCTCCTCTGTTTTAGGCACCGACTTCGGTGCTCTCGGGGGATGACGGCGCTCCCGCCTAGGGCGCCTGACTCCCGGCGGAGATCCGACCCAACTTGAGCACCAGTAGCACAGCACAAGCACAGCAGCAGGCATCATCGGCCCACCAACTTCACACCCATTGTTTGTCAAGATTTTGCTATGAGCTCAGTCTGCAGCTGCTCCCAGCTATTTCCTTGCGTGCGACTTGCAACCAACACCTGACCAAGGTTAGACGAGGTTCGTGTTCTCAAAGCTTCTGGCAGTTGCTTCTTCTTCCCGTCTATCCTACTTGCTGCTGGCTATAGCACGTGCGCCAATCGGTGTGTCGGCTGGCGCACTGGATTTCGTCGCCCTACACCACAATACCCCATATCGTTAAAGCATCACTAACATTGTAACCAGTCGCCATCCATAGACCGACTCCCTTCGCTCTGTTATCAATACCTGATTCGATTCAGAGTCTCCTCGCTCGTTCCTTCCCCTTCAATACCTCGACCTTCCTTGCTCCTTCACCTGAGATAGACACCGCTATCAACACATCATATGATTTGAAGTACCCGTGCCCTTTTTGATGCATCCACGTGCCTTGACCAGGCATCGACCCGCCTGTCTCCCTCTTATTACGAAAACTGTGTCGGCCTCGTAGCGCAGTCCTTCAACTCAGCCCTTTCCGAGCAATGGTGGCAATTCGAACAACTCGATGAAAGAAAAGTATCTCGGCCAGAATGTCGTCCAGTGACGATCCACACAAGAACTCCGATGATAGGGTTGTGCAAGATTCCCAGTCTACGCCTAGGCCTCCTTCAGTCGCCGGCTCTGGAGTAGTAGACTCGAGATCTCGAGATGAGCCAGCAGTAGCAGATACCACAATTCGACGAGATTATGGTGAGTCCTTGCTTTCTTAAGTGTAATGAAACGCCCTGCTGAGATCAAACAGGGTCTCTAAGTAGCAGCGTCCATGCCTCGAGCAGCCAGAGACCACGCAGCGGATATCGAAGTGACGAGGCCCAAGAGGCTTCTGCATTGCCCTCGTTATCACCACAGGCGACGAGGACTCGGAAACCTCCTCCTATGAGAAGGATCTCGACTCGGAAACAATTACCCCATCGGGGCGAACTCTTCTCTGTGGACGATGACCCTGACGAGGTCGAAGTAGACAGAGAGCTCCAAACAACACCAAGCACGCAAACCTTTCCGTCTCTGACTCGATCACAATCCACCGTTCGTCGGCGAACTGCGGCTGCGCCGCCGCAGTTACCGCGTGTCGATTCCGCAGAAGAGGAGGCAGAGGATATGATTCAACAAGAGTCTGCTGAGCCGCCGGCGGAGGAAACCGACGGCTGTGAAGAAGATGGGGAACTCGGAGACTCCGAGGACGCGGATCTGAGTGATGCTGAGAGCTTCACGTTGAAAGATCGACAGTTGGCCATTAACGAAACACATCCATTTGGCATCAGGATTTGGAAACCTGCATTATACAAGAAATCCAGATCGGTGGAAAAGGGGGCAGAAGAGGATATTCATTCTTCACCCAGCCAGATTGTGAGCACTTGGTTGTGGTTCTTCAACTGCCTATGGACTGTCCTGTTCGGTTGGTGGCTGAGTCTTGCCGCGCTTTTCGGAGCCCTTGTCTGCTACTTATTCGCCTTTGACCCCAGTGCGGCTGCATATGGCGGGGTCTTCTTGGGTCTAGCTGGCTACCTTTTCTGGCCTTTTGGAAAATTCGTGAAACTTGAGCAAGACGAGAACTATGCCGAGGAAGACGAAGGCGAAGGTCGCAGCATCAGCGAGTACGAACGATGGCAGAGTGGAGATCTGGAGTATGGTCGACTTATGTTCGGACCCACCCTTACTCACACCGGATCCATCGTTGGCCGACATCGAAATAGTGTCGACTCTGCAAGTGAGAGTGATAGCCTTCTAGACCGGAGCGGGAGAGGCGATCGGCCAGAGACGAATGTGAACACCAAAACCAAGCGACGACTGTTTGGACGCGGGCAATGGACTTTGGGTAGAGTCATCTTCTTCGTCTTCTTCTACTTCAATGTCGCCCCATTGATGCTCCTGGTATCGATGGTCTGTTGGTTGATGGTTTTCTGGATTCCAATGGGCCGGGTCACCCTCATCTTATTCTATCACCTACGAAAGCGACCATTGGCTCTGACATTCCATCGAGATGTCTCGCAGGCTAGAAGCTCCACCAAGCCCTCATCAATTCTACTGTGTACTTACCGGGCGGTCGGGATCAAGTACTGGAAGTACACAGTCGATGGGACCAACATCTTCCTGATCAACTTTCTGGCGATTGTTGTCTTTGTCATTTTCGACTACTTCATTCTCAAGATCGCAGCTGGGTTGAATATCTGGCTGACAAGTCCGGCACTCATGTTCACCCTGGCTCTCATCTCCATCGTCCCTCTGGCCTATTTCATTGGACAGGCAGTGGCGTCTATTTCGGCTCAATCATCGATGGGAATGGGTGCTGCGGTCAATGCATTTTTTTCGACTATTGTCGAAGTGTACCTTTACTGCGTCGCCCTTAATGAGGGAAAGGCTTCCCTTGTGGAGGGAAGCATCATTGGCAGCATCCTCGCCGGCATCCTTCTCCTTCCCGGGCTGTCGATGTGTTTCGGAGCAATAAAGAGAAAAACTCAACGCTTCAATGTCAAGTCTGCTGGGGCGACTTCTACAATGTTGCTATTTGCTGTCATTGCAGCATTCGGCCCAACCTTGTTCTACAAGATATACGGAAGTCACGAGCTGATCTGTAGAGCGTGTACTGCGGAGGGTGTTGACATTCCAGCGGATTGCCGACAATGTTACTTCCGACAGGTGCCTGCCGTTTCGGATGACTTCTTTCTCAAAGCCGTTCGGCCATATTGCTGGATTGCTGCCGTGTTTCTCTTCTCGTCCTACATCATTGGACTCCTGTTTACTCTACGCACCCATGCTGCTATTATATGGAGCACCGATCTGGACGAGAAGAAAGCTCAGCCTCCGACCGCCGACGTAAGTCCGATGGACACTCGGCATCAAAGCGTAGTCAACTCGCAGAATCTGCCGAGGCTTGACGGGACTTATCTTCCTAGATCAGCTATAAGGGAGTCTCAATTGTACAAAAAGATTCTGGGCCAGAGTCTGCGATCTGCAGGACTTCCAGACGGCGATGCTAATATGGAACGAGAACAACATAGTTCTCATGAGAGCGCGTCACACGTCTCGGTGATTGACCACCAAAACAAAGGTGACTTGCCGTATCTGGTCCCGCCAAAGTCGAGTCACGGTTCAGAGGACATCCGAACTCCCACTCTACATCCTGTGCTGCCTGGACTATCTGAGGAAGACAATAACAATCTTGTGCGGCAGGTTGCGGAAATGGCGGCTACGGCAGCGACGATTGCCACTCGAGACGCCGTCCATCATCCTCGGACTGCGTCGTACCAGGCAACTCACGCTTACAAGCAAGAGACTGCAAAGACTCAAAGACCATCAGTTGTCCGTAAAGACACTGCGGCAGAAGAGGGCTGTGCAAACGCTGCGATCGAACAAGCCGCTCAGCCCGCCATGGAAGGCGGTGGCCACGATGCTCCGAATTGGTCCAGGACAAAATCATCGATCATTCTCCTAACAGCAACGGTTGCCTACGCTATAGTGGCTGAAATCCTCGTCGATACCGTGGATGTTGTGCTCGACTCAGTCGACATTGATGAGAAATTCCTGGGCATCACTTTATTTGCACTGGTACCCAACACTACGGAGTTTTTGAATGGCATATCATTTGCCATGAATGGGAACATTGCGCTCAGCATGGAAATTGGATCAGCATACGCTTTGCAAGTATGCATGCTTCAGCTCCCGGCTTTGATTCTCTTTTCGGCGTTACGTTGGCCGTTTATTGACCCGCAAAACCTCATTGACCACACCTTCAATCTCATCTTCCCGCAATGGGACATGGTAACGATCATTCTTTGCGTCTTCCTGCTCAGTTATATGTCTGGGGAAGGGAAGAGCAACTATTTCAAGGGCAGTATTCTTGTCCTGACGTACCTCGTGGTAGTCCTAGGATTCTATTTCAGTGGCTTCACCACCCTGAGCATCATGGGGGTGGATCCCAACGATACATTGGCCATCATGTCAAGCATGGCATGGCAACAAAATACACCTGCCGGGGTGCGGACCCCCAAGGTTGTCAGTGGGAGAGAGTTATAAGGGGTACATTCAAAATCTCCGGTCCAAAAAACGTGACGGGTCAATTGTTGTGACTTGTCGGCTTCAGATGGGGATTTGAAGGACAGGATGTTTTAATTCAGAGTCGAGTGGTTATGCACATTGGTAGATCCACATTGGACAAAGGCGTCGACGCCCTAAATGATGAATGAGAGGGTCTTTTAATCGCGCTCCTCCTTAGTACACCTTCCAAATGCTCGGACCTCTCGACGAGTATAATCTCTGCGGAAAATCGACAGTGGAGCCGCTCGCAGCCGTAATCAAACCTGGGGAAGGGATACCTACCCAGGGAAGAGGAGGATCACATACATGTAATACGCCGTACATATAATGGGTATACATAAGACCAAGCAAGATATAAGAGGAAACGTTGTTTCCTCCGCGGAGGATATTATGTAGGAACTTCAGCGAAGAACGCCGACGGCTCGGCCAGCGGTGGCACGATTGAGCGGGCTGATTATGTTATTTTTTTGATTAGGTATCATGAGACGGATTACCAGGATGGCAGCGTAAGCAGCGTGAGCACCGAGATCCCTTTCCTTGGCCTCTTCTCAGTGCCCACCCAATGATGCTATTGTGAAAGTGACCGACCGCCTAGGAGCCTCGCTTTTCCCTCGCTGATCCGTATGTATGTATGTACTTGAATTGAGTTTGAGTGGAGTGGAGTGGAGTCGAGAAGCCGGATCCGCTTTGTAGTCCATATCCCTTGGTTCAAATGAAGCAATTTCCCATTTTTCCTTTGCGTTCATTGTGGCAGAAAAGCGGCATTTTTCGCCAAACAGAAAGGCAATGTCGACGTCCGTTTGTCGAAGCGTCAAATGGCGCATCGAGAACTGTGGAAAGGCAATAAAAGAGGTACTCGAAAGAAAGTCGTTTCAAAGTACGGCTCTGATCGGAGCGGATGATCTGGGACGAGTCGAGGGTGGTCGAGGCTCCATCGGAAGAAATAAATGGTTCTGAGTTGAGCTGAGATCGGACTTGACTGGAAAACTGGACATGCCCTCCTTCTTGGGCGGAGCGGGTTGATAGTTGCTATGTCGATGTGAGGTTGACGGATCTGCTGCATTACGGTGCAGTTCCAAAAGAGAGAGATACCGACTGACTGGAACACGTCAGAGTCGAGATTGATCATACTTAATGATTAGTAGAGCTCTCCCGTCCTTCGACCTCCTCTGTGCATGCACCAATCGCACTGATTTCGATAGTTAGCCAGGTACCGGATTCCATAATTCAGTCTTTCGGGGAGGAACACAACGTACAATACTCTCGTTGCAACCGGTCCTATGAATATAGCAATAGCTGGCTTTACAACGCTTGCATATCCTCGCCCATCGCCGCGTACAGTTCTGGCATTGGCGTCCACAATCCCAGCAGTCTCGCGTCACTGCTGCTTGGCCAGGTCTGAGTTGCACGTGTGGTTGTTCATGACGTTGATGGCGCTGTAGGGGAGAAAAAGGATGAGACCGTTAGCAAACGCATGTCAGTAACGACGGAGGGACGACGGAGAAGAAGGGCCGATGGGTAGGTAGTAGCATTTGCAGGTTGCCGGCGGCGGAAGCGTCTGGTTGGCGGTATACTCGCCTCGATGGCGGTTTGGGGATGAAACATGGCCCAATCTTGGTTTTCGAAAACCTTCCAGTAGATGTTCCAAATGGGTGGTCTTCTTGTCCTCGATGCGTTCCTTGGTTATCCCCCAGCACCGCCACCACTCGCTCCGGCCGTACATTTGGCAACGAGGCAGGTTTCAACACAAAGACCATTAAATACCTTGAGAGGATCGCTATTAGCCAAAAATCCCCCTGGCGGAGTTAGATCTTCCCCTCGATCCATTCTCGAAGTCAAATTTGGTCCTCCGGGGTGCTCCAAGTTTTCCACGTAGGCGAGTCTTTTCGAGCGTTCCGGGTTGTAACAATCAGCGCACCACCATTGATGACAGCTATCGCAATGTCGATTTGTGAGGCACCAGGTGCAGGAAACAATGAGTCGCTGAGGAAGAATCCGTCCATCTTCAGCTAGGCGGAGTGGAGGTCGAACAGCATCAACCAGCTTTCCTGTGTGCGGTGGAGGCCATAGGAGTGGGAAAGCGCGGAGATCGCTCTCTCCCCAGACAGGTGCTCCGTGGGGGCTTCGGCCACAGCTTGCACATCCCCTCGGCCCAAGGGCCACGCTTGCTAGGGGAGGGATGCCGGGTTTGTTATCCGTGAGATATTCTCTAGAAGCTGGGTGAAGGACAGAGGCCATATCGGCGTGCATGTGGGTGCACAAGACGGCATCAAAGCTGATTATCCCTTGGCATGTTTGCAAGGTCTCTTCCCAGGAGGTTCGTGCTGCACGGCCTTGAGATATGACATGGCCAGACGCATCATACCAGGGTTCCACGTCGCGTGATCTGGCCCCCCCGTTCGTAGGAGCGTGACCTCCCAGCTGAACGCCCTCAGGGTCTATCGTGCCCACAGTATCGAAATTGTAGTGGAAGGCATGACTGAAGTCGAAGGCCTGTTCCTGGCTGAGCGATGATGGAGGCGTGAAGACATATAACCCCTGTAGTCGAGGAGTCCCTTCAGGTCTACTTAGTCGACAAAGGTGACAGAGAAGCTGCTGCAGCTTGAATTGATTGACGTTGAGACATCGCCGTATGCTGAGGAGACGTACGTTATATTCACTTCTCGTGACGATGTCATTGATCAGGTCCACGGTCACCGACGCCAGGTCGTCGAGGACGAGGGTCTGAACGTTCTGAAGAACTTTCATTTTGCCCAATCTGGCTAGGACGCCACGGAGTGGCCCAGCATAAAATTCGTCTTCCGTCAGATTTTCGTCCATTCGTTCTGCACGCCAGGAATGACCGCCGGAGTCGATTCTTGACAGGAGATTGGGCGGAACGTAAGCTCCCCGGCACTTTGAAAGGTCAACGTATCGGAAGACGCTTGCTGTGCGAAGGAATAGCTCTCGCAAAGAGCGGGATGTTCGTGCCAAGGCAAAGATAGTTGAGAGCGGCAGATACGGTAGGGTGTTGTCGAGGATGATGGAGTTGGACAGAACATCGAGCAAAGATGGAGGCAAACAGCCTGAGAGAGCCTGGGACTCGATGGACATGGTAGGCGCTGGAATGAACGACCCAGTATTGCTCCAGGCAATGATATTCAGAGGCGAGGAGTGTCCTCTTCGAAAAGCAACCGGGCGCAATGCTTAAAAGGAGATAGGTGTTCTGGAGGGAGAAGGAGCGGTCAAGTGCAAGCGGCGATGAGACGGTGGCGGCAGCCGGCAAGACGCGATGGGATAAGGGTGGATGTTTGATAGATTGGATAGGGGGAGTTGATGAGAAGTAAATGGGTGTCGGTGAGCTGGTGTGGTGGTGGTGACTCCAATATCCACTAAGCCGCATTGAGACTTCCGGCACACCCTGTTGGGGAGGCTAACCGTATTTGGACATTAGGACGTGGGATGGCGGCGAGGCTGAATCACCGCAATCAATGTCGCCAGATGCACGACGCATGGCTCAGCACAAGATACCAAAAAACAACAACTACTATTCGTCTCGATTCGTATCTTCCCTTCATATTTCATGTTTCGTATCTCATCTGTGCCAGATGTTACCTCGGTAAGACTTTTCATCCCCACATGCAGAAGCTCTCAAATTGACCCAAACACGACCCAAGCACTAAAACGTAAAACCGTACAGAGTGTCGTCAAACTTGTTGCTGAAACGCCTCGGCCCGACATCCTGTAAATCATTGTACCTTCTTCCCTTTGTGCGTCCCGAGGTCCATCAGGTCAATCATGGCGAGACCGACCCTCTCACACTCTGCCCAGTTCCGCTGCCGCATCCAAAACCTCTCGGTTGCGCTTTCCGCCGAGCTACTCGTAGACACACTCTGGTCCCTTGCGTCTTCTTCGAGACTCTGTTTCGTAATGCTGGCGAATGCGTGTTCTCCAGATTCGGTCATGAGCGGACTGTTAGGAGGGGAAGCAAGGGGTCTAACCGCGTGGCCCAACCCGGCTTCCTCAAGGTACTTGCGACGTACCATGAAGCGTTCGCTGCGCTCCTTACGCATGGCCGCAGAGTCGAGCTTGCTGATGGCTGTCCTGACTAGCAGGCGCACCAACAGGAAGGTGTGCTCCGAGACGAAGACGCTAAGCAGTAGTGCCCACAGCTTGATGGCATGGGGTCTACCATCCGGCCCTTGCCCATCACCACCTGAGAACATGTACACCAGCGCCGCGGAGGTGATGCTGCCGAGCCAGGCGAGGAATTCGAGACTATCGAGCCAGGGTCCAATGGAATCTGCTCGGGCTGGATTGGGTCGGCGGCATTCAACCGTCAGTTTGAAGGTGTCACCCCTCAACTCGATCCAGTTGTTGATAAAATATGAAACCGGTGTCAGAGGCCATATGACACTGAAAAGCGAGAGATAACCGAATTGTATGCACATCTCACGCAGGTCTGAGGTCACATCGTATTCTGGTAGAGCAGCCTCTTCGCGGACTCGAGTTAGGAATTCCTTCTCCTCGGGCGGGTCGTGGTCAGCGACCGAAGGTGTAGTCCCACCGTGCTTTTCGGCGCGCTGGGATTTGATTTCCTTAAATTTCTTGGTTCCTCTTTGTGTGACGACTGGCATGACTGTTTCCATGGCGAAATTGACGACTTGGGCCGTCACTGCGAAATAGATCATCTGATTACGTAGACGGTTGGGGTTGATGCTGAAGGCCGCAGGAGATGGTGCCGCAAGTTGCTTTTCGTTCTCGGCGAATGCGTTAACTGTCAAACCGAAGATATCCAGATAAGGCACCAAGATGGAGGCAAAAGGGACGTATACGAAGGAAGTTAAGAAGATTGCCGTATACGAGGTGATGAAGTTGATGACGAAAACCTTGGAAATCATAGCCCTATCATGAGCGTCTTGAGTTTCGTAGTTTTCGTAGAAAGTGAGCTTTTCGGCAAATCCTGTGAGGTAGTTGCTGATGGTGGGTACTGCAAGGGTGAGGAGAATGGTGGGAAGGAAGACGAGAATGGACTTCAGAGGGCCGTCGTAGACTTCAGAGATGAAGATTTCGATGGCGTAGCAGATGCATATAACAGCTCCGAGTGCAACCACGCATAAAGCTGCCAGCGGGATTTGGAGGAGTTGTCTCTGGAGTCGCTTCTTTGCTGGGAAGTACGCGACTTTCTCGCCCGTGACAGGATCCGTGGTAACTTTCTCCGATTCAAACTCTCTCCTTTTATCCTCAATCAATGACACTCTCTTGACGTTCCATCGAATAGCCAGCTCTCGTTCTTGACGTTTCCAGTATTCGATGAAGACGACACACCACAGGCCGTTGACTATTGCATAGATAGGGGAGTAATTGCCCAGGAGGACCCAGCATGAGAAGCCGAAGGCGGCAGGAAAGATCATGAAGGAGAAATAGGATTGCAGGAATGCATAGTAGTAGCCAATCTACTCTCGTCAGTCAGCCCACACAGTAGAGAGGAGAATCGTTAGAGAGACGGACCTTTTCGCCAACAGTGTTCCTGATTTCGTCCAGGTCACCTGGTGTCAGAAATGTCTTCCGGGTAAACTCAGTCAGCCATGCCTTGTTTTTGACGTGGTCATGTAAGGGAAACACAGCTTCCACATTCTTCCATTCGCTGTGTTTTGGTGTGATGCCAGCTCCTCCCTCTTCCCGTGGGCAGCATATCATGTGGTGAATATGTCGATGCCGCTCGGCGACCGTTAGAGGCTCTGAGGTTAGAGTCTGTGCAGGGTCATTGCTGGGCTGAAGTTGTCGAACTCCGTGTAGCCAGTCTTTTATCCTTGATCGGTAAACCACGTCTGCAAATATCTTCTCATCGGCGGCCCTGACAAAGACCAGCAAGGATGTTTCATCGCCTCGTCGCACTTCGGTGGTCAACCCAATCTCGGCGAGACCTCGAATGAGCTTCTTGAACTGAGTAATGCCCGCTTCCTTGTCTGAAGGATGTCAGTATCAGGATCCATGAAGTGAAGAGGGTGGAATTAGTACCATCTTGGGGCATTCGGTAGCTAATGACATAGTCGACATCAAAGTTGGTCGGTAACACCCTAGAAGCCATGTTGGCAGCGAGACCGGAAGGAGTGGAAGATCGACGTGCGAGAAGAGAAGAAGGGCTTGCCCCGACAGACAGCCTTCGACGAAATAATCCCTTATCAAACAGCTGTTTAGTAGAAGAGCGAACAGACGAAAGTTGGAAACCAGGTTGGACCTCCAGCCGCATGAAATGAGCTTTGATCATCGGTTGAGACGCGACGTCATCAATTTAGCAGATCTGGTGAGCTAGCATTGGCGAGACCTATGCCTAATAGGGCTAGTGCATGCTTATATCAGCAGCCTCGTCAATGGACCAATCGCCTAGCAAGAACCTCGGCTAGTCCCATTCAAGCAAAGAGTCGAAATTGAGCCTCGGCATCAGAACGAGGTAAACACCAGGAATCCCGCTGTTTGGTCAGCCTTTACCGGGTGGAGTGTCTGACGGTGCGCTTATCCACGGCGTGGAAAGAGGGAAGGCATTTCAGAGCTTGTCTTATTATATCTACCCATATCCATTTTGAACCCTGAAATATTCTCCATCTGTCTCTTCTGGGAGGGCGAGCTGCATGACCGTCAAACGGGGTTCATAAGCAATCATGGCGAACAAAGTCGAGGGTGCAACATGGAACCAGTCATACACAGAACCTGATGCAAACAACTATTCTGCGTACCAACGAGAGATCTACAGCTCTCTACGGGCTCCCTCTTTCTCTACCAAACCGTCTGAATGGGAAGCTCTGGCCCGCTCTAAAGTCCCTGCTGCTAATTTTGGCTATGTGTATGGAGCAGCGAGCAGCGGCCAGACTCATGCGGCCAATATTGCCGCATTCGATCGCTATCGCATTCGACCTCATATGCTAGTCAATGCTACTCGCCGAGACCTGAACGTTGAGCTGTTCGGGACAAAGTATAGTAGTCCTCTTCTTCTAGCTCCAGTTGGGGTCCAGAATATCATGCATGAAGACGCTGAAGAGGCTACCGCCAAGGCTTGTCAAAAAGTCGGCATACCCATGATTCTCTCCTCGGCTGCCACGAGAACCATTGAACAAGTGGCCGAAGCCAATGGGACTGGTGACCGTTGGTATCAGCTTTACTGGCCCAGGCCTCAGTGGGAAGAAGTTACTGTGAGCTTGCTAAACAGAGCAAAAGCCAATGGATATAAGGTCCTCGTCGTTACATTGGACACTTTCAACCTGGCTTGGAGACCAACAGATCTTGATACGGCATATCTACCTTTCATCTGGGGCGACGGCTGCCAGATAGGACACTCTGATCCGGTCTTTAACCGCAGATATGAAGAGATCCAGAAGAACGATACGAGAGGCTATGGAGAAAAATTAGCCGAACTCTGGGCAATGATGAAGAGACCCGGCTCAGTCTACGGCGCGGCTCGGGTCCTGACAAACGTGTCCCTACTACAAAAATCAAGGGCTTGGCTGGACGTCTTGAATTCTGGGACGTATAGGGAATGGAAGCATTTGGAGATTTTGAAGAAGCTATGGGACGGGCCAATTGTTCTCAAAGGTATTCAGACGGTCGACGACGCTCACAGAGCCATCGACTATGGGATGGATGGCATCATTGTGAGCAATCACGGAGGTCGACAATGTGATGGTGCTATCGCTTCCCTCGATGCTCTAGCCGAGATTGCCGCTGACGAAAGAGTCAAACGGTCCAACATGACACTGATATTTGACAGTGGCGTCCGTACCGGGGCAGATATCTTGAAAGCATTAGCGTTGGGTGCAAAGGCTGTGTGCATTGGCAGGCCTTTCATGTATGGTCTTGCTATTGGAGGACAAGAAGGAGTAGAGCACGTCCTCAGGTGCTTACTCGCTGACACTGATAACATGCTGGGCAATATGGGCAAGAAGAGCGTGAAAGATCTCAGCCGGCATGACATACAGCTGCGGCCAGAATCAAAGCTCTAGACAGATTTTACCGAAAAGACGGGATTGGGGGGGAGTGGTAAAACAGACTGCTTTGCAAGGGATTGTGCTGGACGCGCTCCTCCGATAGTATTTTAGGAGCGAATAAAAAAAGTACATGATCAGATACAAGATCACGGCTGAGAACATTATCACAAAACTGCAGGGTAGCGGGGAGAGCGCCGTATGGGATATAACCTGTGGTGTATCAGTGTCCCTGGGAAGACGCAGCCTCGCCAGCTTCATGTGGGGTCAAGACAAGCAGGACAAGTCTTTCTGGGACGGAGCTTGCCGTTGAACCGACATGCATCTATCGAGAGGTGCCGGGAAGGAACAGACATACCACCCACTCACGCTTTGTAACAGGACAGGATTAGACGAAGCGCTACGGTCAATCTGGGGGCCTAAACGGACAACAGCTGGGAGAAGTTTACGTGAAGTCACACCGCCAAACCAATGGTATTATTCTACACATGCATAAGTTGCGCCCGACAGCAGCTCGGGCAGACAACTTAGCCTGTGCATGAAAGAGAGTCTGCAATGACAGCAGACCAAGGTGGCCTTCAGGTCCGCCGCGCTCCAACTAGTGCAGAACCACAACACCCTCTTTCAGCCTCATCCCGCACAGTGTTAGGCAATCCCCGTGTTTCTTACAACTCGCTGAGAGGTTTGCGGCTGCTGGGCGCGTGGCTACTTTCCATTGGCAAACATATGCCTAGCTGAAGGCTAAGAAGGACAAGAGCAGCCTAAGCCGGTGCTGTTTGGCAATCTAGCAATACATAACTGCGACGGCCCCCTCCCTCCTCAGTGGGAATGCCTTGCTTTCTGCTATTGTCCTTCTAGGAGAATCCAGCCGGATGGCAATATACACTAGTTACAAGAACTACTGCCCTCATACGTCCGCTAACACGACATGAGCAAGCCTAGACGTATCTCGAATCAAAATAAACAAGGCTGGGCCGAGGATGGCGATGGGCAAAAGAGCAAAGCAGACGTCTTTATCGATTCGACTGCACTTGTCACCGATCGACAAGTTATACGCATCTTCTCAGTCCTGCAATCAAAGTCCCCAAAGCTGGTCAAGGCATGGCTATGGGTTCTTGTGTTGGCGATATTTTGTGCATGGCTAGCCTCTTTCACTTACGCCGTGTTCATCAGCGCAAATCCAGTCCCGCGTTTCTACGATTTTTCACCTGGTATCACAGTCCGTGTGGTCAACATTGCTTCTCACGCCGCCGTATACTTGGCTGGGGGTATGGTGGAAGCGGTATTTGACGCTGTTTGCTGGGCGGTGATTTCTGGTTGCAGAGGAGCTTCAATCGCGACCTTTCTCGCCACGAAGAAAGATACCGGAATAGGAACTGTGGCATCACTGTTCTTGATGTATGGAGGACACCAAATATGGTGCATTCTGAGGTATTTCATGGCATACATCGACTCACACAAAGCTTTGAGTACCCTGACATTTTGAGCAGGCTTGCTCTCATGGTCGGTGGTCGGCTCGTAGGCTTACCACTTCTGAGTATGTCACTCCGCCTTTCTGAACGGCATGTTTTGTATGAAGCTGACAGACAGTTCCCTGCAGGCGGCTTATCCTACAAAGACGTCTATTATCCCAGCCAAACGGTCTCTGTCGTCGGAGGGATCGCTCCTCTCCACGATTCAGTCGTCGCATTAGAAAAGGCCAGTTACGGTGGCCAGCAACCCACTTTCTAAGAAGCAAGCATAAACACAATGCTCATAAGCTCGACTAACAGCATCCTCACCGACCCAAAGTTTGTCACGAGCGTTGCTGCGATATCTTCAGGTTGCCGGGGGCCCGACTGCAAATCTTTGTTCCTGCCTGGAGGCTTGGAACTGGTCCTCAGGGCGGACGGGACGCCTCTGTTTGACGGCAAAGAACCGGATGACCCTGTCATCATTGTCCACGATGCTCCAGGTTACCAGATAGAGTTCTCGTCGCAGGGCTTTACGTTCAATACCGCTGTCGACTGTCAAGTCTATGGCCTGCCCATCTCTGCCCTTTATGCCTGTGTGGCAGGTCGTAACAACACAATATTTAGCGGTAAGTTAGAAAAAAAAAATGATGCTATTGATTTAGCCTTCAGGGTTTCTAACACTCTGATAATGCGGTAGGGTTCGCAATCTATTCCTTCGACTTGATGAGTAGCGGCGCTTGTCAATCGGACGTGTCATGGACAAAGGATCTCCAAGCGTCTGTCGCCGTGAACATCTATCAGCGAACGTCGACCGTCGCATACGACCGGTTTAACTTTTCGATTCTGAGTGTCGAATCCTTGGGGCCTGCGAAGGTGGCCAGTGACGAAGACTCGGTTGCCGACTTACAAAAGCTTTTCTCCATCATGTACCCTCAGTTGACGACCATCCTCGAGGACATTGAGACGTCAATTGTCAAGTTTGACTCGTCCCAGGCGTGGACGGACCTCGCCTATTTGGCCTCTGTGTACTGCCTCCAGGCCGAGATCACCGCGGCCGAGCTGTTCCTCAATCACGGCTACCCCAGCTGGATCAACGGCCAAAGGGACATCTTGGAAGGATTCCTGGCCATCCCGGTCCAGTTCGGGACTCTTCTGCTGCAGGAGATCGACAAGTCTGTTCTCCTTACAGGCGGCTTGACCACGACGGCATCATTCGCCCGAGTCTCTTTCCGCGTGAGATCGGAACCCTGGACCCTCATCATGTTTACGTCCGTCGTATCCGGCCTGGTTATATGTGCCGTCTTGCCCCTGGTGTACGCTCACTGGGCGGCGGCACGGCGCAATGCTGAACCCGAGCCCTCCCCAACGCTTCGCGCCGCCTTTGCAAACGGGAACCCGTTCGACACGTCGCCCCCAGACACGTGGCGGTCCCTGACCAGCTGCCTGTTCGGCTGCTGCCATCGCAATCGCGGAAAATACTCCACCGCCCTTCAAAGCCCGACGCTGGGCGGCGGCGGGATTAGCACTCACGTGGTTGCGCGGAGAGTCACCGACAAGGTCCTAATCGCCGTCGACAGAGACCAACATAAGCTGGATCACAGTAGTGAAGGTTTTGTGCCGGGCTGGGAGAAAGGCGGCATTGGTTCCTGGCCTGTTGGGTCGCCGCCTTGAAAAGAGGGGCCGCGGGCCGCGGGCCGCAGGCTAGATGAACTATACGTCTGTGAAATACGCCAAGACGCTAGTAATTATGGCTATAAAAGCAGCCTCCCCGACCAGATAGATTGAGAAGAGTCCAAGACACTTTTACACTTCATTTCACAGGTCTTTTTTTGTTGTCTGAGCCTTGCTGGTATTTACTACATATTTTTCTTTCTTTCTCTGGTTTGGCAGCTAAACATTATGATAGCTTCAGGGAGGCACTGATGCAGGCAACTTGCCGTTGGACCAAGCCGCCTTGAGAACGCATTTCTGCCGTTCAAGAGTTGAGAACCTAAATGTTCTCGTAGGGATTGCTGCTCGCGTGGACCCCCTTTGTTCTCTCAAGCAGTAGCTCGGTATGTATATAGCTACAGCTACATCGTAATTCCCGACAATGTGCTTGCAGGTTACGAAGCATATACTCGTTCTCCTGACATGGTCCAGAAATCCCTAATTGGGCCCCCTATTCCCATCCCTAAGAGGAGACTTCACCGGGCCTGTTCCGTAGATATATGCACGTACGAATCATTGGAGCACTCTTCGTCCCATATATCCTATGGTCCGCATTACCGCCAGTCTTCCCTGTCCAGAAGTGCAAGTTCCCAGTTCCGTTGAAACCAACAATTTTGCATCCTGCATGCGCGTCAAAGCCTGTTGTCTGCACAATGAGTCCCGTTTCGCGCAGCGATCCTGGCCGTTCGCATACGTTGGCCTAAACGGTTGGTTTTCTCGCACACGGCCTCAGACTAATCGACTCTTCCCACTGAACATATATCACAGGTTGAAGCAGGCAACTGCTCGAGATCAATTGATACTTAACTCCAATACTGGATCTTGTTTCCATGCTTTGTCTGTCACGCCACCCGAACAAGCGCATGACCCACGAACCTATCGTATACGAGCGTATCGCGCACACATCGCCTTTGCGAGATGCAAACAATGCGAGGCCTCGCAAAGTTGGGTTCGCACACAATGAGTGCGCTGATAGCTGCGTGGCATTTCCTGCAATCCGCCGATAATGACAGGTTTTCTCTCGCAGAACTGGCCACGGCAGGGTAAGCCAGACAAGAAGCAATGGACTACGCGTCCCCTTTCGGCCATTTCCTCTGGACCATCATATACTGGGGCGCCGGTAACCGCTATTTTGCCTTGGGAGGTTCAAAGCCAGCGTACAGGGAAGAAAATGCTGCCGAACATCGCAATGCATCGTCTCGCAAAAGTTGATTATCACAATGCGTACTGATGAGATAGAACTGCGGGAGAAGTAACGAGATGAGATTGCATATAAACTCCTCGGCGAGCGTCAGGAAGCCACCTGGGTCCCTCGATTCTTTTACGATTCTTTTTGTTCTTCGACTATGCCTTGTATCTTCAGCCGCTGCTACAAACGGTGCAAGTTGGCATTTCTCCAGGTGAAAGGATTTGGGGTGCTTTCCACAGTCTGTTGAAGTTGTTGCCTCGTTGAAATTGCTCTTCTTCCTCCCCCGGGCGTTTGTGGAGATTTCGGAGCACAAAACAGTTGCTGTGTTTGTTCAGTCGGTGGCAGGGTTCTGTGCCCATAACTATCCAGACCCAGCGCATTGCCGAGCGCGCACTCACTCAGCTCTCTCTGAAATACAAGCTTCCCTGATTCCAAGGATAAAAGACTGCCGTAACATTTGAAAAACCACCTCATAAAGCGGTACGTGACGGCTACGGCGCTTCTTCGTCGAACAGACTGCTCGGGAATCACTTGAGGACTAATTCACACCTGGCAGTGGATGTCCAATGTCCAACTTTGCTAAAAAGATAAGCTGGCTCTCACAGATGGGCACCTCTTCAATGTTATTGCCATATTTGCACGACACATCTTCCACGCTTGAACGGCTACTCCGCAAGCCAAACAATCCTGCCGAGACGGAGGACGCAAAGCGCCAACTAGAGCTAATGGAGTATCTCAACGCCGTGGAGGCTATTGTTGGTGACAGACTTCAAGGCGAGCAGGATCATGCCGGCCATAGAGCTAGACTCTGATGTGCTGATCAATCAAGGACTGTAGAGTCAGGCGTTGATATCGTGGAGATCAGAAAGTTTGCGGCTCAAGCCCTCACAACGGATATCACAGTGACAAGCCTCCCCTGGTGCGCCAGGTAACAGAAAAATGGCCCGCCAAGATATCTGGATCGAGTTGTAGTAGTACAAATTGACATTTTGGAATAGACTTCTAGCGTCGTATCCTATCTCTGACAAATGATCAAGCTCGGTGGGCAATTTCCCATGGCAGTTTCTTAGTGGACCCGTTAACTGGAATTCGCCATATCGTCTCAACGCATACTGTCTTTCTGTCTTAATGGATTCGAGCTGGTGGGCGGTCTTTGCGGGTTATGATGGAGGAGTGTGCCCTGCATAGCACGACCAGAGAAAGGCCCTTGTTGGGAAGGGAGTGAATGTTGTTGGTGATACGGGCCCTGAGGACTGTCTGTCGCCGCATATTGATATTGCGGTTGGTGTTGGTGGTTGTTTTGAAAGATATTGTAGACCACATCACTGGCTATTCTCGGGGTCGTGAAATCGTAAAGATATCTAACATTACTATTTGCAGGACCTGACGGCCAGGAAGGTGTTTGAAAGACATAAGGTGACCAGGGCGACTGATCTGGATTTGGGGTCTGCGAAAAGTTTGGTTCCCCTATTGGATTTGACAGGGACATCTGTCCACCTGGCTGCACTTGCGGATCCGGTACCAGTGAAGGGCACTCCAAATCTTGCAGGTCGACACCGGAGTCGGTTACAAAGCCGGGGTCTGCAGGAGGTCCTTGGAGCATGGCGTGAAACTCAGGGCTTGCTTCATATTGCGCTGGAGGTTGAGGCAGGGTCGAGGGTTGACGGGATGCACTTTCGATTGTAGCGAAGCTTCCCTGCTGCGATTGAGTGCCTGATCCACCAATGTTCAGGAATCGTCTATGAGTGTCGTCCACAAAACCCATGAAGTCACCGATCAACTGGCCAGCTACTTCTTGGCCGACACGCGCTGTAATCAGACTCCGTGCTGATGGAGAACGCCGCAGTCTCTGTATCAGAAACGTATTGTATCGTGTGTCTGCAGCTTCCGCTTCGAAATAAGGTGAAGGAATTTCGGTGACTTGCGGGAAACAGGTCTTATAAACCTCCTCCCAATAAACCTTTTCGTTGTTGTTGGCCTTGTTTTTCTTCATCGTTTTGTCACGAAGTCTGGTTCTTTGATCGTCGTCAAACCCATCGGCAAAATCTCGCTGTCGCTGCTCGATCGGGACGAATGCACACGCCTCTAGAGCTCTGCGGTGTTCTTGCTTCTCCTTGTCACTTCCAAGTCTTGTGCCGCATCTGTCGCAGAGAAAGATATAGTGTTTCTGATGTAGATGCTGCTTGAGACGATTCATGTCTGGCCAGCCATGGGTGCTACACGCCCTTTGCGATGTGTAGCGATGCGGAGCGTATTTAAAGTAGGGACAAGCATATATTTGTCTCGACTTGGTTTCCATTGACCTATCATTCTGAGAGGAAGGGTTCGGTCGTTTATGCGGTGGACGACGCTCAAGGTCATCGTCGCCGTCGTCACCCGGGGGCCCGTCGGGTGCCTGCTTTCTCTTCCCAAGGCTATCTGAATGAGGGTACCGAGCTGAGTTGGAGCCGTTGCCTCTGGTTGAATTGCTGCCTCTGCCGTTGGTTTCAGGACAGGGCTGTGATACTGCACAAACCACTGAAAAAGAGTCGTGGCGCATGCTCAGTATCATACGGTCAAGCCACGAGGATCGATGCTGAGATAGAGCACCTTCGTGGCCAAATGTCGCTTCAGCCCCTGCCATGAGGAGTAGACTAATCGTGGAAAGATCGGAGCTCAATATAGCATGGTGCAATGGGGTAAGATTGAAGCGGCCTGCGACTGTCATCAATTTGCCGCGAGCAAGAAGGCGAGAAGTGATGTCTGCTTTATCTTGAGACCATATTTGAGGTGAAGATGCTTGATTTGCCGGACACTTTGCGCCCACGTTTGCACCATACTTCAGTAATACCTGAACAACTCCTGCATTGCCTGCTGTGGCGGCCAGGGAAACTGGAGTTGTCCCACTTCGATGGTCATTCACGTCAGCGCCTGCATCGAGGAGCAGCCTGACTATCAGCGCATCTCCGGCTGCAACTGCCCACATCAGTGGTGAATATCCGTATTTTGGGTCCACGGAATGTAAATCTGCATCATAATGGATGAGGAGTTTACAAATCTCCAGGTTCCCGGCCTCACATGCAAGCGACAATGGTGTTCTGCCTTCCGCGTCGATTTGATCAATAAGCTGTTTCAGATTTGAATAGTTTTTGACAGTCTCAGCCCATGGTGATGCTGCCGCTTTAGGGTTCTCTTGGGGTTCATCATGAGAATGACGACCTTTCAACGCGATTTTCAAGCTCTGTAGCCATACGCGGAGCAATCGTGACAAGTTGTAGTACGACGCAATATGCAAGAGAGACGATGATCGGTAAAGCTGCACTCCTTTCCCCACCAATACCAAGGCCCGAGACCAGGAGAGAAGCAATTCCTCCGAAGGAAAGGGGAAGGATTGTGTCCAGAGCTCCCCAGAAGCTGCGCTGACATCTGCAATCTGCAGATGTTTGAGCCAGAATGTTGAACAATAGTCCAAGAATGGGAAAGCACTATTCAGGTTCTGTTCGTCAGTCTCCGTATGGCTGTAAACCTCCTGATACCAGCCACAGTACGCAAGGCAGATACGAGAAAAGTGCAAATTTTGGACGGCTCCGGCTTCCGCCCCTGACCTGTGGCTCGAGTGTATGGTGAAAAACTCAGATTCGATCAAAAAGTCCTGTACACTTGAGTGTAGTAGATGAACCTCGAAGTGGTTCGCTGTCGACCAGGTTTTGGAGATACGGCCATATTTGCTGCAAATGATTTTGACCAGCCCCCAAGTACAGTCAACAAAAGTCGTGGCGAGCTTGGGAACTGAATCACAGTAGAGCTGCTCTGCATCAAGTGACCGTTCTTGGATTTCATAGCCGTGGAAACGTTTATTGTTCGCAAACGAAAGCGCTGCACCAATCTCTTGGACCGAGAGAGGTCGTCTTGCAAAAAGCACCCAAGATAATATTTGGGAAACCTGGAGTTGAATTTGTTGCTTTTCTCCATAGATGTTTCTAAGGATTCTTTGGTACACACTAGTCAGATCAGTCGGTAAGCTTCTGAGGATATGTATAATGTCTGAACTGTCTTTAGTTTCGTTGCAGACGATGTGTAGAGCCAGAGAAACCCATAAAAAGATCCCAGCGGCCTTTTCAAGGATGATATTGAGAACTTCATCTTTGAAGCGCGAGAAGGAATTCCCGCTCTTTGCGTCGCTGATTTCGATTTGGGCCTCAGTGAAATTGACAATGTCCTCTGCGTTCTCTTGATCAACAAAAACCCTCAGGTCGTCCTCGCTGCAAGAGAACGTATTTCGCGAGGAGACGCAGATGCGTAAATGACTTGGTGGTGCTTGGCCTAGTGCTTGGCGCAGAAACTCTAGGATGCTCGTGATTTCGTCTTTTGCGCATTCATCCAATGCGTCAATGACGATATAGATTGGATGGTGTTGGCCTATGTCGGACAAAAGAAGGTTGAGCTGATCGACCAAAAGAGAGGGCTCGTTCACCCACTTTCCTCGTAACTGGCTGGCGAAATGCAATGCAGCTGAATCCAGGATATCATGCTCACAAGGGAGAAGTTTTGCTTGATTCCAAAGTTGATGCAACAAAGCGCGGTAGAACTCAGGAACTGATCGCCCGGTCCCGTCTGTGAAAGGGTCAAAAAAGTATGAAGCTATGAGGACTGGGGCTTTATCGGCGTCCGGAAAATTCCCATGATCCAGAATATGTTTCATCAATGTCGACTTCCCAGAGCCTGCTTTTCCATTGATCCAGAGGATCCCTCTGTGACCCTTTTGGAACCATTGTTCGACGACCGAATTCTTGCAAAGCCAAGAGAAGGTACCGTTAGCTGGCGGAGCAATGCGTTGACGACCATCTTCAACTTGAAGGAGTGTCTGAAGGAGTGCCCGAGGATCTGCAATGCATGAGTCATTTTGTTTGGAACATAATCATTGGAAGCTGTTACCAGTATCATCGTTTCCGGGTGATTTTGTGCCGTGAAGATAGAAAGGGAATGTCAGACTTTTGACTGCTCCAAGGACACGACGGTAATTGACGGGCTTAGCAGAGAGAGACTCCCATATGCTCTTTTGGACATCCATTAGACATTCCAACCAGCCTAGGAAGCGAGTACATACCAGGTGATTACCGTGTATCGGAGTACTATTGAAACCTTGGCAAGTAGTGTCCTCTTTCATGACGACATTAGCCATCTTAGAATCAGGGAGACTCGAACTATTAGGTTCGAGATCAGGAGTGTCCACTTCTTCAAAGAAAGATATCAAATTGATATGCGAGGTATTTGCGTTGACACAATCCCAGAAGTTTGTCGTGATTGACTGAGCAGATGGCAGGATGTCGTAAAGCCTTTTTTCCAGGGTACCAAAGTCCGCGTCCCTGTCACAGAGCTTGAGGAACTTCCAGATGGCTCGGTCGGGACGCTCGTTGACCCAATGGGGAGTACCGATGAAGACTATGCCTTTCGTATGCTGGGCGAAGTTGCGGGCTTGCACATCGCGGGAAGCTAGGTCGTCCGCACGTGTTTGTGAGCAAATCAATGCCTGTTTGACAATGAGACCTCCTAGACTATGGGCGATGAAGACCAGCGGGCGGTCAAGCTGAAGATAAAATTAGCCATCGATCCCAGGAGAAAAGAACAGTTGAAACTAAAAGAGGGGCAAGTCCTCGTGGGCCCCGGTAGGCGTTGGATCAGGCCAATGTAGACAGTTCTCAATTTTTGGCAGGGGAAACAGAATATTTTTCGTTTTCACGCCATTGGCAATCGCCGACGGAAATCGTACGGGATAGAGGAAGTTGTTGCCTGAGCCCGCGAGCAGGGTAGGTCCAAAAGGATGAACGACGAAAGCTTGTGCCACAACAATGGAAAGGGACTGACAGTATTGTCGGCACTTCGTGATTGGTAAAGGGCCTCCAGCAGGCGATGGCCCTGCTTCTCGATTGGATCAGTGCCCCTGAGGGCGAAGTCGTAACCGAAGGTGAAAATCCTGGCGCCAGGCAAGTCGCGAGGAAGCAACAGTGATAACCACGAGGAAGCCTGGGCGCTCAGTCCATGGACAGCAATTATGTCAACAACTGCCTCCGTGGTATCTGGTGCATGGAGCATGTTTAGTTTGGGTTCCGCCGACATGATGAAGAAATTCTCACACACAAATTTTCGAATTGCCAGAATATCAAGGTCGAAAATTTGGCAAGGGTGGCAAGGAGTAATATCTGATTTAGCAAAAAGTCCCCTTGACAGTGGACGCCAAAGAGACCCAAACTATGAACACAGACCACGGAGAATGAAAGGAGAAATGCAAAGAGGACTGATGTATTACAAGTGCCAACTGTGATATCGCCAACGTGCGGCGACTTGCATCCGCGGCACGAGGCGAGCTCCAAGTATTGCGAGCTCTGGCATTGCGAGCCCACGCATTGTTTTGCCGTGTAATTGTGAGGGATGCATGGGGCTCTAATGCAAGGCAACGAGACCAAAATCGATCGAAACAGCCAGCAGCAGTCACCTTTGGCTTTTAAGCTTCGCAGCCAGGGCTTCGGCCTAGAGAGAGGTCCGCCCGGCTGCGAACCAGGGCGTTTCCCGGATCTAAGGACCTAGCGAACATCGTGGAAGCACAGCCCAGTCATCGTCAATGGTAGGCGCACAGCTCGTGTTCTCGATGGCGCATGACATTGCCTGGCGGCCACATATGTCATTAAAGGAATGTACCCTGCTCGGCTACAGGGATTCGCATGTCGCTGCCTTTGAAGGCTGACAAGCCTGGAAGATATGGGCTCAAGAATCTGCCTGACGAGGCGTCGAGCTTTGAATTGTCAAGGTGTGCTTTGGCCCTTGCGACTGAAAGGTCGAATCGGCGTCATCTAGTCCCTAGAGCATGTTGAATCATGGCGATATCATCTGTGGCGATGCAGGATGTGCTAGAAGAAGGCAAAAGAAGACGACGAGACGGGGAAATGAAAGAAAGATGATGGTGAAAGGGTATTTTCAGAGGTTGCGATGGGTTTGAGTGCAATTGCCAAGAAAGAAGCCTCACTAGCCAGGGAAAAGCCGGAAGGGGCGAAGGGCAAGAACGGGCACATGGTGCATCTGCAGCTTCCTTCAGGCTTCAGCCTCGTCACCGCACCATCTTCGTCTTTTCCGCAGTCTCAGCGCACGATATGCACCCTATTCAAATTCCCTATACCACGCACATCCCGAGGAGCTACCCTCAAAACTCGCGACCAAGGACGCGATTGAGAACTTGGTCGGCCTCGCAGATCCAGCTGGATGGTGATTTCCGTCGGAATGCCTTCTTCAAACTCTCCCTAGGTCAAAGCTGTGGCGCCCATCAACCCAGGCTGGTGAGGCTACGAGTATGACGACTTCCGGCTCGACGTGAAGCAATAACAGTGGAAGTGCTTCGCATATCCTTGCCCACAATCACCACGATTCCTAAGTCTGGCAAGCTCGCCAGCCTCACGAACATGAGCTTGCCCCTCAGGCCATCAACTCTGGTGGTTTCGACGGTCATCAACTCACAACGGTACGCGAGGCCCTCATTTGCCCAGAATCTTGTCAGCCTCGCCCAAAATCTGATCGAGGGACGACACAGTCTTCCACAAACTTCAAGCTTGACGATCTGTTGAAGTATTAAGCTCTCAGCAATTCCATGCATTTGTCTGTCTATCTATTGAAGGGCTCCCTAGCAGTTGATACATGAACTACCTAAGGAGTGGAAGATTTCTCAACCTTTAATCTAGTCTGGCCTATGATAACGGCGCGAACCTTGTTATCCCTTATGCTGGAACAGTTTCAACTACGGGGATAGCGACTCCTAACCAGCCAGTCCCCGCGCTTTGTGAAGCGTGGGCAAATCCCTATAGCAGCTCTCGCAATCTTGATGAATTTATCTATCACGTCATAATCAAAATCCACTCTCTTATCTTTGCTCCTTCTGCCTCGCACAAGGAGCCATAACCTCGGCTTCCCTCAATGGCTCCTTTTTCAGCTGCGCCACGATTTCAGCCAGCAGGTGAGCAGTTTGGCTCTAATTCTTGGCCAGGTCTAGAACGCACCTCCACGGAATCCCAATTCGCCCAAGTTCGTTTGACAAACAGAGGACCAATGCTTTCACGACTGCATTCGCTGCGGTCGCGGCCTTGATTGCTGCCACAAAAACTTTCGAGCGCCTAACGGGAATTCCTGCAGAGTGGTTTCTGTAGCGGATTCTTCCAAACATCAGATCCCGTCTCTTCACAGATGGGGGCGTTTGATTGAAGATTTTCTCTCGCATACATTATGTGCGGCAAGGTTTTCGATATGGCTGCGTATGAAAACTTCTGTGAAGAATGAACACGAGAGCTGAAAGTTCGGTCCCGTCCACATCCCTGTCAAGAGACGATCTCTCTCGCTCTGGTCCCTGTGCTTAATGCACGGCGGCATTGGCGTCGCTCTTGCCACGCGCTCATCAACCTCGCTCCTTGCCCAACCTCTTTCATGAGGACGTTGCGCGGATGGAATTGTTATCCACTTTCCGTTGAGTTCATTCGCTTGTGCTCGGTGCTCATATGGAAGCTCTGAAAACACCGTTGCGGCGGACCTCTTGGATTTCCAAGAGGTAGTCCTAAACATGCTTTTCGCACAGATGGCCATTGGAAAAGGGTTAAAGGGCGTTGGCCAGACTTTTGACGTGGCCATAACGGCTCGACCCTGAATTGTTACGAGCTGATTCAACGCAAAGCCTCTATTCCGAAATCATTCATTATTAACGCCGAAATAGCAGTGCAAGAAACATTGATAAGAGGGACTCTACCCGGCCAGCCTGACGGAATGTGGTGACGCTCTTCATGTTTCTGACTGAACAGAGAGCCTGATTCTAGTCACAGCAAACCCTGTATCGCAAAATGATGGCTATCGTGAGAGAATTCGATAGATCATTCCAGTCCAAGTACCTGGCTGCGAAAGCATTTCGACTTCCCTATTGGGACTGCTTTCGCCCCCGCGACGTCAACGCAAAGTTTCCAGGTATCAAGTTGAAAGGAAACCGCACAAGGCACGACTACGACTTTCGCATGCCAGACATTCTCAATGTGAAGGAAGTCATGGTCCGACTGCCTCCTTATGATAAATTGGAAATCCGGAACAATCCCCTCTACAACTTCAAGTTCACTGACAGACAGAATTTGGATCAGGATTGGGCCAGGGCTGGACTGAGGGTAAGTGCCCTTTTGTTACAGCCCTTTGAGACTTCAATCAACTAAATTGAGCGACGTTCTGAACGGTGGGCGTGAGGGTAGAGCCTCGATGATGCTCGACATTTTAAACCCCCATTCCACTCGATACCCGCGGCTTGGGGATGTTGCCTCAGACTTAGTCCTGCGTGAGGGAGATTTGACACAGACAAGACTTTCCAGGGGGACGTCGAGGATATTGCCCGGAGAAGGAGGTGGTAGACCCGCGAGTTATGGCTCGATTGAAGCTCTGCACGCTAACTATCACACCCTCGTCGGCGGTGCCAATGGTCATATGTCGAGTCCCTCGATCGCAGCCTTCGATCCTGTTTTCTGGCTTCATCATTGGTAAGCCGCCCCGTATGCAAGGGCCATTTGCAAGCACTTAACGTATAGTCACAGCAACGTCGACCGCATCTTCGCCATCTGGCAGGCTCTCCATCCAAAGGCCTGGTTCCCGCCACCGGCCAGGGACTCAAGAGGCAGGCGCTTAAGGCCAGAGAATGAAAAGGACTTATTGCCTTTCTACAAATTTATGTGTGAGTTGGGCCCGATATACTACGATTCCGACTGGTCCAGGAATATAGAGAAGTTCGGCTATACATATCCCGACCTGGACCGCCTCAGCGACCCAGATCGATCTGGAGCAGAGTGTACTACAGGTACATCTGGAGCATTCGGAGTGCTTCGAGCCGCAAATTCTCCACGCCACCCGCAGACATGATGCCACTCAACCTCAACCGGGCCCAGGTTTTCCAGTACCCTGAGACGAATTCGAGGACTGCTGCTACAGAGTCTCTTCATCCTGTGACACGAATCATTTTCAAGCGAGTCGCGTCGTCCGCCCCAGACAGCCAAACAACAGAGCAGCTCGCCGCGCAAGACAGGGGCTTTATGCCTGCCCCCGACAATGAGATCGATCCCTACTTTGACCGGGAGTGGTACATTGACAACGTTGTGAAAAGGTTGCCCCCCCTTTCACTTCCCTGTCCCCGTTCGCTGTAACCCCCCTGGCTCTCTTTCCAAACATGAAAACCCGAGTACCCAATTAACATGCCACGTTTCTTAGGAACGCCTTCAACGGCCCCTTCATCATATACTTCTTCCTCTGTCCCAAATCAAGATTCCCCGACAACCCGGCCGAGTACGCGGTCAGCCCTTACCTCGCCGGTATCAACCACGTATTCGCCGCGCCGCGCGAAGTCTGCGACAACTGCGGCCAACAAGATGCCGCAGGGGTTTTGGCGTCCGACACGGTCCCGATTACGCCGTTGCTACTCGGCTACATGGTCAACGGAACGCTGGAGAGCATGCGGGCCGAGCATGTGTGCCCGTTCTTGGTGAAATACTTGCGCTGGAGGGTCGTCTACGTAAGTCCCCCATCTCCTCTGCGCGTTGTCGCGCTTGAAGGAAAGAAGTGTGAACCGGTGGTGCGCGGGGGTGGGTGGATTTTTTCGCGTTCATGCGCCATCTTGAGGAGTAGATCTCTTTCGTCGAGTATGAGTGAGCGGTTACCTGGGTAATCGTGCAATTATCAAGGTATCGTATACCGAATCAAACGGCGGAGTTCCTCGTAAGGCCCTATGTTCGCTTCCTCACTATTCACCCATCATTGCACCCGTCGGTAGCTAAGCTGTGCCGCGAGACGCGAAAGAGAGTATATCGAGGCTGAGGCACTCGATTCACAAACCATCTCAGTGCACCTGCTGCAGTCTTCACGGGTGGGCATGCCTCGTTTATTGTACGATCGATAGGAATGCTTACAGCTAACAGCAGAGACAACGTGGCGATCGGCAACGTGTCCACACATGACGTGCTACCTATGCAGAGGTCTTTGAGAAGAATGGTGCAGAGAAATGGGTTTAATATGAGGGATAAATCGTACCAGTTGCATGCATAGACGGTGAATGTAGTAGTTTCACCTCAATAGCACTGCGTTTTGCCGGGGGACATTCGCTTTTGTCGTTGTCAGCTTGTGCATTGTGAGGGGCTCGCTGAGAATTGGTATTTGCCGATGGGCGTTGAGGGAGGGATCCGAGGTCTTCGCCTATGTGAGTGCTATACGGGCAATTTCCTCCACAGGATTCACACAGAGACAATCCCATTTCTCACGGCTGCGACAAAGCCCATGGTGTGATTTAGTAGGAGTGTATCATTCAAGTCAACGGGGTTAATCTCCGACTATTCAAAGGTGGTCCAGTCCGTACCCCTCTTTGCGACGTTGATGTGGCTTTCGCCGTTGCCTTAGGGGTCCTCTCCTCTGATATCGTAATAGCGACGGAAGATTGGGTAGTATTGTCCAACGACATACAGCGCGTTAGGAGCCGGACCTGCTCGCTTTCGGTTCGCGCAGAGACTTGGTTTGCGAAGTTCCGTGCCAGAACAAGATACTGCCTTTGACCGACAGTCTGAGTCGACGATTGTAAATTGTAGCATAGCTCCCTTGCTGGTAAACATTAGCATATTGAAGTCTCTCTTCATGCGCCTCGAAAGACCTCAGGAAATAAGTAAGGTAGATCCAATACATACAAGGAGTCCGCAACACGTGAAGGTGTGGTCTCTTTGTGCGGTGCCTTGGACCGCCTAACAATCACCATTGATCTCTTTGATGGCCTTGTTTCGGACAAACCCAAGACAAAACACCATTGTCAAGTTGACCGACCTCCATAACAAAGTCCTTTGCGCCAGCTCTTGCTGTATATAGCCGCTGTGCACACCAGCAGACCTACACTACACCACCTCCAAACTCACTATTCAGGATGGCGGGAGCTCGAGAGATACCAGTCTTCATCGTCACGCCGCCTTCAGAGGATGGACCGACATCGACCGTCAGCATAATGATGACGCGACATTGGGGGCTCTGGGCCAGCGGAGCCCTGCGAAAGCTAGACCGAACAAATGCAAAAGGGGAGAACTACTGGACCAGCGGTGACGATGACATCGAGCTGGTCGAGTTGTTGCCCCGGAACGACCCGCCTGCCGGTAAGTTGTCCATCGAATCAGTTGGTGGTAGACATATCGCTGAAGGGAAACACAGACCGATTGCAGCCCACGATAGACCTTTTGCAACGGCTCCTGTCAACAAAGGAATCCTCGAAAGGCGCCAGGGCACCAAAGAGCGAGGACGAGATCGAATTAGAGAGGCTCCGCAAGAGCAATTCGTCAACAACAACGGTGACCACAGTTCAGTCTCCGAATCAGAGAGGCTGATTTTTTGCAAGAATCATTTAGCAGTCCTGGAATCCATCAAGTTTCGAGGTGAGATGATGCACGCATTTGAGAAAGAGTGCAAGAAGCCATGGTTCAATGCAGACGAGTTTGAAGATGACCTCCCACCGCTTCTTCCGCCTACAAGGCATATTCGAATAAAGGCAGAGGAGTTACTGAAGGAATTTGCCGAAAACCCAATTGCAGATGTCAGAGATTTGCTTGTAGCAGGAAGGCAACGCAAGACAAGTGTCTGTAAGGCGTGGCATGGGGTACCGGAAATCCATGAACAAGAAAATGGTCGCAGTCCGTTGTTTGAGCCTATCGTTGACCTGGTTACTGTAGGAGGCATGGATGATTGGAAAGACGACAACTGTCAGGCTTGGGAGGATATAATGGCTTAGGGATGCGCTACCGATGGCGGTAGAGATTTGTGTCTCGACAAGAGCCCAAGAGAGTATTACAGGAAATTGGCGAGATGCATTCCGTCTATAGAGCAACATAGGTAGAAACAAAGAAGAGTGATTGATTCATTGATTGATTGGAGCGAGTACATAACACTTGGTTGACACGTGACTAGCACGTGATCGGTAGGATCACAATGCAAGGTTACGTCATGAATTGGACGCGTCAAGTCGCGTCTCGCCGTGCTTCTCTCACTTCTCTCCCTTCAATATCTACATAACCTTTTCTCTGTGAACAGGCGGCAAAAAGACCCGAATGGCACCCTCTGCAGTCGAAATAGACAGTCAGTCTCCGCCTAGAGATTCGATGGGCTTTCTCCGCGAGAATGTCAATGCCCTAAAAAACGCACCCAACGGATCCGCTACGACACCATCACCCGAAGGCGTGATTCAAACTGTTTCGACAACGACAACACCTCATGAAGAATATCAATACCTCGATCTAATCCGGGATATCCTATCCCGTGGCGAACATCGACCAGACCGAACAGGTACAGGTACACTCTCGCTCTTCGCTCCCCCTCAGCTGCACTTCAGCTTGTCACGCCCCGACCCTGCTTCACCAACCGCCGAAAGAATACCCATCCTCCCTCTCCTCACCACCAAACGCGTCTTTCTTCGAGCCGTTACCACCGAGTTGCTGTGGTTTGTATCGGGCTGCACAACCTCGAAACCTCTCTCTCAAGCAGGTATCCACATCTGGGACGGTAATGGGTCGCGAGAATTCCTCGATAAATTGGGATTCGTCGATCGCGAGGATGGAGACCTCGGCCCTGTCTACGGATTTCAATGGCGCTATTTTGGTGCAGAATACAAGGATTGCCATACAGATTACACAGGCAAAGGAGTGGACCAGATCAAAGAGGTGGTGCGAAAACTGAAGACCAATCCATACGATAGACGAATTATACTGAGCGCGTGGAACGTGGCCGACCTGTCTAAGATGGCACTGCCGCCTTGTCACATGTTTGCGCAGTTTTATGTCAGTTACCCTGACGCAGTGCGAGGGGAGGCGGCTGTCAGGCAGCTCAGCAACGGATCGGTAGAGATCAGGGGAGACAAGCAGAAAGCAAAGGGTCACCTATCTTGTGTCCTGTACCAGCGCTCCTGCGACATCGGACTCGGAGTGCCCTTCAACATCGCCTCATATGCGCTGCTAACACACATGCTGGCTCACGCGTGCGATCTCGTGCCGGGAGAGCTCATCCATACAATGGGCGATGCCCATGTATATCTCGATCATATTGACGCCTTGAGGGAGCAATTACTGCGTGAGCCACGTGAATTTCCAACATTGAATATTAAGCGTCACGATAGGGGAAGCGGAGAAATAGACGGCTGGAAAGTCGAAGAGTTGGAGGTTGTTGGATATAGACCTCACGGCGGAATAAAGATGAAGATGAGTGTATGACTACAGTGAAATGGGAATACAATGAAATGGGAACGGAACTCTGGGTGTATTCAACAAGCGTTGGGAAAACGGAAACCTTGAGGAGACAAGCAGTATGGGGATCGCGACGAATATTGGATAGATGTTCCGCGCTTCGTCTGGACATTGAAGTAAATTGTTCTCTCTCTAAGCTCGTTAGAATGTGTTGCTCAAATGCTATAACCAAACCCGCGCAGGATCGTTCGAGTCATTCCATATCCCCGTGGACGCCGCCGCTATGCAGTAAAATTTATCCTTTCTTTTCAAATCCGGTAAATGTCAGATGCTGTGATTCACTTCCCATCTTCCTTGGGACCAACCCCTCTCAGCAAGACAACGGTATTCCCGTTCGCAAGACACACTCCAAGCTTCTCCCCAAATTCCAACAGCCTGCCACCTTCGACATGGTAGACTCTTAACCGCTGCTCCTCGGTCTCGACGCGATTATTCATGTTGGCGACCTGCAGTCTCTTGGCGGCTTCATCGAGCATCCTGCCGACGGACCAGTCAGCCGAGAAGAACAGGTCGGCCTTGGGCAGTTTAGCGGTGGTGGAGGCGGCCTCAGCCTCGACGTGGAGGTAGACCCGCTTCTCAGGGACAAGCTTGTCGTCGCCCTTTGCGTTCTTTTTCAGCGTGTTGAGCGCGGCGATTTGTGCGGATTTGCTGGACGGGCTCGGTTTAGGCGTCAACGCCTCCTGTCGCTCCTTGCCCCAGGTCTTCAGCCGTCCGAAGCCGACCCGTAACTTCTCTTTATTTGATTGCATCGCGATCTCAATGGGGCGAGCACCCAGAGGCGTTAGGTTCTTGCAGTCGTGGTCCTCGCGCATGCGGTGTTTGAGGCAATATGTCCGGTTGCACTGCGGGCAGTGCACGCCCAGGTTTTGAGACGTGTTGACGAACGTCTTGCACGTCGTCTCCCCGCATTGCGTCGCGTTAATGAGATTCGGTTTACCCTGGCTTGTGCCCGATATTGAGGATTTCCCGATGCTGTTCAGTCGTCTGTTCTTCGCCCATTCACCAGCGCGGGGACACTTGTGAGCAGTCTCGCTCCGATGGTCGAGACAGAAGGTGTGGCGGCATGACTCGCACCGGAAAGGGAGGAAGTCGAGCTGGTGGCAGTAGGCAAATTCGCAGTGGGCGCCGATGGCCTCGACGTCTCGATCCATGGCGGTGTATGATGCCTCGGGGGGAGTGGTTGAGGCAGACATTGTGGACGACCAACAACGAACGTTTATACGACAAATACTATGAGTGATCTTGGCAATATAGTCCGTCGCCACCGCGGCAGGCGGAGGAAAGATTCGTTACTGACAAAAGATGAGGCTGAGATGAGAGACGATGAGGCTGGAAGATTCGGGATTCTGCGCAAGAATTCCCCGCGCCGAGGCTGAGTTCAGCCTTACCTCAGCCTTGCCTTCACGTTTGTCAGCCTTGTGGCAAACTTGCTTCCACCACACTCTGTAAATTCGCATCTTGGCGACGGTCCTCTCTTTACTATTACAGTGTCGCTAAGCGGATTCACCTCACAATGAAGCAATATACCACGGGGATCACACAAAAACACATCTGACAATATTAGGGTGTTGAGAAGCACAAAAACTTAACATAGAACAGTCAACCTCTGGTCTGTGATAAGCGAAACTCGCCCCTTTCGGGGTTGGTTTTTCTCGGCCGGTTATACTACAAATTCTATACAGTTGAATCAATCAGTGCGGGAATTGAATTGGGGTCCTGCTGCCTGCTAACCCGTTATTGTTAGTTCGTCCTAGCAAGACCCAGATCATGTCGTCAGCTCGGTTCGAATCGAGGCCCTGATGCCTGCTAGCCCGGTGCTAGTTCGACCTGACAGGGCCTGGACTGGGTGGAGGAATCGTGGTTCGTTCGGACTCGGTATCGCCCTAGTCATGGAAGGGGTCTTTGTGTGACAGGAATTGAGCACAATAAAAACATAAAGGTAACAATTCTCGGGAAGTTTGGGTGGGACTATTTAGACCAGACCCGCGTGGTGCGCGCGAGGCTGAGATGTACATGTACAAGGAGCACACCTTCCCCATCCAACGCGGTGCAAATCAAACAAAGGCCCATATGGCAACTTCCAAGCTCGACTCGATGTCAGTCCCAAAGTAACACGGCCTTAACGGTCATGCCGCTAAGCACATCATGGGCAGCCTTCTCAATATCGTTGGCTCGATACGTCTTGATTAACTGGTCATAAGGAAACTTTCCTTGCTGATTCGCCGCCAACAATCTCGGTAGGAACTCTTGAGGATAGCAGTCTCCCTGGTTGCAGCCAATGTAGCTGCAGCCTGCGTTCGCCATCTCGAACATATTTAACGATGCTTCTGCCGAAAGCTAGGACGCACTGTCAGCTTGAAACATTGACTTGCTGTGAGGCCATGGAATCATACATCGTCAATACCCACTGTTACCACTTTTCCTTTCCTTGCAGCACTGTGGACGAGTTCCTTGATCACTTCCGGCTTCCCTGTGGTGTCTATACTGCCATCAACTCCCCGCCCGCTGGTGATATCCATAAGGACTTTCATAAGCTCAGGCCGGACTTTGGAATTGACTCCATGAGTTGCGCCGAATGAGCGGGCCAGTTCCAGTCTCGCGGGGACGATATCTATGGCGATAATCTTTTTTGGCTGTGTTTCGAGCATCTTCAGTGCCATGATCGCTGACAATCCCACAGATCCGACACCTACAACAGCAACTGCCATGTCCGAAGCTGGTTCGATCACGTTCAGCATTGCTAGTCATGTTAGTGGGAATAATGGAAAATGCCATTCGAGGGGAGTTACCTCCAGCGCCCGTCATCACTCCACAACCAAGTGCAGCCACCTTCTCAAACGGCAAGTCCTTGTCAACTTTGACCAACCCATTTTGAGACACCAAGATATGTCTCGCAAAACTGCTCTGCCCAAAGAAATGACTCATGATGGGTCTCCCGGTAGTCAGGCTCGAAAACACCTTCGACCCGTCCAGCCTCCCGACTGCCAAATTGTACTGGAACCAGAGATCGCAATAAGACGATTGCTTGCGTAGACAGTACTTGCACTCTCCGCAACAGCTGAAGACGACAACGACGTGATCCCCTTTTGCGAATTTTGTAACGTTGGATCCCATGCGCTCAACGACACCGGCACCCTCGTGGCCGAGGACAGCCGGAAACAGCTCGGGCATGGTCTTCTCCTTTGAGAAATTCAGGTCGGTGTGGCATACGCCGGTGGCCTTGATCCGAACGAGCACTTCATCTGCCCTGAGATTATCGTGGAGCTCGATCTGCTGGTACTGGAAGGGTGCTCCAGGTTTGGACACCACGATGGCGTCGGTGATCATCTCGACGGTCACACAATCGGACTTTGTGCCACTTCCTCCTATCAGACGTTTGGGGTGAATCGGAGGGGACCAGGTGCCGCAGACGAAGTCTGTCGAGCTCACGAATCCGCTACTCTCTGTTGCGGCCACACCTTGGTGGCCAAGTCATTGCATGTTTGAATACTGCCCAATTAAGCGGCTTCAAAAGATGCGTCGTATTTTCGTATTTGAGCTTGCATCAAGTGCCTTTGATCAAGTCCATCCGACGGCGCGGGTAAGATCGTTGGTGGTCTGAAGAAACAATTAAGAGGGTCACGCTTGTGCCGTGCGGGGCAGAAGATGCCTTCGAATTCAGTGTGGATTTACTTAAGAAACTTAAGTAGGATTTAGCCTTATTTATACTTAAGTAAAAATAATCATATTTATATTGTAAATACAAATATTTATATCGTAAATAATTATACTTATATTGTAAATACATATATTTATTGTAACAGAGCACTTCAGGGTTCGGCGTGCACGTGCAACAACGCACAGAGGCCTGTCCAGCAGATTGGGAATCGAGAACGCGTTTCTGGTTGATACTGACAAGACAACACCACCACCAACACCACCCAGAGGGGCAGCGGCTAGGGCTACAAACACCTAGCACAGCGGGAGCATCGACGGATAGGACAGGACTGATAAAAACACTCAGAAATTAGGTAGACGGCGCCAAAAGCCATGGAATTCATGATACTCTACTCAATCTCTAATGAATGGCACACTGCCAGCACTGTAAACTGTTCTGCACCCCCTTCTGCCAGCCCATTTAGGTTTGACATGTGACTAGACAACTTTTCCTCCCTGCCACCGCTCTACCAGCCCAGCACGGCCCATCACAGCACAGCCACCTTGCCTTGTTACATTATAACTCTAGATATTCGTTACGATATAGTTATATATACACTTTCTATATTCGCCTCGTATATTAATACGCTAACTCTTACTTAGGTATTTATAAGTAAAATTAAAAAGCTTACGTAAGCTAGTACGGTTAGTAATTAGAGAGATTTAATGAAGTGAGTAGAAGGGTTAAATCGCGATAAGAGCGCCGAAAAATGACGCGAAGAACGGCGAAAGAATTCGGTGCGAATTTTAATTAATACGAGCTTTTCCGTTATCTTTAGAAATGAGAACTAAAAGTGAAGGAGACGTCTAGAGTACGGGAGCTTCTAGCCGTCGTTGGTATCGACTCTATTACTAATTACAATGAGATTTACGATATCTAGAACGAAAATCGTCGACTCATCCATCAACAATTTTTCCCGCGACTCACAGCATTCTTATATACCCAGGGAGCCTAGGGAGCCCACAGTCGCTCACAGCTCTTATATCTAGGCTATGAGCTCTTATAGACCATCTATTTTTAGTAACTTTTATAATATACTTATTATATAATATTATTAAATTTAAAAAGGTCTTTCCTATTTCGGAAATAAGGTTTACACTAAAAGCGGATAACTCGCTAAGTCTTTATCTTAGTGAATACTAACGCTATTAAGCTA